ACCGAAGTGGAAAGTCGAAACCCACCGAAAATTTCCTAGCGCCTCTCCAATCAACTACCATCACCCAAAACCACTCTTCGAGGACAATCCGACGTTGAACATACCCGCTACCCAAAACCAACAGTAGCAATCAAAATGGTACGCCCCTCCGTCGCACTTGTGTGCCATTGAAGCGAAGACCAGTCGAAGGACTCGCATGGACTGGATTAGGAAAAGCAATTGTGCTGCGCTCAACCTCGCCGTCGCAAGTAAGCCGGCCTTGGTATGCTAGCTGGGCATGAGCATGAGCACACAATTGAACATTCCCATAATCAAGTTCCACGCAAAGAACCTCGACGCGGCCGCAGCTCCAGCACCTCGCACAACCATCTCGGACAAGAGCAGATAAGCTAACCGCTGGTGATTTTATAGTCGGACGGAGAAGAGATCCCCCCCTGTTGCCGCCGCCGATGAGGTCGAGGTTTCCGCTGACGCTGGCTCCGGCCAGATGTCCGTCCTCGACGCTCTGAAGGGTGTCCTCCGCATCTCCCTCATCCACGACGGTCTTGCCCGTGGTCTGCGTGAGGCTGCCAAGGCCCTCGACCGCCGTGAGGCCCACATGTGTGTCCTCAACGAGGGCTGCGAGGAGGAGGCTTACAAGAAGCTTGTCGTCGCTCTGTGCTCCGAGCACAAGATCCCCCTCATCAAGGTTCCCGATGGAAAGATGCTGGGCGAGTGGGTTGGTCTCTGTACGTTTTGTCCCTCTTCCCCGCGCTATCACTGTCGAACGATATTTGATCGAATGCTGTTGGAAATTTGAACAATTCACTAATGTTTTCTCTACAGGCACCCTTGACCGTGAGGGTAACGCCCGCAAGGTCGTCAACTGCTCTTGCGTCGTTGTCAAGGACTGGGGTGAGGAGTCCCAGGAGCGCTCTGTCCTGCTCAACTACTTCCAGACCGAGCAGTAGATTAGTTCCTAATGGACTAGTCGTGCAAATGGTCTAGGAGGGATCGACGGCTTCTTTGGATGTTCGCTCTATGGGCGGGAAGTTAATTCATAACGCAGAGGAGGATTTCAGGAAGAAACAATGGAGCATTTTGGGGCTTGACTGGTGTGAACCGGTTGGCATGGAATCTTTCGACATTTCTTCCGAGTCTTCAACTTGTCCCACCCTGCGCTGTGACCCGTTAACTCGGGAGAGCGGTGCTGTGACATCTATTCTAGGCTTCTGTCTGCCTTGGCATGCAATCAAACCAAAATAAACACGATGATGTGATGACAATTTATCTTCAATCTGTAGAAGTAGTTCTATGTTTGTGACTACCTTGTATGCTGAGATTCTGTAGGGCAAGACGGGATAATATTAGGCATCATTTGAGAGGACAGATGTGGTTATGGCTACTAATCTACGTTTGAAATGGAAACCGAAACAGGTCGAATGCTCATAACACTCCCATCACATGCATTTTTCTAGTCCTTCTGACGAAGCTCCAACGCCCGCTTCTGGAATACCTGCGCATTCGAGTTGGGATATACTAGTAAAAGACTGCCAGTGCACTGGCTGATAAAACACAAGTATAGGGAAATATTAGCAATACCTGAGTATTTACGAATCATACTGCTTTTTTAAACCTAGGATAAATCGTAAGCTACGATGAAAGCTTACTACGAATATAAATTTGCTAGTCAACTTCAGGTCCTTCAAGTTGCATACTCCGAGTACGTACTCTGTAGTAACATTAAATTTCTATTTCTCCACCTAGCTGAGTCTAACTCTACAAACACCTTGGTAACTTGAGTCAAGTCTAGGTAGATTTCAAATAGAAATTTACCTGTGGATAGATATCTCAATCATTCTCAGTTCACTTTCAGATTTCCCAAATCCAAATTGATTTAAGACGGCTCAGAGTCTGGCTTTATGATTCCAATGCCGGGATAAGCCCCATTAATCGGAGAACCATGCGCACTTTGACTTCCATTCTCCGAACGAGCCGCATTTTCACCTGGCTTCACGAAATTAATCGTGGGACAATTGAAGAAACCATCGTTCGTGACCAGAGGTGCAAGAATGCCTTTGACAAATCCCTCGAATAGCTCATAGTTATCAGCGATGGTAGGCTGGACTTGATCCGGTACAACGTCAAAGATATTCTCAACCAAGAAGCACCCCAATTGAGGAACAGTTTTTGAACTGAGATCAAGCTCGAGTGGAACGAAATTATTCAGTCCCTCATTCGCACCTAGCTCACGCGGCTGCAGGAGAAAGAGGTCGAGAGCTTCGGCCAAAGTGGAGGCCAGTGTGAACGCCTCTCCACGACGGTACCAGTTCTCGGGAAAGGTTTCGTTGAGAAAGAACGGGGCGATATTGGCATAGTCGGGCTTGTTGGGGGTAGTCCCGTTTGTGAGTCCTTCATAAACAAAGACACGTTCAGCGTGAGAAACTGTATTTGTTCTTAGCATATAGGAAATTCTTTTTGTTGCCCGAAAGTTTCAATTACCTGCAAACCATTTCACACCTGCGAAGAATTCCGGATTGGTGGCCCGTGAATTATCGTACCGTAGAGCCTGGAAATTGACAATTTAGTCAGGGAAAATCGAATAGGACTGATACTCTGAAAACTCACTCGATCTTCAGCTTGCGTCTGTGCCCCAAAGAGTCCACCATTACGGTCGGCGATTTTCACATACTCTTCCCATCGCTGCAGGATGAAATTGGCATTGTTTCCGAAGTATGTATCCTGGCGTGTGATGCTGCCATCGATTTCGAAGACCCCATGCTTATCAATACCCCCAGCAGGGCCAATAGTGTTAGGAACACGCGAGTCAGCACCACCAATGGAGTATTTTCCAGAAATCAAATCGCCGCCTGCCATTAAGCCCAAGGCTGATAAAAAGACCGACAACGGGTAGTCGAAGCCGTATGCGATCGAAATACCATTCGCGGCCTCGGCGAAGGAAGTTATCTAGTATGGTCAGTATTCGCCGCAAGAAGTGGTATTTTGGCGAGGGAAATCAAAAACCTACCCCATCTCGAGAAAGGTATCCATGGTTTGCCAGTGTGTTCAGTGTCGGGCAGTTACCACGCACGTCGGTCGGGCCTGGGGCTTGGAATTGGTGATCCGGATCATCACCAGGAATCGCCTTCAAGTCAATGATTTGAGGGGTTGGAATATCCAAGTCTTGCAGTGGACCTGTGAGACTTTGGAGAACACCATTCACTGCAAGCTATCAGCCGCTGTACTATACAAAGAGGAAAACCTGGCGGATAACGTACACAAGCCACCTCCAAGAGGAAGGTCTAGAAGGCCATCAGAAGATCGGGGTCCGATTAAACCTCCGGAATTGGCAGAATCGGACTTCTTGTAATGTCTTTCAAGGAATATATCCTCTGCGGAGGAAGGATTTGCTGCTACTCTATCATATGCAGCTTCATCCTCTGGATTGAGAAGGCCGGCTCGTTTCAGAAGAGAGAAGGGACAGACCAGCGCCAATGAGCAACTGGCAAAGAAGTTCACTGAAAGAAGAAAGGCGGGTTTCATATTGAGTGTATACTTTCATGCTCATAGTACCAGACCTGGCAGCAAGCAGCTTTTATAACTAGCCATGCTCTTGTTACTCCTGGCGTCTTTCATCATAGTGAGAGACCTACAACCGAGACCGAGATTTACATGAAAGCATTATAGAAACCTGTTTCTTCGAAGTTAATGATGTGAGGTTTCGATGTGAAATGACCTATAGAAAACCCCAGAAGTGATGCAATGTACTTGATTATTGCCAAATACAGGAGGAGTTTACGCTATAGGAAGCTAAGGGCCTAATTTTGCGGTATGATTTGATCTGGACGCTCCAAGGCTAAGGGATCAACATCACAGTGGAATCACGACATAAAAATCAGCTCTAGCTATTTGGAATATCAATCCAAGGGTATCTATTACCTTTGACAGCATCTACTGAGCCAGAAAGTCTTCAGAAAATAGAGATACTAAAAAGCAAGAACACACTAGTAACTGCCACTGATGACTTGAATCCAATAAAATGGAAACCTCTACAAACGGAAATGTAGGAGAGTCGTAGGTTCGTGAATACTTGTGCCTGGACCCTTTGCCACTTGGAAAAAGGTCAACCGATCAGATCGAGAAAGCAAAGTCGTCCAATCAAATACCGGACATCACAAATCATTATGCGGGATAGCTGAGGTGGTCGAGGAATCCAGGCACGGCCTGTCGATCGCATCACACCACCCACCCTAACATACTGTGATCACAAATATGCAGGTTTTCAACGAACACCTAACAGGGGTATCTGCCCTGAGAAGAATCAAAGTTTTCGGAAATGAGCGATCGAAGAAAGCAGTGAGCAGTGTGAAATAAAATCGAAAAATGAAAAAGTGTTGCTACGCCTTGGGGTTGAGATGGCAACATGAAGCCTTGGAATTGAGTTCGCAGAGATGACGAGATCATCGTTGGCAAAAGCTTGGAAGAATCAAGCTTTTGTATTACCTTGACTACCCAAAGCACCGCCAAGTCGAGAATCGACTATCTTTATCCACGAAAGCTAGGATCACAGCGACTCGAAAAAGAATCTTGAAATCTGCTGTCACTGTAGGCTGGTCAGCAAAATTTGGTGAACTTGAAGCTTTGGCAGAGGATCAAGGTGGGGGAGAATCTTCGGATCGCATAGTCTTCAGGATAGATCGTGAACTAAGAAATGTAAGTGGTGCGATTTTGAATGGTGATTTGACATTATACGGAGTGTAAGATGTGAAACAGTGAAATGTAGTAGTATTGTGCGTGAGGCGTAGGAGGCGAGAAAGAAGCTATGGAGCCAGGCTGACCTCGGGACTTTAACATACATTTTCTTTAAAACTCGCCCGGGCGTATATAAGGCTGAGATTAATCCGGAGTGAAGATTGTCATGTATATTATGCTTCTAAAATACTAGTATGAACCAGCATGTCTATCATTCAAAACTCTCTCATATGATCACTAGGTTTGAGAGCCGGATCTTGAGGCCGGCATCAGACTTTCTCACCAGATGCCTTCTTCTTCCGAATGTCCTTCCATCCCATTCCAAACGAAAAAGCCACGCAAACGACGCTGAGCGCAGCAGCCATATAGAAAACGCGATCGACACTCCCCGCGTAAGCCTTCAAAACGCCCGGAAGGTCATCAGCTGATACCACATCACGCATACCAGTGGCGCCTGCGGCAATAATAGCGGCCAAGTCGGCATTTGGTGCATCTCGGGGAATCAGTGTTTTGAGACCCGAGGAGAAAATGACATCCGCGAATGTGAGAAACACTGCACCGGAAAGTGTTTGCGTGAACATGAGAATCGCCATGCCAACAGATATTTGACTTGGCGAAAGGGTGTTTTGTATAGCGATGAGCGGCTGTATGGAATGGTTATTAGTATTGATCCACCACGTCGCATCGTACATTGACATAGAGATATTGGGAAAAAACTCTTACAATCTGAAATCCGGCTCCCCGACCTGCACCTATGAGAATCTGATAACCGACCCATTTTCCGGTGGAAGTGTTTGGGGAAAGTGTTGTTAGGAGTCCGTTGCCGATGGCAGTAGCCACCCCGCAAAATATGGCCCACGGAAGATAATATCCTAGCTTGCCGACTAGTAGAGACACTGTTAGCTTTGCAGATAGATGTATCGTTCAATTCACTGACTGAGAAGGCCTGACATCACAGCGAATGCTAGCTGCGATAAAACACTTGGAAGAATATATACTCCACTCATGGTTGGCGATTCATTCTTGATTGACTGGAAGTAGATCGGTAGATAGTATGAAGCAGTGAGGACCATCGCAAATATAGTTATCATGACCAAGCAACTCGACCACATTACCCTTTGTCTTAGCATGGTAAGGGGTATCATGGCTTTATCACCTTGATGGTGCTCCCAGGCCAGAAAGACGAGAAAAGTGCAACCCGAACCACAAAAGAGTCCTATGACGGTTGCGCTTTTCCACCCAAATTCATTCTGCCCATATTCAAGGGCAAGAAGGAGCTGTATGGCGGCTGGGGCGAAAAGCACAAAACCAATGAGGTCAAGTTTTCGCGTGATCGTGTCAAATGATGATTTGATTGATGGCTTGGCGATCTGATCAGGAATTTCGATAAAGAGGAGCATCAACGCAACCACGCCGCCAATAGGAAGATTGATATAGAAGCCTTTATGAGACCAGAAGTTAGATGACCAAGAACGCTCTCAAAGAAGCAGAGGAACCTACACCATCTCCAAGTAGTATATTCAGTAAAAGCACCTCCAATTAGTGGACCGAAGGCAACACCTAGTTGACAAACTAGAACATGATGTCAACAAAAGCTTACGACACTGGGCTGATTCATGATACTTACCACCCATCATCATGCCAAAAAGAGCTTTCGTAAATGTTAACAAGACCTCTAACCTTGCATGCGGGTACGCTTACCTGGAACCTTGTGCATAGGCGCAGATGCTGAGATGATGGTCAATGCTCCGTTCATCAGTCCAGAAGAGCCTATTCCAGCAACCGCTCGGGCGACGATCAACATCTTTGATGATGTAGCAACACCACACAGAAGAGAGCCAAGCTCAAAAATAAAAAAGAAGACCAAGAAAGTCCACTAGACCCGTGTCAACGCGGAGCGAAAGAAAAGAAAAATTGAGTACTTAAGTGCAGAAGTATACCTTGGAAGTGAAATTGGTGTAAATTCTACCCGTGAGAGGCTGTAGACAAGCACTGGCTTGCTGTTAATAATCTGGGAGTAGACGAGGAATTTTCTAATGAAACAGAAATAACATACCTCGCAATCTGATAAGAGCTACCATACCAACCTAAATCTTGAAGTGAATGAAACTTGGTCGTGATTACCGGAATAGCCTAGGCATGGGTCACGAATTAGTTTTTTTTGTTTTTGGTAGCAGGGGTGGAATAAAAACATGCAGTGACAATGATGGCAGTGTCTAGTAATACTAAGAAGCAAACCAAAGTGACTGCACCCGCGACCAAAAAAAGCTTCACGCCTGTCAAGTATTTTTGTTCTTCTTTGCCAGATGCATCCGCAATTCTTGGTGTCTTTTCTGTAGACGGACGAGAAGAAGAACCAGACTCAAATTCCTTAGAAACTTTTTGGGGGACGGATACTAAATCATGGTTGAAGGACTTGACAGGGGCCAAGTCGTTGGCTCCCATGTTGAAAAGCTTGGACCAAAGGTCAATGTGAAGGTTGTATAAAATCGAAGGATGTCAGAAATTTGCTTTGCGACCGGACCTTCTAACTTAATAGGTAAATGAGATTGTGATATAGTGAGATTTCTGGGAGTAACTTATAACAGTCCTCCCTTCAGAACAGCTCTAGAAAACAAAGCCCCTTAGGTATCAAAAATAGGCAAAGGATTCTAAACTGCAGGGGGAGATGATTGTTGATTGGAGCGCTGGCCATCATGGGACGGGGTTGAATGAATCCCAATCCCAAACTCCGTTTTACATAGGTGAGACGGAGGACCGGCCAATCGGTTTTTACGAGGGGATTATAAATCACCATGAATTCAGTATAATATGAGGTGGATTTTGGGACCTAGGTTTGCAGATAAAACTAATTAGAAAATTGCAAGCATGCATTCATATAGTCTTGCATTCTTGCATATTTGACTCGTAGGTCTCGCAGAGGGTTGAGAAGCGCTGGTACCACTTTAGTATGAGAGTAGAATGTAAAGGATTAGTCATAAACCTTCTGGCCCCAGACGCGGACGGATTTCGATTCGATTCTGTCCAATCCCGCCGTTCCTTCAGGATGACCCGTTGGGCGTTGGAGAATCTTTCCTTTATTCTTTTCGCTACGGCCTATATCCGTGACTGAATATCTAATGTTCTCTGGTGGCTCATAACCGCACAGATATTTCTTCTGCCCATTTATTGTGTTACCCTAAAACCCGAAATCCAACGGTCGGACTTCGGGATGGACGTCAACCACATCCCGAGTGGAACCCCGGCTCCGTATGGCCGGGCTTGTATCAACTGTTCTCGCGCTAAAAGTAAATGCATTCTTTTGGAAAGAGGACATGGCTGTGAAAGGTAAGTTGAGGGATCACATCACTTCCGTCAAATGGACTAATGCTCTCGTAGATGCCAGCGTTTGAAAAAAGGAATGCCGGCCATCGCCGACAGTGCGAAAGCGAAATGGCCGATCTTCGGCTTCTAGAACTGCACAGCTTGAAGCTAAGCTCGATAATATTGTATCATTACTCCAAACTACAGGCGGCACATCTAGTATGCCCGCGGATTGGGACAACGCCAATTCGATTGCCATGCCTGCTCAAAATGCTCCATCTTATCTGTCTAAGACGGACCACCCCATGGTCACCCCTCCTGGGATGCCATCGCCTGTGCCGTCATCATCAACTGATTGTTCAATGACCGATGTTTGCAACTCGCTTCAACTTACTCCAGAGGATGCCGAGAAAAGAATCGGGAGCTTCCGCACTCACAACATGAGATTCATTCCCTTTATTCACATACCCTCCCATATGACTTCCCAACAGCTCCGCGTGGAGAAGCCATTTGTCTGGCTGACTATAATGGCGGTATTGACCCCTGCGATTGATAGGAGGGAACTTGTCTTTGCCCAGATTACGAATATCATACACCAAAAGATTCTCGTCGAGGTGGCCCCAAACATGGATATGCTGCTCGGACTGATGGTATTCATTACTTGGTGAGTTAGATGTCAAGCAACGACGAAATGTGCAGAATATACTCATTATATTTCTAGGACCACGTATACAAAACGCCCTTTTCTTAATTTCTATTCACACGTGGTCATGGGACTTGTTTGTGATCTCGGAATCAATCAGGAAATTCCCAAGGAGCCGTCAACGATGCAGGCTTTTAAATGTGCCGTTGGTTGGAAACAGCCAATGACAACTACAAGGACCATTGAGGAACGAAGAGCCGCGCTTGGCTGCTTCTTATTGACATCTTGGTATGTCCGTGCTCCCAGGATGAATGCGAAGCTAGGTTAACATTAGAATGCAGTGTTGCTTTGACAATGTTTAGGATCGACGCACTAAGATGGACGCCTCACATGGAAGAAAGCCTGCAGGTTCTCTTGGATGCAAAGGAGTGCCCAGAAGACGAAATTCTGGTCACCCTTGTCAAGATCCAATTGGTGATGGATAAAGTGCATCATCATAGACGGGATGGAGACGGCCAGTTGCCCTCGTTGCTATATACCAAGTCCTTTCAAGCACAGTTGGACTCAGTGAGAGAGCAAATTCCGCAGCATCTCAAACAGCTAAGTATGTCTATTCAGCCACCCTGAGACACATATTCGAAGCTTACCATCCGATCCTAGATACTGTGTTACTATATATCAGTACGGCTGAGTTTATTATTCATGAATCTGCCCTCAAGGATGTATCTCCTTCAAGTTCCCCAGAGCTACATCGACTCGAAAGTCTCTGCACATGCCTTCACGCAGCCAAGTCTTGGTTTGATGTTTGGATCACCATTCCAGGCGAGGACTACCTGGGTATGCCGTTCACCATGTACTTCCAGTTCTCCAGAGCTCTGGTGACTCTTTACAAATTATCGACACTGGACGACCCGGCTTGGGATAAAACCATGGTCCGAAACACGGCTAACATACTTGAAATCCTCGATCGTCTCACTTATGGCATGAAGACATGCGCAGACTCTCTCAATGTGGAAAATGAAGAATGGAATATCTTCGAAAAAGGGATGAAAATGACTCAGTCAATAAAACAAGGCTGGGAGCCAAAACTTATGGAAATTTGGTACCCGAATGTGCCAGCAAATGATCTGGGAGGCAACTTTGTGGCGCCAAGCTCTGCTCTGGAGCCTTTACCAACGAATGGGTTCGATGATATGTGGATGATGGAAATTTTTGGGTCCATGGGGTAGGCTCATTTTCTTTTTTATTTGGATCTAGCGTGTCTTTCTCGAGCGAGACCAGTGCCCGGCCTAATTCTTACACAAGCTCACCTCAATGTATCTATATTACTCTCCAATACATTACATTTCCCACAAAAGCTCCGTGTGGCCTCTTTAAAAGGTGTAAGAATAACCAAAGCAGGGTCAAAAGAAACACCTGCATCCCAGAAACAAGGTTCGTAGCTCTCTAAACCCTCTGAAAGTTGGCATGTTCTTTCTTGTCCTGGAGAACAGAATCTACTAATAGTCCTCAGTTAATTGCGGTGACCAACTTGGATACGTCGGGGAATCGCCGGTAAAAGGGGGAATTACGTACCCCTCTTGTCGATCTTATGGTGGATCCCCGACCCCAAGGCATCAATAGACTGCGGATCGATGGACTCGTTATGGTGTGGGGTATAGCCCTGCTCGTGGGGGTGATCTGCATTCTAAAATAAGCTCCAGCGGCTGAGACTCCCAATCAACGGCACTCAGCCCAACTAAAGGTCAGCTTCCGCGGTGTGACACTTTCCTGTACTCCGTATGGAGTACATTGCTCGCTTGACGTTTTTTCGAGCCATATTTCAATCAAATGACATGAGGTTTGTCCATTTGCTTCTTTTTTGCCCGAGCATACGTCCTTAGAAGACTGGATATATTTGGTTCATAGAATGGCATGATTGAATCATACGGATCAGTCGGTATTGAAGTTTTGTAAAGCTAAAAGTGTACAAAATGTCCACGCTCATCTCACTAGTAAAGTTTCATTGAAAACCCACTGACCAGGTCGAGTCGTCACCAAAGGTCAAAAATCTCCAGATTTCGAAGATAAAGATTTTAGCTTAATTCTAGATTCTTCAAGGTATGATGATCATGTCCATTTCTGATGCTAAAGTATGCCTTGGGAGTGGACGGAGACGCGTCAATCTATCCTCACCCTTGGAAACGCTTGATACAACGCGTCATATGGAGAAGTGGTACGTGGTTGAGGAGTATGGACTGAATCCAGACTTTAGATGGTATATTGAGACAGAGCAAGTTGAGCGTATAAATTACTCTAAAGTTCCATCAAAATATGGCTATCATCAATCCTCAACCTCACTCTCATTACCATCAGAACTCCCGTTCTCTTTATACACTCATGCTCTGAAATCTTTACTATCAACAACCTTCAAGATGAAGTACTCGATTGTATTCTCCGCCATCTTCGCTGGTCTCTACTGTCGCCTCCCCGGCCCAATTGGCTCCCCAGTGCAAGACCGGTGCTGACTGCAAGCCTAACGAGCACTGTGACAACATTGGCAACTGTGTTGTCAACAAGGTCACCCGCGACACTCCTCTAGCTCAGCTTGGACAGGCTTGCCACATCGGCCGTGACTGTGCGGACAGCCTGGAGTGCATTAAGGATATCTGCGCTGCACCCAACAACAAGCGCGATGCCCCTCTGGCCCATTTGAGCGAGAATTGCAAGGAGACTTCTCAGTGTGTGAAGGGACTCGTCTGCGACAAGGACCTCTGTGTTGCTCCCAAGGACAAGCGCGATGTGAGTCTCCATCATCTGAAAATAATATCAAAAAGAATATCATACTAATTTGTATAAGACTTTGTCCGAGTTTGGCCAACCTTGCAAAATCAATGGTGACTGCGTGAAGGGTCTTGTTTGCGGACAGGACGATACCTGTGTTGCCCCGAAGAACAAGCGGGATGTAAGTGATGATATATTTTCTAGTTCAACCTATGATTACAAGGATGATCTGACATTCAATACAGTCGCCGTTGTCCCAGCTGGGTCAAGAATGCCACAAGGACTCCCAGTGTGTGAAGGGTCTGGTCTGCGAGAAGGACACTTGCCTTTCCCCCAAGAACAAGCGAGAGGTAAGAATCTCTTGAGAAGGGAATCTTGAAACATTGACATGGAGCGAGCTAACAATCGCTTTTATCTCAGGATGCCGTTCCCCTAGGCCAGAAATGCCACGCTTCTTCCGACTGCCGCGATGGCCTCGTCTGTGAGAAGGACACTTGCATCGCTCCCAAAGACAAGCGTGACGTGAGTAATATAAAATAAGCGGAAAATACCCTCAAGCTAATTCTATGCTTAATAGAACTCAAAGGCTCTACTTGACCATGCCTGCAAGCTGAACGGAGACTGCATCAAGGGCCTTGTCTGCGGTCACGACAACACCTGTGTTGCGCCCAAGGAGAAGCGCGGTGTCACTGGTGATGAGTGCCAGACTGATGCGGACTGCCAGGGCCCCAACAAGCTGACCTGCCAGGTCATTGTGAGTTACACCGTAAATATTGAGAGTCGTGATTCGGGACTAACAAATCGCCAATACAGAAGGGCAACAAGATCTGCGCTGCCCCCCCAGGAGTCCAACTAAATCTCAGAACTGGATTGCGAACAAAGTCCAAGTGGGTTTCAGTGCACAATTGAAATTGTGGGTTGGTGCCCCTTGGTTTGGGAGAGCGCTCTTTAATTGGGCGCGAGATCCGTGTCTATCTATTGCTCTCCGGGCTAGCTCTGCTCTGTACGAGCATTCATTCGCTTTCTATATACTAGTATACTATTTTTTCCCTTTAACTTCGACCGAATGAAACATGGAACATTTTTTTACTCGAAACCACTGGGACTATGACCGTAAATATGTGAAATAGAAAGAAATAAATGACTAACCCTCAAAATGTATTCCATGGGGTTGGTCCACCACTTTCCCACCAGTATCTGATGTATCTCTAACTTCTGAAATGGCGGGTGAGACGGAAGAGACATATACAGTGACTTGGGGCCTGAAACATCATAAATCTTGGAATCGACCGTCACCGGGAGATTTCAACGACACCCAGGCAGTGGTACATACTCTATGCCTGTGTGGAGAAGCACCCGGGGCTGAAGGATTAGGTACTCAAATTCGTAATTCGCACCGTCACTTGTTTGGGCTCCACTCGAGATCTACATTGATCGATCGTTTCTGTACGCGCATATTTCTTGGCACTGTACTTATTCTAGAATGTCTCTCATACAGTGGCATCGCAAAAGTTTGTTGACAGTTCTCGTCTCCGCCTTCTAACTAATCGCGGACTAGTAGCTGCCGATGGAATAGATTGGCTGATCTATTCCATCTCAAGTAGCTACTGCTTGGCATGTGGTTATTGGAGGTTTCGAAAAGTATTAATTTCGCGACCATGCTATGAGCACCGTGAAGCTGGGGGTCAATTTACAAGAATGGTAGGTAAGATTTATAGTCCGACAGAGCCAAGGGACTTGATCCTCTGTAGCGCATCCTTTCGGACGCCTTGCACAATGGCCTCGGCAGATAGAACACCGTGAATCAATCCGACCGAGGCACCGGCATAGGTTGCAAGTCTTCCCTCAGGCCCCCAGCCCGCATCACCCAGCTTCGAAGCTTCATCGTGGCGCTTCTTCAACTCTTCAAATGGGGTGCCTGCTTGATGTTCAACGAAAGATTGGTTAATGATGGTTCTGGGGCTGTATCCAGCTGGCCATCCAAAAGTGCCCCTGAGATGATTGTAGAGCAAAGTTCGTTTCGTTGCTGTCGCGCCGTCTGTCGCACGCACAACCTCATCCTGATATCCTTTGCTAATCCGGGCCTCTTTAGAAGCCAGGAACCGAGAACCCATCGCAACCCCCGACGCACCTAAGCAAAGCGCCGCAGCAACCCCACGCCCATCAGCAATACCGCCAGCTGCTAGAAGCGGAATCTGGCTACTTTCCATAGCGTCCGCAATTTCGGGAAACAAGGTCATGATGCCCATACCATCTTCTGAGCGACCGTGACCGCCTGACTCCGCCCCCTGGACAACAACGATATCCGGTTTCTCGGAAATCTGGAGTAATTGTTTCGCCTCTTTCAATGTGCCAATCTGAATCCATATTTGCGTCTGCGGAGAGGCCTCGCGGATCCGGCGCGACCAAGTATCATATTCCTCCGGACCGTCGCGGGGTGCGAATAACCAGGCAGCGCAGGGCTTAAATTTCTGGATAGCTGCGGTCGCAATTTCAATATCGTCCCCCCCAGAGCTGAAAACCGACACCCACTGGGAGAAGAGATGATGATGAGGTGTGTGAGGAGAAGCTGGATGGCTGCGTTTGTTGTTTGCGGATCAGGGTCAGTGCTTCTTCAAGGTCCACGTGCGTGTTTTGAGTCTTGATTCCGGGTCCGATAAATCCCAGGCCACCTGCACCCGAGACAGCCAGGGCAAGTGCTGGTCCGGACATGACACGCATTGGCGCGGCCACGATGAATGGGCTGGTGGCCCATGGGTAGCGGGAGAGGAGTTTAGTCGCCATACGGGCTGGGGGAGAATTGGAAAATTGGTGTTTGGTGAAGGTTTGAACAGAATGGACGGAGTGTATTAAGAAGTATGCCAGGCATGCATTTATAAACATGTGAAAGAGAGAATCAAGGGAGAATATGGTATTGAGGAAGTGAAGACTGGGGAAGCCGAGGGATGAAGTCATTGCCTGTCTTCGTCTCCGCCAGAGCCGCCTTTACCGCCCGACTTCCGCACGATCCGATGCTTCCCTTTCATTTCCACTTCATCCTCTCTCCACGCAAATATGGAAGCCCACACACAAGCCCCAAAACGAAAACGAGCACGCCTGGCTTGCAAGCCCTGCCGGGAACGCAAGAGGAAGTGCGATGGTGGTGACCCATGTACGACGTGCACCGAATGGGGTTACCAGTGCTACTATGAGGCTCGGCGGAGGAAGTCTCACAATGTCCACCATCTATCACCCGATGCTTCTGCATCTCCACCAATGCACAATGACCCGGGAACTATTACCGCTGAACCGGATCCCAGTGGAATGGTCCGCCGCTTGGAGGCTAACTCTGGCGCCGCCTTTGTCCGAAAACTGGGGCTGAAGATCGACTCGGCCAAAGCCCCGAAGCTCAACCTATTCGGGTGGAATATTGGAGCAAGGCAGCTGTCAGCTCAGCCCCTTGCATCTTCGGTATTTCCGGTCGTGGAGATTACATCGCTGGACCACATACAAGCGCTAGCCCAAAGATATTTCCAGAAGATTGATCCGTGCTATGGGTTTCTTGACCAGCAACTCTTCTTCGAGCGACTGAACCAAAGATGGCAATCGCCCCTTCTACCAGATATATTCGACAGCGTCATAGCTGGTGTGGGTGCGCTTGGCTGTCTGTTCTCGCAGCGCAATGCCACCATCACTGAAATTCACCTAGTTCGCACAGCACGATCCACATTAGACATGCACCACCTATCGGGGCCTCCCTCAATCGATCTTTTGAATGGATGGGCACTCCGATCTATTTATCTTCGGATGACAGACTCGCCACACTCTACTTGGATGGCGAGCTCGACACTAATGCACCTCTTGGAAGCTTCAGGTCTCCACCCTGAGTCACATTCAGTTCTTCCACCCAGCATTAATATTGATCCAGATCTTCAAAGACGCCTCGTTGGCGTTGCACACCATTTGAATGTTTGGACGTCCTTCGACCTCGGCCTTTCACGGGTTTCATTCCAGAAAGATGATCTTCCTCTGCCACCTTCGCCTAAAGCTGGTGATTATACTGCAGAGGTTTTGGGTCTGCTCCCCGTATCTCTCAGCCTCGACCCGGGAAGAGCCAAGGATGAGGCAGATCTTGCGACAACGCTGGGCAAACTACTAGGACGGAACTCACACCCAGCCCCCGTCTGTCATGGCGCAATGTAATCTTGTTCTTTGCATTCTTCGTCGGATTCATACCCAGAATCTAGATATATCGCCTGGTCTTGCAGACCGAGTGCTCAAACTACTTGAGAAAGGTCTCAGTTGTGCACGCAGCATGGTCATGGACTGCACGCCATGGCATCAAGTCGCCAATGTTCCATTCCATATAATCTGCGTCCTCCTGGTAATAGACACGCGTCCATCACTCTCGATGCTCCCAGAAGCAATGACGACTCTCGGGCTGGTTGCATCCACCTATGATACCGAAACCATGAGAGAGGCGTATAGCGCGGCTTGCTTGTTGGTCTTGTTACACCAACAGCGTAGAAAGGATGATATAGCGATTCTGGGAGAGGCACTCAGTACCCAGAAAACCGCTCAATTAGAGATATTATCTCAGCCAACCCCTAGTGCCGAGGAGTTCAATTGGCTGGGCGCTCTAGTTGCAGACTTGCCTGGGCTACAAAGGGTCGATTTGGACCAGTTTTTGAACGCAGATATGATTGATGTTCCACCTTTCATGGGTGAATCTACCTAAGCTTATGATTCAATTCATGGGATTGGGACTCTCTCCATTCTTATTTGAATTTGGAAAAAATCGGGCGAACATAATGATAAAATAGCTGTAACTAATTTGAAAAAAGAACCGCAGGCATTGTAGTCGACTCGCGGCAAAACCATAGCCATTACCCTGCTATCACCAAAATTGCATAATTCACTTTGTAGATTATGAATCAAAACAATACAAGAAGACTATTGGTTAATAATTATAACCGCAATAAAACACATGCGGGCAAAGCAGCAGCGCAGGCTTCGGCTCGTGGTCCTTTGGTGGGGCTCGAAGGCGAAGCCGTAGTCCCGCCAGTCCCGCAATCCCGCAATATCCGCAGACTGCTCCCTGGCATCTTTCGACAAGGGCATAATAGCATTATTAAGCTCGCCATGAAAGTTACAAATGATCCTTTAGCACAAGATTCGCCAAAACCCTTCTCACTTGCCAACAAGATTGAATCCGTGTGTGACGTGCATGGCTATCAACTTAAGGCAAATACAACCCGACTGGTTCACGGCTTAAGCTCACAGCTAATACGACAGGACCCCAATTCAGTTGCGAGGAATCTGGCGCGAAACAATCCATGGATGAAAAGGGCACCATGGGACAGGGCAGACCGTTGCCAGCTCCCCTTCCTGACCTGGAAAATTATGTTGTTGATTTTGACGGAGATGACGATCCATCGCATCCCTACAACTGGCCGTTTACTGTCAAGTACGCACACATAATAGATCAAACAATAGGATGATTACTGATGAGATTAATTTGATTAGGATTTATACTGGTGTGTTGGTCTGCTCAGGGACGTTCATAACCTCGTTAGCTAGCGCCATCTTCGCCCCAGGGTCCGATAGCGCGAGCAAGGAATTCGGCGTTGGAGCCGAAGTCGGAAAGTTGGGTACAACACTCTATGTTCTGGGGTTTGCTTCGGGACCAGTGATATGGGCTCCAGCTTCTGAACTTTACGGAAGGAAGTTGCCCTTGGCTATCGCACTGCTCGCCGGTGGAATATTCACCATCGGATCAGCCGTCGCTAAGGATATCCAAACACTTCTCATCTGCCGTTTCTTTGCCGGTATGTGTGGTGCGAGTCAACTTACCGTTGTTCCGGGAGTATTGGCAGACATATACGACAATACTCGACGAGGTATTGCTATCTCACTTTATGCTTTGACTGTATTTGTCGGCCCGTTTAGTGCGCCTTTCATCGGTGGATTTCTTGCGACAAGTTACCTGGGATGGCGCTGGACTCTTTACATTCCAGCCATCGTCAGTCTTTTTGCAGGTGCACTGTCGGTTGTGTTTCTGCGTGAAACATATGCACCGGTACTTCTTATGACGAAGGCTGCAGAAATGCGGCGTCAAACGAATATCTGGGGGATCCATGCGAAACAGGAAAGGATGGAAGTGAATTTGGGAGAAATGGCGAAGAAATATTTCACTCGCCCGCTGACAATGCTTTTGACCGAACCAATCATTTTACTCGTTTCGCTTTACATGTCCTTTATCTACGGACTTGTTTACGCGTTGCTGGAGGCATATCCGTATGTATTTGAAAATGTGTATGGGATGAAGCCCGGAATTAGTGGGTTGCCTTTCATCGGCCTGATTGTCGGAATACTTCTGGCACTGGCATTTATATTGCTGGAACATGGCAGCTATGCAAAGAAGTTGATAGCAAACAAAGGTGTACCTGTGCCTGAATGGCGTCTCGTCCCTCCGCTTATTGGGGCACCCGTGTTTACAATCGGAATATTCTGGTAAGCTTGTATCAAATCCATATAATACATTAGGAATGCTAATTTCATCACAGGTTCGGTTGGACCGGCTATGATCCACAAATACACTGGGCGGTACCTACAGTCGCTGGTATATTTGTTGGGTTCGGCGTTCTTTGCGTATTTCTTCCCTGTTTCAACTACTTGGTTGATGCATATCTACCCCTGTTGGTTTTTTCGATCGTGAAAATCTTCAAGTGTGAATTTGCTGACTCTGGAATAGCGCCGCCTCCACAGTCGCTGCCAATATTATTCTCCGCTCTACTGTGGCGGCAGGTTTTCCACTTTTTACAACTCAGATGTTTGAAAACATGGGTGTACAATGGGCTTGTACATTACTTGGATGTCTGGCTGCCGCTATGATACCGATACCGCTGGTCTTCAGAGCCTATGGCCCTTTACTGCGAAGCAAAAGTAGGCTTTTCAAATGAAGGGAGAAGGAAATGCTAGAGTTTTATGAGCTTCGAACATGTTCAGGGTAATTTGAAAAGTTGATATATTTTTATAAAATCCATTTGGTCCAGGGATATTGTTACATTGTGGTATACCATAAGTTAATAGCTTGCTTGTGCCCTGGTCCTCAACCTCGCACCGTAATACCAGAGAATCAAAGGAGCTGGCAGTCCGACGACCAGTCCTATGAATGCAATTGTACTGTTTCCCCACCCATATCCGAGTACCTTGTACATAGTTGGCGCAAACAAAGGGAACAAGAATGCTGTCAGACTGCGTGGAAACTGAGAGGCGGCCCCGGCACTACTTGTATGTTCCGGATAGGCCTCCATGATATATGCCTGCAATGGCATGCCTGTAATCTGCATGCCAAGCATTGTAATGAAAGCACCAAGGTCGACAATAGCCCAATGAAGGCGATACTGAGCTGCCCACCCATAAAGAAACAAACCAAGCGGCCCGATAAAAGCGCCTGGAAAAACAGAAGGAGTGCGAAGCTCAGGAGTATGCTCGCCGTTAGCACGGGCCTTGAGACGATGGTAGAGCGAGTCCATAAGCATTCCACAAAGCTGAGCTCCCACAATCTCGCCTAATGCAACTGCGATGTAGTGTAAACCACTGATTTCCACCGATTGATGATACTGATAAATCCATAGATCTGAAAAGGTAGATAGAACAATGTACAGAATTCCATAGTAGAATGCCGACACGAGTGAAGAGATTTGGATGATAGGATGGGAAACCAGAAGCCGGACAGGTCTGACCAGTGCGCGCCCCAGGATCCTCAGCGCGGACTTATTTGCGTGGAGTCGTTCATGAATAGTGTAATACCGCGTGTCGCCAGTTTCCCCGCGAAGTCGCTCTGCTCGACGGCGCAGGATTAAAGGCTCATAGGTCTCTTGGAAGGCCGTGAAAGAGACAAGAATCATAACTGCCTGGAAGATAGATGTTGCCCAAAACATCCAACGCCAGGTAGTACGATTCGCCATAAAGCCACCGATGATCGGGCCAACAGCAGCTCCTAGCAAGGGGATCAGCATGTACACTCCAAGCGAGCGCCCGCGCTGTTCAGGTCGCCACACATCGCCCAAAACACCATTCGCCAAAGCATATATAGCACTAGCGCCAAAGCCGGCGAGAAAGCGACAGGCGATCAATGTTTCTTTATTTCTAGCGAAGCCACAGGCAATATTCCAGATAAGGAACCAGACATTTGAAGCGTGGAGGATTGGCTTGCGACCGTAGACCTCAGACAAAGGGCCAATGAAGAGAGGACCGAACGCTGTTGCAAGAAGATAGATTGAGAGAGCCATCGCTGACTCTGCGGAGTTCATGTCGAATTCTGCAGAGATTGTGGATAAGGCTGGGGCGATGATCGTTGATACCATGATTCGATTGAAGCCGGTCGCAGAGAGCACATCGGTAACAGCCCATTTACGACCGGTCCGCCAGTCCTTTGGGTTCTCTGCATCGAAAGGCTCGGCAAATGCGACCAGGAATGGATCATCTTGTTTGCTGTGACTGGTGATGGGGGCTAATTCGACATCGGTTGGCGAGATTGCCGTGACAGCATCGGGGCTCTCGCTATGAGTAGTATTGGAGATCATAGTAGCGCAGAGACTCAGTGAAGCGCTGCCTACTATCAGAAGAAGCAGAGAGAGCCTGGGGAGAGGATGGCAATGGGACCTAAATACTCGACCTTCCCCAGACGAGGAGGTGCGGGGGATCAGATAAGCGGGTCGGATCCGGCCGACGGAATGCTCCGCCACCAGAAAATGAGAGATTGTGGTGATAGTAGCAGAACAAGCAATTGATAATACGAGATATTCTCGTACTTTTAAAATGGAGCACTCAGAGTCAGCATGGGCTTGCTGTCTAACGGATAAGTCTTCGTTCGAAGTCCACCGGAAGAGATGCAAGTAATGAAATTAAGTCGAAACTTCACGATAATTCTTGGAAAAGAACAGTATGGAGCGTGGGCCGCACATCTCAAATTAAAATAGTTCATGAATCAAATCAAGGTGACATTATTATTGTTTTCTAATCTTCCGGGAAAGAAATTTTTTAAGCAAAGGTAGCCTTGCCAAACACTGTCCGAATTTCGTCGAACTTTTTGCCTTCTGCTAGCAATAACCCAAGCAAAATACGCGCCTGCTGGGGGTTATATAGACCGCTAGCAATGCGAGTCTTCGCAGTATCACCCGTGATATCAGCGGTGGGAACCTCGCCGTTCACAGTGCGATGACTCAAGATGACGGGCACATTAGTCCGCGACACGATATCGTCGATGGCATCACCAAACTCGGTCGAGATGCCTCCTGCGCCCTCACCGGCAATCTGAGTTTATTAGCACTAAATCTCAATTATACGGGATCGTTCAGAGAACATACCACAACACCCTTAGCACCATTCTTGATAGCACTCCGAAGCGAGTCGCTGTGCATATCCTCGTACGCGTACAGGATATCCACTCGGGGGATGGAATCCACGTCCTGCACATCTGCGACGTGCTTTGCGTTCGGCTGTACGGCCGGGTAGAAGAAATACGGCGTATTTGAAACAATCATGCCGAGACTACCCTGTTCGTAAGCCTTGAAGGTATCCATGGTATTGGCATTTGTTTTGGTAGCAAAGAAGGCCGAAACGATGCGGTCGTTCAGAACAACAAGTGCACCACGATCCTTGGCCTGCTTGTCTGCGGCCACAGTAACACCTTGGAGGAGGTTCATGGGACCATCGGCGGAAATAGCAGTGGATGGGCGCATCGAGCCGACGAAAACGATCGGCTTGCCGCAATTGACAGTCGCATCGATGAAGAAGGCCGATTCCTCCAGAGTGTCAGTACCGTGGGTGATGACGGCACCGGACATTGTGGGGTCATCGCAAACGGTCTTCTGTAACGTCTGTGTCAGGTTCAGGAGAAGGGATGAGGATACATCGCCGCTGTTGACATTGTCGAATTGAACGGCGTTAACGTTGGCAATGTCGTAGACCTCGGGAATTTTGGAAAGAATCTGGTTGATTCCTAAAGCTCCAGACTTGTAGCCTGCGGTGGCTGTTTTATCGTCGCTTGTCCCGGCAATGGTGCCGCCTAGTATGCTTATGTTAGGAGAATATTCAACGTTGTGGAAGTAGTGCTCGCGTACCCGTTGCTAGTAAAGTAACATTAGGCAAAGATGCATCGAAGTGGTTGAACTTCAAGCCGTTGGAGTTGGTATATGATGTGTTGGAGGCTCGGGCATGAATGAGCGGAGAGGCATAGCTCGTCACAGCCAATGCCGAGATCGCGAGGGTCTTAAGGAGTAGACCCATTTTCGGAATCTTCATGTGATTCTTTTCTTGGTATTTTCAGCAGAGAGCCTGGCTGTTTGAGGACTATATAACATATCACTGTCGGTAGTTGCGTCATCCGGTTTTTGTCTTTCCGAGACTTTAGGCATCTATAAACCCTGAATTGTTTTCCTTGGCAGTTCTTGTCGCATCAAGATTCCGGCCAGAAATATGAGAATGTAGTTTGCTGCGGGGCGGGTATAAGAAGTGGATTGAGGTGGATCGGGGTGGAGACGCATAATTGGAGTATGCAGAATGTCGTTATGTACAAGATTCCCAACCGTTTCGGTTCTCCGATTGGTATCACCGTCCGAAGATGCTAGATGAGAGAGGCAAATTAGTGGAATCGGGTCTTGGTATCGGATCGCAGTTGGTAGTACATTTGGCTGGGAATTGAAGATTAAACTTTTTCGATGGGTACTCCGAGTTGCTGGTATTGTGCCAAGTCGAAAAAGCATTTGTTTCTATTATTGCATTGTGAGTCGCACATCTGCAGTGTAGATAATGGGCCTTCTCAACGGGCCGATCCCGGAGGCAGGTTTATTGTTATGAGATAATTTATCCATATCCGATGATGCATGTAGCTCGTAAACTCGATTGAAAAGACGAAGGGGAGTCTCGGCTCACGACCCGTACCGATTCTTCCGAGCATACCCTAAGCCGATCATCTCCAACCGTACTTGGCTCCGCTTGGCACGGAGAGGCTGTGTGAGATTTAGGTTCTCGCCAAGCATAGCACGGTTGACGTTAGTCACTGAATGAGGCTTTTTTGCTCCGCCTCCTCAAACCGAGACCTTCAAGTCGATGGTGATCTGCAATGTGTCGGTAGAATATCGGACTAACTCGATCACAGCCCAAACCGTGGTGAAGTAAAACATCATCGCATCCTGTCCCTGACGATTAGCGGGGGGCTCGTTAATTCCTGAAAGTCGAATTTGATACGATATTCCATATGTACTAGTATCTTTTTGGCAGTAACTATTGCGCTCCCCAGGAGCCGGGTAGCTGGTTTTCCTTGTATATGTCTCCCCACGACATGTTGCCGCGTTTCGGTATTCGCCAATGCTCTCTCTTCTTGGCAGATTAAGGGTCGCATCGGCACTTGTTCTGCGTGGTTCCGGGTTTTTCTCGTCGTTCGTATGTGTTTAAGTTTCTGTTCTCAAACTGGGCACCAAGATCATGGGTTTACTCGGCGGTAATTTGGATTATGATCATGAGGAGTTTCATAATGGGCACTCGTTGTCGAGGCGTAGCGGGATCTCTGGAGTTATGACATTATTCGTGTCATGGTGGCGACTGGAACAGTTCGAGGTCGTGGAAATGGAGTACTCGATCGCATTCAGCAAGAGAGCGAAGAGTGAGTGGTATGTTCGATTTTTGATTGTGTTATGTTTGTTTGCTCAACAGGAGAAGTTTGGAGTTCCTGGCAGCCAGGGAAAATTGATGAGTCAGCATTTCTTTTCGCGACCCAACCACCATCGGGTTTCTAGCTTTGCAGGTTGCCAACACTCACGGAATCATCAGTGTATAACTTGGTATACTGCAAGCTCTATCCTATGCCCTATCAGCATATCGGGCAGCTTCGAAGCACTCGGATGAAGTGTGTTCCTCGGCCGAGTCTAGCAACGGGCGGCAAGAGGATAACTACTTGATGCAGGAATCATATCCGAATACCCTGTATACCTGTCTAGAGCAGACTCTACCGTCTTTTTATCTCTTCTCGCGAGATATGAACCTGCGAAATCTCATATTTGAAACCGCAAATGAGCTAATGAAACGACGAAACGGAGAATCTGGCAGAATTGGCAGAAGACGCGATTCGGCTAAAAGGCGCGCACGCGCAGTTTAGCCCCGGTACTCCGTACACTGGATTTGATGCTGCAAAATGAGCATGCTTCTGAGCTATCTGATCCTGCTTGCTAACCAAATCGAGGAATTGAGATGTTCGTCGAATAGGGAGTGATTTTATGGGAATATTATCTCACGTTTCGTCGAATAAGCACTGCTCAGGTGGAGACAAAATTGATGGCCATGACAACAACCTGCATGGCCCCCACGACACGGGATGAAGCTTTTTTCTCCCCCCCCCCTTTCTTTTCGTTCCTTTCTGATTCGAGTTTGACCTTTCTACACATCAGCAATCAGCTATAAACTCCTACCAGCTGCTTCAAAGTATCTTGGCAGACGGAGTGCGGAGGACATAGTGGTCAACCATGTCTTCCAGCATTGACAATGGCTTTGGCCCAGGCAGGTGGGGCGATGATGACTGGAATACTGTTGTGGATCTGGGCATTGCAACTGGTCAAGATAGGAGCCTTATCGCTGTTAAGGCAGCCTTTGCATTTCTTCTGCTTGTGGGAATGCTTGTTCTCTCAAGCTTTATTTTTGTCTTGAAAAGGTCAAGAAGCGATGCCCTCAAGCCTATGCCGCTGATCGCTACTTTGGCAGCCATGTTTTCAATGGTGGTGTAAGTCCCGACTCTGGTCCTAATCAAAGTGTTGAATCAATCACTTACCATCCTAATAGCTCTATGGCCAATATGTTTGCTTATTGCAATTTCGGGCTCACAGTGTCCAGGACCAAGAAGTGGTATATGATCACTTCACTACTTTCCGCGCTTTTCGAGCCAACTTCATACTGTGTAATGTTTTATGTCTTCTATACGATTATCCACGTATTTCAAGAGCGTATCATGAATATGAGCACCAGGAGCTCTTCAACCATCAAATATGTGCACTGGACGATTGTGGGTCTCTTCGCAGCACTCGTCATTATTGGCTGGAGCTGGATGGTACTCTATATCAACTCCACCGTTCATGATGAGTTAATCCTCATCGAACAGTCCAATGTTTGGTGGAAGATTGACAGCGCCCGATGCATTCTCTTTTGGTTGAGCGCCTTGGAGATTGTCGCCTGGGCTTTCTACCTGGGCCTCATGACATCGCGGGGTTCATCTAAGGTCAATATAAAGGTACGTTCTCTATGAGGCTTGGAAAAGTAGGACCACTTGAATATTGTGCAGCATCTGACACCATTTGAACAGATGTCAGTATATTTCTTCATCGCAGCTTGCGGCTTTTTCCTTGGCGTGAACTTTTTGTTTTTCGTATGGGATGTGATATATTATATCAGGGCTGGCGGTCAGACCGCCCAGTCCGAGACTGAACAAAAGGTGAGCATAGCCACAGCTGCTATCCAGGAGATCCTCGAATTTGTCTTTGTCCAAGGGTCATTTTTCGGGCTTATTTTATGTTATTGGCGATTTCCGGAACGGGAGGCTCGCTTTGAAGAGGTTTCCGGTGGAGAGACTGAAGAGGCCAAATATGGCTCTGATGTCCTTGACCGTACTGGCCTGGCCCCACGGGAGGTCGAAGGAAGCACCCCTCTGAATGGAATCACTGAAAACAAAGCGGGTACTTTTGAGGCGGATACCTCACGCGCTATTTTGGAGGCGGATAATTACGATTTCCTTCCAGATAAGAAAGCTGGAATTTCTGAGGTAGATGGCTCAAACGGAATTCTGGAGGCCGATTCGAAACTTTTTCATGAAGTAGCCACCTAGGCTCCTGCGTTGCTATTCACCAAGCTTGAAGCCTTGTCTATCTTGTGACTGCCTATCAATAGAATGGGTCAATAACCTTGGGGACCTTATAACATGACGCTAGAGCCTTGACATTCGTCCCGCTCTTGATGTCACGGTAATTAGCATAGAATTTAGCCGATTGATGTTACTCAAAGATCAGAAATTATTCAAATACTTTTGGGCATAATCAAGTGGAACGAACCAAAACAGAAAATAAATCTCAATTTCAAGCAAAGAAGAAAAAAAGGCCAAAAGGAATGCCACACCCGGCAATATACCAGACCTCGGAAAATATTATCTAAACACAATAATGCGGCATATGCCTTATTGATACACAGTACAGCGTACTAGGTAATCAATTCCCCTCTGGGGTCCTGCTATTGCTTTCAACATTAGGCAGTCGACTGGCGGGACTTAGCCAGGGAGTGTCATTCTGACGATCGGAAGCAGCTTAATCCACTAACTATGACCTCGCCTGACTAAATCGTACCATAAGCTCAGGCTTCGACCACATAACATGCAAAGAGCTCTCTGCTTCCCAGTCCATTGACTTGTTGATCAATGTCATATCATACGTCCATATTATTCGAGCAAGAATGAGATTGACCTCCATATAAGCGACGCTGCAAAAAGATTGGTTAATAAGCTAGGTTATCAGGGGAATGGAATTTTCATGCTGCTTTGCAAGGGGATGACGATGACTTACTTTCGTCCAAGACAGGCTCGAGTGCCCAGAGAAAATGGCTGGCTGGCCTCCTTAATATCAGTACATTCTGGGTCAATCCACCGCTCTGGTTTAAAAGTGTGGGGGTCATGGAAGTTAGCCTCATCGTGTGTCACTGTCCATGCACTTGTATAAACTTCCGTCTGCCGTCCCAATCAGCTTTGCGTGGGGCATATTTGGCATTGGGTTACATACGCCCGCAGGAACCCACACCCCATCGATAGAAACCCCGGGAGAAACTCGAGGAAATCCTTGGGAGCCGGGCGGATAGATACGTAGTCCCTCGCTGATGACGGCTTGCAAGTAGGGTAGAGCTTGCGCAGAAACATGATCAATCTCCTTGTAGGTCTTGAACTTTCTCCGGATTTCATCTTTCAATTTTTCGTAAGAGACGGGGTCTCTCAGGAGATAAAAGGTTGCTGCGGCAAGAAAGGTCGCTACTGTTTCACCGCCAGCGATTCTATATCTTAGAGTCAGAAGGCGAAGCCACATGGAAATGACATGAAATACTAACACAAAGGTAGAAGCGTGGGCAGTGAGCTCTTCCCGATCCATCTCATTTGACTCGACCTTACCAATAAGATTAGTCATGAAATCCTTGCGGTTAGAGGACGAATCAATGCGTCTATGTATTCAGTTCAATATTTGATATTTCTCGTTTCCGACTTGAATGAATGCTCACCGGGCCACTTTATCTCTTGTGTATCCGGTATGCTTTTTTCTGATGCCGTCCAGAATAGGGGAAAGAAGCTTGGCCACTAAAGCAACCACAGGAAAATGGCGGAAGTTGTCTGCGACAGTGATAAAGTATAAATGGTTCTCAACCAGTGATGACCAAAAGTGTGGCTTTCCTAAATATTCCAAGTCAATATAGGAGAGTAGCAAAGGCGCAGGGTAGGAAACGAATTGGGATCTCATACCGTCTTCAATGGAATGGAATGATTCACCAAAAGCTATTGTTTCCGGAAAGAAGAAAAAATCATCAATTAGTTAACGGTACAAAAAGAGTGGTGAAAAGTCCGAGTCAGTGTGCCTCACCAAGCTCTCCAAGAATATCGAATGCCACCATCTCGTACCATTTAGTCATATTTAAGCCCATAATATTCAGACCAGGCTCTCCGATTCGGGCTATAAAACGATCAACGCATTGACTAACAATAATCGTTTGTTCCTCTAAAGAGCGCAAAGAGAAAGCAGGTGATAGAGACTTTTTCATGCGCGTGTGCTTATCCGGGTTTCGCTCGCTTCCGATGCATAGAGAGTCAAATCCGGCACCATAAATCTCATAGAATTTGCTCTTGATCAGAGGGGGTTGTCCACTATGACGGTGACCATAAATTCCTTTCCATGATCCGACACTAGCAAATGACAACTCATTTGGCGAGACCCGAAAAACAGGACCTATCCAACCAGGTCAGAACTCAGAAAAAGAAGGAATTATGAGCGAAGATATGGCCGAGGCATACCATATCGGCGATGCTGATCGTCGATTGCTCGATGGAAACGACCACCCATTGAATGGTAGATCCTCCATGTCTATTGGTGCCTGAGCGTAAGATCCGAAGGACGGGAAATAAATCAAACATACCAGCGACGTGCGAGCTAGGAAGGGGCCCGGAAACGCTGCCAAAGGGTGAAAGAAAAGATTGTATACACTCCGTGTGACGATGTAGCACGCTGTCTAAAATTTCCTGTGATAAGTTGGGTTGATTCTAGGCTAATAGTAGAAGGTGAGGAATACCAGAACAAGCACTGCTTTAACAGTGCCTAACAAACTGCTCGGCTGATAGCTCCACCTCGTCAACATGTTGTTTAGGATAAATTGATGTGAAGAAAGCATGGAAATCCCTTTGAGAATCACTGTCAGATAGCTTTATCGCTAGATACTAGTATGACTACTCGTACTGATTCCAGGTTGAGCCGATGTATTGTGGCGGGAAAATATACAGTCCACGTTGAGCCTTTACCCAAATAGGCAATTCCCGAGTATCGCTCCTTTGCCTCCTCCATGGTTTTATCTAAAGTTGGCTATAGGGTTCGACTTACTAGTTGGTTTTTTACGAGCAGGTATTCCTACCGGGCCAACAGTTATCAAAAATCATCATGTGTGCCTCCGATTCAATTTGGACAGTAGATTACCTCATTACATAAATATCTTTAGAATATTCAAGTTTAAGCCAGGCCCAGGAAGTACTCTGGTATGTTAGTACTCCATAGTTTATAGATAGTCAATGTTAGAGACAGAACTTGAAGCATTTTACTACTTGGTATCCTACCTACTTATACCCAGTTATACCCAGTTATTACTAGCAGAATCAAGTAATTTGTTTTAGTTAGAATGACCTTACCGTGATGTACTAGCCAGGTGGGGAACACTAGAAATTCTCGGACATTGTCGCCTGGCAGAAACACTGGGTCAATTGCGGCTATGGAGCGCCGCACTAGTTTCTGCTCCACTTGTCTTTATAATTTTTTTTTTTGTTCAAAAAAGGCATGACAAAAGCAAAGGGCTATTTGTATAGTTTAGATACGGACCCCAGAAAACCTGAAGGTACTGCTACCACGGTAGGCCCCGCTTCAAGAGATTGTATTGAATGTGGACATGTCACATAGAGCTTCATAAAAGAAGATATCAATAAAAAGACAGAGGTATATTACAGCCTTGGAAGTCAGTGTACAGATTCATTACTTATTATCCATAGTTCTTTATCCTGCAAACTATGCGTTCTTCGCCCGTGACCTTGGAAGAGATCACTCCTTCTCAGATCGACCCGCAATCTCTGTGACAAGAGGACAGACGAAGGTGAGTTTTCGAAACAAGTCTTGAATATGTTGATCAATACGCGCCATTCGTGCTTGCTGGTGTGCCCGTCGGGTGAGAGAGCCGATTGTCTTCAGGCGAACCAGGAAACTTTGCAATTCCAAAAGCCGCCTTGTCACCAAAACACCCATCATGATCTCGTAATCTCCACCCTCAATCTCATAATCTCCCAAAGACAGAGGCTGTTTATTCATCGTGGCTGCCAGTATGGGTGCTTGCTCCGGGCCATTTGCTTCCATTCGAGCAATAAAATCATCGATCATTTCACCACATATAATAGTCAGCCGCTCAAGCACCATACTAAGCACCATCATATTTTCAGACTTCTCCTGGCAGGGGTCACAGTTGATCATGCGCTTGCACAGGAACAGTACTTCCTGATAGATTGACAGAATGGAGTCGAGGCCTTGCTCCCCAGGGTCCCCTTCATGATTGGGCGATTCTAATTCATCCAGCAGGAACACGGCTGAGTTGAGACACGAACATGACGATTGCCCCTCTATAATGCCTTCAGTAATATTATCATGTGATCGGGTTATTCTCACGGTCGGGTCAAGAACTTGGTCCACTGGCGGAGTCGGCAGTACATTGGGTGGTGTAGAACCATTGGAAGCGAGTGGCGGCGGAGGCTGCTGTGCCATATTTTCCGACCCAGGGTAACTGTTATACATCAGCAACTGATATTTGAACCAGGCCCCCAATATAAACGAGGGAGAGATTTCTGTTTATATACCCAGAATTGAAGTAATCGACCGGAACGGTTGGATTGCCCACCATCGGGTAGTCCAATTCCGGTACAAATGTGTCCCCCTCTTCCAGAGGCCAATCCAGGCAGTTGGACCAAGTTTGAACTTCCTTGAACATTGGATCGAAAGTCAAGTTCGAATCATCTTGGGCATGTTGCGTTTCATCTACGGTATGCGGTTCCATTGTCAACAGGGATGGCTGCTCAGCAGCAGTGGTTGCAGCGCCATTCGCGGGAGATCGGGTGGCTACCGTGCCAACGTCCAATCCAGTCTCATTTTCATTCTCCTTCCCCGAGGGTCCATGTGGTTGATTCCTTTTGCGTTTGCGTGTAAGAGCGTGAGTGTAGTTACAGGGAGAGAGAGAGTTTTGCACCGCGAACAACCCGCTTTTCGGCCGCTGCAGCGGATCTATTCCACACAACTCAAGCATCTTGATTAGCGATTTAGAACATGGACTATGGTTACATGAATGACATGGGAATTTTAGATAACACACCTTTTTTATCCGGCAATTATCGCAAGCCGAGTGTTGGGGTTTGTTTGTCGCCCCATCTTCCGCAACCCCTGATTCACGTTCGAGGAACTCCCCAACCTTCTTCTCAGGGAGGTAGCGTAGGGTTCCAAACATTTTGAAGTATCAAATTAGTAGCACTTGTTTAGCTGACCATAAAATGTGCACCGTCTTTCTTATTTATCGACCGACCAGCCTCGAGTTCAGCTGCGAATGCAGTCTGGCCGCCCAGATCCAAGACCCCTGGAGAACCAGTGGCTCGTGTGGTAATTTACCACAGGTAGCCTTGCAACAACGCCAATGAATATGTACCTGCGGCTCCACTCGGCTTATGCGCTTACATTACATGCCAAATAGCTCCTAATCTAATATAGTAATGGGCTCCGGCGAGCCCCGGGGTGAACGACACACTACTTGATGGAGTGACGATATATCGGACAGTGGTCGTCGTCACCTGGGCATATATTGTCAACGGACAACAATGGGACTGTTAGACTGCTTAGCTCTTTACTAGCCATCAGACAATTCGGACCATCTTCCAAGTAGCTCCGCATAAATCCCTAGGTTGATAATGCATTAGTGCAACCTAACTTGCATTTAATTGGTCTGTTTAGAGGGCGAAGTTGGCCTAGGGCTGATTTTGTACCGAAAGATAAATGCCCAAGCAAACAAGCTAATGCAACTGTATGAATAGATGAGTTTCATACAGCGCCCGCGGAAAAGTGTGGTCCGTGATGACAGCTTCTGATCAGCACTAAGCGGATAGGGTGGTTAGGATCAGAATTTCGATACGATCTCAATATTTTCTAGTTGGAACATGATAACAAGATGGCTAGGCCGAATTATAATAAATTTTTAATCCTAACTCCGAGTCCCTAATAAAAAAGATGTGCAGAATAACGTTACCCCTCGCGCGATCCTGTGTTTCTTTACCCGGCGATACTGCCCCGGAGTTTGTCTCAATAAGTGTCATCTAATTATGTGCCCCAAAGGACTACGAAACATGATTCACATGATGTTCTGTCCATGGGCGAAAGTGATTGATGTCTAGGTATATGTAAATATCCTCGGCGTTATCAGTTGCATCCATGTTAATCAAGAAATCGGGCAGCTGTAGATCGACCTCGAAAAGCCTGCAGCAAACATCTCCTGCATGGGAAGAAGTGGTTCTCAACGCCGCGGGAATTGGTATGCAGGGGCGGCCCGCTGCTGGGCATGGACTAATGCCATCATATCATTCCAAAATTTGTACCTTGTTTGCTGTGTGAATAGTATGTATAGTACCGCGTGGATTGAAGATTTCCATCTACTAGTAGCTGCAGAGTATTTATCTCTGAGGCCATTCATATGTATGCTGTTCGTTTTGGGCCAATATCGACCCCCAAGACAGTGATAACGACCCAGAAACTCGGAAATATCTTCGTATTTATTTAGGTATGACTACTTTTGGGACAACTGTCTAAGCTGCAGAAGCCCAGGTGAAATGGCCAATAGCTAGCTTCGCACCTGCAACCCTTTTTGGGCAATAGCCGCAATAAGCAGCCGGGATTAACCTGAGTTGGAGCTGTAGCCTTGTAGAGTCGAACTCGGGAAATGCCCGTGATGACCTGAGATATTCGTGAATCGATTTGGGGAAGCTTTTATTCTCAGTTTCTTTCCACTTGGTGGTGTTGCTATAGCTATCAGACTCAATCCTATTGCAGACAAAGTGAACGCAACCCGGCACGCACAGATAAAAGATGACCTCTCTCAATATTTCCGTGGATGATATCCCCAGTCTAGAGGGGAAAACTGCCATTGTCACCGGTATCAAGAACTCCAATGCCTATATTTTCAAGATCTTATTGACCCAATTTTGAAACAGGCGGTTGCTCCGGCATCGGATGGGAGTCCGCTCAACTCCTAGCCTCCAAAGGAGCTACTGTGTACGTACTTGATCTACATCCGCCTCCCTCTGAGAAGCACGAGGGTGGGGAGCAGCAAGAGAAGACCTTATCGGAGATCTATTACCGGGCCTGCAATGTGACTTCTTGGTCAGCACTCCGAGCAGTCTTCGATGAAATCCCTCAGGTTGACATTGCCATTGCAAATGCCGGGGTCTCGGAGGAGTGCGATTATTTCGCTGACAGCTGGGACGCGGAAGGCAAAATTGAAGAGCCTGAATATGCAGTTGTGGAGGTGAACTATCGTTCAGTTCTGAATTTTATCAAGCTGAGTCTCTCGGCATTCCGACGGGCAGGCAACAGAAACGGTAGTCTCGTCCTTACGACTAGCGCCACGGCCTACTCCCCGGAGCATAGTTTGCCAGTGTATAGTGCGACGAAATTAGCGTTGGTGGGCCTCGTTCGTGCTTTGAGATCTTCCCTGCTACATCAATATGGTGCGACCATCAACGCCGTTGCACCTGCTGCTACCATTACCAGCCTTTTGCCAGCCAATCTCGCCGCCCCTATTTTGGCAGCCGGGGCCCCTGTAAGTATGGCGCAACATGTGGCTGTTGCAGTTGTTTATTCCGCGACTGCTTCTCAGGAACATTCGGTCGAAAGCTATGGAAATGATGGACCAGAGCAACTTGGCCCCGGTCGATGGAACGGGCGCGTTATTTTGACACTGGGGGACAAATGGACTGAACTTGAAGAGCCGCTAGCGGAACGGAGAGCGGGCTGGTTCGGGGCTTGGAATACGGAGATGACTGCGCTGCAACAGAAGTTGACAGATATGCGATTCAAGGGCATGTAAATAGGGGAATGATCGAAGTTTTGTACGCATGACACCAGTCTTTGGTTTAGACCAGGAATCGAATAGTTTTGAATTGGACTTATTTGGCAGGTTTGCGGAGAATTTTCACGGTAAAAATTCGGTAATAACTTAGGAGCGAAGGAGGAAAATAATACTATCAGGAAATAAGATTGGCAAAGTTCCTGAAGTCCGGATCCCCTACCAACCGCTCCATTTGCTCTGTCAATAACCCAACAACAACTTCCACCGATCCGTCATTCGTGCGCGGTTGAAAGCTGCAAATCCCTGCAAATTGGCCGCGGGGCATTCGAAAGGTCTCAATGCACCCGGAAGACCCCAGAGCAGGACCGAAATCCAACTGGTAGAAGGGGAGCCCAACCCAGGAGGTGGTGACAAGGTCCTCAGCAAACCAGCTGGGGAAAGCATTGGCCAAGGGCTGGCGAACGTCAGGAATCCCCGCAGCAAGGGTGACAGCCTCCGTAAGCCTTGATGTGTCGCGATTGGCGATAGTTTCGTGGCGGATGCGCGCAGCAATCTCGCCCAGCGGGGTGTCGGGGTTAGTGAGGTCCTGAATCGACATGTTGGTCATGCTACAAAATACGACGTTACCCGCATAGTCGGCTGGAACTGAGAGAGGCCTGCGACCATCGATGGCAACCGAGACAAAAGAGTTGTCTCGGCACGGTGCATTTGGCTGCCCAGAGGGAAATCGGGCCTTGGAAATATTCCGCCAGATCCAGGCCACTAGAGCATCGTTGGTGGAAATGGGTTCAAGAGATGGGGAAGAAGTGGAAGCTGTTTTTTTGAGTGTCGCCTGGGCTGCAGCGGAGAGGGAGAAGATGCGGGTCTCAACACCCCCTGCTGCGATTTGGAAAGGAGGTTCGGGTGGTGGAGACGTGGCGGACCCGCGCCAATCGAGACCGATCAGCTTCCACAATTCTGGTCTCTCCTTCAACGTTGGGTACTTCTCGATGGCTTGGTCATGGGACACCTGGAATGCAAGAGGGAGCGCAATCTGTGACCGAGATGACGAGTTGGGGAAGGCCGAAGGCTGTGCTGGGAGGCCCTGGGTCTGTCGATAATACTGTGCCCATTTCTCAAAGATCAGGTAAACACCGTAAGCGTCCGCGAATTGATGGGCGAATCCAACAGAGAGGAGACAACCGCCATGGATAAAGCTGGCTTGCGCTGCCATGACACGCTGCGTCGTAGCGACGCCAGCCAAAGGGGCCAACAGCTGGCCATCGAGCTTATCAGTGGGGAACCCCTCAGCCTTGAGCTGGGAATAGTTATACGGGAAAGGACTATCAGGGCCGGTGAAGTCGCGAATGGTGAGAAGTGAGTCATGGTTTTGCATGGGCCGAATAAAAGGTTGTGTTCCTGGTGATGCGTCCGTTGGAGGAGCAACAATTTCTCCCGCCAAATCAGGCCATTCCTCCACGACAAGTGCCAGTGAGCGTCGCAAGACTGAGATAATAGAATCGTTGTCTTCACCTGAAACCGACCAACCTACAATCAAAGCGTTAAAGATAGGGGGCATGATGGTATCCAAAGGGCTGAATTGATGCATATTTTTGTTGATTCGGGGGTTCAGGGTGGTTGACAGCAAAACCTGAAGTGTAGATGGGTAGAAGAATTTTTTAGAAAAGATGAAAGGAATAATTTCCCACTTGATGAACTCACTTCAGGGCTGTCCTTGGGTATACTTAGAAAGACTGGCTATGAAGCAGGATGGATAATAAGCCCGTAGTGGTCGTGGATTCCTCTCTCTACTTGAGCCTGCCGGGCTGTCCGAATTAAGAAATTTCCGGGCATCTAGGATCTGTGAGATAAAACAAGCGCTTCTATTAACTCGTGAATTATTGCAAAGAGACGAAAAGTCAAGTTCAATTTCTCGAACTCACATTGTCAGAATGCTATCAATCACTGAAACTATTCCCATTGCGACTCAGCTTTTGCTGAAGGGCGCGGAGAAAAGCCATTCCTATTCGACCTGGAAGCCATTGATCCATCCTCGCGCCGATGAGACCTGCCGTGAAAATGACGAATATTTCTTGCAACTATGGCCATTTCCCTCCGAAAAGTCGAGAGAGACCTTTGTCAACGCTGGCTTTGGTCGGGTCACTTGCCTATACTTCCCGCTGGCTCGGGATGACCGTATTATCTTCGCGTGCAAGCTTTTAACAATCCTATTCTTAATCGATGGTATGGAAAGAGTTGAACTAATTAAAACTTTTATTCTTCGATTTGTTATTTAATCCATGAATTCTGCTAACGACGTGGGCCAGATATCTTGGAAGATATGTCTTTGGAAGAAGGAGAGGCATACAATGCTCGACTGATGCCCCTGATGCGAGGAGATCAGCAACCCAATCGTAAGGAATTACTCTCTGGGTATCCACGGATGCCTGCCCAGATCACAGCAGTACTGAAACTTACTTCAATGTCTGAAATAGGCGATATTCCCGTCGACTTCATGATGTATGATTTATGGGAGGAAATGCGTGCTGCGAACCCGGTCTTGGCGGATGGAATTCTTGAGCCCACTTTTACTTTTATGCGCGCGCAGACAGACAAGGCACGGCTTTCGATCAAAGAGCTCGGTCACTATCTTGTTTATCGAGAGAGAGATGTGGGAAAGGCGTCAGTCAGCATTCATTCGCAGCATGGTGATACCTTCTAACTTCTTGATGTTGATTACAGTCTCCTTTCAGCGCTCATGAGATTTACGATGGATCTTGAACTAACGCCCGAAGAACAAACGTCCATGGTACCCCTCGAGCGGAATTGTTCAAAGCAGATATCAGTGGTGAATGATATCTGGAGCTGGGAAAAAGAAGTCCGCGCATCCCAGTCTGGCCACGAGGAAGGATCGGTGTTATGCTCTGGTGTCAAAGTTCTGGCCGAAGCAACAAACTTGGATATTGCGGCGACAAAGCGACTTCTCCAGGCCATGGTTGAAGAATGGAATAAAGTTCATGATCGACTCACGGCAGAACACATTGCGATGGGATGTCGATCAGTCGTCAAGCTCTATATGAAGGGCTTGGAGTATCAGATGAGTGGCAATCAGCTGTGGAGTCAGACAACTCTGCGCTATGTTGACAAGGAGGTGAGTGCAAGTGCATAGGATTTTAGGTAGGAGACCTCCAATCATAAACCAGTTGGATCCAGCGTTACCTGGGAAGTTCTCAATCGATTCGAGGCTAGATTTTCTTCCATCGGAGAATTTTAGATTGATATTATTTCGTGATAGTAATTATTCTTGCTGAATTCAAATCGTACTATTTTACCCGCCAACCTTATTTCCCCTTATTGGCCCAGCAAGGCCGCCGATTCCCTTCCTATCGCGATTAGCTCGATGAGATTTGAACCTGGCATCCTCGTTTTTATTAAAATTCTTGTGCGACAAATATTCCTATTCCGACTGCCATCAGAAGAAATTTAGGGGGCTACAAGGAGTGGACCTCAGGGGGTTCGTTCTATTCGACCGGGAATTCCCTTTCCGGGCGATCGGGTGCCGACCAAAAAACAAAGAAGCACTTTTCGTTCTTAAGAATTTATGTATTTCCTCGCTTTCAATATTTGCGTCTTCCACGACTTCTTCGCATACTATCTTTCTTTCAATCATCCAAAAATGCCTCGTTGCGCTCTCGTCACCGGATGTAGTGCTGGAGGCATCGGCTCGGCCTTGGTGGAAGAACTACACGCCCAGGGACTGAAAGTCTACGCAACGGCTCGGTCGGCAGCGAAAATGGAGCATTTTTCTATACTTCCCCGTGTCACGATCATTACCCTCGATGTCGTTGATCCAACCAGCATTGCGGCTGCCGTGGAGACCGTCCGGCAGGATTTGTCTTTGAATGGAGACTCTCTCGATATTCTCATCAACAACGCCGGTCAATCCCTCGTATACCCAGCCCTTGATACCTCTATTGAAGAGGCAAAGCGTCTTTTTGACGTGAACTTCTGGGGAGTCATCACTATGACCCAGGCTTTTACCCCACTGCTCCGCGCTGGAAAAAATGGTAGTACACTTGTGAACGTCTGTTCGATTTCGGGTTTCCTATACGCCCCATGGATGAGTGAGTTTCAATTTTTGGCAAGAAATATATACATGGCCGAAAGGATCTTGCAATAGGGAGGGTCTAGCCTTTGAGGCCATTCTTGAGCTTTATCCGAAGGTCCCTAAAGAAAGTATTCGAAGAACTCACTGACAAATACCCCTAGGTGTATACAATGCCTCCAAAGCTGCTTTGATGTCTTGGAGCGAGACTCTCCGATTGGAACTACAGCCGTTCAATATTCGGGTTATTTCCCTGGTTACAGGCTCTGTGGCTACGAATGTCATGTCGCATAATGACCTCAGCTTACCCGAAAGCTCCCTTTACCAGAAGGCGCTCTCAGAGATTCAGACACGTGGAGTTGGGAAGGATGTTTCGAGCAAGACTCCACCAGCCGAATTTGCTCACGATGTTGTTAAAGACGTGCTGGGCGGAGCATCGGGACCTGTATGGCGTGGCGCAATGGCTTCGATGGTGAAATTCATGTCCAAATACATGCCGACAGCCGTTCTGGTAAGTTCTACCTGCTTTGAAAAATTCGCCATCTTTTGATTAATATAATTGATTTCTAATCTGCGTCTCACAGGATCGGGCAATGAAGGGTGGAACTGGACTGGACAAGCTGCCTTGAAAAACATGGCAATGGCAAGGAATAACCTGTGAAGCCACTGCTAGTACGCTGGATTCTAGCATAGTGAGAAATTTGTAAGTCAGCCTAGCGAGCGATTCTATCACGTAATGGTTACTCTTGCAGGATGTGCAGGGCGCGCGCAGGCCCCGGCCGCCAACGAGATAGATTGTTTGACTCATAAAATTCGATGACCATTGGAATGGAAAGCTTTCACAAAGAACCCCAAAGTAACTAAACCCGAGAAAAATTCAAAATCTTCAGACCCCGTTGGCCTAAAAAAATACTGCGTGGCCCTAAACATAGACGAGCCCATAAGTTCAAGCATTCATTTACCAGCCCTCGGGGACACACGCGTCATGAGCTTTGGCTTGACCCATAAAAGATGCATCGCTACATCCCTATGCCAGTCAACTTCATGGTCCACTAGGTCTAGGTCATATTTATAATACAGCTTTGCCAGAGTCAGGCGTAACTCCAACCAAGCCAATCTACCGATTCATTGTTAGCTTAATGCCGACAATATACATGAACAAGACTATCTGGAAATCAGAACTTACCCTCGACCTGAGACATGAACGTGAGCCCATTGAGAATGGCTGGCTGGCCTCCAGTTCGTCCTCTACACTCAACCCTAGCCAACGCTCCGGGCGGAAATCCCACGGGGCATCGAAATTTGCCGAACCGAGGCTGGATGCCAATGGGTTTGTAGAAACAATTGTCTACAAATAAATGTCAGCGGGTTATATATCTCACGATAGAGATTGAGTGGCTTATGAATCGCTGAAAAATGTGGTCTTCATATAAACGTACTTTTTCTGGAACAAACTGGCCGTCAATGAACCCTCCAGCTTCCGGCACGACCCGCGGCAAACCTAGTGCCAGTGGGGGGGAAAATACGCAATGCTTCTAGACAGACTGCATGCAAGTATTTCAGTGAGGAGGTCGAGTGTCCATTGATATCCTTATCGTTTCTGAACGCGGATCGGATTTCCTGTTGCAGTTTTTCCCGGATGCGCTGATCGCGCCCGATATAGAAGATGATGGTTGATAAACAGGTTGCGGTTGTTTCGCTTCCTGCGATGCTGCATAATTTAATTTCAGAACTACTCCAAGGTAAGATTTAGCAATGGAGTCGATGCTACGTACACAAAGTCCGAGGCATGGGCGGCCAACTGAATATCTGATATCTGGGAAGCGTTGCGCTCTACCAAAAGGTAGCTTATGAAGTCTCTCCGATTGGTCTTCTGGTGGATTCGGCTGTAAATAGATGTTAGTATCATCCAAGAAATAGACTATGATTAGGGTAGATGACCGTTTGACCAAGTCTATGGTGTATGTTTGGTGCTTTATCGCGCCATCCATGAGGCTGTTGAGCCATTTTGGATTCAATTTCAAAAAGACGCGACCAAAAATCGGAAACCGCTTCAAAAAGTCGGAGAGGCCCGATTGCCCCATGCTTTCTGTAACAACCGTAATCCATGAATGCACATTTCCCGTTTCCAGACCATGAAATGACTCCCCAAAGGCTAGTACAAATATCGAGGGTCAAGTCAGCGTGACATCAGAGAAAATTCCATCCATGGATGGAGAAGGGAAAACTTTGGAGGAAAATTAGGATTCGACCTTACCTAGCTCACCAATAATATCAAAAGTGAGGAGATTGGTCCACATAGTCATGTCAACCCCGTCCTTCGAGTTGCCTCGCTCACCAACCTGAGATATGAATTTGTCAATGGCCTCCGAGACAATACCTTCCTGCTCGCGCAATGATCGATCTGAAAATGCAGAGGCAAGGAACTTGCGCATCGAGCTATGTCTCTCTGGGTCGCGCTCGCTCACAATGGAGCTGGCTTGATCGGCAAAGTTTCCACCTTCATAAAAGTCACTCTTGACGAATATAGCTCGATCTTTGCGAGGCGAGTATATGTCTTTCCAAGACTGTGCAGAGTTGAAAGAAAGTTCGTTTGGCGCCACACGCACGACAGGACCTATAATAATCCTCAGGAGGTGAGACCGTAGCCCTGGAAATATACCAAGATTTGGGATCAAGTTTACATACCGTATCTTTCGTGCAGTTTGAGAATGTCGTACGGTTGTCGGCCGCCCATGTAGGACCACGAATAATTAAACTATCGAGTGATCAATATTCAGCAGCTAGACGGTAATATTATTGAGTCATTCACACAAACATTGCTGAGAGCTGAAAATTTAGGGCCTGGAAAATGAGCCAGAGGGTGAAAAAAGAAGGTGTGGAGAAAGAGTCGGGTGATCCATATCGTGATTCCTGTCAGTCCAGTGATGCCAATGATAGCCCAAGTAGGCAAATCCTTCAACTGGTCCATTTTTCTTTCACACTTTGAATGGATATAGATGGATAGATCCGCAATTTCAAGATGAAGCAAAGTGAAGCAAAGTGAAATTGTCACTGGAAGAAGCGTTTCGCGGGGTCAGAAATCACGTGTCCCTGGCATAGCATTCTTTGATACTATTGAAAGCCACAAAGAAATCATTCAAATCATTCACAGCCAATCAGCACTGTTATAATGGATTCAAGTTCGGGTTTACCCGATTTGTTCTGCCCCGGATGTCCAGAACGGCAATTCCCGAAGAGATCAAGATAAGGGCTTTAAGCAATTCGTTGCGAGTTCTGCAATACTAATAATTTTCCATCACAAAAAAAAAACGATGCCGCATTATTGGAGGCGTGCTTTTCTTTCGATTTCCGCTGCAGCGCTGGCTGTTGGCACTTCTGCGACGGGCAGCAAACCTGCATGCGCGCAACTGGCGGCTGCCCTCCCAGACCACGTAACGGTCTCGGGACAGAATCCTACACCACGAAAATTGACGCCGTTTGGTCTCAAACCTGCATCGAAGATGCTTTCTGCGTGTTCGAGCCAAGATCTGCCAGAGATGTTTCGACTTCCATTGGCATTTTGCGCAAGACAAAGACCAAGTTTGCAGTACGCAGTGGTGGCCATATGCCCAATTCCGGAGCCAATTCGATCTCAGATGGTGTTCTTATCTCACTCACTTACCTCAATATTCTTGATCTCACGCCAGATCATAAGGTGGTTCACGTCGGCCCAGGACTCCGTTGGCATGAAGTCTACACCTGGATGGCTGGTCATAACTTGACAACAGCTGGAGGCCGATTTGGCCCCGTGGGCGTCGGCGGTTTGCTCCTCGGAGGAGGTATAAACTACTATGGGTCAAAGGTTGGTTGGTCAACCAACAATGTGGTGAATTTCGAAGTGGTTCTCGCCGACGGCCGCATTGTCCAGGCCAATTCCAGCTCCAATAAAGACCTTTTCTGGGCGCTGAAAGGAGGCTCACAAAACTTTGGCATTGTCACACGATATGATATGAAGACTTTCGCTATACAGGAAATCTGGGGTGGAACTTTGGCATACCCAGCCACTTCACTTGACGCGTATATCCACGCGATAGCCAACTTCTCGTCTCCCCATGGAGGATCTGCGGATGCCCTGGCCGCGGCCGACCCACTACTCCTGATGTACCCCAATACTAGCCAAATTCAACCGGCAGCCGTCTTGCTATATAATGCTCCTGTCAAAGAACCGGCCGCGCTGGAGATATTTACTAAAATTCCGGCCGCGAGCAACTCCGCTTCCTTGCGCACTTTCACAAACTTCGTTGTGGAGCAGAATAGCTCTTCCTACTGGGATCGAAATAATAGGTTAGTCAAATTCTGCCCGACTTGAGATTCAAATATATACTCAAAGGGCTTTTCGAGCTAACGGTGGCTTTTTCCGTGACCATCAGGCGATCATTCTGGACCACCGCCGTGAAAGCCACGCCGGAAGCAGTCTACCTTGCAAACAACACATTCTTTGATACCGCTATCAAGGAAGTCTCGGATCTACCAGATCTGCTCACTAGTATTACATTTCAAACCATTACCGAGGATTGGCTTGATGCTGCGCGTGCCTCCGGAGGAGACGCCATTGATCTTGATCCCGCTGAGGGCAGCTTTCTAGGTAAGAGCATAAATAATTGAAATTTGATCATGGCTGACGATTTAAAGTGTTGTTGATTTCTAACACCTGGGAAAATCCGAGTAACGATGAGCGAGTGGCCAAGTTCTCCAAGAATGTCATTGCTCAAATTGAGGCCAAGGCCAAGACCGCTGACGTCTATTATCCTTTTGTTAATCTGAACGACGCAGGCTCAGGCCAATCCCCATTCGAGTCATATGGGAAGGGAGAGTCACTCGGAAAGTTGAAGAGTATACGAAAGAAATATGGCAAGTCTTCTTTTCAGGAAAGTCCCTCGGGTCTCCCGCTGACTTTGGATTCAGATCCTTCTGGAGTTTTCCAGGCCCTCTCACCCGGTGGGTTCAAGCTGGGGGTATAGGGGGCGCTTCTTGCCGCCCAAATGGGGTAGTGGGACTTTGAAAATCGGTTTTTATGGAATAATAGGAGGTGGAATTATCTGATATCCGGGTTTTTGGAAAATTCTAAATTGGGAGCGTGTCCTCGGATATTGCCTAATCGGGCGGCAGCAGGAGATTGTCAATTTGGCATTGTTCTTTTCAAGTATCCCGATAGAAACAAACAGATTTTCCATACCTAAATTGTCCTTGAAAGATATCCATATTTTCACATCTACTTTGGCTTCTATTCAACGCCATGATTCTCGAATTATTCCCTTTGTCAAGGGACACTGCTCTCCTTCTCCAGACCAGTGCTCTTATTTCCTGCGGTTTAATTTCTGCTTACGTGGTTGAAACCTCGTAAACGAAGTAATCTGCTACCTGGGGTTTATGTAGCTGGTGTGGAAGCGGGTAAAATCTCTCTTCCACGAGCCCGCCAAGACTTTATTCACAACTGCGCCGACTTTATGCTCGAAGGTTACCAGAAAGTATTGGTTACACTCTAATAGACGGCAGATTATTTTAGAGTAAAAGGAAGACTTGGCTAACTCAGTGTTCAATAGACCGAAGGAGGACTTTTTTATGTTCCTTCTCCTGCCGGCGAACGCTTGATGATCCCCACTAAATACTTGGATGAACTCAAAAATGCCGCCAATAATGAGGTCGATTTCACGGCCAGCTTCTCTGAGATGTTCGAAGGGCAATATACTACAATCGGTCAGAAATGGCACTTACATCCAAATGTCGTCAAGACATCTCTCAACGGAAATCTCGGTATGGGCATAAGCTAGCGAAATCCTCAGATTCGACCTCTTACAAATCCGTTAACAGAGTTGATCATGCCTGAAGTATACGATGAGATTATTCACGCATATCAGTCTCTACTGCCACCATCAGAGGGTCAGTTCATGATATTACCAAGATTGCCACTATCAAATAATCTTACTAACATTTGAGGCCCAGATTGGAAGCCAGTCCTAATGGCCGAGGTATTCACACAAATTATATCACGAGCATCGAATCGCATGCTGGGTGGCAAATCCCTTAGTCGAAATCGAGATTGGACTGATACATCGATCAATTTTACCACCGATACGTGGTTAGCTTCGCAGAAACTGAAGCAGTATCCAGCATGGCTCCGTCCAATAGTCCAGCATATCCTACCTGAGATGAATCGAGTGCGCCGTCACTTCACCATCGCTCAGCAAGTCATTTGTCCACTTGTCCAGATACGATCGGAAATTGAAAAGAAGAGCGATATTCCTATCGATCTTTTGCAGATGCTGTGGGAAGCCGCCGATCCTGCAGATAAAAACCCGAACTTTATGGCTTATACAGCTCTAGCTATCTCATTTGCCGCAATTCGCACTAGTTCCTCGGTACCAACCCATCTTCTCTACGATCTGTGTGCCCGACCAGAATATATTCAGCCGTTGCGAGAAGAGGTCCAATCGGTGCTTTCCGAGGAAGAGAATCTCTTCACCAAGGGTGCTGTGAATAAATTGTTGAAGTTGGACAGTTTCATGAAGGAATCCCAGCGGTTCAACCCCCTCTCTCTTCGTCAGTCCCCCAAACCATCTTTGCCTTCGCTTCTTTCGTTTTAGACGTGATCACGCCTATCGAATTTTTGAATGCATCATTTTAATTTCTACTGGTGCTGATTGAACCGGCTATAGTCACTTTTGGTCGAGTTATTCAGTCCAACTGCATGCTCCATGACGGACTCATTATCCCAAAGGGCACGATCATCGGGGTACCCGCCCACGCAATATCACAGGATGCAGCTTTCTATCCTTCGCCATCCACACTTCAACCATTTCGGTTCGTTCCCTCAACTCCCGGAGAGAAGACGGCTGGGTTTGTGACAACAAATGCATCGTCAAGTCTGAGCTGGGGTTATGGGAAGCATGCATGTTCCGGACGCTTCTTCGCAGCAAACGAAATAAAGCTGATAATGGCGCACTTATTGCTCAATTATGATTTCAAATTTGCTGGAGGGAGAACTGAGCGACCGGCCAATTATACATTTGAACTGCAGAATATGCCAGATGAGAACGTGGAGGTGCTAGTCCGGCGACGAAGCGAGGTTACAGCCGTGACCAGATGAACTTCATGTCGGAAGAGCATAAAACCATGGAATGGATGTTCACAGGCTCTGATGGGCACATCAATAAATTTCTTCACCCTTTTAGGGCTGTGTGATGATACTAGTATTTGCGTAATTGATAGCCTGCTATCCGGTTATTGATCACAATCGCCACTACTAGACTGGTATATTTTTCATTTCATCACGTCTGTCTAGATTCTAGGCACTTCTAGTTAAGATGAGCGCCCAGCTCGGGCTCAGGAGCAGTCACACACGTACTTCCAAGGTTTGTGAACAAAACTTCAAGGAAGCGTTTTTCACTGGTAGGTTACTAGTACTACATGGCCTCGAGATAAATGGGATTGTGTAGTACTATGCTCAAGGACTCTCAAGAAGATCAGTAAATTGCTGTCGCCGAGTTTTCCCAGATGTGGTTTATGAGGGGCTGTCAGCGAAGTCGTTGTATCACCTTGAGATGACATTAAAAATAATCAGACCATCCCAGTTCCAGACGCAGCAACTAGCAAGAAAGCTTGGTTTTTATTAGATCTATATAAAAATTCATCGAAGATGGATGACCCGAAAAGATAAGACGTTTAAGCTGAACTGGCAGCGACCCATTTTGTCACCAGACTGCTGGCCAACTCCTTCACAGAGGCACTTTGCATGATATCGAAAATCGATACCTCTATCGCCAACTGGATACCGAGCCAGTTACGTAGTTCTACGGCCACCAGTGAATCAACACCATATTTGGCCAGAGATTCGCCCGCTTGGATGCTCTCTTCTTCGACAAAAAACATTGCCGCCAGCTTGCGCACGATGCCAGTCTCCAGCACTGTCGCCCGCTCGGAGTCAGTAGACAACTCGAGTAATCTTTCGCGGAGATCCATCAAATCATCAACTCGGTTTGACCGCGCCTTCGATTTGATGCCTGTGGCGCGCAAGACGCCACTCAGTTTTGGGTCCCTCGCCCAAAACAAGTTTGTGTCGTCAATTCGATGGTGAGGATTGAACCCGGTGAGAATTTGTGAGTCAGTGACAGATCTAATCGGGCTCAAGATCGCACCCTCGATGAGATGGAGGACTTCTTCTTCATCCACGGCGCGGAAGCCCATGCGTTCCAGCCGATCGGCCACCCCTTCCGTTTCCGCCACATATCCCACACCACGAACCATTCCGAGATCAATGGCAACTGCTGGTAGCCCGCGTGCGCTGCGATGTCGGGCTACTGCATCTTGGAAGCTATTCCCAGAGGAATAGTTTGCTTGACTCACATTGCCTGTGATACCATTCAGGGAAGATAACATTATGAAATAATTGAGATCGACGTCGGATAGCACTTGGTGCAGGTTCCAGGTACCCTGGACTTTTGGCTGTACAGCCTTGGTATATTCCGCAATCGACATTTTTTCAAAGACAGTATCCTTTTACGTTGTTAGATCTCGGATGCAGAGATTTGAGATGGAATGTGAAAGGCAAATTTCTCACCTGAAGTACCATACCGCTGTGGATGACCCCTTGAAGAGGAGGCATCGATTCTAAGCACCGCTCTAGAGTATGCTTGAGATCATTTTTGTTCGATATATCGCAGCTAGTGACAGCTACCTTGCACCCCAATGCCCGGAGTGATTTCAGGTAGACACTGTGTTGTCCCTGCTGATCTGCATTCCTGGACATGATGATCAAATTCCGGGCGCCTCTTTGGACAAGCCATTCGCAGATCGATCGTCCAACTCCACCCATTCCGCCAATGACAAGATGGGTTGATTCAGAGTTGAGATGAAGGGACCACTCAGACAAAAGAACCTGTGATTTGACAAGAATGTCTAAGTTAGTTTTCGAGGGCAATGTTAGGCGCAATGTTGAAACTTACGTTGACTCGATCTTCCGGGCCAGGGATCACAATCATTTTTCCAATATGTCTGCCCGCTTGCAGCATGCGGAAGGCTTCTTGAATTCTGGTGATGGGGTAGGTGGTAATAGGCTGAACGAGTTGGAGATTTTCCTCTTTGATCAGACGCATGGTATCGTTCATGATGCGTGATACTGTTGAACCCTTGTGCTCCCCAAGAGCGATGAGATCAATGCTGGAAAAGGATATATGACGAGTGAAAGCGTTCATCTCTAACTGATTGTTTTGCTCCAAGTCGCGTTTCCCAATTTCAACAAATCGCCCAAAAGGGGCGACACAGTTGAAGGTGCGTTGAAGGAGCTCACCGGCTAAGGAGTTCAGGACAACATCAACACCCTTCCCGCCGGTCATTTCCATTATTTGAGATGCGAAACCGGTATCGCGACTGGAGAAAATGTGATCTTCAGGAATACCAAAATGACTTGCGAGGTACTCCCGCTTCTCAGACGATCCAGCGGTTACAAAAACCTCTGCCCCTATCCTCTGGGCCAGGGTAATTGCAGCTTGACCAACTCCTCCTGCTGCTGCGTGGATTAACACAGTCTCGCCGAATTCAAGACGCGCAGTGTCATAGAGGGCATAGTATGATGTTGTAAATGCCATGGGTATAGATGCAGCGACTTCAAAAGTCATGTTGTCCGGGATGGTAGCCACGCTGGTCCAATGTAGGCGTGTGCGATTTTCCCAGTGACCTCGCATGAGAGCACATACGCGGTCTCCAGCCTTGAATCCATTTTCAGACGCTATTGAGCCTACCTGTGTTACAACACCACTGCATTCGAAACCCATGATTTCCGCACTCAGTTGGCCCATTGAAACCATGACATCTCGGAAATTCAAGCCAAATGCCTTGGGCTCAATCTCCACGAAGTCCTGCGAAACTTCGCTTATTTGCATAGGCTCGGCCTCGAAGCCCAAGGTGTCAAGAAGGCCAGCGGTTCCGACTTGAAGGCGCAACTTCTGAGTCGATTGATGGAACAACTGTGTTTTCTTCTCGTGGCTGTCGACCCCAAGGGCAGACTTTGTGCTCTCATCGTCAATCTCGAAAACACGTGGTACACACATTATTCCATCGCGCTCAGCATACTCATTGTCCAGATGACTTGAGCCTTGTCCCAGAGAGAATCGTCTTTGAACAACATCCAGTATTATCGAGATAACACTCGCCGACCATCTCGCAGTAATTGGGTCGAAGTCAAGGGAGGCTAAGACTTTGTTGCTGTATTCCGCTCGGAGGGTGCGTAATAGGCCAGTGTGCAGACTGTTGTGTGGCCTTTCACAATGAATTGTACTGCCGCGTGATAACCAAAGAACACCAGCGGCCTGGATGAGAAGCGATTTTATGAGTTCAAACTCTGATGGTTCTGGTTCGTCTAGGAGAGCCTCGTGCATTTTCCCCAAGAACAAACATGTTCTACCCTCGGCATCAAAGTCACCAAGTCGTTGGATATCTGGCTTAAAAGTTGTCAGTTCTTCTAGAGATTCGCTGAGTTTGCTCAACCACTTGGTTGGTGGCATCTCTTTGTATACGATGGTGATTGCTGGGTATCTGGCGGGCTCAGGGGTGGCTGCACTCGCCATGATAACACTGAAAACGTAGAATTCTTCGTCCTCGCAGTCATGTAGCTCTAGGTCAATCCCATCAAACCCAGTGCTCTTCAATGCCGTCCGCCATTCAGGGATGGTAAGTGAAGGACTTGACTGGCGTTCGGCTTCCTCTCCTAGAAGTATATTAGTACTGGTTGTCGCTGAATTCGCTGGACGATAACCAAACAGACTTACCTAGCCACCACCCAGGCAAAGTTCCAAATATTAGCTGCAGATCAATCTCATCTTGTGTGATTTCCACTAAAAGAAGCTTTCCGCCAGGACGAAGCAGCTTTCTAGCATTTTCCAGTGTGCGACTGATATTTTTGGTCGCATGCAAGACTTGACTAGCAATAACAAGATCATAGCCGTTGCTTTGGAATCCTTGTGCCGACGGGTCCTCTTCGATGTTCAATTTCTTGAATTCCATCAAATGCCGCACCTCCGAAAACCTCTCGCTGGCGGCCTCGAAGAACCCCGAGGATATATCAGTAAAGTCGTAGGTAGCACACCGGTAATGCGAGCCAGAGGTGACTTCTTCTTTGAGTGCATCAAGGACAACCTCCGTGCATCCACCAGTTCCAGCTCCGATCTCCAAAATTTTCCCTCGGGGATTCTTGTGGGAGTAGAGACGAGTCAATTGTTGGATCTGATAGTAAGAGCGTTTCCATCTGACGGCTCGTGCATAATAATCGGAGAGTAAATCATCCTCCATCATGAGTTGGAGGGGAGCCACCTCGCCTTTCAGGATTAATGAAAGACTCTCACCAATTCGACAAACCATCTCGCCGTCAACGCTGGAAGTTCGAACTTGATTGATCACGCGCTGCTGGTGTGCCAAGGATCGAATAAACCATTCAGAACTTGTGGGTCCAAATCCATCCAAGTTGGCCAATTTGACTTGCACCTTCATCCATGAATGTAGCCGCTGTTGGTGCCAGTTAAATTTCAGGATTCTGTCTTCCGGGAGATCAGCTAGCGCGCATTGCATGAAATAGAAGCAGGCTTCTCTAATCCCTCGAATGGTCTCAATTTCATCGAAGTCTGGAGCAAATTGAAGAGCTGTCTTGAGGGTCCTAGGGATCGGGAAAGATATATCCGGTGCCCATTGCATTGTGTAATGGTGTTGGCCATCATCTTTTCCCCCATCTATCTGTGCCGACTTTCCGAGCGATTGGTAGTATAAGCCATCCACAGTCAGTACTGGATCTGGGCTATCTCCGTTAGAAACTATCACGGAGGATCTCATGCCCTGTTTGTCGACTCGATGCAGGGCAGCTCGTGCTTCGAAGATATGACCAGGCGTGCTCGAAATTGTGGTTCGAATATCCATTCGCTTGAATGACCGGGGTACCATAGCCGCGTCTTCTTTGAGTGCAGTGCTTGGCAATGAGCTGTATACAGCCTGGAAAATCGAATCAAGAGTGGTTGGGTGTAAAATGTGAGGTTCCTCGACACCACATGGCATCGAGAATGCTGTATCGGCAACTCGAAATGCACTCTTGGAGAGACCTTGACAGGACTGAATCGACAAAAGATTCTGGAAGGCGTTGCCATGATAAACACCCTTTGTTTGCAGTACACGATAAAGCTCATTGGGGCTGAGTCGTCGAAGGTACATGTTGTCATTGTTGCTGATGCTCCCAAGTGAGGGCTCCATATCTTGGTCGCGGGCGATAAGTCCTTTGCAGTGCTCTGTCCATTTCCCGGTACTGTCGCAAGAATAAACGTGGAAAGTTTGCCAAGGCTGGCGAGTGAGCATTTTCCCCGAACCTTCGTGCAATGCCAGATGGACCTCAACACCCGTGTCGTTTTCTGGAATGATCAATGCACTTAATATCTCGACATCCTTTAGACTGACGCTTTGTATCGTGTTGCTATCGCCTCGAGTTAACTGGCTTAGAGCTTCAATGGCCATGCATATGTATCCGGCACCAGGGTAAATGATATTGCCCTGCACCTTATGGTCTCGAAGCCAAGGTATATCAGAGAGGCGGATTATATGACGCCAATTTGGGGAGAACGTGTTGCATCCTGTGAGCGGGCTACCAAGTAGGTCGTGGTACTTCTCCTTGCGCAATCGATGTTCCCTATTCAAACGGGGCTCGGCCCAATGGCAGTGTTCGTGATTCCATGGATAGGACGGGAGATTGGGAAGCACCTTGAGGTCATTATGCGAAATGGGGAAATTTACAGCGCCCAGATCAACGCTGGAACCTCGGCCATACAAACTCGCGGCAAGTGTCTGCATAGTTTCCACCGCATTTTTGCCACGCGACAAACAGGAAAAGTAAGAAGCACCCTTCCCTTCGAACGCAGGGAGACCCATGGTTTGTCGTATTGGGCCTGCGAGGGCACTGTGTGGGCCCACCTCGAGTATCACGTCGATTTGCTGTTGCGACTCACTGGACAGACACAGATTGGTCAGGGAATCAAGGAAGAGAACAGGCTGAAGCATATTCTGGACCCAGTGCTCTGCGCGGCTCACTTCATCCCCACCAGCCCAGGTACCTGTGACCGGCGATGAATATATGATCTCGCTATCGAATTGGCCATGAGTCAGAATTTGCTGTAGCACCGCCAAATACTCATCTGCGAAAGGCTGCATGTGGTGTGAGTGATAGGCAGCCTCGACCTTCAGCACGCGATAGAATACCCCATCCGCCTTAAGTTGCGATTCCAACTCCTTGATTTCTGCGATATCCCCAGAGACGGTCACGCTGTCGGGGCTGTTGACACAGGCCACAACAACACGCCCAGTCACCAAATTGGCAATGTATGCCTCGGTGGCTTCTTTTCCGAGACCTACTGCCACCATTCCTCCGCGGCCAGACCCAATCTTTTGCTGGAAGCTTGTTGTGAGTGCCCCTCGCATGTAAACAATTGCCATAGCAGATCGCACGTCGATCGCACCGGCTGTGAAAGCGGCAGCAACTTCACCACTTGAATGGCCAGTGACACCTGTCGGCAAAATATTCCAAGAACGCAACAATTTCACCAAAGCGATCTGTAGGGCGGTACAAAGTGGAAGACTCATCATTGCGGAGTTAACCTTGCTAGTAGCCTCATCGCGACCGAGCTCCTCTATTCAAATTGATCAGCGTTGACCGACATGAAGTCGCGAATGAGATAAATACCAATAATTGACCATTCCGCGCCAAAGCTCTTCAGATGCTCATCTGCTTCAAGGAGCGCGTTCTTGAATACAGGATAAGCGTCGGTAAGCTCCCGGCCCATTGCATACCACTGTGCGCCTTGTCCGGTGAATACAAAGCCAAGTCGGGGTTGCTGAGTTGCCTGCTGAGGAGCAACCTGGCCATGATCTAGACTTTCAATTAACTGGTCCTTAGTCGATGCCAAGTATGTCGCTTTCCATGGGAGATTTGAGCGACGCCGCCCGAGAGTGAAAGCTAGATGGCGCATGTACGCGCTCTCATCCTCCAAAGTGAGGCCGCGAAGGTGCTTCCCCATCATAGATGCCATCCTTGACACAGCCACTTCATCCTTAGCGCTGAGGACGAAAAGCCTGTTTTCCAACTCATTGCTCTCGTAGACGGGCTGAGTTGTAATGTTTGAGAAGGTCCCAGGCGATTCAAGAATAACATGCGCGTTGGCGCCCCCGTACCCGAAGTTATTGACAGATGCCCTTCGAAGATCTTGCGGCCAGGGTCTCACTGAAGTTGGAATCTAGCGAATATCAGCTTCGGTCCAGCTATCCCTCTGAAATATTTGGCCTACCTCTATGTTTAATGAATTCATATTAATGTCCTTGTTCGGCTTTTCGAAGTTGGCACTCGGCGGAATGTAGCCCTTTTCAAGCGCCATGACCACTTTGATGATGCTCGCTAGTCCACTGGCCGTTTCTGTATGGCCGATGTTTGCCTTCACAGAGCCAATAAATAGAGGATTCTCGGACGGTCGATTTCGATTAAGAGCGGAGCTAAGTGCAGCTGCTTCCACAGGATCTCCAGCCGGCGTTCCAGTTCCATGTGCCTCTACATAGCTCGTGTCCAGGGGGTCAAGACCAGCCTTTTGGTAGCATGATCGAATTAGATCTCGTTGGGCTGTTTGGCTAGGTGAAGTAATAGTCGGCGTCCACCCATCTTGGTTTAGGGCTGTTTCTCTAATGACGGCTCGGATGGGGTCTCCATCTCGCAGTGCACTGTCCAGAGGCTTCACGATCAAGGTAGCGATTCCTTCACCTCGTCCATAACCCGACGCACGGTGGTCAAACGCGTAGGACTTCCCGGATGGTGACAGAAATCTTTAAAAGAGTTTCAGTTTAAAAATCTCTCTGGTAAAAGGAGGGAATGTGCTCTCACCCTAGGCTCGACATCGACTCAAACATGTCCGGGTTCAGTAAGATATTTGATCCAGCAACGATAGATACGTCCGACTCTCCATTACGAAGACTCTGACATGCTAGATGCAATGTCGTCAGGGTCGTTGAGCAACCGGTGTCGACAGTCATACTCGGTCCTCGCAGATCATAAAAGTGGGAGATTCGATTTGACGCCATGGCTGATCCGTTCCCAGTCATGAAGAAACGGGACAATGTGGATGGATCACGCATCAAGCAATCGTGATAGTCGCGGAAGAAAGCGCCCGCGTAGACAGAAGTGCGAGAGCCCGCAATCTTCTCCAGTGGAATTCCAGCTAGCAAGGATTAGTTTAACTTCCTTCCTGCCTCCGATTCTTCGCGTTGTTCACTCACCACTTTCAAGTGCTTCATACACAGTTTCCAGTTGAAGTCTGAATTGCGGGTCCATAGTCTAAGGCAAGACTAGTCAGCTGAATTCCATGGCTTCTCTTTTTAGTATGAGATTCCACTCGGATCTCGCTCGCCGGATACCTACACTAGCCACTTCCGATGAGAAGTTGAAGAAAGCTGCATCAAAAAGTGATATATCTTCCTCCAAGAAGTGACCACCTTCAACGTTTGTCTGAATTTTGAGTCAGTCTCAAGCACATCGGAGAAGGAAATAGACCGTTGGATGAATCGACGCACCGTTCCTTGTTTCTGGTTATCTGGGTGATGCAGTTCTTTCTGTGAAAATCGAGACCGAGGAATCGCTTTCCAAGCACTTTTTCCATCCACACATAGCTGCCAGAGTTTTTCTGGGCTTGAGGCGCCACCAGAGAACCGGCAGGCCATCCCAATGATGGCGAGTGGCGTAGTCTTCGTCTCCATGATTGGCGTAGTTGGGTGAAAGCGAAGGAAAAACGTAACGTCAAAAGTCTATTCGTACTTGGTATGCCAGTTCAGAATGTCAAGTGGCTTTCTCTGGTAATCCTATGTAAGATGCTAGAAAAATGAACAATTGCTATATTAGTAAACCGATTTGGTTGTTTGTTGGGAAGATACTCAGGTAGGGAGCTGAGCTTACCGGAGCTGGAACTTGCCCGAATGAGCAACCTCCGCGAACTGCGCGACACTTTCGAAAATCAAAACTTGACCAGATCAGGATATCCAGAATGAATGACAATCCATAAGCATTTCTTAAGCCGTAATGCCTCCATCACGATGGCGAGTGTGACCGGTATTGCAAAATGGCCTCCCTACTTCCACCCACTTTGAGCATATTGGGAGCATTGCTCCTTTATAAAGCGGTTCGTCTTTTGCACTTCGTCAGACTCGCTCGCAAGACCACTTTACCCTATATCATCACACCTCTGCTCGAAACCGAAGTGCTTGCCCTCCTTCTCAATCCACCTCTCCGGTATCTGTATCGCGGATACTTGGATCGTGGCAAAGGATGGCCACGCTGGTGTCGGTTCTTCGTCAAAGATTGGGCTTGGGAGGACAAAAGACAAGCGCATGATCAATTCGGAGATGTGTTCCTTTGCGTATCTCCCGAGGGAATCATTTGTTATTCAGCGGATGCAATGATGGGCTGGGATGTGATGAATCGGCGGAATGTTTTCACCAAACCGCGAGACAAATACAGTACGATCCCTGACACTTGACTGACACCGCTCTACTTCCTTAAACTTCCCTCCACCTCCCTTCAAATTTCCCCTGCTATTCTTATTGAATGAACCATCTCTCAATTGCTTCGATGTAGAAATTCTCGAGCCCTATGGTATGAATGTCGCCACCGCCGAAGGGAAGACATACCAATTTCATGTCCGCATTACCGCCCAGCCATTCGGCGACATCTCCGGTGTCAACAGCTTGGTTTGGAAGGAGACAGTTCACCAGACCAAGCTCCTGACGAAGGCTTGGGCAAAATCCCCGCCTACCGAAATTCAACGAGATGCGAACGCCCTGACCCTTGCCGTGATTTCTTTGGCTGGCTTCGGGAAGCAGCTGGAATGGAGCAAGGAAGATGACAATCAGACCATCCCTATTGGTTATCAACTAACCTTCCTACACGCGCTTCAGGATACATTGCATAACATGGTGACGATTCTCCTCTATCCCCGATGGGTACTAAGAATTATACATCGCGAAGCTGCATTGGCGCATAGCCAATTAGACCGATATTTACGAGACATTATTCGAGATCAGGAGGCTAAGCTGACAGCTAATATTAATCACGATGATAAAAAGTCTCGCGGAAATCTTCTCACTGCAGTGGTTCGATCGTCGGTGATGTTCAACTCAGAACAGCTTTCGTCAAAAGCATCTGGAAAATCTGGTGAGCGGAAACAGGGCTTCACTGAAGATGAAACCCTGGGGAATCTCTTTATCTACCTGCTGGCTGGTTTGTTTCCCTCGATCTCCAAACAGCCTCTACCCAAATATCTTCTCTCTACCTCTCTCCACCTCTCTCTCTAACACTTGGCACGAACTCTAGGATATGAAACCACCGCCAATGCCATTATATATGGACTAGCCGCTCTCGCCCTCTATCAAGACATCCAGGACCGAGTCATCGAGGAGATTGACAAGGCACATTCGAGGGCCAAATCCGCCGATCGAGATACGCTGACGTATGAGGACGATTTCGAGTTCCTGGAATACACTTATGGGTTTATGTACGAAACCTTCAGATTGTTTCCTGGGGTTACCCTCATCACGAAGATGGTCCACCAGTCCGAGCGTATCATAACCGACAGGCCCGACGGAACTCCAAAGTCTTACGACCTCCCTGGCGGTACTCGTGTTTATCTCAATGCTCCGGCAGTTCATTATCACCCAAAATATTGGCCAGAGCCTTACAAGTTGGATCCGAACCGCTGGCGGAGTTCTCCGGGTGAAAAATACGTTGTTCCCTCGGATAAGACTCGTCAGATGAAAGGCACGCTCCTAACATTCTCCGATGGCTCACGAGCATGTCTTGGACGCAAGTTTGCTCAAGCGGAGTACATTGCATTTTTTGCAACCTTGCTGAGAGAGTACCGCGTGCGCTTGGCGCCCGGATCGGTCCGGACATCGGTTGAACGAGATCTGTTCAGGAAAAGTTCAGGGACAATCACGTTGTCTCCACTGGGAAATGTGCGATTGCAACTCCAGCCTCGCTAGTGTTGCAGAATGCGGGAACTTTGAATGTAGTCTAAGCCTGAGTTTTTGATTAAAGTATTTGTTCTAGTAAATTTACGGATCTCTATCATGTAGAGTGTTTAATGCAATTCATATCAAACCTCAGCATCTAATAAATTGCGATAAGAAGGTACTGTCCAGAAGTTCAGCATGCATCTTGTGCATGGATGGGGCAACAGCCTTGGAGGAATCTCCACTAATTTAAAATAAGAGCTGTGAAAACTACAACTACTGTAGCACAGTAGCGGATTCTGCTGTCGACAAAGTTAATTCGGCGGAGCCGGAACTAGTAACCAGTAGGTTAGTTAGAAGTCTCCAACCAGTTAGTTAGTTAGCCGGCAGTTAACTCCCAAGTCACTAATCGCAACTTGAAACCCAATGAGGCTAGCTTCCACTTAAACACCCTCAGCCCCAACTAGATACAGTTTGGGGCGGCAGCCCGTCTCATTGGCCTATGGATGGCAAGAATTCATGATAGGCCAAAGAATATAAGAAGTAATCCCCAAAAATTTGCTCATTTATCCTTGTTTTTCTTCAATTCATTTGGCCGGAGCCCATATTCGTCATGTCTCAACTAAGTCTCTATCCTCTGTCGAAGCCTGTGGCGCTGTTCGAAGAGTTCATTGCAACCCAGCCGCAGACATTAGTCTTGAAAGAGAGAATTTTCTCTCTAACTGGCGACAGCTTCGAAATTAAGTTCGACAATGGAGCACCATTTTTGAAAGTGACTGGTGCCTGGCCATCCTTTTCTGGGCGCAAGAAAGTCGAAGACATGCGAGGCAATCACCTGTTTGATATTTGCAAAGAGCATATGCATATCCATACCACATATGTGATGAAGGAACCCGATGGAAACAAGATTTGTGAAGTCAAGAACAGTCATAAAAGTGAGATTTATCCTTTAGTATAATTGTCCAGCCGTCCTTATAAGAACATAACTTCAAGTTCTGACCGTCGTACTAGTAATCGGATCCAAAGCCACCACCACCTTCACCGACCCTGGTGCCAATGAAGTGACCTTGACCATGAGCGGAAACTGGATGGACCACATTGCCAATGTTGTCGAAGAACAGACTGGTGAGACTGTGGCTCGTATTTACAGGAAGCTTTTTACTGCTCGTCATATGGTCTTTGGGAAAGACAATTATAGTGTGATTGTGGCACCTGGTGTTGACATGGCACTTATCGCTGGATTGTGTATCTGCTTTGATGAGAAAAACAATGATTAGTTAAACGGATGGTGAAGGCTTTGGCGCACAAAATGCGGAGACTTGAGATGAGACAACAAACATTTACTTAGTCCGATCAGAAGCCGTATAAATTCGGTGGCACTTGGCACTTGCACGTTGGATCCGGCCAATAGGGTTGTTACTAGGATTTTGAGCCCCTTCCAACTTGAAGCTTTACCTTATATTTTGCCCTAACATCTTCTTGTGCAACATGGGAAGATCAAGTCTAAAATTACATTTCTTTCATGTCATTAGTTTCAATCTCTATATTTCCCCAACTCAATCTCAGCACAGGGCCCAAACCACCATCTCATAGCCCTCAACTCCGTCCCATGCCACCCTGGCATCTCCTTCAGCGGTGTGGTGGGTGTGTCTACCTTGTGTAGATGATTAATAAAACGTGCGATATACGCCCCCATGAAAGGCTGCGACAGAGTTTGCTGTAGGAACTCATATTCCGTATCTGCAGAGTTATCCTTGTGTGGGAAAAGATGAGCAACCAGAAGATAACGGACGGCCATGCCGAGCGGAAATGTTGAGCTTAGTGCTGCATAGCCACCGGCGTGAGGCTTATAGGATAAAGGAAGAGCGTGGATGATCCGGTGGGCGTGCAAAGTAGGATTTCGTTCATCATGATAGTTGGGGTGCTCTGGTGAGGAGAACGGGATCGGAGAACAGTGAGTTTTAACTTGGTTTTGAATCGCCTCGTTCGCGGCGATGTGAATTGTGGTATATAGGATGATAGAACAGCTCCAGTAAAAGAAGCTCATGTGCAGCACTGGATAATCCCTATCGTCTTCCGGCAGTGGAATGGTACTGTCCGATTGGGTGTAATCGTAGGTTCCTATATCATCTCCCATGGTAATTCTCCAGGCCAGTAATTGTCGTTCCAAGCGAGAGCAATTTTCGAGCAAGTTCTCCCACGCTTGTGGGGAACCCTTTTCAATAGTGGAAGCTCGAATTATATCTAACTCTTCCAATAAGCCGGGAATTTGGACCATGATATCGGTAAGTTCCTCGAGGGGTGACTTTCTTGTGTCTTTCCAGGAACTGTCATCCATGGACCATTATCGAAGGTGGAGGACTGTCTTCGGCCAACGCTGAAAATGAACTAGATTTTGACAGATCAACACCGGAGACCCTTTGACCCAACCTGGTGTTTGGCCTTACTTACCGATACAATACGGCCACTTGCAAGTAAGTATCTTCCTGCTTCGCTCCACCTCTTATCGCAACCTCTATTCGTGAATAAGGCCATTTCACCTTCGGTATGGGCATAGTAGCCCTTGATCTGGGCAGTGGGATTTGCTCGATTTGATCCATTTGTCTCAGCACCATAGATAATCTTGTAACGTGAGCAACCTGATCATATTTCAAGGGTAACATGTGAAAGCACTAATTACCTCGTAGAAGCGAAAAAGCCTAACAGCCGCCAAAAGTCCGTCTCCAGTAGCCCTTTGCGGGTCCTGCACTGCCTTGCGCATTTCCTGCAGCGCCATGCGGTGAGCCTCGACGCCTTTGAACTTCAATTGACTATCATTATCCCTCGTTGCCAGCATTGACAGGCCATGTGCGAGCGTTATGAAGCGCAGGGTTTTCTCAGAGCGGCATAGTACATTATGGTATTTTAGCCAACCTGCAGCGGATATATATGAGGCATCCCGCGACAAGAGGCGGCCGTTTGGGAGAAAGGCAGCCAGATAAAGGCCTACATAACGGTCCTCTCTGGTAACTCTCATGAGGGAGTCATTTAAGGTAATGGTAGGTGGGCCGCTTGTGCGAGTGCGTATAACGCTAGGAGTTTTGCGATCCTCGCCGTATGTTGAGTTGATCCACACTGAATGGTGTCGACCGTAGCCTTCGCACACCAGTCCAGCCTCAACGCATTGGCCACAAAATGGTGTATTTTTGTCGCACTGTTTGAGGCCCAGGGGTGTCAGAATGAGCTTATATGAGGGAGAAACCCGAGGCCGACGGCTTGCTTCGAGGTTCAACGTACGCCTTTCTTTCTCCTGCGACAAGTTGCGCATCCACCAGATCTGCCTGGAACTCCCACCATCCCGATCCGAGTGAAGGGGTCAAAGAGAGTAGGGGAAATATTAAAAACTTGCGCGCAAAGTTACCTGTTTTGGAAGAAGTAGCAGTGGGGATCGTTGGATCCGCAGTCAGCCCTATATCACGCAGGTTTGTATGGAGGTTATTCAATTTAAAGGGCGAGGTAGTAGTCCTCTAGGGAGATCTCAGAGATATCATTTAAGTGAATGAAGCAATTTCTGAAAAGCAAATAAGATATATATGGGGGACACCAGGGGGGCGATGTTCTGCTCTGACGTTGATCAGCAACGATCAGCATCGCCGACTCGCTAGGCGACGAATTGGATCCGAGCACCAAGCACCGACGAGAGTGGCACTTTGCAGTTTCCTTGCAGTTTCAGCTGCCTGCTCGGGGACAAATCCAGTGGAGAAGGCACTTGGGCGGGTTTTGATTGGCCATCTCGTGAAGCCGACGTTAGCCCAGCGTTAGGGCAGCCTTAGCCTACGCTGAGCCTGCAAACACGATTTGGCCCCATTTCCCCAGAAGTGCAAGAACTGCGAGAGCCGTGAGAAGCATGTTCTGTATCTGTACACCCTCAACTCAGCTGCGATGACCGGGCCCCACAATCTCGCAGCAATTTTGCGATGGTCCTGTTACCGTCGTGCTCCGCGTGCTCCAGGGCTGTACGGCACGCGTTGTCCATGGCATCAACATTGGCCCCAGCCTCCACCAATCTCCTCACCGTCGTGACTGCGCCGCCTAAAGTGGCACAGTGGATTGCTGTATGCCCGCACGCATTTCTCATCTCAGTTTCGGCCCACCTCCGCTCCAGCATGAGTCCGACGACCTCATCACAGTCCAAGAAAGCTGCGACGAAGAATAGGTGACCTTGGCCCCAGCACGAACTCTGAAATGCGATGTCAGCGCCGAGCTCGACAAGTGCTGCAAATGCCTCGGCTGCGTCTTCCCCTAGAGCGGCAACGAGATAAGGACGGTCTTCGTTCTCGGCATTAGGATCCATTCCCCAACGCACTAGTTCGCGCACTGTGTTCGCATTGTTTGCTTCAGTAGCACAGTGCAGCGCATTGCCGTACCAGTTACGCAGGTACGGATCCGCTCCGTGGGCCAACAAGCTTCGAGTCGTCAGCAAATGACCGCCGGCAGCAGCATGGATGATCGGTGTAGAGCCCATCTGCGTCAATTCGTTCACGCCGTAGGCACCGCTGCCAATCAGAGTATTGAGCGCTCGCTCAAGTCCGTGTCGTGAGGCATGATGAAGCGCCGAGAAGCTGCGACACTCGCCTTTATCCCAATATTTACTGTTGCGCGGCATCGAGTACTGGCGCACCTGGTTTGAAATGGCCGTAGCCGCGGGGGAAGAGAAGAAGGTGAACAGCGTGGTCCAAACTTCCGGGTCGCCTTCGGTCTGCCGTGTGAATCGTCCCCAATACATAGCGGCCCAGGGAAGAAATGGAAACACTTTCATTCTAGACTCAATCTCGAACGAGGTCGACCAAGGTCCATCCTGAAAATCCTCGAAGACGAGATAGCGGAGGCAAGTCACCGCAATTATGGCTTCTGCTCGTGGAAAGAAATTCCCTGAGTGGTCTCGCAAGTACTCTTGGATTGCATAATGAGAAAGCCGTATACGACCTTCTCCATCCACAGTCGCTAGTCCTTGGCAACATTCGAGAATTGTCTTTGTTGTTGGACGATACTTGACGTTAACAACGGTTTGTGCGCTACGGATAGCCAAAGCATCACTGAGTTCGGCTTCTGACATTGCTCGAGTGGTGTGACAAAGCCACATAAGCGCATCCATGCCGACCCGACTGCGACTTTTGGGTAGTCGTTGGATGCGCGAAATGGTATCCGCGAATGCATCGTTAAGACTCCCTGACAGGTCCGCTATCTTGTCTTCCATTTCACCTAGTGTAGGCTCCTTTAGAATAGTACGGAGCTGTAGAACGGGGAGCAGAAACCTAGTTTGTAAGGCATTTGTTATTAGGTCACATATGGGACAGGCTGGATGGATAGAGTGGCCCTGCTTGGAAAACAGGAAATACGTACATCCCTTCTGCTCCACGCACTAGTTTCCGGACCAATCCCCTCACGAATTCTTGATCCGCAATATCATAAATTCCTCCTTGGTCGAGCTCCTGGTAGAGGTGTGTTTTGAGATCTTCCCTGTTTGCCTCGATCGGTAGGTTAGGGTAGTCCTGGAATATATCTACCGTGTCCCGAATATGAGGTCGACTCGTAACCAGCAAACGAAATTGGCGATTCCCAGCTAGATTCTGTATGCTTTGGAGGAAAGATCTCCGGTGTTCCGATTCATCAAGTCCATCAAACACTAAGTATGCACACTTCACTTCGCAAGCCAGATCAGTGAGGAATCTTTCACACTCGTGGAGCGGCATTTGGGTCCGGCGGTCGCTCTTCTCAAATAGCTCTGTCACGGCACTCGGGACATTCGGCAATTGGTCGAGAAGCTGTCGCAGGATAGAACAAAGAACTTCTGGCGTCTTTTGAGTAGATTGATCTTGGTGGTCGAAATAGAAGTATGCGACCGGTGAATCTTTGCTGGCATTCGAGTCGAGAAGTTGATCGATTATTATCGAACTGAAACATCAGCAAGTAATCCCAAATTAGCACTAGGGAGCATTACGCAATATTTGTCTTGCCCGAGCCTTGGATTCCGGGCAAACGAGAATATTCGACGCAGAGTTATCATCTCGCCACTGTATAAACTCTTTTCTCTTCATGATCCAAAGACCGGTCTCTTGTGTCCTCGATGCCTGGATCAGCTGGTGTTTCTGATAGTATTTCGAGGTCGATATCCAATTCAAAATACTCTTTCTAGCCTCTTGCTCAACCTTTACTTCATCAGTGAGCCTCTGGTCTTTCAGGATCTCAATTATCTGAAGTGTGCCCATTTGCAGTGTCTGTGTCGCCTTGAAGCTCTCCAGCTGCTGACCCATTAACTTCAAGACATCCTCCGATGTCTGCGATAAAACACGGCAACCATCGATGGATAACGCGAATTGCATCCAGTTGGTGAAATTCCGCAAGTCTTGTATAGCCTTTTGGTATTCCTTCTGAGTAAAGGGCCACAGTAGACGATTCACTCTCCCCTTCGCTTCTTGTTTGAGTGTTTTGCAAAGCGACTGCAGCTTTGCCTCGCAGGCGGCAGAGCATGTCAGGAGAACGGAATTCTCATCGAAGCGAACCGATCGTTCTGTAAAGGTGTTGCTCTTTAGAAGGGAATAGAGGTTTTTGACGTTAGCTTGCAGAACCTCAAGTTCGTTGATCAGTGCCGCAATTGACTTTCTTGCTGACCTGACGGTGTCGATGTACTCCTTGGCGGTGCTGATAGCACTGGAAATCAGAGGTAGGATTTCCCCAAGGCCAACGGCTAGAGAAATAGGATCCATTTCCAATGGCTCAGTCGCTTGAAAAAAAGAGGGAATGCACGTAAAGGCGGCTGGCAGAGGGGTACAATACTCTAGAAAGCTGGGGGTGGGGAGAAGGAGAGGTCGGTGCGGCAGGCAGCGCCAAGTGCGGCACAGCCCCATCATACAGGTTCTAGTTACTACGTAGTACATTCCTCGCTAGTATACGAGGCAGTCTTTCTAGTCCAATTAATTCGCAGACTAAGGCGTTTTGTGGTAAAATAAGCGGAGCCTCAGAACATTCACCAGCGAACCAGAGAGGACTTGGCAAATTGGCTAGTACATTTCCGTCTCAACCTACTCCGAGCTGCGAAGAACCTCGTATTTCCCAAGACAGCTTTGGAGATATTAGCAACTTTTCCAAATACGAACCCCTGTATAACCACTTTGCTCCAGGCTATTAAGTAAAGGAGAATTTACATATTGAAACCCAAGGACACTCCTAGTACAGTGTGATCCCAGCCGGCTACGGAGAGATACAAGAGATACGAAAGCGGGATCAGCAAAAACAACGATAGACGTTCATACTCCTGCATTGATACATGCGATATAGCAAAGCCCTCGGGTCTGACGTCTTTCTAGATGGGCCGAAATTCTAGAGATATGGCAGACCCCAAAGCCCTCAAGGTTTCGAGCCTCAGCAACCTAAATACAGTGACACCTGCTCCTTCTTATTGAAGGATTTTGGATTGAAGTCGGATATTGGACAGAGATTTGAAGGAACAGAAAGTTTTTCGAGGGACGTAAACACCTTTGAAGGAGACTATGGCGGTAACCAGTGACCGCATATCACCCAAATTTGGTAGCCGCGCCATATCTGGTAGAGCATATCCGCATCCTAATAAAGCCACATTTCTATTAGTGCAGATTTGGTCTAGTAGCTGTTTTAAGGTTTTTGAGACCCCTTCTCTTGTGAGCAACTTGGAAGGTTTACCATGGCATGGCTCTGGTTAGATAATCCCATTCTATCAGAACCCCTTTGAGAACCAAGATACTTCAACATGTTCTGCGAAAAATCTTAAATGGGTACTAAGGCCGCAGCAAAGAAGAGAAAAATCCATCACGGACGCGGAAGTTTTTGACCTCGACATTCAACGTCCTCTCTACATATGGAAGGAGCGCTGCCTCTACACACGGCAGGTACGATCGTTGAGACCCCTAACATGGTCACCCCTAACATGAGTCCGGCTTGATTATGCCAACTACACTTAACACTTCCTCTACTGATCTGATTTCCCAATGGCTACTACCTCAGTAGGTACCTCTGTCGCCATCTCGGTAGATACTCCAATAGATACCACGACTGATATCTTGGCAGGTACTGCACCGCATACTTGCATATATAAATTGGTCGCTCAATCGCTCAATTCGAGCCCTGGTGCCCATTTAAACCGAGAATCTGTTCCTGAGTATAAAGTGTACGTAGTCCCGGAAGTATACAGATTGATAAGACCCGCATTACCCGTGCCAATGGAAATTGCCAGTGCTGACCCACATCTGTGGAATGTGAGGTTCGTCAGCCACACAAAGCCCCACTTGCCGCAGCCGCGATCTAAGATGTTCTCAACATCTCCATTGCCCATTTACTATTCTGGGAATGGCTCTAAATACAGATAATAAATAACATGACTTACATCCACTCGAAGAGAGCTTATTTCTTCTCTCGTGGCTAGGCTTCTTCATTCTTGACGCAAAAATCAACGTTTTTCGTTCGGACATCTAGAACTTCGCGATGAACCTCTTCCATTAATTTCTATGCTCAGAACTAGAAAATGCATTGGAAAACTATTTTCAAAAGCGGTATTCTCAATCGGGCTCTACATCTTTTCGAAGGAGATATAGCATTTGTGCTCCTGCTTAAAGTTAATTCGAGGCAACTATACTCCATCAGAAACCCTTGAACATACCGCAACTTTACTATGCGTGGCATCGGAGAGGACCTCAAATCGACTGGTTGCACCCGGGGAGATGCCCTGAAAACTTGGTTTCAACGATGTCGAGTATTTCCTGTATAGATCTGTTGCCAAGGTTGTCATCTCGGCCATCGCAAGACTATTTGTACACCGACCATTAGATTCCGCGACCAAATCTCCCACAATTCCATGTCTACTTACTGCATGCCAATACACATTCTTGCTCCGCTTGAGAAAGACCAAAACCATCTATTCAGCTCAACAACATCTTCCTCCTCGCCCAACCATCGATCCGGGTTAAATGATGTCGGATTTTCGAACACTTGAGCATTGCGATGAATAGAAAACGGCGACATGCTCACGGTGGTGCGAGCCGGGATGGCATACCCATCAATTGTTGAGTCGGCAGGAAAGCTCCGAGGCTCCGAGGCTGGTAAAGGCGCATAAAGTCGCAGTGTCTCTTTAATAACAGCGTCAAGATACCGCAACTTGTCGCATGTTTCGACAGAAGCAATTCCATCCTTGTTAAACAAGTCTGCGGGCATCGATCGAATCTCTTCCTGGAGTTTCCGCTGGAACTTCAGATTCTCGGGTCGCGAAATGGCCCAAATCATGAACATCAAAGAATCAGATGTCGTATCAATACCGGCAAGCAGATGGTCCGCGCATTCTGAAGCAATTTCCATATCGTCGAGGCCATTATTCTTCTGACTCTCATGGCTTTGCCACAAATTGCCAAGTATTGTATATTGCTGCGCTTCTTTGCTATCGTTCGAGGACTCTTTAAATCGGTACCAAGCATCCAAGGCGTGAACACGAATCCCTGTGTATGTTGTCGGTTTGCTCATTGGATATAGTTTCCGTAGAAACGGTTCCAACACACCAGTAGTGGAATAGAGCCACTTCGTGAAGGATGGCAAATGCACAACAAACCACGACAGTTTTTGGCGGTCGGGGTCCAATATGTCATTTAGCAAGTCACGGTTTGCCCCTTTCAAACACTTCGTCCTGCCGAAGTTTCCATAAACAAAATCCGTGATTGAATCCAATGAAAAATAATGCAGACTCGAAAAGAGTTCCTCTGCACTTTCGGGATCCTTCTCAATCAGACTTAGATAGTCCAGGACTTTCTCTTGAATCATATTCGAGGATCGTTTGGTGATTGCCGATTTGGAGTATGCATGAGCAAGTAGCCTTTTCCGTTGGGAGTGTTCTCGGACCGATGCAAAAGTGAAGAGATTCTTTTTGGTGTATACGTCGAACATGCTATAAAATGAAGTTCTTTCAAATCCACTGCCAGCACCATATATAGTCCTTAACGCCGAAAGGCTGTTAAACGCGACCTCATTCGGACCGATCCGCACAGCGGGATCGTATCTTTCGTGAAGCTCGCAGATGCGGCGGGTGCGTGTTCCTTTCCAATCATCGAGTGCGAGTCTCCACTTCGTGAGTGCGTATATTTTCGGTCCTGGAATTCGAGCAAGAGGTCCATTCAAAAGAGGAGAGATGATCGAGTGAAGGAAAAAGATAACCGCGACTCCGATCACTCCGGTAGCTAAGGGTGTTGATATCATGGCTACTAGATGTAGATGGGCGTTCAGTAGCAATGCCCAACAATCGTCTAAATAAAATTGAGTCACTTCTCGAACAACATTATTTGCGAAACAATCCATCTCTTACTTTATATCTTGTGCTTCTTTCTCCCTTCGCTCCCTTCGCTTCCGCCTGCCATAGTCGGGTAGCCCGATGATACGCACCTGCAAGGAAAAGAGGGGCCGTACAGTTCTCATTTGCAAATATATGGATGGTATCTGGCTTATCGATGTTCTCAACAAACCAAGTCTCGAAGTGGGGTGATCTATGCCAGTTGAAGGTATATTAATGCGGGGTACAGAGGAAACAGACGTATCATCTTTCGTATTCTTTCGGATCAGCCGATGTGCCCAGGATCCCATGTCTCGGCTTCCTTCAATTTGGCCGATTCCAAGACCCTCTATGCGGATAGGATAAGAAAAAGCAGGAATTGACAAAAGGAATCAGCAAAGTGTGAGGGCTCGCATTTCTATGAGCCTCTTGCAAATTGTGGTCATCTTCGCTTTATTCTGATGATTGCTAGCGCCGCTTCACATGGTTGATAGAATATCTCTTCAGCCTGAGCCCTCCTCCGGTGATCCTGGAAGAACCTTTTATGCAAAGATCGAGCTTCTTAAATGCACTGTCCATGGGCTGCTCTCATACGGCCCTCTAACACCGAGAAGTAGTAGACCAGCACCATTACTAGCAGACCTCCATTTACCCGAAAGCTTCGCGATGTTGGTCTGATATACGCCATGCTTCTTCCAAATCTCTTGGCAACTCAACGACCTATCCTCGTTTAGGATAAGCTTTTGTGTAAGCTGAACTGGCTAACTACTAGTATAGTATAGTACAGTCTTGCTATACACAGGGCCGTAGTAGGCTACCCGGGCGGCCTCTTTCCTAACTACTAACTACTACTAGTATTAGTATACATTGGCCGCCAGGGCCAGAATGTATACCACCCGAAGAATACGGTATTCCATCTCAAAATTAACCCGACGAGAATTTCGATAGCTACTAGTATTGACCTCAGTGGCTTGAATTTTCCCTCCCTGGTATTCTACTTTGCTATGTCTTTCCCGCGCGGCGGAAGGGGAAGCCGTTGGACGTCATTGGGCGTCTCCACCACAATCGCGCAAGTCAACTCTTCTCCGGGGAAAATCCATTATCATCCCCATCTCCATCTCCAACTACATCTCCACTCCCTTGCACTGCATCACTTGGGCCTTGGGGAAGCCTTTTATCCACCGACTTGAATTTCTACTACTACTCCATTACACCTGCCCTACCACTGGACACCCCTGTGTCTGGCCGTTCCCCTTACTGTGCGAATCCCGAGGATGCCGCCTCCCAACTCGGCATCGGTATGCCTCCTGATTTGATTTCCAAAGGTTCCCCTTGAAGAAGCTCATCTAACCCAAACTCCCACTAGCACGGAACTCCTGATCTGACGCCTACTGCCCCGACATCCCACCCCGAGTCTGAGTCCTCTTCCCAAAGAGGATCGTCATCGCGATCGTCCCACACGGATTCCCCGGTCCCTACCGACGACGATAACATTCATGACGAGAATGTAAACTTCCTCCGCTCGCGCTCCCTCCTCTACAGTCCATACCACCCACCTGAAACCTCCGTCAGTCGATCTCGTCGCCGTCGAGATCCAACATCCCACCCTCGGCCAGTAGACGAAACGGATCGCATGGACGTGGACGACCCCGACCACAACAGCAACTTGCGCCTGTCAGTCGAGATCAACCGTCGCATCCCCATCGTCCGCCGTCAGCGAGAAGATATTACCAATACCAACATGCCGAACTACGAAACACACCGGTCAGATCCTCGCTCGCTCTATGGTTGGGCTCCAGGCTCCGACGATGAAGAAGATCCACGACATGGCGAAGAGTCCGATGATGACCAGATCCAACCATTCCTCCACGCGATCTCGGACCGCGCCGCATCATCTAGCCGTCCCCGAAGACACGAATCAACCGGTCGCACCCCACCTATCAGACCCGGAGACGATCATGGCGAAGGGAGCAGCCGACTAAGAACCCCGCCACTTGCGACGATGGAGGCTTTGCTACAGTCAGCCAGACGACAACCAAGGCTGTCGCGAACTCGGACACTGGAGAATTATTTGCTGGACAGATATGCAAACCGGTCTCACGAAGACTCCGATGAGACCGACCGTGCAGCCGCCTCGTCCTCAACCTCCTCATCACGAGCCTACCGATACCGACCTTCCAACCGTGGCGACAATACCAGGCCGCTTACACATACCGATCTGCGTGCTCGCGCATCTGCGCATCGGCAACTTCACTCGGCAGCCCCAGCGACACACTACTGAAGAATACAATCACCTACCTGGATCGTCTGCGATATTCAAGCTCGTTCGAGGAGAGCATTAGCTCCGCTGCTGCCACAGGATTTCTCTTCGAGAACTTCCATTGGAAAGACAGCGACTTCATCTTGGAGACAAACACAATCGCTCCACCGGCTACATGCTCTTGGCTCCGACCTGGTGTTGTTTTCTCGGGTTGCCAGCGCGCGGCGAATACAGGCTCCATACTTTCGCAACGATTGTCAAATACTCGGGCCCCTGGCGACCCGGTCATTGTCAACGGTGGCGACGAGCCTCGGATCAACGTGTATACCACCAATGGACGGCGATACCTTGCAAATAACCGGGAAGAGAACTGGCCTGTCAAGGTCACAATCCACAACATCAACCACACGGAGATGACTCTGTCCGGCACCATGGAGGCATACAACATTCCCGACAAAACTTCGCCTACTCATGATGCACACATTGTCACTTTCCTAGAAGGTGAAATCATAGATTTCAACCAACATACACTAGAAACGAAGAACTTCAAGGCGGATGCCGATATCGACAGCACGTATTGGCGAGAACTGCAGCCGTTCAAGGACCTCACGGATTCCGAAATCGCTAAGAACTTGGTGAGCAGGAAGTGGATCACCGAGCAATTGGCTAAGGGGTGGATCCTGATGCGATGGAAAGGTGAGCCGAAGCCCTCTTCCACTCCCCCACCAGATACTACATGACGAAATATACTAATCTTCCGAGCAGAGCGGTGCTTCATCACCCCCACCGACTCGCGTCAAGGCCTCACTATTTCCGGTTTTTACTACATCTCTCTTCGCCGAGAGGATGGACAGATTGAAGGGTTGTATTATGACCCTGGCAGCTCCCCATATCAACAACTGTCTCTAAAACCAGAGACTCCGAAAATGGTTCGTCCATCGTATACCTTCCGCTAGATGAGCTTCCCCCAGACATTGGGTCTGCTCGTCTCTGCCTTCCAATTCCAGCGGCGAGAAAAGCCGTTCCATCGGCGGCGGGATTTACAATTGCGCCTCAATTCGGTGGTGAACATATTCGCACTATGGCATTTCACATGACGATTGGTTCTTTGCATAGCTGGGTGGCGTTGCATATTTTTGTTTTTTTTCTGGGCATCTTATTCGGCCTCTCCGGGTCGACTGTTGTACATTTTGGGTGGGTATTCTACTTTCTTCCAGGGACATTTGTTTACGTCAAGCCGCTTCTGTCTTATCTATGAAAAAGCATGATTTGATTTGATTTCATTATTTCCGTGTCCACAGCAAATATCCACTTCCCCAGAGTAGCCCCATATTCTCCTCACCTTTTGCTGCGCCATTTGTTTCTCTCGCTTGTAGTTACTGTTGCAGACCAGTCTAATTCCCAATCTTCACGTAATGAGAACCACTTCCTCCCCCGTTTCCCCATTTCCCCAATCTCCCAACCCAGTCCCTTCAATCCGGGGATGCGGGGTGTTCTCCAGGGGCTTCTTCACTCCACAACCAAACTCTCTCAAAAGGCAGAAGTAGTCTTAGTCGCGCGTTGCCGATCTCAGCCACGCGATAAGCGACCACATCATCCGCGTGGACCTACCCGATCCTACGATGACCTCGGATCGTATCGTGCAGTGTTACATGACCCTGTCGATCACCAGGCTTCACGCCTTACTCTTTTCGTCATACCCTCCTGCAGTATGAGGGCCGTTGAGCACATCAAGGGAGCAAGGTCTCGCAGGACTATTTATTGATCTTGTGTCCGCGGCCTTCGAAGCTGACATTGCCAATTACTCCCCGCTTGACTCATCCAAGCGCAATGCAGCTTCACCATCTTCCTTTCTTGGCAGCCTTGGCTGGTTGGTCGATCCAGCCAGCTTTGGGTGTGCCGCATTCTCCAAGGGATCAAGAACAGGCACAGTGCAAGAAAACCACTGTGGCGATTCTGTAAGACACGCGCGAATTGGCTTTAGCTGAGATGATGCTGTCTCCTGACTGACATTGACACTGACACTATTTCGTAGGGGTGGTGGAATTGCCGGTATTTCGGCTGCTGTAAGATTCGCTTATTAACTATTTTTGAGCATTGCGGATGGTTTTACTGACTAGTAATAGCAAGCTTTAACCAATGCCTCGGTTCACGACTTTGCGATTATCGAGTATCGTGACACCATCGGTGGTCGTGCATGGCACAACCCCTTTGGCAAAGGCCCGGATGGGAAGCCATATACTATCGAGATGGGTGCAAACTGGGTACGCATCTCGAGTGAATTAATTAGGTTATTGCCAGCTAACAAGTTGGCAAATAGGTTCAAGGACTTGGGAACCCCGGTGGCCCGCAAAATCCTATCTGGACTCTGGTATGTCTAGGTCTAAGTTCACCCTCCTGCTCATCTGAGACTAATGTTGTGACTTGAACAGGCCCAGAAATATAACCTCAAGACTCACTACTCAAACTATGATAATATCTCGACCTACAATGAGCATGGTTACTCTGATTACAGCAAGCTTCTCGATGACTATGATAATGCATATGAGATCGCCAATCAAAAGGCAGGAGAAATCCTGACTCAAAACCTGCAAGATCAAACTGCCCAGTCCGGTATGGCTTTGGCTGGTTGGAACCCCAAGAAGCATGATATGGAGGCCCAGGCTGTCGACTGGTGGAAATGGGGTACGTTCAGCCTCTACTTTGACACATAGTGGTCGTCAGTCAGTCCAATGCCGGTGCTAATCAATACATTCCAGATTTCGAGGACAACTTCACCCCATTGGAAAGCTCTCTGGTCTACGGCTGCGCAGGAGACAATCTCACCTCTAACGTCTTCAGCGACCACGACAACTTTGTCACTGATCAACGTGGTTTCAACACGATCATCAAGGGAATGGCCTCCGATTTCCTGAAAGGAGACAACGACCCCCGCCTTCACCTGAATACCGAAATCACCGATATCGAATACCACAAGGACGGCGTCACCATCCACAACAAGGATGGCAGCTGCATCACAGCCGCATACGCAATCTGCACCTTCTCCCTGGGAGTCTTGCAAAGCGACGCCGTAAAGTTCACCCCGTCCCTACCGGAGTGGAAGCAAACCGCGATCCAGAAATTCACTATGGGAACCTACACCAAGATATTCATGCAGTTCAACGAGACCTTCTGGCCCACGGACACCCAATACTTCCTCTACGCAGACCCGGTCATGCGCGGCTGGTACCCGGTCTTCCAATCGCTCTCGATGCCCGAGTTCCTACCAGGATCAAACATCCTCTTCGTAACCGTCACCAACGAACTAGCCTGGCGCGCAGAACGACAATCCAACGAACAAACCCAAAGCGAAATAATGGCCGTTCTCCGCAAAATGTGGCCCGAAAAGACCATCCCCGAACCAACCTCCTTCCTCTACCCACGCTGGAGTCAAGAGCCCTGGTCCCGCGGTAGTTACTCGAACTGGCCCCCGTCGACAACGCTGGAAATGCACCAGAACCTGCGCGCCAATGCGGATCGTCTCTGGTTTGCGGGTGAAGCTACCAGTCCCACTTACTTTGGCTTTTTGCATGGTGCTTGGTTTGAGGGCCGGGATGCGGGGAGGAATATTGCGGCTGTTATGAAGGGTCATTGTGTTCATCCTGAGTCGAAGAAGTTGAAGGAGTGTGGTCAGCGTCGCCATTATGAGACGCTTCATGGTACTTCGCCTTTGGCGGATTATAGTGCTGTTAATGGGTGGACGGCGAATAGCTTTTATGATAGCAATACTGATTAGTTAGATGGTGTGTACATAGTCCGTGGATAGATTTAGTGATATATTAAGATTTGAGATGTTGATGGGTCGTTTCGATCAAGGTTGAGAATATGAGCAGCTGTAGATGAATGTGCAAAGTCATCAACCGGGGACACGAGTGGTTTCATGTTCTTTTGGACTCTAATCATCACGGTAGATGAACGTTGGTAACTCATAACAGTTGGACTTGCTCATGTCGACAATCTCATGTTCAACTCGACGAGTGTTTCGAATTTAAATTATCTTACTGTGCCCAGTGGCCGAGCTACGGACAATGTATCCGTCTTCATTCCGCACGGATGGAAGTGTTACCAAATTGGTAACCAGGAACAAGGACAAAATAAGGTCATAGGATTTCATTAAAAATTGATTCATTCATCTAAACAGTATGTGACGCCCTCTTCCCGACAACACCCTATGGCTTCCCGGGAGGGGGAAACACCAAAGCGTAGAGAGTGTTTAGGAAAGAGAAGCGTCTTCACTCTCCAGGGCCGGGAACGGAAAGAATTCCACGAAGGCCGAAGCATTTCGGAAATCTTTCAGCAAGCCACAATGTGGAGCCCCAATTTGATTTACATCGTAATGTAAACTGTAGATGGAGAAGAAAAAGGAAAAGAGAAAGGGAGAAGTTGCCGGGCCGAATTTATTGCTCAGAGAATTCCCGCGCTAGTGGGGTTCACCGCTCCTTTATCCGGACGGGCTGGCGGGCAGAAAATGAGTCTACCAAGTAGACACATAGGCACGGAGTAGAACTTGAATTTCAGATATATCATAAAATTGATCGGTGCGAAAGAATATGCACTTAAGAGTAGATAGCATTTAAGTTTTTTTTTCTACCTGGAATGAAGAAAAGGGCCACCATTCGTAATAATTAGGGCTGGTCAATGATCGAAATTCTAGATCTAGCTATTCCTCTGACAATTTCCAAGGTTCATACATCTAGAATCTACATATCGACCTAGCTCACACACTTTGGTTAATTCAAACTATTCTCTGGTCGGGCCGATAATTTGCAGCCTTCTCGGATATTACAGCCGGAAAAGATTCATACTAGCCGGAGGATGCCCCACGGTCTCGTCTAAAGCCTAGCTCAGTACTAGTAGATCCATACTAGGGTCCCTTGCATATATATGCTTAACTTGAATCAGACTCGGATACTAATAAATTCGAATTTCCCTCAATTCAAGCTCTAGGTGAACTCCAAGTAGAATATTCACCACCCCCTTAACAAATGGAAGTAACTAGACTCCGGGGTCGGGGCCCACTCCGAGACCCTGGATTTGCGGGGGCCGTGACAGTCGGAGCCGGGCCACTTGCTTCGGCAATCCGTGTGGGCATCGACATTTCCGGAGCAACTCCGAGTGAAACTCCAGATTTTGTGCCCCTCGTCAAGCTTCTGTCTGTTTTTCTTTTCTCAATTCAAACTCCGTTTGTCCGGTCTTGAGAATCTACATCGCTACGCATCTTTCTACAAGCATTCCAACACAATGGTCAAGATCAAGACCATTGAATACTTCCGAGTCTTGCCTCGATGGCTATTTGTCAAAGTCACCGACGAGGAGGGACAGTATGGCTGGGGCGAGAGTACTCTCGAAGGCCACACCGAAGCTGTGGAGGGTACCCTCAACGCCTTGTGCAAGCGCTTCGTGGGTTATGAGGCGGAGTAAGTCTAAACCACTACATCCTTTCGCAAAATACAACAACACTAATTAATATCTCTTCTTTCAGTGATATCGAACATATTTGGCAGATGGCGTGGCGTCTGGGATTCTACCGCGGCGGCCCTGTTTTCATGTCCGCAATCTCCGGAATCGACATTGCCCTCTGGGACCTGAAGGGCCGCCGACTTGGCGTTCCCGTCTACCAGCTACTCGGGGGAAAGGTTCGCAACAAGCTGTCTGTTTATGCCTGGATTGGTGGTGATCGTCCCTCGGACGTGACGGCTGCGGGAAAAGCTCGCCTTGCACAGGGCTTCAAGGCAATCAAGATGAACGCCACCGAGGATGTAAATTGGCTTGATTCACCTAGTGTTTTGGACTCCAGTGTTGAGCGTCTCAAGGCTATCAAAGCTATTGGTTTAGACGCGGCTCTGGATTTCCATGGCCGTCTCCACAAGCCCATGGCTAAGCAGCTAGCCAAGGCGCTGGAGCCACATCATCCTCTTTTCTTGGAAGAGCCCCTTCTCTCAGAACACCCAGAGGCAATTAAGCAGTTGTCGGATCAGGTGTCTTGTCCAATTGCTCTTGGAGAGCGACTCTTCAGTCGGTGGGATGTTAAGCGATTCTTGGAGGACGGCAGTGTCGATATTCTCCAGCCGGATATTAGCCATTGTGGTGGTATTTCTGAGATCCGACGTATCGCTTCTATGGCGGAGACTTATGATGTTGCGATTGCGCCTCATTGTCCTTTGGGGCCGATTGCGCTGGCTGCTTGTATGCAGGTTGATCTTTCGATTCCAAATTTCGTTATCCAGGAGATGAGTGTCGGTATTCACTATAACACAGAGGCTGGCGAGTACGATATCTCGAGCTACGTGAAGGATCCCAAGGTTTTTGATGTGAAAGATGGCTACGTCGATGCGTTGACCGCACCGGGTATTGGGATTGAGATTGATGAGGAGGTCGTGCGAAAGGTGGCCCAGAATACGGAGCCCTGGCAGCCTAAGGAGTTCTTTGGACCAGATGGATCTATTCGGGAGTGGTAGAAATCGGGATCTGCCAGTGCATTATAACTTGAAGGTGGAAACTGCATAGGAGCGAGATAGAAGGGATTGAGTCCGAGTTGTTGGAGTTGTATACTGCATTTCCCTGATTTTGAGAGCGACAAATATCAATTTGGGCTGTACAAAGTTCTCGGATTGAAAATGATCTAAATATAATCTAGCTCTAGATAATTTCTAAATATCAAGACATATTCTAAACCATTTCTTACTTACACAAAACACTTCACGACTGCCGCGCGGCATTACAGTCATCTGCCAACTGTACGCATTGGAGGATCATATTCCAAAACGCATCAAGATCAACACCTCTGGGAATGGCAACTCCGGATCCATTAGCAGGCGTTGCGATGGATCGCCCCAGCTGGCCAGTCACAGACACATCTTTGCTATGCTCGCCATCAGTGACGATCTTAATGTTGAATCGCTCACCTCCTTTATCATCAAACTTGAGCACCTGGTCAGGGTGACTCGAGGCAAATGCAGGGTTCAGGTTCGACAGAATAAAGGCAACGGCGAGGGGGTCGTGGAGCGGAGGCCCCGTGGCCAAACCAAAGATCTTTTCATACGTTGAGGCAAAAAATAGAAGTAGATCATGAAATATCTTTCGAATGACGGTCGGGGTCTTCGAATCACTAGATCCATGCAAAATGCGCGTCTGCACTTCTTGTGAGGCCAGAACCTGGTGTGTCAAGTCCAGGCTGGCAATTGAGGTCTTCGGGGCAACGATAGGGTTGCTGAAAATGGATTCAGCAGACTCAGGGTCGCACTGTATGTGTTAGTATATGGTGATGGCTGCCTGTAGATAATGCTGTAAACGAATGAACTCACGTATATATTGAACTCGGCCCATAGGGTCACATTTCCGATACGAGACTTTTCTCCGGGCAGTCTACTCATGGGGGCATCTGTGAATCCCTCACCAATAGCGCCACCCATAATACTTAGACCTTGGATATGCTCCGCCACTTCGGGAAATGTTGCGAACAGCAAAGCCACGTTGGTCAGAGTTCCCGTTGCAACAACCCACGGAGTACCTTTGGGTTGGGCAAGAAGCGCATTTCGCATGGCCAGAATTGGATTTTGGTCGAGGATTGGTGGCTGCGATGGCTTTGGCAAGAGATCTGTACCATCGAGACCAGAGTCGCCTGTTGACAAGGATTGATCAGCATCATGATACCTTCCAAGGTTTGTATATATAGAGACCATTGGACTCCATGGCTTGTACAGGGTAGCGCTAGTACTACTAGAAATTCTTATAAAAAGAAACGAATCTGTCTTACCGTGAATATCAGGGGCATGTAGGGCAGGTCGAGAAAATGGCTTGCGGCATCCAGGATAGACGGGGATCTCCGGCCGTCCAATTGCTTCTAATATACTTCCAGCATTGTAGGTGGTATTTTCCAGCGAGGCATTTCCATGGATGGTAGTGATGCCTAGAAGATTCAATGAAGGGTGGTGCGCAGCAAGCAATATGGCGAAGGCATCCTATGTCATTCAGTCAAGATACACGTATCAAGAAGCATGAAGTGTTTACATCGTGTCCTTTCATGAGTCAGTCTCTGGTCATAGTCATCTGGGATACAACGAAGATAGAATAATACCTACCAGGATCACAGTCCAGCCACACTGGAGTGGGCATATCTGTGCCAGAATTGATTGTCATAGTGAATGTCCGAATGACTTTAAAGAGTAGAGAAAATATCCCCGCTGGGCTGTTACATCGTCAAAGCGGCGCATGAAGGTACCCTAAGTCAGAGGCCCCCCGCACTGCGATAAGCCTCTTATCTTTCCGGCCCTAAGCCCTAACGTCCCAATCGGGCAGCTAGTTCAACTTCGCGGTGACAACAACTTCGACACGTCGGTGCTTTCCAGAAGGGTTGACGCCCTTGCACGTTGTGTTCTCATCTGAAAGGAACTGGTTCCAAGAGAGACACGGGGTCTTGAAATGATATGGCAGACTCTTCGCGCCTTGGTCTACAGCCAGTTTCCCATCTTAAGGCTGGTCCGACCACCTCCAGCTCCAGATCGACTGCGCTGCCTTTAGCTAGCCAACCACCCCTCGCACGACCTTCATCTAGACTGCGAACACAAAAGCCCTCTGCTAGAGAGGACCCGGTTGATGCCACCAGCGAGAAGGCTACTCTTGCCTTGATTCGACGCGTGCTATGTCCGCAGACGAGCAACCACGGCGCATCCTCTCCACCGCCTCCAGAAGACCTACTACCTCCCCTCACGAGCTCCAATGACGTTGACCGTCAGCTATACGCCTTAATCGCTATTATAATAAGAGAGTTCCTGTACTCATGGTACTCCAAGATCACCCCTGACCAGGCACTTGTCAATGAGGTCCTACAGGTCGTGGCACATTGTACCCGTGCCCTGGAACAGAGAATACGCCAGATCGATGTCGCACAGCTGGTTTTGGACGACATCCCGGTGTTAGTGGAAGCACATATACTTTGTGAGACACCTATTTCTTGAATATCCTGGGATATTTCTATTCTGGTGGTCTCTACCACTGCTGTTGCATGACTTGGGTGAACGCAAATGCTAACCTGTGGAATGATATCTAGCTTACAGACAGGCAAGGCAACAGTCGCATCTTTCGGGGCTTTCAACGTCACATCGTGCTCTTTACCATCAACTGAACCCTCATCCTGGTCTGTTTCCAGTCCCGGATCCGACAGACCCAGATACCATAGGCGAGCAAAACGAGAATGAAGCTATCTATCGGCGGCTCTTAGCCAACGGCACGCTAGCAGTACTACTGCCTACAGAAGATCTCGAGAATAGCAGTCTCCGCACCCTAGTGAGCGATGTGATAGCCGATCTGATACTGGGAAAGGAGGTTGCTGGTCGTATCTGCGAAGGAAGGTTCCTCTGGGAAACGACAACCAAATTGCTCACTGTAGCTCAGAACCGGCGGACCGGACAGGATTCTGGTTCATCGGGGAAAACTACCAGTAGTCGGCTGGAGCAGTTTGGACTACTCCATGAGGACTCGGGAGAGTCCCAACCTCCCACCCAGTCGCCAATTACGGCCTGGATATGGCACACCCTCCAGGGCATATACCTTGGTTACGTTGCCTTGCGTTTCATTGTGACGGGACTCTTCCGCGTCGCATCCTCTCCAGGACCGGGAGCCTCGCACGGAGCCAGTGTTTCATTTCCCACTGAAACGCCAGAGACCCAGAAGGAGGGGATCGAGTCGTCGTCAGACGGCGTCGCGTGTAAGCGCCCAGTTCTCGACTACCGATTGTCGTCCATGGCATCACAGCTACTTGGCATTTCCGAAAGAATGCCATGGCTGACCGGATTATTCGCACTCGTCCGACACCTCATTCTCGCGGGCCCGGGTAAGCTCGGTGACACAGATAGTGTCCTTGACAGGTACGTCTATATCTCATTTCTATTATATTTGTATAAGCCCGGAGTATTTGTCTTGCCCTTGTGTACGCCCCTTATGGCTCGGGCCTCCCGAGACCGCATGAACTCAGGACGGTGGAGCAACGGTGCGATCTCCGAACTGCGATCTACGAGAGTCAAGTGTCACCCTGTGCGAGTCATGGTGGGATAGCGAAGCGTCTTGCTCGCATACTGCATCGATCACTTGATCTGATTACCGTTGTTACGAATTGGTACGGTCACCTTACGGTGTGTCTGACTGGCGGTACCGTCGTTACGGTCATACAAAACCGGCGAATCCGAGATCAGATTGGTTGCCTCGACTTGGTCCGAGCGAAGGCGATTTGGGAACAGGGATCCTCTTCTCTCCTGCGTCTCATTTTTTTTGCTCTCGGTGTGATAGCGCCGGGGCCCGGCCCTTTCCGTGCCGCGTTCCCTTTGTTCCCTATTTTTCGTCATGTCGCGAAGGCTGGGGGTGTGGAGGATGGGAAGTGGATTGATGATGGGAGTCACTCTCTGGAACGGCCAAGCCAGCATCTCTTTTTCTCGACACCCGATTTGACCTCTACTCAGCCATGCCGCTAAGAGGGAAATGAAATGCAGCCCACTCGAAAAAGCATGGGAAAACAGAGTTTTCTGCCTGCCGAACCACGTTCAACTTCTGAGCATAGCAGAGGAGGAGGGGAATCGAAATCGCGCATGAGCAGAAATCGTCTGATGCCGATCCCCTGCGGCGATGGATGGGTTGGTCCATCCCTCTTTGGGCACATGCATGAAGAAAGACTTCTTGGCCGAAGCTAGTGATTTTCCCGTCAGGCATCCAATGAGCGAAATTCGTCGCGGATGGGGTTTCGAATCTGCATTGCGACCGAGGTTGGCGCATATGCCCGCCCTGTGCGCCAGGTACGGCTTGCTGGGATGTCTATCCGTCTCCGGAGAGCATCTACTTCTGCTCCTGCGTCTGCGTCTGCATCTGAGAGGGGAGCTGCGAAAGAAACAGGGGAAAGAGGGGACGAGCAGCAACGCCCGCCTCACTTTTACCACTCATTAAGGGCCCTGGTTCGTGGAGGTTTGACACCCCTGTTGCAGCAGGATTGGCCCAAGCTCCTCGTCTTCCACACCGGGGCCGATCGGGCTCCGCCTCCCCCACTTCGCAATCGCCCTAAAATGGCGGGAAGGATGAAGCTCTTCCTCGCAGTGGGCAAACAAAACGGGAAAAAACACACCCCGACCGCATGACGCTACCTCAACGTTGCCGGTACTCCACCGTCGCGAGGGATTTTCATTTCTATTTGGAATTTGATTTTGGTTCTGCTTGCTCGCTACTCGGCTCTCCCGATGTCATATGTAATATTTGTGTTTTTTTTTAAGAGATCGTTCACTGACTCCACAGATTTCTCCGAGAAACCATTGAGGAGCACGTCCTGACCCCCACTTTGTTGCCCAACCTTCTCCTCGCAACAAGGACGGCCCTCTTCCCAGCCAATGCCCGGCCGCAATCTCTGGGTGTGCCCTTTGTGAATATTGAAGCGCCCGCTCCGACTCCGCAGGCGTCCGTGCAGTCTTCGGCGGGAGGCAAAGCCCTTGCGACCCCAAAATCCTCCTCCTCTGTGCCCATCCTAGAAATAGGAAAGGGCACTGCGACTACCCAAGTTGATCACGAAAGTAACAGCAATAATGATAGCAACAGCAACACTGTCAGCGGTGGTGGCACTCACGCGCCACGAACATCATCCCCAGGGCCGGCAATAGCAATTACCCCGACAGCATCTCTCTCGGCAGTCGACACGACCAAAGCTTCTGCCAGCGGGACGCCAATAACGGGATCGGAGAAAAAGCAAGACCTGGCACGCCCTAATTCGGAGATCGCCGCTATCAAGCGGCGATGTGCAGCTAGTCTCCTCGCCGTGATCCCGCGCAGCGTCGCACGAACCTTTTTCGCCGCTCCGACTTCCTCTAGCAGTGATCGTTCCTGCAGCGCCGCCAGTGGTAGTTTGTCCTCCCTCACCACCATCAGACCGTCCCCACCCACATCACGAGATGAGGAGAAATGTGGGGTCCCGCCCCGATCGTTTCAGGGAGCCAAGTCAACGTCACAGTTGCCCGAGTCGACCTCCACGTCTTCAGGCTCGAGGATGAGTGGTGGCAAGACTGGGATTGAGCGTCTGCATGTCGACGAACGAGATGGCGAACAAGATAGTGTTGATTTGGAAGAGTTGTATCTTCTGGAGACTATCGAGGATGATCTGTTGGATCTTTTCGCCGACGAGTACTGTAACAAACATTTGATCTATTCGATCATCGAGACGGTCTTGTCCAAGGTTCTGCCGGAAATGACGGAACGCAGTGTTCTGGATCTCATGGAGGATCGGGGGGTGACCCCCATTCCTGGCGGGTTCTAGATTCGACCCGTAACTACATTTTGAGGGTTCCTGCATTACGCGGAACCTTGTGAATACACTTTAATGAAGGGCGAACTAATCTAATATCTACCCAAACTCTTTTTGGGCACTAGCAAGTTTGCTGCTATTACCTAGTATGAGATGGGCACGCGTTCAGCCGTAGAGAAACAAGTAGCACTGGATTCAGGGGCTGGGGGTATCGTGTAATACTAGGACTAAATATATGAAGCCATGAACACAATCCCGGTGAACACTCAATGTTCTGCCGACAAAATGTGATGGAGGAAAAATGCAAAGAGAGAGGTAGGATGATGGAGGAGAAAATGAGCAGAGTAGGTAAACAACCTTGGAAAGACAGGATTAATCTGACAGTGGATGACCGGCTGGACTCGTAGAAGATCCCAGCAAATTATGTTCTTTCCGCGCGAGCGGCTCAGTTTAAAGAGAATTGTAAGATAGAGTCCGAAGGAAATGATATGAAAAGGAATAAAAGAGTGTAAGAAAAGTGGTATGTCAAAGGTAAAGTAGAAGGAATATAGTAATAAAAACAACGTCAATCGAGGTGGGTATGGATGTGGGTATGAGTGGGCCAGAGTGAAGGAAAGACTGTAAAACAAAAACAGCGAGAAGCATGGGAACGAAGACCAGAAAGAAATAGAAAACCGAACAAGATAAAAGGTCAAACTCCGTCATGGTCCCTGCTGGTACCAATCCGATGAGATGGAACTCGATCTCCTCTGGTTACAAATCCAAGAATAACCATAAATAATCCAGGTCACCATGAAGTTGCTCGACCGGGGAGCGGAACGTGTTATGCGTAAAGAGAAGAGAAAATAGTTGCAGCGCCGAATCGAATCCAAACCCCATTTCAAAGCATGCGAGGTTGCCCTCTGGTATGTGTATATCTGTTTGTTGACAAGTTTTGTTCCTTTCACCAACGCGAGTCGGCAGAGAAAGAAAGGGTCTGTTGGGTTCGTACAGTTGAGAATGCAAAAATGAAATGCGGCAGAGAAAAAAACAGTGAATAGAAAGCGTGATAGAGTCGTCGAGCTGGAGTAAATGAAGAACAAGCCGCCAGAATAGAATAAATAGCAAGATGGATGGGGGAATCACAGAAGCCAAAAAATGCATGTGGTAAAGAGAGAATAGAAACGTGGGAGGTTTGAAGGAAGGGCGGGGAAGTCGGATGGAGTTGATGAGGAGCAGGAAAATGGGTTGAAAGATAGCACGCATCAAGCGAGATTGTGGATACTCCGCTTCTTGGTGAGGCGAGGAGAATCTTCATGTTCGTCGATTCTGGTCAGTCCACCAATGAGGGGGTTGTGCTGAGTCTTAGCCAGCTCAAGACGCTCCATGAGCTTGCCGATAGTGACATATTCCTGTGCCTGAAGACCGGCTGGTTGATGCTGGAAATAATTCATAACAAGTTCCAAGGCTTGTCGCGCTTCATCTTGGGTTGGCGAGCCAGGTGCGCTGATTGGTGATACGACAGTAGACTTGGGGGGTTGGCAGCGAGGATGGGGGCTGCATCGACTTGGTCTTGATCTCTGGGTTGCTGCGGTTGCGCTTGACTATCTTGCTAGGATTGACACCCTTAACGGTGGCCTGGCCTTCTTCGTCTCCTAGCTCCAATGGTGATTCGAGAATAGCCACCGAAAGCTGTTGCTGGGAGTCGGATTTGGTGCATTTGTGGTCCATGGATTCGTCTGCTGTCAACAGGGTTGGATCGATGGGGGCGAGGGGAAATGTCTGGCTGCGTGGTCGGGACTGGATCCCGGTCGACGATAGAAGGCGGGACTGGCTTGTTGGAGTAAAAGGGCTGTCGGAAACCAATGTCGAGGATGGGCTGGTCATTCCTGTAGAGGTTGTGTCCAATGAGGTGGTACTTTGGGAGTGGCCATGTTGATAGCCACCAGACAGCTCAGGCAATCCGTCGATCGGCTCCTGTTTCACGCCATCCAGGCTATGGGTTGGCGACAGGGGCGATCCAAACCCGATTGCAGACAACGGAGAATGACCGGTAGGACTGTTAAGGGGGGACTCGCTCGTTGAGTCGGTATTGATACGAATCGGACTGTTGGAGCCGCTGCGGGCTCCCTTTCGAGCCTTCGCACCCATCAGGCTGTTCTTTTGCTTGAATTTATCCAGCCAGGCTTTGGTGATCACCCTTTCCTTGCCTTCTGGACATCCACAAGTGACGGCGAAGAAGTGGGCTTTTTCTTTGATCATTTCGTCGTTTAAAGAGAACCCCTGGCGCTGGTAGTTCCTGGCCCAGTTGGATAGGGCTTTCTCAATATCAGGGATTCTACCCTTTGGCTCGCTTGATAGGTGAGCGATGACCATCATCGAGGCTGAGATACTTTTCCTTCTGCCGCAAGACCTTAGATACAGTACTATATTAGAAAATAATCTGTTAGCAGCTAGTCGTGCGAACTAGAAAGATCTGATCATGCGACCAGCATTCGATTTACCTTCTCTCTACACCAAACATTGCTGCGCACGATACAGTTAGCCCTAGCTCCATTTTCATAGACTCAACTGAACGAATCAGGAAATGACAATCTTACCTCCAATATCAGTTTGTTTGGCGGTTTTGTTTTGCTCGTGATATATGCACATTCGGCGACGATCATCGTCGGTGAGGGTCTTGCGCGGCGTTGTACTACTCGTTGAGGACTTGCGACCCGGAGGCGCGGGAGCCGAGGGGGAAACAGAAGTTGGAGCCGGGACCGGAGGTAAGCCGTTTTCTTGGAAAGGTGTCGGCGGAGTCATCATGCTGGGCCAGTGATGCGAGGGCAAGGGTAGCGGCAGCGAAGCATAAGGTGGCGGTATTGACATGCCGTACGCATCAACACCCATCATTGTCGAGTGGCCATAGTCAAAGCCACTGTATTCGGGCATCGGCGGTGAGTGTTGAGGGGAAGTGAAAGTGCCCAGTTCCACCCATGGCGAATGTGTAAATTCGCGGTCTGGGGCATGGTGGGATTCCGTCTCCATGGCAGTTGGATCTTCCATGGCGATGATATGTTAATTTGGGGGAGGTGTTTCCTATGGCCCCAGAGCTGATAGGCTCAGTTTGGGACAAAGAGACAATGAATACTCCTAGGAGGAAAGAGAAACAATCCGCTCTCCCCGGGGTTGGAAACAATGCGACAATCTAGAGGTGAGACAATGAGGGACTATGCATGTTCCACACCACACGACCAAGAGTTGTATAGATTTATCGGCAGCGGTGTGTGATAGATTTTCCCGATTGTAAACGGTTCCCACAAGCGAGAGAGGGGGTATTCGTTTAGCAAAGCGGAGCTAGCGAGAAACTATCCCAGATGCCAGAGGAGAGGAGTCAGGCTGTACCTAATGGTATACAGATATGCAAGAGGTAAAGAAGGGGAGAAGGTGCGAAATGCGGGTAAGGCAATGCACGGAGTTAAAAGGAAATCAGGGCTACTAAGAGCGCAGATCCTAAAAATTGCGTGGATTGACAGAACGAGTTGAATCTCGATTGCAACTGGCACGAGAAGGGGACACTCCGGAGAAAAGTGATAACCTTCTTGCGCCGAGAGGAATCCAGCCGATCCCAAGTGTGATTGGTCACGGTGCAAAGAAAAGGCTGGTCCAAATGGGACTTAGAAATCTTTTATTTTATTTTATTTTTATTTTTATTTTCCAAAAATTATATTATCCAAGCAAGATTTTTTTTCGAAAAAAGCCACCCCTGTCAAACGAAGGAAGAAACGGCGCCTGGTTGGTCCAGAGTGAGATATATTGCCTGCGCAGGGGTTGCATCTCCTCAGGTCCGTTCGGCCCAATCGGTAGGCCCGTTTGTGTATTACATGGAAAGGTATTGTCAAGGAACAGAAAGTCTGTTCTCTACTCTACATAGAGAGTAAACGCGGGAAGTGCCAGTGTTTCTTTGAGGGATATTCTGCCCTAAGGTGTGGCCGGTATATTTCTTATTTTATAATTTCTTTTTTTCTTCTTCTTTTTGCTGGCTTCGCTTGATCTTGATTCCTTTCCCAACCCCCTCGCTTTCCGAACTCGGCCGGGATTTGCTTGGGTATGGAGTATATTGCTATGACATGCTTGATACCCAATCTATGATTTTATGGAATACGAATTTTTCCCTCGTATCTACTTGTAATAGATAGGACCCTCTCTACGTTGCGAGGTTCCAAGGAACCAGCTGGGGCCGGGCCTCCTGGAGGCGTCGTGTATTCGACCTTTCCTCGAGGTCTACAAAATTGGTTGACCTGCCTCACGGTCAATCTATCACCATGACTGGCCGTTGTCGGTGGAGGAAGCCTCGTTTCACGAAATTGCACTTCGAGGCTATGGGGCTAATCGGACCATCGGAGCAACAGTAGATCATCCGCGGGGAGCAGACGAGGTTCCCTCGACGGGCAGATATCCGTGATGATTTGCTGGGGGCCGGGAAGCGGATCGATAAACCGCTGAACCTAAAGGCCGCATGACATCCGCTGCATACATAGCGCAGGCTAGGACGATCAGTGTGGACCAAGTGTGGGTGTGGACAAGGCGATTGCGGCGGTGCCAACTATCGTTTCATCCCGCCCACTTTTCGGAAGGAGCTCAACGGTTGTAGAGGAAGTGGTCCAAGAGTCATGTCATGACCTCGATGGAGCGAATATCTCCTAGAACCATAGGTTTTGGCCCACTCCGCGTGATGTCTTTGGCGAGGGCACGGTGCACCAAGCAAGAAAGTGTAGCGAAGGAGCTCAAGAGTAAATGGAGTAGAAGGTTGGGAAGGAGTGCGAATTAAATTTGTAAAAGCACGATCTCGTTCATAACTGGAGATCCCTTGAAAGTCAGACCGGCCACGGGATGAGAAGGTGGGAAGATGGTAGGGTGTGGGTTGGGGGGTTGGGGCGCATCCCACGAGCAAATCCCTTTTTTTGCCCAGGGACTATTGCCGAATACAGTATGAGGGATCTCTGAAGGACAGTGCCGATCACCCTCGTTTTCTGCCAGCATCCGAACGCATCAGACATCCTCGAAAGATGACACGGCTAATAGGCAAATGAGGAGCAGCATGGATCCTCTCCATCTGAGCGAATCCCCCGCCTCCATTTGCCTGTGATCAATACGGAATCGATACAAGGGCCGAACTAAGTTGCAAGTCTCTGCCCTATCACAAGGCAGAGCGGGGAGGGGGCTTAGACCAGGAGGAGGAACTCCATGATGCGATTGTGTTTGGGCGCTAACTGCTCAGCCCTCATTTTCTGCTTCTGCTCCACCCGCGACCCACAGCGGTCCTCCCCGGCCCGGAAACCTTCAGTAAACAAGACTGTCAAAGAACGGTCTCGCAAATCTGCACGGATGCTCCCAAGGCGTCCCATGGAACGATGTGGAGAGAGTGAGAGAGAGGAAAATTGGAGATGGGGGGGGGGGGGTAAAGATATGGAGTGCGGTATCTGCCGTAAATCGGTCTGTATTTATTAGAATGTATTTACAGTGCGTGAAACAAAGTTACCTGTATGTATGGGATGTACGGAGTATGCTCAAACCGTCATATGTCGGTAGTACTTCGAAATCCTGTCCATAGAGGTCCTCATATTGATCGGGATTAAGATCAATCATTTGGGTACGGTCTAAGTCGCATAAATTCCATGGTACCAGCGAAGAAAAAAGGAATCTCATGCACCCTCCCCGCTTGTTCGACCTTACCACGAGGCAATGCCAGTGTCAAATCGGCCTGGTCGTTTATTTTTTTTTCCATATTCTCGAACATATTTTATCGGAAGAGGATGGGGATGGCCCTGTCTAGTCGACAATAGAAGAAGAGGTCTGACAAATTTTGGACTATCTCAAGTTTGACGGCCAGGGGAGTTTGTGAATCACCAGCAATACTAGAGTAATCAATGATTCGACGATGACACCAATCATCCTGCGTGCTGCCGTCTAAAATGATTTTTTTATTAAAAAGAAAAAAATACATTAACAATGCTGTTTTGCTAGTTTGCGCCAGTCAGAAACGTGGATTGTCGAGGGAAAAAAAAGGCGAACGGGTGGAATGGAGAAAGGAAGAGGGCAAAGAGTCGAATCCGCCGCAAATCGCTTCCTGTCTGGGAGAAACGCTGGTCGAGAATGCAATCGCATCAGATCAGCGGGGTGTGGGCTGACGCCATTTCCTAGCAGAGAAGGGGAGAAATCTCGGATGATCTCACCAGTCTCTATCCAGTCTTGACGGGAAGGATTAGGGCAAGCCATGAGGGGGTGGCTTTCGTCCACAATGCGACTGGGTCTCACCTCGGAGCAGAAGAAGAAAGAAGTCTAGACCGGTCAGGATCGAAATCGCCGGCATCCTATAGACGGGCAGAGACACCAATAATTGCTTCTTCGGCGGTTCCCACTGAAGATTTCTTTGACCGCGTTGTGCGAGCCTGCGAGGGAACACAAGCGCATTAGGAGAAGGCCGGGGTGGGTGGATGCTCAGGATGCTCCAGGATGCTCAGGGTTCGAGTCAGGTACCGATCGGCATGAGCTCTCAACGGCAGCACACGCCCATTTTGGAGGTACTCGGACAAGGATGGTTCGAATGCACCTCCCGGACCGCGCTCTGTCGATCGAGTGGAGACCGAAGGATGAACCAACCTTACTACATATGTGTATTCAGTGATGGGCTGTCTGTCATGACATAATGCGGCAGTAGGAGCTGCCTTTTGGAGAAAGTCTACTCCGTATTTGGAGAGGATTAAGCTAGCTAGCTATCCTGGTTGGGTCATGGACCAAAATTATAAACCAGATGCAGGCGCGGTGCCTGGGGAAGCTGCTGCTGCAATGCAATGCAACGAGACCACGAGAAGGGATCGGTGTCAATACAGTCACCTGATAGACCGCAGGTAAATATGTAACTAATGTGTACAGACATGTACAGAAATGTACAAACTTCAGGTGGGTTGTACTCCTGTATACACCGGGCAGAAGGCATTTGGTGGGGAACCTTAGGGTATCATCTCGGGTATCGGGGTACTTACATGTACTAGGGCTTGTTAGCAAATTCAACTTGGCCTGCAGTAGTCCATCCTGCCGATCTCCCACCTGCGGACGGACCAGATCGTGCCCCCGAGGCCTGGGCTATCGAGATCGGCGATTTGCGGGCGCTGCTCCACTTGGTCTCCGCGAGACTCCGCTGTGGTTCCCTTGTGATGCGAGGAACTTGCTCAATCATCCTATCTGTATCTATTGTAAATCGTTTATATACTCGTACTGCATGACTTGTGATAGCTGAAATGGAGTGGAGCTGATCAGATAGTTAACTACACATAACCCCAGTCTCATCACGACCAAATCCTTCTCAATACGATCGCTAAATCGCTAACAGGACCGACTTTTCACCGCTTGTTTCCCCTCTTCTTCAACCATGGATTCGAAGAAACCGGCTTCTATACTAGACCCTCTTGTATGTATGTTTGTGGATTATTGTTTACTTCAACTATAACATACTCCATACACAACCCATGGATTCATTTCGTACCAAATGGGTCTGTTCGCTTGTCCATCTTACCCTTTTCTGCACAGAATGCAGCACGTCAATCCCGTCCGAGTCGTGCGCAGATCCTTCAGCAGTAAGCTAAAAGAGAAAAGCAGAGAGAGAAGGGAGTGTCTAAAGCTCGAGCCTAGTACTTTTGACAGGTCGATCCAAATTTTGGTACCGAGTCAAAGCAGGGCAGAAGAAGAAGCAGGGAGACACACGGTCCACACACCCAGCAGGGGTACAACGTGCGAGGCTTGACAGATCCAATTTCGATGTTCCTTCTCTCCTCTTCTCCCCCTCCATCCCCTCTTTTCTACACGAAACTGACCCTATCGGATCCCAACATTCTCCCATCGGAATCCTTAGCCATTAGCCCCTAGTCCCCCCCCTCTAGGCTCTGACGGGTATACGCATCCCCCAAATATGGAGCTTCCCACGATTTTGCCAAATGTTTGAAGTGGTCCATCTCCTGAATAATTTAGCACCGGTCAGTGCACCGGGTCGAGATCCCCCTCCGCCCCATCGCCCCTTTTACCTTCCCTTCCCTATCCGCGACGTACGTACGTATGCACACCATAATTACCTTTGGTCCGCTGTCTAAAATGTCGAGGAGGGGAGCTTTGACCGGTCTTCAATCCCCCAATCGACTGCGTCTCGACTCTTCTCGACCAAAGCTCGGGGCTTGTTGCATCGGTAGATCGACCAAAGGGATGAGGGCCATCGCCCCGTCTAGACTTACTATACTACTCCGAGAGTAGACCCGGAGGCTTGCTGACAGGGGCCCCTTACTCGGTAGCCTCGTCGAAATCAAACCAAGCCAACCAACCCCAGGCGGAACGCCGAGGAAGTTCAAGTTCGGTGGCGATTCAAGATATGTAAATAGAAGTCCCATGCAACCTACTTTCCTTTCTCGGGATTAGTCTTTAGCAAGCGTCGCTTTGATGACAAGAGCTCCATGTCTGGAGTAGGCGCAGGGCTGGGAATGGAAGGTCACGGACGATGGCTTTTTCTCGCGAGGGCTGGATGGGATGAGATGAGATGCCAATTTCTCCGTACTCCGTATAGAAAGCTCCTTTTACTCGCTCGGGAATAGTGCACTTCAGACATCCGTCCAATGGATATGTGCCAAATCGCCGGCATTAGCATTATCATTGGCATTGGGATCAGAATCATGAATCCGAATGAGCAAGCCCGGTACTTCTGACCCTCGTATGCGCATGCGCGTAGTGCCTGATTTCTGCGTACCAGCTGGGACCGATAAGAATATCGGCCTGTCCTGGTGCAAGCGGGGGTTCGCTAGTATATACCGGGTTGGTTATTGGCTCTCTGGCATCACTCCAATGCATGCCGTACTAGTATGTCGGGGGAGTCGCCGAGGATGCAGCGTGGCTTGTTGTTCTTTGTTCATGGTTGCAGGATTGATATTAAAGAGGCGGGAGAAATTTTCTTTGGGCAGCAAGAGCAAATATCAACTATTCTATCTGTGTTCGCTCTAGGAGGGATGGGGTACAGCTGGTCGCTTCACTGCCTTGAAATATGAAGTTGGGGGTGGTGGGTGGGTGTCCGAAGCCTCTGCCGCAGAGTATGCAACAGTGGCCTGTTTCGCCATAAAGACCTTGATCTAGAACATTTAAATTGGATTTCTCTTTTGATTCTATTGAATTGTCGCTCATGATGGTGGGAAGGACAAAGAAATCCTCGACAATGGTGAAAAAAGAATGGGTAGTCATAACAATATGGACCGGTCGCTCCAAAGGTCGTACATAGTGAGCCGGAAACAAAGCATAAAATGGTGAAGAAAAGAAAAACATGACTCAATCAATCAAACCTGGCACCTTGCCGAGACCATTGCAAATGAGATTGCCCTTGATACTTCGACCCCTCCCTGTTGCCTCTGTGGCCAACGCAAACTCATTGGGCCCTTCACCAACCAGCCGGGGCCCCCAGCAAAAGAAAAATAAAATTTTGGTCAGGGTCACGCCTCAAACCCCTGGCAGATACCACGGGTTAGGAGCGAACATCGCAATAAGCAAGCAGTGTATGCGCGGCCCGTCTGGGCTTGCTGCTCACAGTCCGAAGTTCAATCTCCCTTCCCTCCCACGAGCCCTGCGAGATCTCGCCACCCCATTCGATGAGCTTGGTTGTCCGTGCGACAACAACTCGTGCCGTCCAAATGTGCTTGCCTTCCGTGGCGTTTGGCGGGGATTTATGGCCCAGAAGTCCCGTGCCTGTCAGCATCCCAGGGGTAGAAGCATCCGAACCCTAGGCCGCCGGCCACATTCCCAGCACGATTTGGATCTGCTCGCTCGAAATGCAGACTGTGACGGGCAAGGTTGATATGGATGTTTACCGCTTGACAATCGACACTATAGATGTGGTCAGTTTTATGTTTTCGGAGACAATTCTGTGCATCGGGGCCGGTTTCGTACCAATGTCCTCATCAGCAAGCTCGTGGGCGAGACCAACTCGCTGCGGCTGGTGCTTGACAGAGCGGCCATACACAATGGCGTGCTTGAACTGATCTTTGATAGTGCGGTGAATGGCGTTACACTACGGAAAGTTAGCATGATGTTTTCATCGCATAATGGACATGGTGGTTTTCTTACGAAGTCCTCCACAGTGGAGCCGGAAGCCCGGAGCACGACAGGGGCCGTGTAGTCGGGAGCCTTGCCCTTGGGCTTAGTATAGATTCGCCTCAAGCTGAGCTTTTCCCACATCATTTCCAACAACTCGTCAATGTTCCAGCCGTGCTCCGAACTAATGGGAACGGCGTTGGGGATACGGTAAATAAGATCCAGCTCCTCAATGGAGATGGCGTCGATCTTGTTCAAAGCGTAGACGACGGGGATATAGCTTCGGCTCTTGGCTTCGAGAACATCAATCAGGTCGTCGATGGTGGCATCGCAACGAATGGCAATGTCTGCAGAAGATATCTTGTACTCGTTCATGACGGCTTTAATTTCCTGTTTGCTTTTGTGTGAGCTCAGTCCATCCCAACACAGTGTTGGTAATTCTTTGGTGATGGAATGCTTACCTCGTGACTGATGTTAGTCAAAGGCTGGGTGCTGGTGATAGCGATACCACCCTTGTCCTTCTTCTTGAAGTTGATGTTGGGAGGAGACTTGTTGATACGAATACCGAATCCCTCCAATTCGTTCTCGATAACGCGCTTATCAACCAGAGGCTTGTTGACATCAAGGACGATGAAGATCAGATGGCAGGTCTTCGCCACAGCAATGACTTGACGACCACGACCCTTACCGTCCTTAGCACCCTGAATAATACCGGGAAGATCCAGAATCTGAATCTTGGCACCGTTGTACATGACTTGACCGGGGACAGTCGTAAGAGTTGTGAACTCGTAAGCGGCAGCTGTAAAGTGATGTCAGTCATGTCATTCCAAAATATATTCTTTCCAAGGTTGCTTCGGGTCCATCACCTACCTTCAGAGTGTTGTCCAGTAAGTTTGCTCATGAGGGTACTCTTTCCGACGGAGGGGAAACCAATGAAACCACTGCATAAATGGATTAGTATATCGATATTGACGTGAGCAGTAGATCGAAGGCCTAACTTACACACTTGCAACACCAGTACGCGCAACATCGAAACCAGCTGGGGAGTATCGATATTAGCCATGGGATACATAGATGCAAGACGTTTACGGGAGAAAAGCACTCACCACCACCACCGCCGCCGCCACCTCCAGTCGGAGTCAACAGTTCACGCTTGAGCTTTGCAAGCTTGGCCTTCAGTTGTCCTTCACTAGTTGTCAGTCGAGTCCGTCGAGGAGTGTAGATAGGTTTAGCGAGTATTTCGTACCCAAATGGAAGGAGGTGTTCTTGTTCTTTTGGGTCTTGGCCATCTCGGACTCAATGTCCTTGATCTATAGCATGGAAATAGACATTAGCGACCGTTCATCCCTCGACAACCCTGATTTCAAGGGTTCGACAGAGACATCGCACTAACCTTGTCGATTGTGGTCGCCATTTTTGCGGTTGGAAAACACTAAAATCGTCGGGGGGAAAAGGGTCTTCGGGACCAATACTGGGTCAGAGATGGGCAGGGAACTCTCTCGTCTTGAGTTTCCCTGAAAGTTTTGAGCAGGCGCCTTTTTTGTTGCGATGATGAATTTGCGGAGACCGCAATCTTTGAATTGTGGCACTGAAAATGGCTTAGTCATGGCGGGGTGCGGGCCTCAGGCAGATTTTTAGCCATTATGTCATAGGCTGCCTGATATGTCAGGCACTAAATCACGTGACTGTCGCGATCACAACATTTGATGCCTCAGGCTGAAATCACAGAAATCCAAACCTCAATCGGGTTGGAAAGGTACACAACAAACCACCTTTCATCCTAAATGCTACTAATATCATGAATCAATGGAGATGCAAAGTAATTTGAAAGATACTCCACTCTTCATTGTTATTTTCTATTTATGCGACTGCGTCATCCCGTTCTTCCTTTCATCCTGATATTCTTTCTTATAGCCGTCTCCGGTTTCAATTTCGGCACCGATAGCGACACTATTACATCTTGATCGGCTGGCTCGACCAAGACATCCTTCAAATTTAAACCAGGAGTTTTTAACCTCACCATCTTATAATGCCGTACCTCAATACGCCCGCCGACGCGCCGTCGGTCTCTGACCTAGACTCGAATGCTTTCGAGAAGCTCGTGCGAGACCTTAGTGCTGTGTTGGGGTCGAGCTCAGGTCTAGACTCGGATGATGTTGATCCGATGGTGATCCTGAAATTGATGGATAAATATGTGTCGAATGAATCAGAATGGGGTTCATTCGCCCTGGGGGACGCGAGCAGAGCCTATACGCGAAACCTGATTGATGAGGGAAATGGAAAGAGTAATCTCGTAAGTGAAAACATTTACGTGCTCAATGCATCCAAGCTACTCTATTCCACTCATATTCCAATCCTAACCATCACTGCCAGCTCATTCTAGTCTGGACGCCCGGAAAGGGGAGTGCGATTCACGATCATGCCAACGCACACTGCGTGATGAAGGTATATTTCATTCAGAAAATGGTTTACGAATTTTGTATCTGACAATCCTCGCAATAGATACTGAAGGGAAAATTACAAGAGACCCTTTATTCATGGCCTGATGAGGAAAAGATCAGACAGGGGGAGACGTCTCCGCTCCTCGTAACCAAAGACACTACCTATCATGAAAACCAAGTCACCTACATGTCTGACAAAGTACGTAACCCGGATAGTCCTCGAAGTCTTCGTTTATACTGACATCACCTCAAGCTTGGCCTTCACCGCGTCTACAACTCCGACTCGGACAACTTTGCCATTTCTCTACATCGTCAGCCCTTTCCCTCACCACTCGTGTGACATTGAATGCTGACAATCGACAGTTTACACACCACCCAGCGCTTCAATCCATGGTTGTGGTCTCTACGACGAAAAAACCGGCAAGTCCAATCACATCAAGATGTCCAATTTCTACTCTGTTCGCGGCAAACGCCCGAGCGACCTTGAAAAGCAATAAGCAATGGCAACCTCCGACACATTGATTCGGCCTCATCGCACTTGCTCACGCCTTTATTTTGAATGTACATCTTGCGTCATACCCGATTTTGCTCTGATCTTTCGTTCAGACCATGTTTTTAGAAGCGACTGGTCATTGGCGGCCAAAATGCTGCCACATAGCATTTCCTTTTTAGCTTCAAACCTTTAGAATGATAGACAGGTATACTACTTTCCTCGTTATCCGCCGCTAAGTAGTAACCCTACATGGGAATCATCTTTCAAGGAATGAATGAAACGTTGCCTAGCGCGACTACTAGTAGTAGACTTGAATATAAGAGGCATTGGCAACATGTACCTGTGGACTGATTCTTTCAGGCAACTTTGGTACGCCATGGGCAGGAGCCTCAGGATTCCCTCCGAGTCATAGGTCACCGAGAGGATGTTTGATATAAGCCGTGTATAGCTATTTCTCCCAGTCTCGGAATCATTGGCTATTTTAGATTCATTATGACAATGCTCATGGAAGCCATAGCGCCTATTATTTTATCGTATCTCACCTGACCTTCGCACAAGACGTCGAATCGAGTAGTTCACTACGCCATATTGGAAAAGAAAGTAAATAATAGTAGCAAGGCGATTGATTAGCCAGTAATCTATTCGGTACGCTAGAACCGAGCAATGCAAGTAAATGTGATCTATGTACAAGTAAACAGTCCGAATGATAAATTCGAACAGCAAATCGTGAAAAAGGGTAAAATAGTCCATCAACACCTTAGCCGACTAGCGGCACTTAGGTATCGGTGTTGGCACAAGTGAAACTAGCACTACTAGTATCATTGTGAATAGCGGTACCAGAAGCGTAGAGACCCAGTACGCAAAGAGCAAGGCCAAAGCCGACAATGGCGGTGTTCAAGACGAACAGAGCGATCTTCTTGGGGCCCGCGAACCACTGGCCCTGGTTCAGGTGGAGCCAGTAAACACCGCTGAGACCGTAGCTGAACCAGGAAGCGAAGAGTGCGGAGATGAGCGAGTTCAGGTTGCTGAAGACGGGGATGGCTTCGGCGATGATCCAGGCGACGATCCAGCATGACACTCCGAGTCCGAGCCAGAGGCCGATGGACTTCCAGTTACGCTGGTGGATTAGGTCGGACTTAGCGCACAGGCGGAAGTAGATGTACTTCAGACCGATGTGGCCGTTGACAACACCGGCGCCGACGATGGTGGGGATGGCGATGCCGTAGGCGACCTTCTTCATGACGGGTCCGGCGGATGTCAGGGCAGGAGAGGAAACGTCAGTACCAACGTAGTAGTAGATGACGACGCCGGCGGTGAGGTAGAGGCAGATTTCGAAGCCTTGGAGCATGAAGAGGGACTTCTTGAAGTCGCTTGGGGTCTCCATCTCGGCGATGAGGCCGAAGAAGGCGACGTGGGCGCAGTAGGCGAAGACGATGTTCGAAACAGCTTGGAATGCTGTGTACAAGTTTGTCTCGACGGTGGCGTCAATGACACGGGTAGGGGCGGCCTCGATACCGACGGAGATCATGGTGATCATGACGGCACTGAAGATCGAGAGGAAGGCTGGTTGGAGATTAGTATCAGTGTGATAGGTTGAGGGTTTGTATCACTTCGTGATGCAGGTGGACTTACAAGCAAAAGAGATCCAGGTCATGCCCTTCATGGTACGGGGGATCGACAGAACAAGCGAGATGAGCATGCCGATGAGACTGAAGACGACGGAGCAAGTGCCATGCTCAGTGATGGTGTTCATCATCACACGGAAGGTCAAGATGTGACTTCCCATAACGAAGATGCAGAACAGGAACTGGCCGAGACCGAAAAGCTCACGGCCAAAGCTGCCCATCAGGATCTCACCAGCGTCTCCCAGGTTCTGAATGTGAGGGTAACGCTCGCGCATCAGACCAATGTTGTAGCCAGTGTAGGTCGCGAGCAGACCGAGGCCCACGATCAGGATCACACCAGGGACCATGCCCAGAGTTGAGACGGCAGAGGGCAGAGACAGAACACCAAGCGAGACGGACTCGCAAATCATCAACAAACCACATTGCCACCAGGTCAAGGTCTTGTACTTGATCTCGGCGTACTCCTCGTTACCGAAGGCGTCCGAGACCTCGCCCTGCTCAGGCTTCAGATTATTCTCTTCATCGAAGATTGGGTTGTGCTTGTTCTCGCCATTTCCAATCTTGTCATTCTCATAGGACGGGGGTTGGGGGTTGACAGTATCCATGGTGGATAGTACTTGTGGTGTGGGGTGAAGAGGGTGCAGGTGGTAAAGGAGAAAGGAAGAAGTGCAGTTGGCGAAGTAGAGGTAGCCTAGTAGTACTAGTATATATATCCCACGAACGCACGATGCACAGCCCACACGAGTAGAGAAGAGATAGAGGAACGAGAAGTTGAAAAGATGGGGAAGCAAGCAATTAATAAGAGAAATGAATATTGAGTTTACGAGTTCCGGGAGAGACCCCAGGTCTCCGTGAATTTGGGATTCTAGTTCGCCCCCCCCCTAGATGGGACTTAACTATGGGAGGCAAGACACGAGAAAAAAGAGGGACCGGAGGATCCATGGAAGCCCCACCGAAGAATCTTTTGTAGGCGTCATTGGCTACAGAGGAGGTTTAGTTCTGTCATTCGGCCCGACTCTCGGACGGTTCACCAATCATAATGCCGGGAATTCACGCGGTTCTCCGCATCGTGACTAATTTGGAGCCTTCATGAAATTCCCAATGTAACACGCCCCCCCCAAGATCTGGCCACAAGTGATCGTACCATGAGGGGAAAACCCTCGGATCGCTACTTTATTTGCATTTTCTGGGGATGTTGGGGATGGAGTGCAGCATCATCTAGAGCAAAGTGTACAGTAGTTGTACTTAGGGTATACTCTCGGGACGGAGTTACCGAGAATCTGTATAGTTCGGGTCGTGGCTGGCAGAGTTTTCTTCAACTCTTTTGGTGGACCGCTCGGGACACGCGGCGACTCAAGACACTGGCCAAGACGGTAGTGACTTGTTCCGTTCTGGGCAGGGCAGGGCATTGCATTGTACGAGTATCTGTATTGTTGTTGTTGTTCAGCTGCTACTGCTTCATGCATGCATTATGTATACCCAGCATAGGCCAACCCCTGCCTTTGCTCTCCCCAACCCCTCCTCTCATCTCCACGAAGTGTTTCAAACTCTTTCTCCGGGTCCATTCTCAGCCCTGACCCCGACCATTGACGCCAAATTATTAATATGCTTTCTTAGCAACCTGTATGTACCCCAAGGAACCCGCAGTCGGGCAAAGCTGGGGAATCCGCCATCATCCGACTGGGGTAGATCGTCAATTCCTAATTACTAACTAGTAGTATGTAATATGCACTATATACGAACAGTAAAAATATTAGTTATTATGTTTGTTGTACTCATGGCTGCCTATGGGCTGAGCCAGCTCGGGAGTAGCCCGGTTCCCTCAACCGTTACGGAGTACGGAGTACGGACTACGGAGTAATGTCTCTTCCTTCACTCACCGGATATCCGATTTTAGGTTTGGTCCTAGTCGGTCCTAGTCGGTCTTAGTTCCCGCCCCTCGAGGCGCAGATAAGCATTTCCGTTTGGTGATTGTGTGGTGTTTTTTTCCGCATCCGCCCCATCGCCCTCTCTTATAGGCTGTTCGGTGTTGGGTACACACACTCTAAATAGAATAGGCAGGTCAATATTTGCACCGTTAGCTAGTATGAGTATTTACTCGGACTCCGTACCTATGTAGTCTCGTTGGAGATCTCCCGTTTAGCTTGGTTTTGATTCGTCCTTGTCCTCGCCTTGCACTACGAGGTTCTCTCTCGTATAGGGTCGTCGCCTGGTGGTCAGCTTCATCTTATCGGGTCTTACGTTATTCATTTCGTCTGTTCATGACCCACTTCACTATCAACTAACTAGTATGTATGTGCATACTAACTGCTAACTACAGCTTATCGTACGCGTGGAAAAGAATATTGGTGATTCAAAGTGCAATCACACCAGTAAGTCGTTGCTAAATATTATGCAGTTCGCAAAGACATGCCAATGAAAGCACAACCAAATCAAACCAAGGGATATGAGATGCTGAATATGACGAATGAGAATTAACAAAAAGGAGATGCAATAGATGCACATCAATTTTCAAAGCCCAATGTAAATGCAATGTACAAAGTGAACTGGTAACACAAATTGAGTATTCGCAGCAAAGATGAATAAAAGCTCATGTTTCTCAGAGACCAAGAAAATGGACCAAAACAGATTAACACACACACACACAGAGAGAGAGAGAGAGAGAGAGAGAAATAGATCGTCAGAGACGGGTAGGGGTACGCTGGGTGTATCACGACCCTTCCTCACTAGCATCAGACCACCGCTCAACACTAAACAGCTCCGGAAGCCCCAACTCCACGGACTGCCTCCGACGAAGCTCTTCGAGACGAGCTAGGGGATTCTGTAGAGCGCCACAATAAGTATGTTGCGTTGAGGAGTTGAGAGAACGCGTCAACTGTGACACCCACCCAGTCCTCCTGAGCCGGTACACCCTCAGCAGCAGGGAGCAGGGATGTTCCTGCGGAGGTAGAATCGCCATCATTGTCTGCAGACCACCGTCGTTCGACTGGTGCCGGTGTGACGGGCAGACTGGGCCGCTCGACTTCGGTTGGGAAGTCCGTTAGCCGGAAGCTTGGTCGGCGGTCGTGAGCCGCAGTGGCCGCTTGGTTGTCAGGGCTTGTTTGTGCGCTGTCGCTGGTGACGACTTGGGTCTTTGGTTTCCGTGCCGCTTGGATTGATTCGATGTAGCGCTGGATTGAAGGGTCATCGTCCCAGGCGTTGGAGCGGGAGTAACTATCCCACGACTCGGCTGAGGGTTCGAATGGGACCCGGGTTGGCGTTGTGTCGATCGCTGCGAGGGCTGGGTTGGGAAGGGTAGGCTCTGGGGTGGATGGTTGTTCGGGAGATGCAGCAGCGGGGGGAGGAGATTGTTCGTCTGGGAAGACGCGGGTTGGTCTGGCGGCATGGCGTTCCCAGGGGAAGATCTGGGACATCTTTTGTGGAGTGGGTTTTGTGGTGGGGACCTGGTAGTACATGTTTTTCGGGGCTTCGGGGTATGAAGGGGGAGGTTGGAAGAGCTTTGTGTCTTCGGACATGGTGTAGGTTTTTTCTTGCAGGCTGATTCCTTCGGGTTTCGTGTTCAATGGTGGTGGCTCACTAAGACGTATTAGCATTGTATCAGAGAAATGGGATACATGGGGTCATTCTACCGTTCGGCATCCCATTCTGCCTTTGGTGCTTCGAATTTGGGAGATTCAGGCTCGGGCGATGGGGGTCGGTGGAAAATTTCAGTAACCGGGGGCGGTGGTATAGGCTGTGGATGGTGAATATGGCTTGTATCATGGGACGGTTCATGGTGTTCATGAAGTTCGTGATGCTCCTGCTGCTCGTGGCGTTCGTGGTGTTCGTGGTGCTCGCGATGTACCGGTTGACTTTCAAGGCTTGGTTCGACATGGTGAATAGGCGCCGGTGGGTTGGACTGTGGGGGAACATAAGTCGAAACATTTTCTTCGCCGCGGACGTATTGTGGTACTATGCTCAACACCGGTCTCTCTGTGGGGGGAGCTGCCTGTTGTGCTGCGCCGTGGCCGTGCGACTCCTGAGCGGAGTGTTGCTGCCACGATGATTGCTCATTTGGCACGGTATCACCCGAACGGCCGTCGCCATGACCATGAACATGATGGACCTGCTGAGGCTCGGGCCAAATCTGAACCGCACCACTCGGGGCTATATCTGACGATCGCTGCGTAGTGGCTGGTTCTTGCGGAATTTGGGATAGCTGTTGAGTAGACACCTTTCGAGTTATTAGCTTTGTTAACTGCACGTGCGATAGAAACACTCACAACTTGGGGATGATAGTGTCTGTCATAGACCGCCCACCACTTGTTGAGCAGCTGATTATACGGCGACTCCATTGGGACCACATGCCTGGGCATATTCCACGGCTTTCGCGACCCGATAAAATGGATCAGGCTGATGGTACTTTGGAAATGCTTGTACGCAGGGATATACTGGTAGTTTGCACTGGGGGTGCAGTTGTACGTGAAGCTTAGTCTATGCCAGTCACGGAAATGCATATTCAACAGACCCTGATCGGCGCCATCGAAGCTGATTCCCCGCTCCGCGAGAGCCTTCAGGGCATAATAGTCCTGCATATTGGGCCGAAGAGCCATCAAACCGCTGTTGAAGCAATCCGGCCAGCCTACGTCCGGGGCAGCAGCGAAATCTACCTCCAGTGTGAGCAGCTCATCGGGGGCTCGCAGGGCCACGACATCGCAGTCGATGTATACGACTCGGTCAAACTGGGTTAAACGCCAGAGCTCGATTTTCGTGAAGGTAGCGATGAGGTCCGGTCGGTCCATCAGCCACAGGTTGGCGGGTCGGCCATTGACGAAGGAATGCACGGCGATCAGTTCATCATAGACGGTCTTGTTCAAGTGGAGGTTAGTAACTTAGCAGGAGGGAGAGGATCGTCGCGAAAAGCATCGCCATTCACTCGTGGGCTAGATGAGACACACCCTTAATTCGTCGATTGTTTCCTGTCGAAGTGCAGTCGGTGTGAAGAGGGCCACCAATCTCGCTCTTGTTCCATTGTCGCGCAAGGAATGTGCCAGGACCATCGCCCCTAAAACGGAAATAGATCAGAAATGTGCCGCCGGCAGTCGCCACACCACGCGGGGGATCAGCCCATTGCTTACCAGGCAGGTAATTGTCACTGAGCAGAAGCTATCCAGTAAATGGCGACGTTAGCTTGTCTCCATGAGCACGACACGCCTTTCTGACCAGAAAGGCGGGGGTAATGGTTGGCTTACTGTGCAGTAGACAGCATTCTGTTCGGAAGCCATTGCGCGAGTGGGGACAAACCCGGCGCAAAGGGAAACGACAAGGACAAGGAAAGAAAGGAGAGAGAGAACGAGCTTCTCCTCCAGCCCAACAGTGACGAAAGCTCAAATCACTGACCCGCTTGAGAAGGGGTAGGGAAAGGACCGGGAGTCAGGAGCCAGGAACCAGGAACAAGCAAGGCGAGTCTATATTTAACCCCGGCGATGTCAGTTCGGGCTGGTGGAGAACTGGTCGAGCAGCTGTGGTACCTGGACGAAAACGACCTCACTGCATCGTGCGAGGCGAGGGCGGTTGGCGGGGCAATTAGGGGGAGAGGGGGAGAGGGGGAGATGAAGAGATTTGGATGGTAGAGATTGATGAAAGGAGGAGAAAGTGAAAGTACGAGAAAGAAAGTAAGAGGGGGGAGCTCGAGCGTTGGCGTTGGCGTTGCAAGGTTGAGGGGAAATTTGAATGGGGAAGTCTCCTCACCGGGAAAATCCACTCGGATGATCCGCGTGGAGAAGCTTGCTAGAGGAGCTATGGCTATGCAGCACAGACAGTGTTGTACATAGCTAAGGTATTCTAAGTTCATGAATGTTGGAATTCGAATTTATCCTCTCAACAATATCAAATATCAAATATCAAATATCGCTTCAATTTACATGAAACCCGACCGGAAGGCGAGGCGCCTTCCCAGCCGCCCGCACTAGGAAGCTCCGCGCATAAACAAAACCATTGGAATCCCTCAAGTGGGCGGGGCCCATTGGACGATTTCAATTATCATGCCATGGTCACCTTAATGATCACCATAATTATCACCATCACTCGCAGGCCTCAGCGACGCACGGTGATCGTGGCATCCGGGTACGAAGCCTGCACCGCAGCCTCAACATCCCCCTTTTCACCCCCAATTGCCCACTGGATCGCCGCCTCGAGAGCTGCACGACTCTCCACTTCGATCGGAGTCCAATGGCCCGACCGTGGCAGCATCACCACCTGGCTATCCTTCACGAGGTAGTCCCCCATGCCATCCAGGCAGATATGCGGGTCCAGCGCAATATCCTTCTGGCCCCAAATGATAGTCGAGGGGGCCTTGAGAACTCCCGGAACACCTTCGTCGAAAACACCCGTTCCACTGCTGGTCCGGCGGAGCTCCTCGTCGCCTGCGATACCGTGCAGTCCGGTGATCGTCTCCAGGGACTTGTTCCAACGCGCAGACGCGGCGCCTTGGCGGTAGTAAGAGGCCATGTCGAAGATTTTGGAAAATTCACGGCTATAATCAATTCCCTCGGGGTAGCTATCGCCATTTTCATTTTGTAGCTTCGACTCCGCGAGCGAGGGGCCCATCGTGTTGGACATGGCGTCGGCCTTATCCGAGTAGGTGGGCTTATGGCTTCCGTAAGAACGGTGGTGAATGGCTACCATCAAAGAGCTGTTTCCTCCGGTCAAGAAGTAATGGACTCCTGCGGGGGTAGCTGCATGGCGAAGATATAACCGGACAGGCCAGCCTGGCGGATGACAGGGCCAAGAGTGCGGAATGCCTGCAGCACGGGCGTGCGAGAGGACAGAGGAGAGTTGAGTGCGGTGCTGAACATCTTCTTCGCCGAGGTTAACAGTCGGCCGATGTTAGATTCGACTAGCTTGACCTAAATCCGGGGTTAATTATATCCTCGGAATATGGTACCTGGCATCCCTTTATTTTTCCTCTTTCTTTTTTACGTACCAAGGGGGCGTTGCTCAAAATCCACCGGTCAGCGAGCGCCGGAGCTTCAGCTGCCAGTCGCATCGATAGGACACAGCCCCAGTCATGGGCAACGACGATAGTTCGCTTCTTGCTCGACTCGGAGTCATCATCCACGCCATATTTAGTTCGAAGTGTAAGAATCAGCTCTGTCAATGCCTCAAGCACATTCGTCGCGGAGTATTTCTCCAGTCGCCCCGAGCCTCCGAATCCAGGTAGGTCAATAGCGACGAGATTTGCCGACTCTTGTAGACTAGACGAGCCGGCAATGTATCGCCAGATGGCCCAACTGTCGGGCCAGCCGTGAATGAGAATAACCAACGGCTTCTCCGGGTTCAATGCCGCTGGTGAGCCCGGAGCTGCATTGCTCATAAAATGAATTTTGAGCCCGCTGGTAAGAGTGGCGAAGTGGTGGGAAAGACCAGAGTACTCCTTGGTCGGGTTCCACATGCGGTCACGCGCTACATAGATCAGGCGTCAGTTGTCATTCTGAAGGTTGGCCTAGAGACCACGAGACAGGGGAGAGTCGCAACTCCTGCGATACTATCCGAAGGACATACCGATCTGAAGCTCGAGAGATTCCTTCTCTGTTCTCTTTCTGAACCAGATACCCTTTTTCATGGCCATGACCGCATAGAGCAGCACAGTGAAGATGCCATATGCAAAGACGGCGACCGAGGCCACCACTTTACCTAGGGTGACTGCCATGTTGATCGAGGCAACTTCGGACGTTAGATGTCAGGGCAGAGTAGAGCATTGAAGAGGGAAGAAGTCAAGTGGGGAAGATTTAAAGCAAGCGCGTTATCAAAGGATGCGCCTGCGTCTGCTCTGCACCTGCTTGCGCCTGCCGCTGGGCTGGTGGTGGGGCCGCGTTGAGTGGAGGCTACTCTCAGCTACTCTCAGCTATTCTCACCTCCGATTGGCTAGATATCTTCAGTTTCACGGGACCTCGGTTTGTCGGCGAAAACTTCTCCCGATATACCGTGGTCTAACCTGTTTAGGTAAGACATTGCATGGAGTATGGCATGTCTTGTTGACATCACTGCATGAATAGATGAAAAGGATGAGAGAGACCGAAGCAATTAGACTTGGCAGGGAGGGCAGTCCGGATGCCCAAGGCATTGGGCAACTATGCCTCAACATCCTGCATCGCCTGTGATGTTTCCGAAGGTGAACGTAGTAGCTTCATTATTCTGATAACTTGAAGACGACAGCGTGTGGTGACACTGGACAGTGGATGTCATCAACACATACCAGAGAAAATCACACAAAACCCATCGGCAACGCTACTATATTTCATATTGATACTACTAGTACCTACTCCGTACTCGTAGTAGGGTGCTGGGTAGGTACTAGTACTGCCTAGTACTAGTAGTGGTTTAAGTTTGGATCATAAACGACCCTGATGGACTTTATATAGTAGTAGTAGGCACGGAGCAGCTCCGACAGATCAATTAAGGGACCATCCAATTTGGCCCCGGGGTATGTTCGGGTATTTTCATGCTCCTGGTGGATGCATTTCCAACCCTTCCTGCGGCTACTAGTGCCTTGGCGGCTAACAGCTTCGCACGATCTGCATTTGGAGGCGTATTCCCAATATCTGCCTTCCAGAGTAATTGTTTACTTTCTAATACAACTGTACTTCGCCGATGCTCTTCAATCAAACTGGATTCAAGTTGCTCTAGTGTACAATCGACTAGGTTATCATTGGACTACTACTACTACTGCTAGTACTAGTCTACTTGCGCTTCTCACTTTGGTCATGCTGCTATGCTTCCTTCTCTACCAGTTCTCCCGTCACCGTGCCAGCAATATTTGAGACCATTCAATTCCTGCCGTTTTTAATCTCGGGCTAGTTATATGTGAGTGGGGGTTTGAGACAACAACGCTCAAGGGATCGACATGTCAGGGTTTTGCTTAAGGTTATGAAGTTGTTTCAGGCGTGTTTGAGAGAGTACTAGACTACTAGTAGCTTAAGTTGATCGGTGCGTCTGTGACTTGAAAAAAATTCAGAACATCTCCTCCCTAACAGAGGAAGACACGTACTTGTTTTGACCCTGTTTCGCCCCCACCCCATCCCTGCTCTGATGCCCGTTTCGCTCGATGTTACAGTGGAGACGCGTGAGAACTAACGGCGGGGTCTTCTTTCCGAACTGGTCGGTAGGAAGAAAAAAGTCATGTCAATTCTGCCGATCGTCGATCCGGGAATAGGAATGAGGTCTCAGATTGTCGAGTACATCATGGTTTCTGATTGGCCGAATGAGCTCTCAAGTCCAGAACAGTTCCATGATTCGCCCCACTCCACATGGTGGTGGATCGGTGATTCTCTACAACTTGAAATGTTCTTATCTCGATTGAATCATGTTTGGGTCTATTCAGTTCTTTTGTATGGGCTCTCTGGTTTTCTTTCTACCAGCATTGCTATATATAACCCTCGTGAGTCTTAAATGTTTCATACAGTTAACTAGAGCGAAAGTCTGAATTTCAAGTTTCGAATTTAAGATTCGGGAGTTGGTAAGCCTTGGCTAGTTCAAGTGGTACAGTCTCTGATAGCTAGGCCAATCAAACATGTCTAATCGACCCAAAACAATGGCATTACGGTTAGGCCATAAGCCCAGATCAATCAAATGGGTCTTCCCTACATCCTATATGCAGGTATGAATTTAGCTCTCCCACCAACCTGATTTTTCGAGCTCACATTGGTCATGGCAAATCAGCCGGCAAGACTTTGGGGGGATCCGGTGAACTCAACACTGGAAGGCTCCATGAAAGGCTCCAACGAACCCTCAAATCTGACGAGGCTGGGCACGAACGGAGAAATTACGTGCTCCTAGGGAGAATTTACTGCGCCCAGGGGGGGGTTTCACTGCGATCTTTAACTTTGAGGTGGGGCATTCGTGGCCCCGAAATCGATCATTCCAACCGACCTGCGAGCAATAACTACAGTCACAAATTTCAGTATCTCTTTTGAGAAAGTTGCCAATGGAGTTCTATATAGGGCACGCCAGTAGGCTATTCCACTCGTTTATCTCATTTGCCTACTTGATTAAACGTTCTAGGTACGATTGTAGATGACAAATTGTATTGTTTTGACCAGGGCCAAGGCCAACAATCCTATCATCGAGAGGTACTCGTACAGTGTTTGGCCCCAGACCCACCGTTCTAGACCCCATTGATTCAGATTCAAGCAGTAGTGTGATCCTGCTGGATTTCCCCTCTCCTCTCCTCATTTTCATCCCACTTGCTCTGTTTGCCTCACGAACACGTCTTTCGTCTCTTGCCATCACCATGCCGTCGCAGGCGGAGGATGCAATCCGCACCATTTCGGCCTCGGCCACTCAACTCGGTAACCAAATCTCGGTGCACATGCTGAACTATCTCAGCACTACCCAGCAATTACCAGATGGCTTTCGCGAACTGTCGCACACCTTCCTTGACACCTGTCGCACTCTGTGGGCCATTGAGACCGGAGTGACTGAATTGACCGCCGCCAACCGAGCCTTGCCGGAGGTTATCATCGATGAAGTGGAAAAGAAATTCGTTGTCGCATACCGTGAATTCCAACAATTGGACAAAGTCATTTTGAAACTCGTCCAATATGAGCATCGCGGAACACTAGGAAAACTCCAACGGGGATGGCATCGCCCGGCGCATGAGCTGAAGCGCATCCACGAGTCCTTGAAGAAGACAAATGAAACCCTCCAGATCAGCGGCATGGCATTCCATTGGTCTCTCAGAGAGGTACAACCGGAGGAGTCAGTGGGTATTGGGTACGCTAGTCTGGCCGCTGCGCTGGACCGCATCTCGAAAGGTCGTTCAATCATGGGCATAAACAAAGTCGCGTCCTTTGATAACAGCGGGCCTGGGCCATCCTTCCGGACTCAATCATTTGAGTCCGATGGCTCTTCGCCCTCTGTGCCCTCAAAAGATTCCTCGCCTCTTCGGGGTGCACCTAGGGAGTACCAACCTGAAGAAAATAGTCAAGGAACTTCTCCTCGACAGGACCGCGGCAGTTACGGGGACGATGTATCCTCCATTCTCTCTCTCAATCAGTTCCTGAGCTCTCAACCTGGACGCGAACCTCAAACAATTCCTCCCCGCGAACAACAATCGATGCCATATCGGCCGGCCAAGACAAGCGCCCCAGCTTCCGTCGCGGAGACCAGTATACGACATGAGGGTGAATCAGATACTTTGCCTCCTCGCTTATCCAGCAAGATGGCTGGTGGAAGTTCGACAACTATTCGAAATAATCTGTCATCTGCAATGAGGGAGCGTGATCATAAATCAATTGAGCAACTCTTGAAGAGCGGAGTATCGCCTGACAAGGAGGGCGACTTCTATCCACTCCTCGAGGCCGTGAACCAACGTGATATCGAGAGCCTGCGGCTACTACTAGCCTTCGAAGCCAATCCCAATCTTGCAGAACCACAAGGAAAAACACCTCTTCTCCTGACGGTAGAAGAGGGATTCGTGGATGGGGCTATGCTATTGCTGAAACACGGTGCTGATGCAAACTACCGCGCGAACGAGAAGCTAGAATCACCTCTGAGCTGCAGCATCAACAAAAGAAACATCAAGCTTGCACAGTTCATGCTGTCCCACGGCGGAAATCCAAACGAAGAAACGCCCAGCGGAACAACATTATTGATCGATCTAATCCGCAAGCAAGCCCCGGAACAACTAGTGCAAATCTTACTTGAAGCCGGCTGCGATCCCAATCGCAAAGACAACCACGGCAAAACAGCCCTCTGCGAAGCAGTCCATGACGACCAACCGGGAATCGTGACAATCCTACTAGACCACCACGCAAACCCCAATCTCCCAGGTCCCGAACATGCCCTCTGGCCCGCCGTCTATCGCCCAGCCTGTCTACGCATCCTACTCGCCCGCGGCGCCGATATCCGCAAAGCCCCAGGAATAATGGAGCAAGCGACAAGCGTAAACAACATCGACGCAGTCCGCGTCCTACTCGAAGCAGGCATAGACCCCAATTCCAAAAAGGACGGAATATACACCCCTCTCTGCTCCGCCATCCGCGACGACCGCCCAGATATATTAACCCTCCTCCTCAGTCACGGCGCCGATCCGAATCTAATGGCATCAGAGTATCCAGCATGGAAATGCATCACGCACAATCGCCTCGAATTCCTCCCGGAATTAATTGCAGCAGGCGCTGATCTGCACACTCCCCCGGGCATAGTCGAATGTGCAGTCCAACTCAACAATTCAACCGCAATGCACTGGCTCGTTGAAGAAGGCGGCGCCAATCCAAATGACCGCAACAAGTCAGGCCATACAGCCGTCACGACAGCCATCCGCGATAATCGACCCGAGGTGCTAGAATGGCTGTTAGCGCACGGCGCAGACCCGAACGTACGCGGCCAGGATTGGCCTATATACATGGCTGTTCAATCACCGGCTCTATTACGCCTGCTCTTGCCGGGCATTAAAGATCTAGGCGCGCACAAGGGTGTCATGGAAAAGGCTGTTCAGGCAAATCATCTCGAAAACGTGAAGCTTCTCCTCGAAGCTGGGGCGAATATAGAGTGGAAGAATGGCGGTGTGTTTTCTCCATTGACGACGGCACTGCGTGAGCGACATGCGGATATTGTTCGTTTTCTTCTCGGGGATGGTCAGGCTGATCCAAATGCTCCTGGTGAACATCTTCCGCTTGTTAAGGCGATACGTCGGTGTGATGATGGGGATTTTTCCATGATTGAATTACTCCTTGAGAAAGGTGCTGATCCAAATAAATGTTATCGTGACTGGAATGCGATTATGCAGGCTATTGAAGATCGGGATCTGAATTTGTTGCGCTTGTTGATTGAGAAGGGTGGTTCTGTTGATCTTGAGAAAAAGGATGAGACGGGCCAGACGGTTCTGGGGATGGCGGAGGCTTCCGGCTGGCCGGAGGGAGTTAGGCTTTTGATTGACAATTCTCGCGAGTGATACCTTCTTTTTTTCTTTGTCTGTTGATTCGCTTTTTGTTTATTTTGGGGGGGTCGGGACATGTATACCTCTGGGTTTTCTTTCGTTTGAAGTTGGGGTAAAAGTAGTAATTCCCAAGTAATTTTCCTATATCAAATGGTCTAATGCAACTGTGAATGTTCTATGAATCAATTATAACAAATTAAAGTTTCGAGTAGAGTCTGTTTGAAATCCATCTTCAAGGGATTGTATTTACTTTTAGTACAGCATGGGATATAAGGAGAGTCCAAAAGAACGCCAATTCCATTTTTCATATGCAGTTAGATGGATGGTATCAACGCGGCACCAAATACAGCCCACCATCAAGCAACAGGAGAAGGGTATTAACACAAATTGGGAAAGGCGAATTCGTAGCAAAAAAGGGACAAGGTAAAAGAGACCGTAATGTCGTCGGCAAAATAAGAAAATTAGGGTATATACAGATGCAATGCTTATAAGATGGCTGGGGCGATCAAAGAGAGAAGCCAAGTTGTTCGCGGTTGTCATCCACGAGACGTCCGTATCTAAGTGAGATAGTTAGCAAAAGTAGAAATGGACAAAATGCGGTTGAGGCAAACTTACTCCAGAAGTAGCCGGAAGAACCAAACTTCCAAGTCTTCGTTCCGCAATACTTTTTGTGCCCACTGCTGGCCTGAAGTCGCAATCTGAGAGGCCGCCTTCTTGCCTTCTTCTTCCTTGGTAAAGTAGCGCATGGTCTCCGTGTATTCGTTGCCCTTCAGGCCGAGCGGGACATAATGCAGCCAAGGCTTGAGCCACTCCTCGTGCCACTCACGGAAGAGAGCAATCTTGTATACAAAGCTGTTGCTGAGCAAAAACGCGTAGAACCGACCACTGAAGGCATTGCCGTCCACGTCAACCAGGTATTTATGAGCCCAGGCGTCTTGTTGGCCGGCGGCCTTGACCACCTCAAAGTACTCCTGTTGGGCGTGGCAGTCGTCGGGATCACATTGACCAATCATGGTAAACTTGACATCAAAGTTGTCACGGTATACATCGGGGGTGATTTCTTTCGAGACCCACGAGTTATCTTGCTGGCGCTCCAGAACCTTGGATGGAGTCAAAGAGTTGACATTGTCAACGAACTGCTGCCGATGTTGTCGGCGCCAGCCACCAGCGCGCGAGAAACCACCAGTGGTGGAGCCACGCCAATACATCCGATCTGTCTTCGCATCCCAGGAGTAATCCTTGGATTTCTCGTATGGAACCTTCTGTACCCAGTACCATGGACTGGGGTACAGGATATCCTGGAAGCTCGATATCTTGCTCTGAGAGAATACAGGGAACAAATCGTGCACCACATCAAAAGCGTTCGGGCGATCGAAGAATCCGTAGGTATAGCGTAAGGAGGGGCTGTGGCAAATGTCGGAGAAGGCAGTGGTGTTATAGATGAATCCCATTTCACCAAGCGCATATGAGTCCTCATTGTCTGGCGCATCTTCGTCGAGCGATCGGGCAGGGCTATCGACGGGGCAGGAGATGCGAGAGTTGGTCCAGGTAGGCTGGTGTGCGAATCGGTTGAAGCGAGTGGTGCGAACCTCATCAAAGCGGTCGCCTTTATTGATATTGGCAGCACGGGGAGACCACGAATTGGTAGGAGAATTTTTCTGGAAAGAAGCAGGGATGGCTTGGTCCGTCGCGGTTCGCACCAGTCGCTGGAGGTCTTCGCCGGGAATCACGACGCGGGGCTCGTCATGAACGTTGAATACTAGGTCCATATCCGGTAGGTACTTCACAAAGTCCTTCATCATACCTGCAGTGGCCTCACGCTGCCACTTGCGCCCATCACCTCCACCCTCCGTCAGGGATACCTTGCCATCGCGAATCAAAAGACCAAGCATGGCGTTGTCGAAACCGAGCGCCTCGCGGGCGCGCTCACGGATTGTCTGGGGCTTCACGGCCCAGAAGGGGAGAAGATTATGATAAACCGAGTCAAACTCATCAATCATCTGGACGCCCTTGGACTGGGCAAACTGGAACCACTTGTCGAAGTGTGGTGGGGGGTGCATCTTATAGCGACGCTTGTACTCTTGCACGGCGTCGGCCAGGGTCTTCGATTGGCGGGAGTAAACATGGTCGAATTGTTGCTGCGCAGTTCCGATCAAATTGGAGATGGGGTGTATTTTCTCGGGGGGGGTAGGAGGTCTGGCCAGGATGGAGCTGAGGGTGTCTGATCGGCTCGGGGGCAGGCTGGTTGGCTTGAGGTTCGGGGATAGGTTCGGCGGGAATAGAGCTGGGACGGAGGTAGAAGAGGGAGAAGCACGCGAGCAGGACGATCGCGAGCAGGACAGTCAATCGATGAGAGCGCATCATGCCATTAGTGGAAGGCATGAAGCGAGTGGGAAGCCTGACCGGGATGGGGGGGGGGAAGAGAGTGTGAAGTTGGTTTGAGGGTGAGTCTGGCCCGGGGGCGATGGTTCGGCAATAAATGCTACTCCGTACTAATGCTGGCATTATCTAAGGCCGCCAAGGCTCTCCATTCCTGACTCTTTACAAGAACAATACTATTATACTATTATTCTACTTTGATTATCCAATACTAGTAGTCATTATATTTCCAAGGTTTAATCAATGAGAATGGGGTCCCGTCTTTTATTTCACTTTTTTTCCCCTCTCTCCACTGTCTAGCCCGGGTGGCGATAACTACTACTAGGAGTAGGTACTTGCAGAGGCGAAATTCCCTACTGATCGAAAGTCTTGGCATCATGTTGGAGGATATTACTACCGCAGAATGTAGTAGTATCACAACTTGAACACTGACTACTAGTAGTAATAAAGGTGACGGTAACACTGCCTCTGAGTTAGTCCCTAAGAAACTCTACTACTAAGTACCTAGGTACTCTAATTGTTTATCTCAAATACTGTAACTGCTAGTAGTATATTCTGAGTCCCTTTCTTCTGACCTCGGGAGGTTTTACTCTAAATATCCCTATACTTCAAGTTTTCTTACTAACCTAGATCTCTAGGTATTCCCAATCTCTGGGTTACTTTGGCGACATGTATTGCTATGCTATATGTAGGAATTTACAAAAAAATAGTAAGTAATTACTGCTAGAATACTATAGCTCTGACTAAATATAGTATTGTGTCATAATACGGCCATCCTCCCATATGCTAATTTAATACTGTCACGGTACTATGTTGCTGCAGGATCGACCGGAGAAAATCCCGATAATGGAAATTTCTGTTTCTTGCACATAGATCAACATTGAATTAACTTCCAAAAGATAAAATGAAGACAGTGTCGTTGGTATACATCTAACAATGCCCAAATACTGTAATAGATATATTCGCTGAAGTTTTTCACATATCCCTTCCACGCTACCTCTTAATCCCCCCCGCTCGGTCTTGTTCCTCTACTGGGCAATCATATATGATGAATCGCGTGCCGAAGCAGCCTGATGTGCTTACCCCGCATAATGGGCAATTCTGAACAGCCTGCCGGGGAAGCGAATTTGTAAATACTTTCGCTTCCCGATCACCCTTACCTTGAAGGTTCTTCTCCCAGCAGGTGTACACTTACAGATACGTCAATATACACTGCCATTGGAACGAGCCTTCTCAATGTCAGCCACAATAAACAACGAGAGAACCCCTTTGACAAGAGATGGCTCTTGCCGACCGGAACACGCATCCTCTCCGAGTGGGGACGATCAGGATTCAGCATCAACGCTAGATGACGGCGCAAGAGGTTACAACGTCTCATTCCCTTCGCTGGATGCCGGAGCAGGCGACCTTCGGAGTGGGGCAAGCATGAGGAGTGTTATCGCCGTGCTTCTCTTCGGTATAATCCATTCAATCACGGAGAGTGGTACCAAAAATCTCCTAATTAGTTTTTCCTACAGGAGAGTTCGTATCTAATGCGGACGCCACATTTGTCATGGCTACGGTTGGCCCTATCTCATCTCAGTTCAATCGAATGCAAGATGGTAACTGGCTATTAACTGGGTATAGCCTCGGTGCCTGCGCGGCACAGCCTTTGGTACGTAATTTGATTCCAAGGTTAAAATAATGTGAGCAACGATCTGCCCAGGTGATCCGGTTTAACCTTGGAAGTACAGTACGGAAAGCTGAGCGATATATATGGTCGTGCACCGCTTTTACTGGCTTCTTACCTATTTCTCTCTCTCGGATGTGTCATCTGGTATGCTACTATCTTTTTTTTTTCTAAAAACGAACAGAGCATATGTGTTAATCAGCCACTGAGTTTCCAGTGGTCTATCCCATAATATGGACCTAGTTATCATCGGTCGAATTATGAGTGGGGTTGGCGGGGCCGGTGTTATGGCGTTGAGTTCGATTATAATCACAGGTATGCTCAAGTATACAGGAGCATTGTCGTTTGGTGGCTATTAATCTTGTTCCCAGATCTGGTTCCCAAACGCAAAATCGCAAGCTGGAGGGCATATGTAAATATTGCGATGACACTTGGTCGAAGTGCAGGCGGCCCTTTAGGGGGGGTGGCTTACGGATCTTATTGGATGGCGATGGTAGGTGAAGTAGAGAGAAGTGAGTCTCTGTAACGAACCATTAGCTGAACCTAATATAGGGCCTTTATTCTCCAGGCACCATTCCTATGCCTCGCTGCATTTCTAGTATTCGTTCGAATGAACATCTTGAGTCGCGAAACGGTCTCCTCTTCGGAAATTGAAGGTGGCCCCGCCAGACGAGTGGATATCTTGGGCACAGTATTGCTCTCAGGTTCCATTATCACTCTTGTTCTCCTCGTTGACTGCGGAGGCCGGATATTCCCTTGGCTATCTGACATGACTCTAATCTTAGTCACTGTTAGTATTTTCGCTCTCGTGGCCTTTGTATACGTTGAAAAGAACGTCGCACTGGAACCCATTCTAGATCTGAAGATCTTATCGAAGCCCAATGTTGCTACGAGTTATCTGGCGAGCTCATTCCAAACCGCGGCCCAAGTTAGCATGATGTTCGCGGTGCCGCTTTATTTCGAGGTTACTGGATCTGTTTCTAGCACCGTGGCAGGGGCTCATTTGGTACCGGCTGTTATTGCTAACACCATTGGTGGCTTGCTATCAGGATACCTTATCGGATGCACTGGAAGATATAAATTTGTCCAGGTGACATCCGGCCTGATCGGCTCCTTGACGTACTTACTTCTTTTCCTTCGCTGGAATGGGCGTACCGGATTTTGGGAGTCACTGTATATCATGCCTGGAGGGCTGGGTAGCGGTCTATCATCCTCAGGGTTTGTGAGTATGACTGCCTTTTTGGAGCCTGAAGAAATTGCCATGGCTACGAGCGGACTTATTCTACTACTTAATCTATTTATATCCACAAGTGTAACCGCTACAAAGGCCGCACTTGATCAAGAGTTCCAACAGCAGATGCGGAAAAGCCTTGCTGGAACCGACGCCGAACAGGTAACCTACGTCTTCTTTTAAACCAAGCAGCATTCTGCACAAAAAACTAATACTCTCTTAGATTATCCATCATTCGCTATCCGATATCAAGTTTATTTCTAGTCTGACTGGCCAAACACGAGAAACCGTGGTACAGTGTTTTATTGCTGGTCTTAAGCGCAATTACAGTATGCAATTGTTACTCTGCATTTCGGGGATCCATTTATCACAGTGGTATAAACTAACGATTTATATCAGTATTCTCGTTTGTCTGCTGTATGATTGCCTCGGCTTTTGCGCTGAAAACGATAGACCGGCGTCTTTGACAGATCACAGAGGGTGACTATGATGGTCTAATTTACCCCGAACACTCGGTCAACTTTAAACTCGATATGATGCCTTGCCGAGACGTAACGCCAGATCTTATTATTCTTCGTGGCAATCAGTCGGTACGATACTTACTGCCTTCGCACACACCCCCTCGCGGCTTCCTGTGGGTTCCGCGTAATCTCTTGAGCAGCTTATAGAATATGACATCCCCAGAGCCGTGTCTAGAGCCTAACCCTAACATATGGGCGAATAAAAATTGAGTTTAAGATTATAAGTTGAATGTAGGTTTCTAGTTTTGGGGTTCAAACCCGAGTCGTTACATAGGGGTAAGCTAGGTTGGTTTATCCAGGGAATAATCACATTGAATTTACTATTCCAAATGGCAATCGTAGGTGTAAGGTGTAAATTATCATAGCACAAGAATAAATTGTCAGAAAAATGGATAGCTGAGAAATCTCGACTGTCACGAGCGAAATGGAAATAACAAATTTCATTCCGCAGACGCAACTTGGAGCCACTACTGTATTTTCTGCAATATGGCCGCCCTGACTGGATTTTCGCTGTTTTCTAGAGTGCTGGCCGGGCGGGGAGGTATTCCTTGGGATTTTTTCTGACCATTCCGTCCAAGGACAAAGAATTCCATATTGTCATCCACACTCACTCTTTAAACCAGTAAACAATTGACCGCTCTTCCGGACAGAGATCTAGGAATAACTTCTAGTTCTACCATTTATATACTAGTAGTATAACCTTAACCTAATTTTCTGTGCTTCTGTAGTAATAGGTACTGGTAGGCATATTGTCACGACTTCTGAGGTCAAAGTAAGCTTTTGATATAGTGCTAATACTATTCAATTATCCAAGGAGGTTGAGGTACCCACTGACTCTCAGGTAATTCTCGAGACATCAGTCAAAGCTTGAACACGCTGGAGGTCATTTCCATCTCCCAACTTAACGACTCAGACAGGCAAAGCTAATCTTCTTAGTGGTAGTGGTAGAACCACCGTAGGCAACCGCCTCAGAAAGATCCCAATCCATGCTAACATACGGCCAGCAGATCTTGGTAGTCGAAAGTCCAGCATCATAAGTAACCATGTCACCAGCAACATAGACATTATCACTCTTGAACGAGACACCAACCTTCTCACCATTCTTGTTCACCTGCTGGAAGTGAGTACCAGCAAAATCACCTCGGCACCCCATAGCAATAAAGTCACAGGTAGGGTTTGAGATCTCCTCCCAGGTAATGAGACCATTGACGGGGCCGAAAGTAGCAGCGTGGGCATTGGAGCAGTCATTGTCACCAGAAGTAATCCAATTAACCTGGCTATCACCGTCCTCGGTACCAACCTTGGAAGTCGCCTGAGCGCCAACCTTGGTGTACTTATCCGAGAACAGAGACCACGCAACATTGCGCCCATTAGTACGGTTCTGAACATTCGTGTAGCCATCACCCATCCACTCGTTCGCAGTCACATCCACCGCACCACGCGAAACCCAAGCAAAGACATACCGACTCGTCTCAGCGAAGCGAGCCAGCGCACTGTAGCTACCAGACATACCACCCATAGCCTCGCCTCCACCACCGTTGGTAGTATTCTCATTCGAGATCTTGACTCCGTCATTCGTCATACCCTGCGTCTTGGTGTTGAGCCAGATAGCACCCTGGTCCTCGGCACAGATACTCGCGAAGGGAGCAGCGTCGGCGGCTTCAAATGCAATGCCGGTGTTGTGGCTGCATCCCCAAGAGCTGGTAGCACCGTCGATGGTCTTGAGTGTTCCGTCTTCGGTCACGTATTCGATGCTGTCGCCGAAGTGGCCCGAGGCGTCACCGGAGTAGTCGGTCACGACGAAATATGCGCCGTAGAGACCGGCCTTTGCGGAGTAGACAAGATCGCCGTTCATGTCGGGGGAGGCGGCGCGACCTTCAGAGTCGTGTACACCTGGTCCACCGAGCCAGGTCTTCCAGGTTTGCTTGCCATTGGTGTAGCGGTATAGAGCTGGGACGGGGGTGTTGTCTGCAGGAGCGTTGGCAGTACCGGATGGCATAGCCTCGTTAACGAGGATGGCGAAACCATCGTTCTGAGCGACAAGGCCGCCAGCTGTAAATAATTTTGTCTAGTTAGTCTTGCCTTTCATCTTCTAGAATAATGCATATGTTTGCGAAACCGAAACTGCTCTCTTACCTTCCTTTCCACCGGTGACGGTAACACTTGTACCAGTCGCCTTGAAAGTCTTAGGATTCACCGGTTGAACATGAACATCCGTCCCACTGGAATCCAGATAGGCTAGATAGGCCGACTTTCCATCCGGCGAGACGGAAAAGGGGGTTCGGCGATGGTGAGGATAGCCAGTCCAGTAGGCCGCCTCCACGGGGCTGAAAGCATTATCGAGTGCCAGCACATCGACATAAGTCACCAACTTCGACTTGGAAATCACCGCCTGAGCGCCCAGCGCTAGAGTCAACAGAGAAAGAGCGAAAGTCCCGCGCATCTTGCCGGAGTATAGTCGGTTGGTTACTGTTTTCTGGAAGACCGTAGATAAGTACCGCGCGACCGGCAATTCTTATATGAACCCTGCCATACTAGTAGCCATGCTGCTCTGTTCTTATCCGGTCCAACCGGTGGCCAAGGCGTTCATCAGATTGAGTGTTTAAGGTGGACTATTTGGGACATTCGGCGTGTCATCCGACTGCCAAGAACGGTCCTTCAATGTGGATGTCTCAGTCTCATTTGTCTGGTATAGAGTGGATTCGCACTGAACAGGTGCGGTGCCCGGGGCTAGTGAAACGCTGTTTCAACGTTATTCCTCCACTGGGGGGAGTTTGTCGATATAGGCATTTCTTGTCGTGTTAGTTCTACTCCGTAGTTCAGGACATTGGTAAGGGCTGGTGGCTGAACCCTACTAGTACGGACAATCTTCAAGTTGGGACTAAATATATGAGAGTTATTAGCGCTTGTATTTATCCACGCATCCGGTAAAGTCGAAAGCGAATCGGCAAAACTCCGGATGACAGGGCCTTAAGTGGATCATCCCTGGTAAATGATGGGCCCAGACTGCCCAACAACGCCTCTTATTGCCCAACTATAATATCTTGAAGACAGGGGTACTGTATCTACCAACAATACGCATCGCACCAATCAAGACCTTCACCCCCATCGAACCATAAGGAAAGAACACACCCCATTCAGCAGCGACGCACCCAGTGCTTGAATCATATACTTCTGCGCCTGGGCCACATGACAATACGCCGCAGAACACAAGACAACTACCAAAAAGACATGCACATAATAGAATAAACGTCTGCGTTCCTGCATGGAGCCCGCCCCGAGAACACCCTTCGATGCGACGCCACGAGGTCGCGCGAAAAGCAGTAGAAGAATCGTCATGCTAACTGCAAGCAGACCACATTGCACATCAAAGTCGCGGACGCGCTTGAAGAGCAAAATGCCGAAGTCCGGATGCTCGGATTGGACGAAGAAGAGTAGGTAAAGAGTTGCGTGTGCGAAGAGCAAAGGTGCGATCACCGCCCGCCCGAAGAGACGGTGGTAAGGGGTGACTGTTGCTTGGGGAATGGAAGTGAGATAGGAGAAGATTGATGATGCAGATGGTTTTGAAGTGGAGATGTACGCTGCTGGGGACATTAAGATTTGCAGCGGGACTTGGGAGAGAGCGACGTGGGCAAAAGCTTTGGTGAGATGGAGGTAATCTGTAGCAGTATAAGTTGATATTCTTTCCTTGGCTTGGAAGACAAAGATAGATATAGATATAGGGCGATTGGTGGATGAAACATACCTTCGCCACTATTCCAGATTGAAAGACTGGTTAACCACAGCAACCACATGCCGCATACGAAGTATTGTCTCCGAGTCTCGATCCAGCCTGTCACCAAAGGACGATCCCACCAGGAAACAGGACCTCGGCGTGGCCTTGATGAAGCGGTGGCTGCTGAATGCGTGACCCATGCTTGGTAGACCCGTAGCACAGACATGACGATGATCACAGACCATTGCGCGTACGAGCCGCGTAGGTCGAGTAGTTCGCGACGGCGGATCTTATCATCCCCGGAGACGGTGATAAAATGCCAGGGCCATGATGAAGATGACATCTTCAAGTTGATTGATGTATACCTAGACTGGCTTTCTCGTCTAGTGCGATTGAAGTGCTGATCTGCGGCACTTCGAGATGCAATATGAGATGAATATCTTCGAATCAGGACGATATGCACGGCTTTGACGATCTTAAGTGGATGTTTTGGCGTCAATTGAATACAGCCGTGCCAAAGAGCCGTCAGTAATGTCGTAAATGCTAGAGGACACAGATAGCTCCGCGGGGTGTGCAAGTGCAAGTGCAAGGTGTCACCGCGCCAGGCGAGACTCGCTGACAAACGACGCGCGGTGACTGGCTCAAGGGCAGAAACGTGCGAAGTGCCATCTACAACTCCATACAAATTGGCAAAAAAAAAGAACTAATTAAACTGCCGGTATTGCTTTTATGACTACCTGGGGATAGACGGGTTATGTATGGATCGCAAAAAAACCTCTACATTAAAAACGCCATCAAAGACATCTCATCCCAAAGCTGGCTATTCTCTAAGCTGACAGGATGGCCATGCCCCAATTGTTATGTGGTTCTGTTGTCATCTGCTCTGCGCATATGGAAATCGCTTTTCCCGAAGAGACTACTACTTCATGTGAGTTCCACCACTCCTGGGAAATTGCTTTAAGGAGACGTCTGCATGGCCTCCTCCTGGTTACCGCCCGCGGTCGTGGCGAAGTATCGGACATCAACATCGTCGTCTTCCTGCAGTTTCTCCAAGCTGGGCAGGATTCTTTGCTGGATGAGTTCCTGGCTCTTGGGTGAGGGGGTAATAGTCTCGCCGGACTTCTCCACCTCAACCAGGGTCTTGTCCTCCGGAAGTCGGCGCAAGGTATCGATAAGAACAGCGTAAGACTTGGCAACATTGAATCGGATGTTGGGGATTTCATCGGTGACCAATCGATCCAAGATGGGGATGATGGAGCTTTCAATGATATCGAGAGTAACAACAGGGGCGAGAGTCTATGGTAAAGTTAGTCGGGCATTTCCTTGTAGGGGCCGAAGAGGGAAACTGACAGAAACGGCAAAGCAGGTGGTCATGCGGTACAGATAGTTCGGATGTTGGCCCATAGCCATCACCTTCGGAATAATAGACTCCTTTGACCAATCCACGCCGAAAACCTCTGTGAGCTTCTTCAGATTTTGAGTGGCCGCCTCACGGATAGAGAAGACGGTGTCACCGAGCCAGCCCATGCAAAGATCGCTGAGCTGCTCATCGAAGAACTTAACGCCAAGCTGGCTGGCGAGAAGGGGAATGTATTCAATGATAGCGAGGCGCACGCGCCATTGCTTGTCCTCGGCCAGCTGGACGATAGCAGGAAGGAGGGACTGAGAAAGAAGGTCGATGCCGATGACTGAAGCATGTTAGACTGGAACGACTGCTATGCGGATGTATGGGCGTGGAGCGTACCTTTGTTGACCTGCTCCAGCTTGGAGATGATGTGCAGACGAACGTCGGGGAAGTCATCCTTGAGCATCTGAAGGAACATGGGAAGAAGGTGGGCAATAGTCCTAGGCAAGGGTTAGCCACTTGGATGTTTGCAAAAGTTGCAGGTGGACAAGACTTACTCGTCCTTTCCAAGAATCGGCGCCAGGCCGCTGATCTGGGTACCAAGAGCCGCCCGGACGTGCTGGGACTGGTCCGAGACAAGATCCTCCACACTAGTCATAATCTCATTAAGCAGCGTATCGCGATCAATCAAAGTACAGAAGCCTAGTCAAAAGGTTAGCTCAAGCCTAAGGCCGCAAGGATAAAAAGTGGGACGAAAGCATACCGGGGATCTGGCCAGCAATGGCGGTCCGAACCTCAGCCTCGGTATCCTTCAAGAGCTTAACAAAGGCGGGCACCATATCGCGGGTGACAACCTCTTCGTGCACGGCCTTGGCGATCTATCATCCCCCAGTCAGTTTTACTCCATGAATGCCGGGGCCTGGCGAGTATTTGCGAACCTTCTCATATCTATCAGCAACCATATACCGGACCCTCCAGCTCTTGTCCTCAAACAGGTTTCGCAGAGAAGTGAGCAACACGCCGTGGCTAGGCTGCTGCTCCTTGGGGATTTCCTCGGCAATCGCGATGAGAATATCAACTGTCAAAAGACGGACACTGTCTTGGTCATCATTGGCGAGGTATTGGAAGAGGGGTATCATTTCATCGATAATCACGTCGGTCTGCATCTCCTTGACGAACTTGGCGAGGTTGTTGGCCGCTTGCCGGCGGACCATGGGGGTCTCATCGTGTACAAGGTTTCCGAAGTGCTGGCGGAGGCTCTGCTGAAGTGCCTCATTGGCTTTCCGGTATGGTGTAGAGTACAGACCTGTGGCAGAGACCTTTGAGGTGAACCAATCTGCTTTCGAGAGGTGCAGAACCAGGGGGACAAAGTGCTCTTCGACTTGGCTTTCGGATAGCTGCTCGCAGACCTTGTTGAGGGATTCGACAGCCTATAACGAGAAGAAAGGAAAGAAAAGATTAGACCTGAGACAAAATAGTGGACCAGATCCGATGATTGCATCACCCACCTTCTCTCGAACCAGCGGCTCCTCGATCGCCGCCAGGTTCTCCAGCGGAGACAGAAGCACGTGTGCATGTTCGGGTCCTCCAACATGCTCTGTGAAGTTGCCCAATTCTTCACTCAAAGCTGTCAAGACTTCATCTTCGTCCTCAACGGAATCTAGGTAGGGTTGTGGGTTAGCGCGCGTCCGGATCGGAGGAGGAGGGCCGGTCACGGACCATCGAGGAATGGAATCAGCTCATCGCGGGTTCGCTCCGGACCCAAGGCCAAGGCGATGGTGGATAGACGGTGGATAGCATTGAGTCTGAGGAGAACGTCGTCGTGCTGCGATTAGACAAATGTGAGCAATGTTGGACCGAGACGAGTGGATTTCCCCCTCCAGCAGTGGAGGGGAGGGCGGGAGCTTGTTTGTACCTTCAACTCATCAATGAGGACCGCGATGGGGTACAGCTCGTCATTCTCGTTTTGACCCTCCATTGTGAACAGACGGAATGTGTATTAAAGTAGAAACGGAGAGGGAGGAGGTATCTGGGAGTGCACGATGGCCGGTCCCAGGTCCTAGACAGCAAAGGTGGATATCGAGGCGGGTTTTTTGAATGGGAGCGCCCGGCACAGAGAAATTATCGGCGAGAGAAAAAGGTCGAGACCATGAACTCAATAGCTATAAAGGCTGAGTTCGAGGTTGGAAAGGTCAGTTCCGATCGCGGGGGGGGTGAGTGGGTGGTGATGTGGTGAGGGGGGGGGTTGTTTAGGAGGGGAGTTGGTTTTGGAGTGAGAAGGGGGATATGCCCGGGAAGAGGACTTGGACTTTGGGACTGGGTTTCGTGGGGTGGGCGGGCTAAGGACTAGCAACAAGTGCAAAGCAGAGAAGATGGGAATGGGAATACCTGGGGAGCAAAAAGGGTACACACCGCCTATGAGTCGAGAATAGACGCAGTAGTGGGACTGGATGAACCGAAGATAGGGTACTTTTATGAGAAACTCGATCGATTGCGACAGCGATGGGCAGCAATGATTGTCATTACTCTCACCAGTGAAGCTGCCAGCTTTTGCTGCTTGTAAATTACATACAGCTATGGAGTGATGTCACTATAGAGAGTGTGACAATACGGTAACGAGTGTTGTGTACTGTCATTAAAGAGGGGTGGCTGTGGCGCAGGCCAAAAAAGTGTGGCTTGCCCGCAGAATTTCCACTTTCTCCCCGATCGGAGTCATCGCTGCCCCTCGTGCTGTTTGGACTGTAGTCGCCTTTTGGTAAGTCGTGATCCTACTTTGACACTCTGGTTGCCTCAGTCTATTCTTTCCATAGACTAACCCTTCTCTTCTTTCCTTTCCTCTAGATCACATCGCCTCGCCTCGCCTCGCATCGAGATCTCCCCGCCATGCCCACTATCTCGGTCGACAAGGCCGCGCTCTTCGAAGCGCTGGGCCAAACGTATGACTCCCCTCGGAGTCTATATACCCTCGAATTCCTCTGACGGCTCTCGCGCATTGCTATAGATATACTACCGAAGAATTCGACGAGCTCTGCTTCGAATTCGGTGAGTGGCCCTTCTTCCGAAAGTTTGCGTCGGCGGGGTCCATGGACTAATCAAAGCAAAATTAGGCATTGAGCTGGACGAAGATGTACGGACCACAATACAAGACACCATATCACCCCTAAGTAACAATCACTGAGAATATATAGACCACCGACCAGGACCGACCCATTGTCGACGGAGTGCAGGAGCCCCCGCAACTGAAGATCGAGATCCCCGCCAACCGGTATGCCGAACATATTTATACCATGGATGGAGAACTCGCCAACTAAACCACCTTTGCAGATATGATTTGCTCTGTATTGAAGGAATTCAATTGATGCTCAACATCTTCCTCGGCCGGAAACCCCTCCCCGAGTATAAGCTGTCTCAACCCGCTGAACTGCAGGAAATTATTGTCAAGGAAGACGTGGGTGTCCTCGGTGGATTCCAGGAAAGATAACATCACATACTAACTATATCACAGACCACAAAAATCAGACCCTACGTCTCTGCCGCTATCCTGCGCGGAGTCAAGTTCGACAAGGCCCGTTATGAGTCCTTCATTGCCCTCCAAGATAAACTTCACCAAAACTTGGCCCGTCAACGAACTCTGGTTGCCATTGGTACTCACGACCTCGACACTGTCAAGGGTCCTTTCACCTACGAGGCCCTCCCTCCCAAGGACATTAAATTCGCTCCCTTGAACCAGACCCAGGAGATGGATGGAGAAGAATTGATGGCCTTCTACGAGGTATGTACCTCTAATCTCCACTCCCCAGAAATCCAGAAATTGAACCGTTACTAATGATTTTAACAGAAGCACCAACAATTGGGTAAATATCTGAACATCATCCGTGACTCCCCTGTCTACCCGGTTATCTACGACTCCAACCGCACCGTTTGCTCGCTGCCTCCTATCATCAACGGCGATCACTCCAAGATCTCTATGGACACTACCAACATCCTCATCGAGATGACAGCCACCGACCAAACGAAGCTTGAGATTGTGAACCGTATGATGGTCACCATGTTCTCTCAATACACCACGGAGCCTTTTGTGTTAGTCGAACTATCCATGCCGAGTAAGAATTTCCAAAGCTGACCCATTGATAGTATTGAGCCCGTCAAGATTATCTCCGAGCACAACCAGCAGACTCGCATCACCCCTGACATTGCCCCCCCGTGTCGCCCAGGCCGAAGTGTCTTACATCAACCAATGCTGTGGCTTGGACCTCAGCCCCTCCGAGATCAGCACTCTGCTGAAGAAGATGTCCTTCCGCGCTAGACCTTCCACCCACAACCCTGACACCATTGACGTCGAGATCCCCCCCTACTCGCGCCGATGTCCTCCACCAGTGCGACATCATGGAGGATGTTGCTATCGCCTACGGCTTTAACAAGCTCCCCAAGTCCTTCCCCAGCAAGTCCGGCACCATCGCCCAGCCTCTTCCCATCAACAAGCTGTCCGACGTGATCCGCACTGAGGCCGCCATGGCCGGCTGGTCCGAGGTCATGCCTCTGATCCTCTGCTCGCACGATGAGAACTTCGGCTGGTTGAACCGCGAGGATGACGGTAGCAGTGCCGTCAGGCTGGCCAACCCCAAGACCACCGAGTTCCAGATTGTTCGCACAAGCCTTCTTCCGGGTCTTCTGAAGACCATCCGTGAGAACAAGGCTCACTCCCTGCCCATGAAGATCTTCGAGGTCAGCGACGTTGCCTTCAAGGACCTGTCACTGGAGCGCAAGTCCCGCAACGAGCGACACTTTGCTGCCGCCTGGTACGGTCGTAACAGCGGTTTCGAGATTGTTCACGGTCTCATGGACCGTGTTCTGGCCATGCTGCGGAGCGCCTTCGTCCCCAACGAGGCGGATGCTAAGGACGTCGGCATGAACGAGTCATCGTACTATATCAAGGAGCTGAATGGTAGGTTTTATAGAATGGCGCGCCCCACTATTATTATATACACTTTACTAACAGTTCCCAGATCCCACTTACTTCCCCGGTCACGCTGCTTCTGTCCACGTTCGCATCGGCGGCAAGGATCTTGTCGTCGGTTCCTTCGGTATCCTGCACCCCACCGTGCTGGAGAAGTACGAACTCAAGAACCCTGTCAGCACCTTGGAGATCAACATCGAGCCTTTCCTGTAGGCTTGGGTTGCTGTGGGCATTTTCCTTTCCCTTTACTTTGACGCTGATAGATGATGACACGATGGAGGGCTTGCGAGATACATATTGAGCATGTTTCGATTAGAGCTGTGGAGATGACAAAAGCAACAAAAGAAACTTTATAACTATATTTTCCTATCATCTTCTTCTAAATATTGTGTACAGAGCTCTTCCGCCTAGGCAGTCACTGCCAGTGGTTTGCTACCATGGCAGATTCGCGTATACTTGGCAGTAGTTTGTAGTACTAGTAGTACTAGTAGTAGTCCATCCACCTGGGTGGGCATTCACCATACGTCAGAGGTGGACCCTGCAAACTCAAGCTTATGTCTGAATGCCCAGGTGCGCCTCGATACAAGTCCTCGTAGGCTACGACTTTAGTATACTAGTATCCTCGAGATAAACAATTGTGTATATCCATCCATCCGCCTACGACGTATACTAGTAGCTTACAAGGAACGTCCTAATTCACAACTGGAGTTGCTCTCATTCCAATCATGATTGAGATTACTCGACGTAAGAATCATCACACATCACGCCAGAGAATGCATCCCGAAGCAAAAGACAAGAAAAAGGGCAAGTTTTGGAAGTGTTCATGTAGTTTTGATTGACGTGAGGTAGAGAGTATTGGCTCAGGTTAGAACAGGAAGGAAAAGGGAGAAAGGTGGGCGGAAGTAGATATTTTGAAAAAAGAAAAAACTAATCAAAGCTTCTTTTCCTTTACTCCTGAGCGTAACCCTCGGTGGCACCCTCGGCCTCAGCGGCCTGTTGCTCAGCCAGACGCTGCTGCTCAGCGGCCTGCTGGGCGGCAAGGGCCTTGGCACCGTAGTCCTGGGACATGGGCTGCAGAACGGGCTGCTCCTCCTTGGGCTCGATGATGGTGACCGAGTCGGGGAGGGTCTTCTGGGGGCCGGCCTTGCCCTCGGGGTCGGAACCGCGCATGATCTTGACCTTGATACCGAGGACACCCTGGCGGAGGAGAACGTGGCGGGTGGCAGAGTCGATGAACTCCTTGGCGGGCTGACCGGAGTGGATCATGAAACCGTCCTGGGAGATGTTAGTTGATTGTCGCAAACGGATCGCGGGAACGTAGATGTGATGGAGTGTTAGAGGTTAGGTTAGGAGAGCAGAGGAGCATATTCCAGAAATGACTGATGCGACCAATACGGCCCAGTCATCCCAGGTCCAAAAATATCCAATGCTTCCCTTCCCACCGCTTTTCCCCATTTCCATCTCGGTGTAGACGTACAGTGAACTTCATAGACTTGGCACGGGCAGCACGGAGCTTTCCGGACACAACAACCTCGCAACCCTTAGCACCGCTCTCCATGATGAAGCGGAGGACACCGTAGCAGGCACGGCGGACGGCCAGACCGTTGAGGAGCTTGTAGCGGAGGGACTCGCACTGAGCGACAGCGGAGAGACCACGGTTCTGGACCTTGGCGGCGTAGAGGGAGACGGAGTTCTCGGGGAACTTGAAACGCTTCTGGATGAGGGAGGTGAGCTCGCGGATGCGGCGACCCTGCTCACCAAGAACCTCCTGGGTGTGGGTGGCACGGACAACTATAGAGGAGAAGCAACCGGTTAGCATCGAGGGTTCCTAGGCGAAATTGAAATCGAAATCGTTGATGTTTTCTTCCAAGCGGCGGCGCATTCAAAGCTTTTTGTCGGGTCACTTTGAAAACGCATTGCTTCCCTCCTCTTTCATGATTGTATCCAGATCCCATCAACGGAGGGTAATTCGAGCGAGAGAAACGTACTGATGTCGGTGACGGTGGGAGTGACACGGACTTCGACGCCGGAGTATCCCTCCTCAGCCAGCTCGCGCTGGAAGAACTCGTTCAGCTCGGCATAGAAGACACCGTCGGCGACGAACTTGCGACGCTTGGAGATAGCACCCTGAACAGCGGCCATTTTTGCGTTCCTGGTTGTTGGAATTGGAGGGGGTCGACGGGGGAGGGCGAGGTCGAGGTCGTGATGGTCGTTAAAGATTTCTGGGTTAGTGGTGGGGACTGTGCTGTGGTTGTAGGGCTTCCCGCCCGTTTGGGTTGTTAGGGCTCGCTTGAAGTGCTCCAAAGCGGTCTAGCGTTGACACCTGGGACATCAGGCCAGAATTGTTCATGACTAAGCCGATTACAGGTAGTTAGTTAGTTAGTTAACTAGTTAGTTACAGCTAGTTAACTATAGGCTACTAGTAAATTATAGTAGTATGCCTACAGCTAACTATAGCTAGACTTAGCAGTAACAGTAATGTAGTACCAGGCATGTGTATTGCTTATTGAATCTTTCATAGCCTAACATACACCATTCAGTTCTTCCATATCTTTCATCCCATTTGCCTCGATCTTCCACACCAAATCCATAATAGTAATCTCATTCCATTTCCACCTCCATCGGCTTAGGTTTGCTCGCTTCCTTTTCAGGGGACTCATTTTTTAATACCGCAAGATTCGAGATCCCAGAAGTCACAGCCGCGATTCCAGATGCTGCTGCACTAGGCATAAAGGACTGCTGTGCGGTCTCCACGCCGGTCACAATAGGCGCACGGTTCTCACTGGGACTCTCACGTCCTGATCCTGGCGAGGATTCCGACGGTCGAGGCCCATTCATCTCCGAGTCTGCTCGACCAAATGATTCATTCCACCATCGAGTCTCGCCGGCTCGGGGGGAAGATCAACCGCTCCTTCCCCCGCTTATGATCGTCCACCTCGGGGTCGTATTGCGGGTTAGTAAACTGCTCCCGCCGGGCAAGGAAATAATCCCATACACTCCGAGTTCGCTCTCGGGCCTGGGTATCTACCCGTTCTTTCTCATTGTTGAAGAGGAATGTTCCAAACTGGCACGCATAGAGATGGTAGAGAAGGCGTCGGAGGAAGCGCTCATTGAACTCGAAGCGGGTTGGATACTGGTACAGAAGCTGGTAGGTGGCATCCAGGAATTGGTGGAATACAGGGCTCGTCTCCTTCACCTTTGTGACCTCCTTTTCGGAAACTGCAGATCGAGGAGACGAGCTGGGCTTCTTGGCAGCAGGGCTGTCGGAGTCATAGCTCTGGAGCTCTCCCTCCGAGTCTGGTAAGGAGTCACGGCTATTGTTATCCCGACCAAAGAAGCCTTTGGCACTGAGGAACGCATTCTCGATTGCCTTTCCTGCGCCACCACTTTCTCCAAATCCACGATTGGCATCTCCCCCGATACGTTCGTTCTCGATCTGGAACCATTTCTCACTATTCAAATGGCCAGATCGATGTCGGAACATGTGGCCAAACGACAGCCAATCTTTCTCCACGAGAACCATGAAACCCTCCATGGTGCGAAAGTACGGGTCCAGGCAGATTTGACTCAAGGCACTGAGCTGGCTGGTCCGGTCCCAGCCATCAGAGCAGTGAATGAGAACGTGGGAATGCGTCAGGCCGACCTGCCGGGTAATCAACCCAGCTCCATCCAAAATCCCGGCGATGTGTTTCAACCACCCACTTCGTGCTAACAAATCCCGATTCGGTCCCAGGGGAGTGACATCCGTCTCTTTCAGTGCATCGATGACTTTATTCAAGGAATCGCGCATAACGTGGATGTTGTCGATTCCCAGGTATGCCTTCGTAGCAAACTTGTAGTTGTCCATGTTCTCCGAGCCAAGTCCAACCGCTTGCATAGCAAATGCATTAACCGTCGGACGCGCATCCACAATGAGGTTCGACTGTTGAGCGCCGTATATCGCACGCTGGTCTTCGGGGTCTCCCCGGGAAGCAGCTAGCATATCATCTTCTATTTCCTCGGCATTGGACATGTCTGGGTCACTTTGTGAAGTCTCCGTGCTTTCCTGGCTGGAGTCAGATGCCTCCCTCTCTATGCTAGCCTGAGCGAAGCCAGCCAACGGGCGCTCCGAACGAGAAGTCGAGAAAATGGCAGCCAGTAACTTTTCATCTTGAATACTGCGGTTCTGACGGACACCAACCAAGGGTTGCGAGCTTCGGGTGATGCTACAATTATTGACGGGGTGTAGGTAGGTCAAGGCTGGAATTCGTGCCCTTGAGCGATAGCGTCCTGCATAGTTGATGGTGTTGTCGGAAATGGCCGAGGCACGGGGATCAGTGCTGGGTACGTTGGGGAGAACTATCGACGATCTGAGTCAGTATGTGGAGTCATCTTCTTCGCCTGCCCCATGCCAATTGTACCACGTACCTCATAGTTTGTATTGACTTCAGATAGGCGCCATCCGGAGTTTTCCTTGTGGATTCCTTGACGTTCCCACTCCTTGCGCGGCTCATACAAATCCCACCCGTTGAGTTCCTTCTCCGGAGGGGGCGGTTGGTAGGAGAAGGCGTATAGTTTGTCAAGGCGACCAGATTTGCAGGTCCACTGCTTGATACTATCAAAAACCTCCCGGGCCTTGTTCTCGCTGGTGAAGTAGAAACAGACAAATGAAAAGTCTCGACATCGCAGGCGAATGGAGGAGAGCTGGCGGGAGGCCGCGGGAGCCGGTCGCAGAGTACAAAATGAGATGATGGGGTAGGTAATCCAAAGCTCCTTCGGTCTGATTGCCACGCCCTTGGCTTGATCCTCGCTGGAAACCGGGGGTACGTGGGAAAAGATGAGGTGATGTGGGGTGAGATGAAGGGTGCCGTCGACCTGCTCACCACGGCGAGCCAAGGTCACATTGTCAACCTGGGAAGAAGAAGGCATGGTTAGTATCGGTGAGGTTATATCTTTAAGACTCTCAATAGATAGACCAACCTTAGCAACCCGTGTTCGCTCCATGCCTAACTGAGCGTGAATCACTGTGGGCGCATGATCTTCATCCTGAGAGGGGAAAGCTTGCGGTTGTGTTGTAGCGGGGCCGGGCGGACACTGCGCACTTCGGGGATTCCAACAATGCGATGGTATGCAAGATGGTCAAGTGACGCTGATCAGATCGAAGTTGAGCTATCTATGCCTCGGTCCCGAGGGAGTTGACGAGGGGACTCGAAGTAGGAGTGCGGGATGTCAGGTTCAACTGGAGTTGGGAGAGAAAGAGCCGGGTTACACGTCAAGTCCAGCTTCCACGGTTCAACTTGAAGTTGGGGGCCCGTCATGTGTGGGGCACCATCACAACCTTTCTTGAACTTCAAGGCCTGGAGTTTACTACTAGTAGGTCCTAATACGACCTAGGTAGGTACTAGTAGTTAACTTGGAATATTCTAATTCCTGGTATTCTCCAGAGCTGCAGAGGGTTCTTGAATAATTTGAATCCAAAGGGCTATCGGTGGTCTACATCGAAAGTTGCCAGTGTGAATATATGTTTACAACTAGGTAGCACTGCTGTACTACTACTAACTTCAAGTTGACAGAATTTGAATGGTATCTTTGCTGTTACTATCTCATGCTACCTATTAGAGGCAACCTCCCAACTTCGAAGATCATCTCGGACATCAAATTCGCACAGCTCATGCTCAGCATGTCGTCCCTTCCAACCACGGCCCTTTGCCCCATCATAAAGTTGCTGTTCAAGACTGCCGCCCTTTTGAGCATTGCCCAGTGTAGATCGAGAGTCTGGCGTTTTCGAGCTGCTGCGGGAGTGGTTACTTGAGGTGCTTTTCGGCCGCCTCTCAAATCCGGGTGATAGGCTAGGCGACAATCTCTTGCCGGAGCGTGACTGTCGGGCCCCAGCTTCAGGGTCCAAAAAGTTATCCCGATGGTCAGGCCCCACGTAGCTTCCATTCACAGTGTTATGGACGTCATTGTTCCAACATGAGCTGCCTGAGAACAGCTCCTCCACTAGTTTATCGGCAGGCAAGTCGCATGATCGAGACGTCCACGAGGCCGCTAGGGTTCTTCGATATAGGTCTTGCATGTCGGCAGTCTCTCTGGTTTGTGTGTTGATCGAGGGCATCTGGCCGATCTCGTCCGAATCTAATGGCTCAGAAGAATGAACCACGCCCGCAATACCTCCGAAGACCGTGGCCGATTTCAGATTTGGCCTGTTTCAGATTAGCATAGAACAAATGAAAAGAACGAGACCATCCGGGGCGCTGGGCATACGTAGTGAAGCCTCGATCTCCTTCCGTTTGGTGCATCGCAATCCCAATCTTAACGGTACTATTGACTTTGCTGTCAAACATAAGGTATCGTCTAACGACACCTTCATCTTCTTCAACCTTATCCACATATTCCGCAAGGTTGAGCTTGATTTTTCCAAGCACATTCTTCTCTATTGAAGAGTGGAACTCTTGAATGATTTCGAACAAGATTTCGCAGTCCTGGAGCGTAGATGCCCTGTCGATAGTGAGCCTCACGTTGAGGACCTTTTCATAGTTCCAGTATGCACGATGGTCACTGAGAGTTGCCTTTTCTGTGTGACCCTGATGCTCTGCTGAGACGCCTGACGGTAGGCGCCATCGTACGTACGCGACGCCATTGCCCAAGGGAACATTGTTGATGTCGTTTATCTTGGGATAATTTCAGCATCTGTACGTTTCATATCAAGATAATGGAATCATACCCTCAATACAAGCTCAAATCGGGGCTATATGTGTATTCGGATTAGTTTCGAGTGGCTTCTTCTCCGGGGCTTCCGAAGCTTACCCTCCTATTTTTCGGGACTGGCAAGTGTCATATGTTAGCCGAGTCAATTGAGATATAAGATGTGACTATCCATGCCGAGGGAACGGAGTGAATGTAACTTACCAAAAGCCTGCATAGTGGCTCAAGTGTATGTGGCCAGGCCGTCTTCAAGATGAGATAAGTCGACCCGTATAGGGATCTGCGCACCTGCTGTCATACGTCGAATACACAAAGCCTGGTCTATTTAGGACCTGCCCAAGCGAATTATCTGGATATCGAGGTGTGATTTTGAGAAGAGCGTAAATGGATCTTCCTTGATGTCGTCGTCCAGTCTCCCCGCAAATGGTGATGTCGTGGGCGGTGAAGCACAACTCTGGCAATCTGCGGCAGAATATCCAAAGCCGTCGCCGAGTGACTTCCGACTTATTTCCCTTCATACTTCTCGCAACACTCCCAGCCACTTTCCTCAAGGCGGCCCCTCCTCTCCCGCCATCCTTCTTCCTCCGCTTTCAATAGTCGCACAGCAATCATGGTCAAAACTGAGCCTTTCCTTCCATCGCCCCCCTCCGAGACTGTCTCGGCAGTCCCTCTCGACTCTCCGATCCGAACAACCCCAATCCACCCCGATCTCCCGGAGGTCCAGCTGCCGGGTGAACCACTTCCGATTTACAAGTATCACCCGGTCACTTGTCAACCACTGGAAGAGCAAGATATTCGCACGGAGATCGAGCAGTTGCGTCAAGAATTTCCGACCAAAGAAACAGCTCTGAGAGCCCAGGAACTGGCCGCGAAAGAAGCGAAGAGGAAAATTGAAGAGGCTGAGAAGAAGAAGGAACAAGTTCAAAAGGCCATAGACAAAAAGGTCAAGGAGCGGGATACCGAGATGAAGGTGCTTTCCAAGTATCAAGAGGTTAAAGCATCGGAAATCCCGTCCTGAATGAGATGGATGGACTTCGGCTACGCTTGACAACATCAAGAAGCCGAACCAATAGCTATCTTGGCATCCTAATCTCATTAGAGAAGCGAAGGCCTCTCTCTGCCTTCCGACCTCAGTTCTTGCCGAGCTGATTTTTGGTCCGTGTCGGGCCCTGCATCAAGCCAGCATACCACGCCGGAAAGGTCTGGCGATACCCACCTTTGTCGCGTCAGGATCTACATTCCTGCCGAGCTCGCCTGGATTAAGACATGGCATGTCTTCAACAGCGACCTGATTACTGCGTAACGGCCGAATATCATCAAGTTCAGTTGTCGCTAATCACCAGACAACTTTCAGGCTATCAGAACTTTTGGCCGGGCTTTGTCATTGCTATACCTACAGACAATTCAATGGTATACAACCTGAGTCTTGTCAATTACAGAGCAATTCCTAGGCTATGGGAGAGAACAGGAGTTGGAATGATGTAGGGTCATCGAGAAGTACAGTGTTTGGCCCCAGACCATCTTCAATATTCTCCTATCTCATTTCTATCCTCTCAGCAATAGTCACCCTTTACCACTGTGTCCTTAGATAGGCGGTAATCTTATCTTTACTTTTTATATATGTAACTCTAGGGCTTACCTACTCTTTTTTGTCCAAGCTAAGTATCTAGACTTTAGTACTTTGCTCTTCAAGTAAAGCTATATCTTTCTGAGAGGCTCAGTTACGGGAGGTAAATCCCCATGAAGAGGATCAGAACAGCAATGTAGTAGCATTTTTCTAAAGAAGCAAGCGTAAAAAGAAAAAAGAACCTGAAGGGAAAAACCGGCAGGTGCCCTAATGGCACCCTATATCAATAGTGGATCATACGATGCCAGGTTCGTCGCAGCAACGTCCCCCCCCCCCGGTGTTCATCAATACATTCTATCAAATTCGTATTTTTTCGGGATTCCGTTAAACTTCTAGTTAAGAAAAAAGAGAAGAGATCCCCGATGTCTTAAATGGTTCTTTGTATGAGATGTGCCAAACAATACCTGCCATATCAAAAGCGAAAATCGACCCCTTTTTGTATTGATCGCCACGAAGATAGGATATGTTGCGAGACCGTAAGTCTTCAAATGATAGCGATGTCGCATTTTCGAAACATGTGCGAGGGCTTGGAAGCATCAACGAACGGGGAAGCTCGGAAGGTATTGTCCTATCAATGCACGTATAAATGTGAATTTTCCACAAAGGATCTTCTCTGTGAATACCAGGACCTAGATTAACCCATCTTGTCATAACAAGTGCAAGCCTGGAATCTATCCTGCGGAACTTAATCAAGGACACTGTATTGCACTTGGGACATGTATAGGAAAATGAATCTCTCTCTCCATTATACACAGACTCAATATCAGAGGCTTTACTCTCAAGTGAGGTATGTGAGCATATTTCATAGAGCTGAATAACATATGGCCTCGAATCAACTTGAATCTTTGAATCCTCCCATATGTCATAAAGCACAATATCCTGCATTCTTATATGAACCCCAAGTGGCTCAGGACATACTTGAGCTTCTATCGAGAAAAGTGTTCTGATAGGCTGATAGACCGGTAATGATTTAGGTTTTTGCCAAGGATGTCGGTATTCACGAACTTGTGTAAAAGCAAGAGAATCGGTGTTGATTCCAGAATGAGGGCCAAAACAGTATCTTCTCATCGCAAGTTTGATCTGGAGAAAGTGAAGCCGATTTCTCGAATGAGTAAATGTACTATGGGTTCTCATATTGATCGATGACCCTCTGATACACTCTGAATGCCAGTCATATCCCTTCCTAACACAGGGAAGTCGAGTAGGTTTGTTATAGGCTAATCCGCTGAGTCCGAAGCTCTCAGAGCCATCGTATCGATGGAGAATGTTGCAAATATCGCATGCGAAGTATTCTGGGTGATCTCTTTCCAGTCGGATGAAGATTGACAGCTTGGCATCCCTCCGAGTAGGAAATCGATAATATGTCCTGAAGAGGGTATGGATTCGATGGTTGCAGAGGCCAAGACAAGCAATATCGACGGGAGAAAGAAGATCACAGATTCGAATCAATAACTCTGAAGGGAGCCCGGTCATCTATCTACGCAGTGAGACTGATGGCCAGTTGCCTGGTGTGGGAAGCCGAGATAGGGCTTGCAGAAGTATTTCAAGAGTTCCATGGTGACTGTCGACAGATATTGGTAGTTGTAGTCGTGATAGCTGTGGATTGTACCAGGAAGTGAAGAAGAGCCAAGCGAGACATGATGTGACGTGGTAGATTGATCTGGTGCCAATCCAAACAATACTAGTAGTATAATATCTACTTTGGTGGAACCCATGGTACTGTTGAGAGGCCTTGGGCTTCAGGCCCTCAGCCCTCGGTCAATCCGCGCACCCAGGTCCTATTTATAGTAGATAGTAGATAGCTTCTCAGATCAGAGTTTTCGGTAGTATAGTCGAAGATGTCGATGGCCGTATCCAGCTTGATATTCCTGAGATATCTTGGGAAGCGACCCGGGTATATCATGTGATCCTAGGATGTCTCTAGGGCAGCCAAGGCGAGGGCACAGAAGGAAGGTTCTCGCTGTTGTTCCCAGAGTCGCTCCTTCCTTCTGTGCTCTGAAGGTGAGGCCGTCCACACAAGTATTTCTCATTCCTGCTTTTGGGCGTCCGTTCTCCAGCTTCAGAAAAAGTGACTATCAATGACTCCCTTTTCCTTCCTCGTCATTTGGACCCTCCTTTCCCAATGGTAAGTGAATTAACTTCAAGAACAGATGTACACGGATTCGGGATCGAATGTCGATTGGGAGCACACCTCGTCAGACGGCATGCATATCAACGCATCTACAGTGCAAATAGCCTTACTAATGTCCTAACGAGTAGTCCAGCATCGTTCAATTAAATCGTATTAAGCATATTAACGTACCCAGACATATCGTGAGTTACCGTGATTAGTTACTCGTTTAAACATTACGGAAAGCAACCGAGAGAAGAAAAAAAAGGCCCCCCTTCGCGCTCTTACAACGAATCAATCAACTTCACGACAAGAGGCAACAACTGAAAAAGAAGTCAGCAATGAGAGAATAAGCCGGTTATCGAAATAAATGGAAACTTACATCAGATGCGTCCTCGATCAAAGTCTCCGTCTCATTAACAAACTTCGGCGAGAGAAGTTCATTTGCGTTTCCGAGGAGATTTCCAACCTTGGCCAAGAGATCGGGAGTAATGACCGGCGCAACACCCGTGACCAGCGATCGAGTATCGTTCACGAACCTCGGGCTTAAGAGGGTGGTTCCGTTGCCCAAAAGATAGGAGACGTTATGCAGTAGCTCGGGAGTGATCATGGGTGAGATTCCATTTATCAACCCACCAGTCGTTTTCACGAACGATGGGGTCAGGAGGTCATTGGCATTGGTAAGAAGGCTGTTCACCTCCTTCAGGAGCTCAGGTGTTACAACAGGAGCCACAGTATTGATGAGACCCTTGGTTTCCCTCACGAATCCAGGGCTAAGCAGGCTATTACCGTTCTGGAGGAGGCTATTGACTTCCTTGAGAAGTTCAGGAGTGACGACAGGGGCAATTGTATTGATAAGACCCTTGGTTTCCTTGACAAAGCCTGGGCTAAGCAAGGTATTTCCATTCTGGAGAAGGCTGTTAACCTCCTTCAGAAGCTCAGGGGTCACAGCGGGAGCTACTGTGTTGATCAAGCCCTTAGTCTCCTTGACGAATTCGGGTGACAGGAGTGTGTTGCCGTTCTGGAGAAGGCTATTAACCTCCTTCAGAAGATCAGGTGTGACAGCAGGGGCGACAGTGTTAATAAGGCCCTTAGTCTCCTTGATAAAGCTGGGGGAGAGAAGGCTATTGCCGTTTTTGAGCAACGAGTTAACCTCCTTCAGAAGGTCGGGGGTCACCACAGGCGCCACAGTGTTGATCAGACCCTTGGTCTCCTTCACGAACTCGGGGCTCAACAGGTTATTTCCGTTTTCAAGCAAACCGTTGATTTCCTTGAACAGCTCCGGTGTAAGCACCGGGCCAACGGTGGTGATAAGACTCTTAGTCTCATGAACAAAGTCCTTAGTTAAGAGCTCGCTGGCATTGTCAAGCAAACCATTCAGTTTGTTGATCAGACTCTTGGTCAGAAGGCCAGAGGCAGTCTCGATTAGGATCTTAGTCTGATCTGTGGTCTTGTCATCAAGGAGGTAGGCAACATGGTGGAAGAATGATTCGATATCTCCAAGGAGAGTCGGTGCCAGAAGACCCTTAACACCCTCCAGGAAGCTCACGAAGTCCTTGAATGAATCAAGGAAAGTACCATCGAAGGAAAGCAGATGACCATCATCGTCACCATCCGCATGATCGCTATCAGCATAGCCGCCGCTGGTAGCAGAAGGCTCGGCGGATTGAGTAGCCGTGGCTGTTTTATCGGTAGCAGACTTTCCAGTGGTACTGCCAGTCATAATACTAGTAGCGCTACCAGATGCATGCGACGAATGCGAGGCTGTATCGGTTGAGTCTGCGGTCTGCGAGCTAGAACGTGTGGACGACGGCATGCTGCTTTCAACGTTCGACGGATCCTTCTTCGAGTCGGCCGAGTCGGCGGATTTCGTTGCCGTGTTCTGAGGGACATCCTCGCTCTTCTGTGATGGCAGAACAGAGCTAGGAGAAGGCGGATCGGCAACGAGAGCATCATCATCGTTCTTGTTACTGCTGGAATCGACCGCTGAGGCTGCCTGGTGAACTAACGGGGTCTCGGATGTGCTAGGAGCAGCATTTGCAGCCTTGGCAACGTTATTCTGAACAGGCGAAACGGACGTGGCATCCGGTCCGGCCTCGTTCGCACTAGGTTGGTTGGTAGGGCCAGCAAGAGCAGTGCCAGATAGCACGAGGGTCGAGATGAAAGCGGCAGAGAAACGCATCTTGGCTGCACACACACACGGCAGAGGAAGAAGACGATATGGAAGCGGTTGCCGGAGATTGTCGTTTACGAGAATCCGCCATCTCCCATGTCTGGGAGACCTCCTTTTATGCCATCAGCCGCTATTCCCCACGGATTCACTTCTTGGGGCAGGAATTGGATTAGGCCGAGGACGGTTGGTCTCCACATGTGAGCATTTCCAATCTTCAGACTCTTTAGATAGCTCTGATGTCAGTCCCCGGCCATACACTCGCACTCGCTAGCGGAGTAGTTCCCCTTTTTCGGCCCGTGTTAGATACCCATCGGTGGATATACTCTTGCGAGATCTCCAGATATTTGAGCGGGAACGAAAGCGAAAGGCTCCATCCAAGTCATGATTCTGATCTTGGCCAATGGGGCTGATGGACTAGCGAGGTTAGTGGCTTGGTCTTGCGGGGGAGGCTAATGGGAAAAACGGGAAGAATGCGACGTCAAGAGTTCGTCTGCCCTTCGTTTAAAGGGTTCAGGGTCCGGGGCTGCCCGTGCCCTTGCAGATCGGCACGGATAGCCATGTTCCTGGCTAATGAGAACGAACGGGTACCTGAAGACCCGTTCGCTTCCCTTGGGGTACGGTTTTAGTGGACTATGTGTGCTATTGGGATGCTGATCATTTACGAACTGGTGTTGACCAGCATTCCCGAATCGAGATCTGACCTTCTCGTCTAACCGATCAGATCTTTTACGAAGACGTCGGCGCTCAAAATAGGGCCGATGAGATGATCATTCACCGCGGCGTTGGCGAGTTTTTTATTCCTATCTTAGCCTACCAAGTTTGTTCCAACAACGATCTACACTGCCAGCATCATCATATGTTGATGATATTCTGGCATAGATGTTCTACTAGTACTAGTACCAGTTCCATGTCTTGTGAATTAGAAATAACGACCTATATACTAGAAAGCCAGCCTATTCGGAAATCGTTCTGCACTTAACCCTCCACACTTTCTTTGAATATAGAACTATAGTTTGCAATTTGAGTAACTCTCGGGTGGCTGCATAACACCCCACACGCGACAGGAGCGCCTCTGCAGGGGTCGCTTCCAAAATAGCGGGGCAGACTTGTCTCTCTGTGGACCCTTCGCTCCTCGCGAGCGTTGCTAGCGCGAGGATCGCCGCGGGGATTTTAAGGCCTCGGAGTTCGTTTAGAATCCGAGGGTTTTCTAAAGGGAAATTCATCGTAGTTTTAATGCGTGTTGGCACGCCAAGATATCATGGTTCAAGCTTTGGAATGGAGCAATTCGGCAGCCAACCCCTATATTCCCGCCTCCTTCACATTTCAATTTATCCTTTCGACGCTTTTAACCACAATCGAGTCTTCTGATGGCGTGCAGGGTAGATGTGATCTGGCCCTTCAACCGCAGTGCCTTGGAATTTGCACGTGGCGTGTGCAGGGGAGGGGGGGGGGGGCGCAATTGTGGTCATTTACTAGTATTTCATATGATAGATATTGCAGATTTGGTGATAACTTCGTTGTTGAAGGGGGTAGAGCCGAGCTCTTCCAATAATTTCCAGTCGCCAAGTTTTGGTGCACTACTTTATCGACCTGGGTTATCTTGTTTAGGATTAGGTTGAACTATGATTGATTTTTATCTATCAATTTTTTTTTCCATGCGAAAGAGCCTCCAACTCTTTCAAGGCATGTTTTATCTCGATGCGCATGGAAAAAAGAGCGTACTTGCTCCGGTTGGCGGGCGTTTTCAATCTCGGTAAATTATTTTGACACGCCAAGCATTTCACTCGATCAATCCATGGAAGAATCTTTAATTTCATATGAAGCTTTGCTGCTTTTAGAGTCCTTGTTTCTAAGTGGGACTTGTTGGGGGCCCGATACGAGGTGGTTTACCCCAGTTGGTCGGAGGGTTCGTTGTCTCGTAGTTATCTGCTCTGAGCGGGTCTTCGACTCGATGGAATATGACCGGTACAGTATTTGAAAATGTCCGAAGCTGATTAATTTGTTAGAATGAAATGAGTGCGAGGTCTGAGGTTGAGAGACACACCCTTTGTTTGACAATCTTCCAATGACCCCTGGGAATCGGCGAAGGCTTTGAACAATATACATGCAGTGATTGGAGACTATTACTCTGACCCCATATGTCCAATAAAGTCAGAATATGGAACTTTTGGGCATGGTCCATTCTCAGAATGCCATGGTGGATTTTCTGAAGCAGATTCTCGCTGATGAACTCGGTTATATCCATGTTTCGCATAACGAAATACGTTGGTGGCGTCTCATAGAGGTTGAGGGGTATTTTGTAGAGAACCTCAAGCGCTTCCGCAGTGATCTGTCTGTTGATCAGGAGAATGGTTGGCGTACGTCGCTCTATGTAAGGTCGTGGGTAGGAGCATACAGGACCGCGAGCACGGTCCATTTCGGCGGCGGCCAGAAGCTCTATTTGGCGATACCCACAGACATATTCATTCGGGTTTAGTGAGTAGGCGTAAATGATCAGACGAATCTCGGGCGGTAGGTCGAGGAAAGACGGCATTTTTGAAACTACCCGCGAAGAACAGTATGCGGTCTTCTGGCTTGCTGTTCATGGTCAGTTTGCCCCTCTTCGAGATGATTTCTCTCACAATTCCCGCAAGTTTTGCATTTGCTTTGCCGCGGGAAAGATCTTTATCCTTTCTAGCCAGTACTTCCCAATTTTGCGGACGAGATACACAGGGTAAACCTCACCGATTTCTGAGTATGCGGGTGAGAAGTCATGCTCGCGCGCATTGTTGCGGGGTTAAGCTTCCCCTCTCGAGAATAGCCGATGTCATCATTTTCAGCCTCGCCATCTGATTTCCAAATTCAATCCTGCTATATGACAAAACAATAAATACAGCAGTATGTCTTCTAGTGCGGCTACCGTCAAAACCGCGACTTCTTCGGCTCTGAATACCGAAAGGTCCGAGAACGGGGAGGTCAGAAGACTTCATCACATCCCACGCCCTGCCACTAAAGAGGCAGAGCGAACATGGCTACTAGGCCAAATGGCCGCCGCCTTTCGCATTTTTGCTAAGCTCGGATTTGCTGATGGGAGTAGTGGTCATATTAGCCTCCGAGGTATACCAACGAAGCCAGCCACTTTCAGTTTCTGCTAGTAGCTAACCTTGTAAGATCCCATTGATCCACAAACATTCTGGATCAATCCTTATGGGGTGCATTTTGCCCTTTTGAAGGTATCAGACATGGTACGTGTTGATGAGAATGGAAATCGTGTAGATGGCGCCGATAAACCGGTCAATGCTGCTGGTTTCATGATCCATTCGGCAATCCACCAAAAGCGACCTGATATACATGCTGCCTGTCATATGCATAGTCCTTACGGTAGAGCATGGAGCACATTTGGAAAGTCAATTGATATGATCAACCAAGGTATAATATCTATCCGATACATTTATTATCCAATTTCGGTACTGATTTCGAATTTCCGGTGAAGACTCCTGCATGTTCTACGACGATATTTCTGTATACCCAGCATTTGGTGGGGTTGTATTCGCTCAACAGGAGGGCCAACGTATCGCGGATTACCTTGGCCCAAAGAACAAAAATCTGATAATGCAAAATCACGGCCTACTCACTGCTGGTGATACAGTGGCTGAGGCAGCTGCATTTTTCATTGCACTCGAAAGAACCTGTCAGGCACAACTACTAGTGGAGGCATCAACTGCCCCGGGTTCAACTGGAGCTACCACGGGGGGTCTGAAGAAAACCCTTGTTGATCATGAAACCGCACTATACACCAAGAAGGGAACGGGTTCACCAGAAGCAATGTATATGCAATTCGAGCCTGAATATCAGCTTTTACTGAAGGAAAGTGGCGGTGAATTTCTAGAATAATTTGGGGGTTTTTTAGTATGCTAGGTATATGATAAAATCACATAAATGCTACTAGTGCCATTGGAATGGCTAGAGTGGCATGTGTTTCCTTCGGAGAATAATGTGCGACTTTCTCCTATCCATGTGGGCTCAGCCCGTTTCGCCATACATTTTCGTGGAGCATTTGTATCGCATCGGATTTTCACATACTTTATATCAAGATGAGACTCAATTTACTGAATCAATCCTTGGTGAATAATTCTATTGTGTCAATAAATGGCTACCCCGGTCTTTCAACGCTTTACTCCATTTTAGGGGAGCCCAGAATCGAGTCTTTAACTTCTCCCAGAATTCCACTTGCCCTGCAGGGTTCTATGTTTCTTTTTTTTGCAATCACACCCATAGTCCGCAGCTAGATCAATTATTGTTCCTTCTCACGGATACCAATCACACCAAATTGGTGCAGAAGTAAGCTTCAAAATATCTGGAGTATAGCTGTGGGTTTTTCTTTTAGGTACTGCGATTGAGCCACACTGTAGATATGCGTGTACATCTTTCAGAAAAGCAAGCACATGAGCTTTGGTATGGTAGTAATATCCTATAATTCTCGAATTTCACTGCCACGTGGTATAGTCTTACGGGAGCCAGGTTGGTCGCTGGAGTAAAGAACTGCGAGACGAATTTCTCTCTGGATGTATAGAAGTCGGATGCGTGCCGCCCAAACAAAAATTTTCGAAAACTAGGGGTTTGTCTTCGAGACTAATCATTCTTCTGTCGAAAACTCTAGTTCCTTCTCTAGCCTTTGTAAACACGTCTTCAACGAACATGGTGGAATAGTCATAGATACTAGTAGTAGCAGAAGTCCTCCAATTTCTTACTAAAATTATCATTTATATATATCCATAGCAATACTTTATCTGAGAATAAGATATAATTTTCCCCAACCATGAAATCCAATAGTACTAAGGTATCCGATTGAGACCGTCCGTAGAGCTAGGTCTCTCCAAATCATTTCGTATCAACAAAGGCTTCTTCAAGTTTGAACAATCGAATTATTAGTTGTTATTTGAAGACTGGCATCGGGGAAGTCCAATATCGGGTGAACAAACGAAGAAATCACCTCTTCACTGTACTGTCTCTAAATGCCCCCTCGTTTCCCTGATTCAAGATGCATTTCATTGAGATGTAAGACAATAGCCTTATATTTTTGGCATAACATTAATTATCTCCAAGGCTTCTAGTGGTAAGTGAAGGTCAAAAATCTTGCTAAGAAGAATGTAGCCCCATACATAGTGACATGGAGCTCTGTATAGTATGTATACAAACTTACCGTACCGATGGCAAATAGTAAAGCCGGTAATCATACTACTAGTACATCTGGATACCATGAGGCCACCCACACTGCCCACCATTCAACAATCAATCTATAAGTGGTTACTTTAAGACCACTCCGTCATTATGAGAAACTAGAGCTTCCCAGCCCCATCGATGTTTCAATCTTTCAGGATGTATACGTAAGTGTCTCTGATCAGACCGCTCAAGAGCACGGTTCTACGGTGTGGGCTGTGGATAACTAGGCATGGAAAAGAGGAAAGGCAAATGGTGGTAGAGTTGATTTCCATTGGCCTAATCGTGAGAATAAGCGCCGGTGTTGTAAAAATATCACAGCCCCCAAATCGGTCGCGAAAAGGCCTTCTTCCAAGGTGGAGAAGTTAGTTTGCGTCATTCTGTCGGAGTATATGCTTTTGTACATTCGTGTATTTTGGTGGTCCTAAATTTCAGCATCTTCGTGAGATTTTGTTTTTATTCTTGTTGGGAGTCACTATCTACACTAGATCTCCTCGACGTCGACTGTGTAGGTTGTTGTGTCGGTCGCGGTAAGTGATACACTCGTTCCGTGTCTGTTGACTATAACGCTCTGTTGTTACTTTTTCTCTCTCTTCCTTTCAAAGAGAGATAACGCCTCTGCCTAGATATTACCCTTCGGCTTCTGGAAACTGCCGAAATATCGGTTATAATAGTCATATTAGGCAGATGTAAATCGTTGGCAAGATCGTCGCCAGCATTATTGCAACCTGGAAATAAACAAGATTTTGCTAGACCATATGATCAATGTATCCAAATGGGGTATTACCGGAGTAGTCGATCGTAGAAGCATTAGTTTCATGGGTATCAGAGATCACATCACAAGACGTACTACCGCTAGTATACTACCAAGACCATTCCTTCATGGCCGAGAAGTAAATGACTAGTGCCGATTTCGGAACATTCACCCATGCATTTGCCCCTCAGTATCATTGCCCAGAAAAAGAAAATCGCTCACATGATTCGATTTTACAACCAATTTTCCTGGTGCATCTTGCACTTTGAAACTCATTGGGCGGCGGTCTACCGTGCAGTGGGTTTCAGGCGGTGGGGTGGTCGGCTTATGCCGTGTGTGGATTAGATACGAACGAAGATCGTACAGAAAATATTCGGTGAGCACACTTATTCAAGTTGAATGTCGGGATCGATGACTCAAAGAACGCCATGTGATATTTCGATATAGTTGCATGTTCGGCTCCGTCATGGGACAGGTTAGAGTAAAGCATTGCAAACTTGATCTGTATCGGCGGCGTAGGATCTACGGCAGCTCGGTTTCAAATCCACCATCATTGTCCAGAATTACTATGAGTCATAATGTCTTCTATAGAGAACTATTGGTATTCTGCAATGACGATTTCCAAGGCTAGTGGTACTATTCTAGAAATAGTTTGTGGGGGTTTCAGGGCAGTCCTATATTGGCTTTGTAAGTGATGGGGCACGATGAGTTTCGGATCTGCCGAGGCTTTTGTTTGATAGCCCTATTTTCTCCGGAAATTGACTGGGTCACAATGCAAGTTGGCCCACTGGCAGATTTTTAAGCGCTTAAATGTATAAGTTAAGCATATGTTTAATTAATTACTGTATGCTAGTAAATACTAGTTGACCCAATGTTTCGGCTCCGATGCCCAACGGTAGCATCAGCCACAGCCCCGCTGGTGGCAACGTGACCACGTGGCGCAGAGTGGCAGTGTTCCACACGTGGCTAGTGTATGTTTGTGGTTGTGGCTGTGGCGATGGCTGCTGTTCCTATTTTCGGAAACACATCAATACTCGTACTCGTAATTCTGCCATTCTGTTATTCGCCGCACTGACAAGGCAATCCCTATGAAAATTCTTGCCTTCCGTATGTCCGAAGTATGTACTCCGTACGGAGTACGGAATACGCTGATGACGGAATCTATCTACGGTATATTTATTTTTGTATATGCCCTGTATCAGTAGTGAATGATGCCGACCTCCGATTCCAACCGCTCCGTCCTGTCCACCCCCTTTTACATCTTGTAGACCACATGACCAAACTGATATGCCGCCAGGCTTCAGGGTTTGTGAGAATGGGCCAGTCATTGCACGAGGAGGGACCCGACACAGACTGAGAAGCACGATATAGGAAAGGGGCTACCTGTGAGATGAGATCACCTGGGAAAAGAAGGGCAAGGGCCGGGCTCTTCCTATTTCCAGAAACTGCATTGCACAAAGCAGCACGAAAAAACCGGTAATGATACTACTTCACTGCACAGTGTACTCCATACCTCCACGGGAGTGGGCGCCTCCTCAAAGTCTAGTGAAGGCGGACCGGCGAGGTTCAGCCCAATCGCAGATCGCAGCAGGGATCTCAGCTGCCCGCACATCGGCCGGACTCGGTAGCCACCGGCGAATCCGCGTGCTGAAGCGGCCCAAGACCAGCTGCCCCACGTCTGCTCGACCCTCCATCAGCTGAGGTCGTCCATGGTTGTGCTGGGCTAGCGTGGTCGACACATCCAAACAAAGACGGGAGTGGGCAAGAAAAAAAAGAGTCGGTACTCTCTCGCATCTAGCATCGCATCGAGTCACTTGCTTTTTCCCCCCCTTTCCTGCTGCAACCCTTTTCCCTCGATTGAGATTCCTGAAACCCAGTAGGAGTAGTCAAGGGGGTGAAGAAGGGGGTAGACTTTGGGGAACGTGGGATCTCATCTGTTGTGCGATAGCGTCGACGGGGACTGGGGCGAGTAGGGTTTGTGGAGTCGTTTAGCTGCATGAAGGCGTCTGAAGATTTCCAGACTGAACCGGCGAGATGGGACAGCTCTAGATTCATTCCGATCTCATAGAATTGAATGTACGGAGTCGCATGTCTGAGTCTATACGAAATGACGAAGGTGTTCCCCCTTGGCCCCCAGACGACACAACCTTGGAAGTTGACAGATCGAGAAGAGCGCAAGCCATCAAGGCCTCGCCCTCGAGATAATGGATAACTTGGGCATCATGCAGCGAGGCAAGGCCGGGCGACTCAAACAGGCAATTCGGAGGATTTGGCTGGCCCGCAGGTCAACTCGCAGCGCGGATCATCGGGGCTTAGCTTTTGCAGTTTGGGGCATGCTGCAGATGGCTCTGACCGAATGGACGTGCAACGCGCAGGCCGTGAGACTGGGAATCCAGTGCGATTCAAGGTTTTGATTGTTTCGAAACACGGCGGTTGTGGTTTCACGGTACCGAGCTGCAGAAGATAGAAGTAGTGGATGTGGATTAGCAGATCGGTGGATTGGATTAGTGGATGTAATGAATGCAGTGATCGTAGAACAAAGCTGGAATGGTCAGAAGCAGCTGTAACTGTGTACGAAGCAAATGTATAAATGCAACTGTGCACTGTTCACATCCAAGCCGAAGAGTATTGCCACCGGAGAGGCCGACTGTACGGGCTATACGATACGAAAACCGGCTCCATCAGGCTGCATATTCAATCCACCAGGGCCATTTAGTAACTACTAGTAGTGCTCGTAGTGGCCGATACCAAATACGGTTCCTACGTTACCCACCCCGGGTTTAGTCTGTTAGTTTCTTACTTCTACGGTGGAATGCCCTTCATGACTCTCCTTCCTCCCTCCCTTCACCTGTTATATCTAATTTCTTTCTATCGCGCATTCGCCCGCACAACTAATTTAGAATATCCTCTCTTTTCGATAACTCACATCTCTGATCTGAAAGGCCCAGTCAATCCGAATCTTCATCTGCTTAAGTGCGCAGCTGGGAAATATCACTTGTGTGGGCGAATGTCGCCTTTTACGATTTCTTCGATCTACATTCTTTTATAACAACAACCACACGCGTTCCTTTTTTTTATATTCTTTTTGCTTTTTCTTATCAACACATCATTTTTTTCTAACCAAGAATTGAACGCCGGACGTATCATTCATATCGCACAGAGTTCATAATGCCTACAGTCTTACTGCCCTCGTCGGCAGCTGCGTTTGCCCCGCGATCCTCGCCCAATGTCGTCCTCAACAGAAAGGTTGAGCCGTGGTTGACGGCGACTCTAAAGCGAGTCAACCGAGTCAAGCGTCCTTTGAATAATGTGACTCAACACACCCGCTGTCTTACCGAAACCCTGTCGTCGAGTAATGCCATCTGGACTCTATGCTCCATGATGTTCACCAAAGCCCCCGAGTCGGAACTGCGCAGGGACGACAACCCGCTGGTGGAAGGCCTGTTCAATTATCAGATGATTCATATGGAGGCCTATGTGGTACACGTCGACATGGTTTCCCGCAACGAAGTGGCATTCAAGCTGACACCGGAGACGATCGAAGCCCTGGTGGACTTTCATAAAGACATCTATTCGGTTGATGCGGCCGCCAACACATGGGACTGGTCGGGTAAACAGGCTCAGCTGAAGAAGCTAGAGGAGGAGTTCGTACAGGCCGCCAACAGGTTCGTCTACCGCGCCGACGCCGAAGCCCTGGAAGGTCTCGAGGAAGATGGAGCGGGCGAACTTCTATGTGGTCGCAGTGAGGATGCCCAAGCCGCGATATCAGCGCTTTTCGTGCCTCTATTGCCCCCACCTCCGCGGGTGGTGGATGTTCTCCGACCTGTGCCTCTGCTGCCCAGTTCGACAGGCCCGGAGACCTGGTGGCATCAGAATGCTCCTTACCCGTCTTCGCACGTCGAGTCGTGGAAGGTATTGCCGCCCAGCCCATCCCCGGTCAGCACGGGTGATATTAACCCGAATCTCTGGGCTAGTATTGGTTTCGGTGATGCCCAGTCTCAGCTGCCTTCGCCCACCCCATCTTACAGCCAACCTTTCACCACCGCGCCCTACCCATCCTACGACTGCATGGCCGCCACCTCTGCCGCCATTTCCACCCTTCCACTGCCCAGTATGCTTGTGCAACCCTGCAGCACGGCTGCTAACATGGGCGGCTTCGGTGGCTGGGACAACTTCGCCCCGCTGCAGTATGGCATGACCATCTAGCTCCCAGTGCGGAGTGGACTCGACGTCGACTCCTCCCAGCAAATGGAAATGGCTCCTCCACCACGTCCTCCAGTCACAGAACCAGACCCTTTTTGTCCCTGATGTGGATCGTCGGGTGACTAGGGTCTGTATGTTTCTCGTGTAACTGCAAGGCATCGACAACCACAATTACCAAAAAAAGATCCGACTTTGGCATTCTTGACGGCGTTCTTTTCGACTGTGCATCTGTGATACTCCACCTCGCCCATTGCATCGATATTCCCGGATAATTCTTGTGAACGGCATTCGCGTTTTCTTGGTTGTTTTCTTGATTGTTGATTTGATACGATACATGCTTTGTTTTATTCAGCCAGCGTCAGCGTTTCTTTTCTGTTTTCTACTTCTTGTCTGCGTTTTGCATCGAGAAGCGGCGGGTCGGCTCTTGTGTTCCTTTCTCTTTGTGTTTCATTTCCCACATATATGTCATGAAGACCAGGTCTGCCTCGCGGCACGGGATATGAATTTGGATGTGGAATGTCCATCGTTATGTCTTTCATTTCTTGAGGACGCGGTTCAGCAGTTGCACAAAGAGTGGGCTACTATACCGTGTCGACTGGTTTTGCCACGGTCTGCCCCCTTTTTTGTTGCTTCACCTCGCTGAGGACTCATCTCCTTCCGGTACAGGATATCGGACTGGTAAACACCCCTTCACTGGGTTGTTTTAGGAGATGGTCTACGCGGCTCGTGCGACTTCACTAACATTTGACATGTTTGGTCGAGTCACGCCCTTTTCTCGGCTTTGGAGTGACGATGATCACCTCGTGCGAAGAGAGTGTGCGCCATTCTCTCATCCGACCCGGTTGCACTATTTCGCTTGAAGCGAGCATCCGGGGGCGAGGAGTCGGGTAAGAAGTCACCTCGAGGTCTGTGACCTCTGTGTTCTTTTTCCCCCGTCTTCCCGCGACGATGGTTTGTATAGCACTACTCTCACAACGCGGGGGGAATTCATCAACATACCACCGTTGCCGATCTTTAGGTTCATCTCCTATACTCTTCGGGCTGGGTTTTTTATGACCCGGAGGAGCTCGGTCGTCGGGGGACTCTTTTCACTGGATGATGGAGTCTACATTCTTTGCGCCCCGACGTCGGGAATCGGATGCCGGATCTTTTCGTTCTTTTTTGTCTGCAGTCGAAGGGCTAGTCCCTTCGCGCTGGCTGTCTTATTCTCTTCTCCTGGCTTTTTGTCCATCTATTTATTAGCTTAGTCAACCTGTATGTATCTTTTAGGCTAGTCACTTAATAAGGTACATGCAACATAACAGACCAGTTAAGAAGTAGACAAGTATTACATTCTTCAATGAAGAACTTGAGAAGGGTCTTGTCATTTCTAAACTCGAAGGTATTAGAGATCCACAAATGAACATGAGTAGACTACTAGCAGTATCGACGCAATGATATTTCTACAGAGTCCTCTACTGCGCCTTTTGGGTCACTGCCGTCCGTGCCGATAAACTCCAGACGGACCACAATTGAATATGACTTTGATTTACAAGCAAAAATTGAGAAGTAGCTACTATGAATGTAATACAGAAGTAAAAATATAAATGAGATAAGAAAAAAAACAAAAGTGTAACTAGCCTGAATGCTCCACTATCCAATGACGTCAGCACCCCGGCCATACGAAACAAAGCAGGCTTCCACATTCAAACCCGTGATCAAGTGGCAATTATATCTGCCCTGAATTTCAGAAGATTGGACTGTTGATCTTCTGCGCTGATCAATTTGCTACACTTGGCCTTGTGGCGTGAGTGGTTCTCGCATCTTCGGTCGTAATCGAGCTTGTTCTCGCCGTTCCACCTCCGACTTCCGACTCCCCGCGTCTACTCCGCAATTCCCCTACAGCACTCAACCACCTCCTTCTGCTCGCATTATTTCCCTACAGCATTGTTACTTTTCTTTTGATATCGCCTCTCTTGTGAGATTTATCATTCAAACATTCATTGGTAAGATTTGTCAGCCAATTTACCGCTGTGGCGCAGCTAGTTCCGGCGTGAAACGGCGGGGCAAAGCAAAAGGCGTATCTGTTCTCCGTTGCTAACTTCTGCGGATGAACAGTCCACTGTCCTACGCTGACTACCCGATCTCCTGTTTGTGCTACAATCAGACAATCCAATCCGAGCCTCTCCAAAGCGCCCTCATGGCTACCCTCCATGATGCCCTTCAATGTCTCAAGCCAACATCCTGGGACGTAGTCCCCCAAACGCCCGACGAACTGCGACAATATGTGCGCGATATGTTCAAGAATAGCCGTCTAGTCGCCGAATCTCTTCCAGACCCTCCACCCCACGAAGATGGAAATGGAACCGGGGATCCCTCTAATACTACACATTCTGCCCGCGTCGTGCCGTCGGCCGCACGAGTCGGAGAGACAGATCCGGAGATTACCTCTTTGCAAAAGGAATGGGGTAAACCGCTTAAGATGGGTGGGCCAAAGGACAACCCTCTCGGCGTGACTGTGTGGAAATTATCCGCGAACGATGGAGGCGGTTCGTGGTTTGGGCGACGGAGTGTTCATGAAGGTCTTCCTTTTGCGCGATGGCAGGAGAAAATGTCGTCGGAATATGATGAAACGCTCAAGCTCAACCGCAAGAAGATTGAAAAGGGCCAAACGCCTGATGAATGTGTTCGCGGGATCGGGGCTGAGGAGAAGGTCGAATCCATTGAGGTTAAGGATGATGATGGATCTGTCCTCGGCCAGGTCACGGTCTATCATGTATCGGCTCAATTTCCTAAGCCTACTGCTCCGCGAGACTTTGTGGCTTTGATCATTACTTCGGAGGCTGGGTTGCGAGTTGGTGGGACGAAACAGCTGGGTCGGAGTTGGATGATGATTTCCAAGCCAGTTGACCACCCTGATGTGCCGCATAAAAACGGATATACCAGAGGCGAGTACGAATCAGTGGAACTCATTCGTGAGATTCCGCGAAAGAGCAACGATTCCAGTTCGACCAGCGATGGAGATGCTAAGAAATCGGACAAGGATGCGCCGGAGAATGACGAGGACGAACCGAACCCCGTTGAATGGATTATGGTCACTCGAAGTGATCCGGGTGGCAGCATTCCCCGATGGATGGTGGATAAGGGCACGCCTAGGAGTGTCGGTGCCGATGCTGCCAAATTCGTTGACTGGGCGAGCAAGGATGAAACCCCCGGGAAAAAGCCATCTGACAATTCGAGTCAGAAATCCCAAGATGCTACCAAGTCTGATGCCGATAGTGTCAATTCCGATGACTACCACTCATACTCAGACTCAAACTCGGAATCAGACTTCACCGACACCGACGCCCAGTCTCACCACGGCCTAATCGCAAGTGTCACTGGCTTGCTCAACACCGGTATTGAACGGTTTGCACCCCAATCAGTGCTAGAGTACATACCGCACCACCATCAGTTACCCCCCGACACGCCAATTGAGAATCAGATGTCTAGAGCGAGTACCAATGAAGCGCCAACATCGCATCCGAGACAGCCCAGCTCTACTGGTGATACCGGATCAACGAAGACTCGCGAGCCAGATCAAGGCTCTTTGTCATCAGTTCAGTCTGAAGGAAATATACCAGGACTCGAGCACAACAATCTGCCCCCAGCCGAACTCATAAAAATGACCAAAGCCGGCAAATTAAATCACCACGAGAAAGAACTCGCCAAGCTCGCCCTACGGAAGCGTGAAATTGACGCAAAGCTCGACACCATCCGCTCGAGACTAGACAAACTCCAACTTCCCTCACAAAGCAATCCCTCCACACCCTTGAAGGGCGCCTTCGATCTCGCAGATAGCAGTGATCAGAGCGGTATGCTCAAAAAGCCATCAGAGAAACGCTCCTCGACACCAGCCAGCTTCGCAACACAGAAAAGTCAGCAAGCGAGTAGCAGTGACGGACAGTCATCTTCGCAGACCAAGACGCCGCAAAACTCAGAGCCAGCGCTCCCTGTCCATAAGGCTGCGACGCAACTTTTCAGTGAGGAAGCTAAGCTGCTCAAACAGCTGCGCAAGGTTGAGGGGAGTCAGTTGAAGGTTGCGTCTAAGATTGAGGAGAGGCGGAAAAAGGAAGCGGATCGGGAAGAGAAGTCCAAGTCCAAGTCTGAGGAGAAGCACAAGAAGGAGACCGAAAAGTTTAGCTCTAAGTCTGAGGAAAAGCTGAAGAAGGAGGCGGAACGGGAGGAGAAATCAAAGTATAAGGCTCAGGCGGAGAGTCTTAAAGCTGAGGTTAAGGACCTGAAGAAGGAAATTTCCAAATTGCGGGACGACAGACAGAAATGGATTGATTTGGTTGCTTCGTTGCAGGCGGAGAATACGAAGTTGGCCGCAGCGTCTAGTCATGACTGAGTGAATGGGATTGGAAGGGGATGTCTTTTCGATTTGCCGACTGTTGGTAAATTTCATGTTGAGCGAATATCTTTGTCTGGCTGGGCGTCGGTGGATTTGCGTTTGGGCTATCTTTTTTTACTGGTACATTACGCCTACCTTTACAAATACGTCTCATTTCTTTTGAAGTGAATCAAATGGATCTAGCATTGATGATAGAAGGCTTAGTGAATATGTCTTTCCAAATAAACTAGGTAACGACGGAGCTGAATTCTCAATTGATGCCACATGCTCCTAGATGAGAGTATGCCATTGTGGATCGTATCTCAGACGCTTGTGAAGACTCATAGATTCTCTCGATCTTGGCGCATGTCCCACAATCCAGGACCGAACAAGCGAGTAGTCCGTTAGTTCACCAAGTGAATGGCCAAACAGACCGTTCCAATAGGTTCCGTAGTCGATTTTTCTGCAGCGGGAGTGGGCAGAAAGAACCATCTCGGCCACAAACAAGCAATCGCACTGTCTTCAAATCAACTTTTCGGTCCCGTATAATATTCTCTGAGTGGCCGAGTCCATAGCCAATCATATAACCGCGTTTGATGCTGAGTGTAGGGCAAGCGTTTGCTGAGGGTTCGCCGAGTCGCGAGCTCTTCGTTCCAGACATATCCAATTCATTTGATCCAACTCAATTCTCCAAGCTCCATGTCGCGCTATCAGCGCCAATTTATGCCTTGCCTTGCCAGGTGGGTATCATGTCTCTCATTGTCGCAGGCAATGAACGCGTAAAGGTCAAAACGCCGTAATCGAGCCGCCATCTCTATTCCTCCGATATGAAAAAGAAAGTGGAGTATTTCGCAAGAGTGCGATGGTCTTCACCACCAAATATTGCTCGAATCTCTTATTCCTGAGTCTAGAATCGTAAACGAGAAAGCGTTAGCGAACACAGTCTTGCCTGTCTCCCTCTCCCAAGTATCGCTCTACACATACCTCTGGAGGGTTTCCAGCTCCCCGAACCATTTTCTCAAGCATCATTGTCCGAACCTTCTCCTTTGGTTCACCCATACCAACAGACATGTATGACAGCAGCGGGTTGTGGCCGACGTAGGAAGAATAGCTATCGCGAAGGATGTTGGAGGTCCACTCGTACTTGGTGGTGTCGGCGTGACCGGTACCGATGTAACGGGCCTGGAGAGCCTCGAGGTTCTGGAGGGTGCGCAGCTTGTCGGCCATTGTACGGGATATGAGGTGGTATGTTTGGGGAGAAGTGTAGAAGTGTCGTGAAGTGAAGTCGCAGGTGTTCGTCGAAGCCGCGGCGGAATCGAAAGAATGAGGATGGGTCACGTGGTTCCCTATAAAAATCACGATTTGACCGCTCCGTTTCGTCCGAACGCAAAGAATATTATTTATCATCGTTTATAACAAGCTGTCTGTTTCTCTTAAATACAGGGGCATGAGATGTCCAAGTTCGAGGATCCGGTGCCATTGTCGTCGCGCATAGCATCGCTGGTCCATGCGCATTTTGATGCGCTACCTACGCGCAGTAAACCATCTATTTTTCCCGATGGATCAAGGGAGTGGATTCCTATGACTGGCATTGTGATTGTAGCTGGTATGTACTTTTGGTGTCTCTAGAATCTATTATTATAGATGGTTTCATCGGTACTTATTCGTTAAATAGGAGAAAATACATCATCCGAGAGTCTGCACTGCATTACAATCACGTATGTCTTTGTGATAACTTACCACCGCATGCTATTTGATGGACTGTTTTTATCTTAGGAAGATTCTTTATGGCTAACAGGTCAATAGGAGCGGGGCCAAATGTCTTTCAGCCTCTCACATCCCACACTGTCGAGGGCTCGTCCTGCACGATTGCCATGCAGAGATCCTTGCCATTCGAGCATTCAACCACTGGCTTCTAACAGAATGCCACGCTCTGCTGGCGGAAGAAAGAACAGCTGAAGAAAATGCGGACTCTGTGTGTGAAAATAGACCCACGTCGCCCTTTATCCGCAGAAGGGAAGGCAAATATCACGACAAAAATGCGTCAATAAAATGGCCACCATTCGAGCTTCAACCCGACATCAAAATATACATGTACTGCACCTGTGCACCCTGCGGCGACGCAAGCATGGAACTCTGCATGGCCTCGCAGGAAGACGCAACACCATGGGAGGTAATGCAAGAGCAGGCATCCAACACAGAAGAGTCCGAGGGGAAAATGCTAGACGGTCGAGCCCATTTCTCTCTTCTTGGTGTCGTCCGTCGAAAGCCCGCACGAATGGATGCTGAATCTACGCGCAGCAAATCCTGCTCGGACAAACTTGCCCTGCGGCAGGTCTCTTCATTACTCTCGTGCGAAACAAGCAGTCTCGTCGCTCCTACCGAGAGTGCATACCTAGCTGGCCTGATCCTTCCAGAGGATGAAATCAGTCGATCTGGATGTGAGCGATCCTTTGGCGAGAATGGTCGAATGAAAGCTCTAGCCGGAAGGTCTTGGTCCGGCAGCTCAGCAGTAGGAGATACAGCTGGATATCGATTTCGTCCGTTCCAGGTCCTCTCCGTGCCTGTCGAGCAAATAGAGTCACAATGGCGTTTTTCCAAGATAAAGAGAGACGACTCATCTTTATCAGCAGATGGATCAGAGGAATCCAAATCAGCGGTTGTGTCTAAGAAAAATAGACCCAGCAACGTTAGTGCAATATGGACAGCAGCGCCGTCTTATTCTCACACTTGCGCTGCATTGGCGGATACAGGCAGCAAATCTTTGCCCGCTTTGAACAAGACGAAGACTGGATTGTATGAAAATGTCATCAATGGGGTGAAGCAAGGGAATCGTGCTACTACTCCTCTTGCGAGAGGAGCCTCTTCGCTTTCTCGTGCTAAGCTCTGGGGCCTGGTTCGCAATGTCATCCAGCCGAGCGCATGCCATGGTCCTCCAAGCCCTTTGCAGGAGGAACTATCTAGGTCAGAAGTGGACCGTGTTGACCATGGTTCTCTGAGTGTATTGCAACGGCATGTGGTACAGTCGACTACTTATGATGAATTCAAACGAGCAATCGTCAGCTCAACAGACCCCAACCAGGTTCGTGCGGATGCCATGAACGACGCAAAGGCGGTTCTCAAGGGTTGGGTAGCGAACTCGGGTGATGAAAACTGGGGGTTGGACGTTCTAATTGACCCTCAGAAGAGGAAGCGTTGAATAAAAATATCTCAGAATAATATTAAAAACTAGTAACAGTAGTCACACATAATTAGCCTACATCAGGCATTCAATGTGGAAATAGAAGTGTGCGATCGTTTCCCATTATCGTTGCACTATTTTCAAACCAAAGCAAGCAAATATTGTACAGCTAAACTTTTCGATTAGGGGAGGCTTCAGCCTCCGTAAAGAATGCATGCTTGTGTTGGGTTAAGCATTGCACTTTTATCATTTCAACTTCCCTCTGGGATACCAATGACTCATATCACACTAGTAGATTCCAGGAATGATACGGCTGCGAACCATTGAAGTGTAACGGGCCCAGTCCTTGCCGTACTTCCTGTGGCATTTCTCCTCATCGCGCATCTCACGGTGGATTAGAAGAACACCGAAGTAGAGCATGTAGAAGTAGGTGAGGATCATACCCCAACCACGAGACTCGGGCGTCTGCACGGCCTGCTTCTGCAGTTCCCCGGTAGATGCGCTGATGGTCTCGATAATGGTGTAGCCAGCAATGCCAGTAGGTAGGCAGTACGCCCACGACATGGTCCAATCACCGAGGTAGTTGATGTGGCGAGCCAGACCCCACCAGCCGGAGGTCATCAACTTGGATCCGCTGGCAGTCTCAATGAACTTGATGTGCTTGACACGAGGGTCATTCGGATCGGCGCGGAATCGGTTCTTCTGGTTATTGGCGCCACGGAAAATGGAGTACCCAATGGCGGTGACACCCAGCACGAGGGCCATTCCACTCCAGCCAAGCTCCATGGGGAAAACGGAAAGGTAACGGGTCTGCACGTTGTAGATGTGGGGAACCCAGACAAGGTCGCCAAAGGATAGCATGAAGCCGAATCCATCCATGATGCAGTCCATTGTGGTCATGATAGCGGGTTCCATGTACAGGGCATCCAAGACATAAAATCCTTGGAAAGCAGTGACCAAGAGAATGGAGTCGGTCACGTAGCCGTAGGTGCGGTACTGGTGGGCGACATTGGAGAGGTTCAGAATGGTCCATCCGAGCAGGCCGGGTCGCATCTCCATGAAGATCTTGATATCGATGGTGCGCGACTCCTCGCTCACAAATGGAATGGGGAGGCAAATGCGGGGATTCAGCTCACGGCCGATGAAGAAGTCGTACAGGGGATTTCCAGTGTGGCCACCCGGGGCGAGTTGTCGAAGCTCCGGGTTAGCGCTGCCGGGCTGCGGAACTGAGAAGCTACGAATGTAGACGAAAACGGCGACTGTCGAGGCGATCAAGAGATTGGCCGTGATGACCTGCAGGTAGTTGTCCCACAGGAAGGTCCAAACAACGAAGTCGGCTCCATACATGTAGGTACCTGTCGCAAGACCGGATAGGATGATCATAGCCGTAGGGAATGCTATTAAACCAATCATTTGTTAGCAATCTTCTTCAGATCTCTGAGTGAGAGACACAATTCGAGCTCGATCTTACCATTGAACTTGTACTTGAGCTTTCCCCCACATGCCAGCTCGACACCCTCGGCCACCTGGCCAGGCAGGAAGACCTGCAGGAAGAGACTGAAGGCATAGTAGCTCAGGGTCCATAGAGTCACCTCGGTATCATAGAACCCCGCAACACCCTCCTCAGGCCAGCCAACTTCGCGTTTCAATTGATCGAGGGACAGGGTGGATGGGCTCAACAACGAAGGCGCGGGGCAGCCTGAGATATCATTGCAGACAAAGAAAAAGATATAGGTCAGAACAGGAAGACCAAAGATGATTCCGAAAGCACCGAGACTAGAAGAACAATCAGTAAGAAGTCCCTTTGGGGCGCAATGGGGTAGGAGGGCAAAACATACGGTCCACCAAATTCATAGCCCCGTTTCTCCGGCACGGGCTGGACGGGGATCTTGGACTTCGATTTTGGAGCCATTGTTGGAGGCAAAGCACGGAACAATTCAATTGAGGTGCTGATGAATCCCCCGACAAGTATTGGCTGAGGGAAAGGGTTTTAAGTCGAATGGAAGCCTTCCAATAGAACTGCGTACGATGTCGGATGGGAAGCTCCCGTTCTCCGCAGGCGCGTCCGCGGGCCCCGTGAACATCGGGATGACATAAGCAGGCTTCATACACGTTGGAGAACACCTGACACCTTGTCACCTGACACTGTCGAGACGACTACAGCGGACTCAATCCATGCCATTCGTGTACCTGAAACACCTGGTCCATTTACACATCATATCTCAGAGAGCTGGTCTCCTTTCCCCTTTACAGACATTCATTTTTCCCCTCCCTTCTTTCTTTCCGATTCAGTCATGAAGTTACCCTCCACTCATTACTCCCTCCTCCTGCTGTCCTCTATCCTCGGCTTATCCAGCGCGTCCGCCTCCTCTCACCTTGACGATGACTCTCCTTGCGTTGCTCGCTCACCAACCAGCGGTCTCTATTACGATTTGAATGCTATCTCACTAGCGCCACCCGAATTGAAGAATGGCAAGAAGGTTGATCGGGAAGCTCGGGATGAAAGCTGGCATGCCAGGGGACACGACTACCCCGCAAACTTCACAATCAACGTCTGCGCGCCAGTTCTAGAAAATGTGACGGATGTCGTAGGAGTAGATTCTGCGAAGTGGCAGAATGTCAGTGCTTTCTACGAGCAGGCTGGAAAGATATACTCGATAGGGTAAGATGTTGATCTGAGCTCATTGGAGCTCCAAACTGAATAAATCCAGTGTCGCGAAGCTAACCATCTATGCGCTTTGATAGAGAACAAGCTTCTGAGCCCTTCTTCCGTGGTCGCAAGCTCGTCCTCAATTATACCAACGGTTCCCCGTGTCCCGGTGATTGGAACACCGCCAGCGCCAATACTTCCATCCGAACCAAGTCTACCATAATGTCCTTCCTCTGCGATCGTGATGCGCTACCGAACCAGGCCACGGCATCCTTTGTTGGGACTATGGACTCATGCTCCTACTACTTTGAGATTCGAAGCTCTGCGGCGTGCGGCGGGATTGCTGTAGATCCCAACTCCGGCGGGCTGGGACCCGGTGGAGTTTTCGGTGTCATGTAAGCTCTTGCCTTCGTCCCTACGTCTATGCTCCTTTTCAATGCGACCCATACTGATTGATCTATCGCAGCATGCTCATTGCCGTAGCTGCCTACTTCATTGGTGGCTGTGCGTATCAACGAACTGTCATGCACCAGCGCGGTTGGCGCCAGTGCCCGAACTTCAGCCTCTGGGCCGGAATGTTCGATTTTGTTAAAGTGAGTTTACTAGCGTTACTAGCATTTGCGTCATGCAGGCCTCGCCGAAGATCCAGGTTTGGCAATTTGGATCCGCATAAAGGACTCCCGACTTCGCGGTTGGATTAAGGTTTATTCCAGCTGGCCTGGAATTCGAACCTCATCCAGGAAACATTTTCATTCTGTCTCTGTCGCAATTTGTTTCTCTGTCTCCACGATCTTGTTGACCCCAGTGTGTACATTCCTTTTCATGATCGGCTCGGTATTCTCATGATTTCATGTATATCTGCATCGTCAATTTGGATCTGCTTGATAGACCTGCCCTTGGAAAGCTCTTTTTCCCTACTGGAATTTTACACACTAGGCGGGGAATATATAACATCCTTGGACCTACTACAATGTCCTACTTGGCGTGATTTATTAGTCAGGGATCTATACTATCTGGCTATCATTTATTTGAAAGAATGATTTGCTGACGACATCTCTTGCTACAGGATATGTTCGTCATTCTCTTCTCGTCTCTGGGTAGCTGCTTCCGCTTCGGACGGTCAAACAGAGGCTACCAACGCGCCGGTCACAGTGATGACGCTCGCGGTGGTCTCTTTGGTGCAATTGGTGGTCGAGGTGGGAGAGCGGGCTCCGGTGGGCGGGGTGATGTCGATGCCGAGAACCGGCTGATCGATCAGCTGGATGAGACGTGGGATGATTAGAAATTATATCTATCTCCGGTTGCTTTGTTATCTGGCAGACTAGTTTTGCGCCTGTCGGCAGAGTCTCGTTGTAGAAATTGAATTCATAGCCTTTCAATTCTCCAAGAAAATCTAAAGCTTGCAGCCTCTAGTTTTCCAAGGATACCCGAAGTCCACCTTACTATCTTCTCGTACTAGAACACTGTGGTTCCAACTTGAAGGTTGCAAATCTATGGATGTACTACTACTAATACTACTAGTAGTAGCATTGTGACTTCAAAGTTATGTACTAGTGACCGTATCCATGTTGGAACATGAACCCTCCAGGCTTACTACTAGTACTAGTAGGTAGCCCTGGGGGTCCTTGCCCAGATAGATGGTCATGGTCATGCCCAGGTGGCGATCCATGGATATATATAATTCACACACCCCGGGGCCATGATACTACTAGCACTTGAAGATTCCGTAACAGTACTAGAGGGATTGATTTGGAGCAGACGCTTACTATTCGCGTATGCTAACAATATTCACACAGAATTATCCATCATGTATGGAATACCAAAGCGAGAACTTTGATGTTTAAGGTTGTTCTTTGGCGCTCGAACCTCCAGATATCAACTCCACTTTACTTGGACATGTTGATGGATCATATATCCTCAATTTTGATGACCCACATCAACTAGCATCATTGGTCTAGTGGTAGAATTCGTCGTTGCCATCGACGAGGCCCGTGTTCGATTCACGGATGATGCACAAGACTTTCTTTTTGCTTGGCTATCGTGTTGATAAAACGCAATGCGACACCTTTTCTTTTTTTCTCTTTTCTTTTTTTGTGCTTGCCTAAGGGTAGACTGCTCTTTATAGAGATAGAACCTTGGAACGTGTTTCAGGCAGATTAGAATAGCATTACTTTAAACTTAGAGGTATTATATAAGAGGGGATATGTTCTTGCTTTGATTAGTGGTTTTTAATAGCTTTCCTCCTGTAGATTATGAGAGCTATTTTTTCATCAGAGAGCAAATGTCTCATATAGCCAAAGCTTGAAGTGATCCACATCAACCAGCATCATTGGTCTAGTGGTAGAATTCGTCGTTGCCATCGACGAGGCCCGTGTTCGATTCACGGATGATGCACAAGACTTTCTTTTTGCCTCCAGACATCATTTGCTGGATGGGTTTCCCTTTTTGAATGACTGCATTGTCCGACGCAGGTTTATTCAATAGATTTCCACGGGCGTGAGAGGCATTTGGCGATTTTTTTGACCGGAGGAAACCGTGTTGACGGTCGACCTGATATTTATAGAGCCCTGGAGCGAGCACGATGTCTACGGGCTCATATCGCATTGCCGATTCTTTTCAACCTTAAGATCTCCACCTGATGGATTAAAATTCGCAATACATTAGCCTGGAAATATAGCTTTGCGAGAGACTGTTTAGTACAGAGCGCTCAGCGATAAATCAAACTCTCAATAGTCAACTGGTTGTTCCGAGCTATCTCTGCCAACGAGAAAACTGCAGGGCAAGAGCCCATATTGTACAATACAATATTCTCTAGTTTCGAAATATTCAAGTTCTTTTTGATTGAAATTAATACCTACTACCTATTCTCGAGGACTTATGTAACGGCTATCTTACATCGCTTTTCGAGTAACAAGGAATTATCGAATAATCATGCATATGTTATGAGGGTCTCTAATTGATAGCTAATGGGGATATCTTTCAAACAGCCATATCAAACATTAGAAGTCATGAGTTGAAGATAACCTAGTGTGAGACGCTTGCACTAGAGAGTACTCTTCTTGTGGGCTCTCGTATTTTAGGGCGTTTCGCATGCCAGCAAGCTCAAACATCAGAATCGCGCGGCAGACCACAGCGGAGCCCATAAATCTGGCAAGTATCTGTATGCTGTCGACATACCCTGAAAATTAGTATTAGCGAGACATAAAACTCAAGATATAGAGCGCCCACATAAGCTCTCACCTATAAATTGAATGGAACTGAATGCCACCGTTCCGTATAAGAGATGTACCACAGTGAGAAGAGAAGTCCACCAGGATATCGCGACAAACAAATAGCTCTCTGGCTTCCAAATCAACTGCAGCTTGTTGTGCGTAATGCAGGGCGTAAGTTCATTTCTGATCCAGCGGAAAAGTCTTTCCTTTACCCGATGTTGGCTATCTTCATTGTTACCGGGTGTGCTTACTCGTAGTGCTAGGCACCACGAGCCGAAAATATGAATAAAAAGTGTAGTCACCGCCCAAAGTGTAGGGTACCAAAGATCATCACAGCTGATCGTGTTGATGCTCCAGGATCCCATGGTGAAAGCCGTTATGTACACGTTCGCGATAGCCCCCATTACCAGAACATACTCCAGGATCGACACGAAAATTGCTTGTATAGGAGAGAATTGCATTATAGCAAGGTGGTTGTCTCTCGCTTCCAGCTCTTCTATCGGATTTGGGTAAACAAACGTTGGGAGGGGGCTGACTGCTGGAGAGCCGGATGCTATAAGAAGTGCGAGTAGAGGTCGGCGTCTTGCTAGAAGGCTGGTTTCTGCTGTGCCTGAGCCGAGGAATGTAAGGATTGTTGGTCCCAGGCCCAACACGACGATTCCACTTCCCATATCGCCTTTGATCACTTCGCTTGTGTTTTCTAGCATGCAATCGAGGAGACTCCGACAGACCTGCGCACCGGCTTGCTTGAGGGCGAATTCTGCAGCACATGGGCCGTCGCGGATTTGAATAAAGTCGCTTCGGTAGACTGGAAAGAAATCGAGGAATCGGGTGTTCTTTGCCATTGCAGGAGTGGCACCAAAGAGCACCACTAAGCCAAGCATGATTGATGTAGTCATCGTGCTCTGAATGACCGGGGGCTTTCAGACCACGAGAGTGCTTGGTCGTGGCTTCAGGGATGAGATAAACATCTTGGGGATGTCGGGGGGTTAGAGGAGAAAATATCTGAAATGTTAGCTAGCGCTAGACGTTCGGCTTTAGTGAAAATCGGCCCTCAAGTGCATACTATATGAAAAAGCAAGTAATAAAAGCGCTAATCACCAGGCTAAGAAGGAAGGACAATCTAAGATGCTTATCGGCCTACCTTATGAGCCAGTCATTCACTTGTACCCAGCCCTAGGAACACTAGGTACACTAGGTACACTAGGGCTGACAACACTAAACTCGGTTCGGCCCATTCCGTTCCAAGTGCAGTACTGTGGGGAATGTATTCGTACTCTCCGAAGACCTATTTTCCTCATCCGCCCTAGAATGACGTTAGGTATCTGTGTCGTTAAACAAAAAACAACTTGTGTGATGTGTGTGAGTACTCATATCTTTCTTTGCAGAAGTAAAGGCAAGTTCGAGCTATTCTTGGACCGGAGAGAATAAACAAACAAATCCCTCCGAATACTGTCAGGCTCAGATAGCAGACCCATATATCGCCCGCCTCTCTTCCGAAGAGAGAAATTTAAGCAAAAATCCCTTGGCCATAACCACCAGATTTTCAGCGAAGCGAGAAAGCCTTTACCACATGACACAAGAGAATACTGACAACTTTGTATAAGGAAGAAAAAGCACCAAAAAATCAAAAACAAAACATACAACAGCAGGGATTCGCATGTGGTCACCCACCATACTACTAACCTGCCGGCGTGTGGCTTAAGTACGGCTGAGCGGACGGGAAGCCCTGTTCTCCACACCCTATGGTCGTATGTACTAGACATAACTAGAAATCGATAGATATAGATGCAATCCCGAACAAGAAGCGTGATAGATGTGGTGGTAAAACAATGCAAGGATATCGAGATACATGGCCCAGAGGACCAACTAGACGGGTTTCTATTGCAATTACGTGAAATTTAACTCGTCCCAGCAATGCCGCCGTTCCAGATAACGGCCCGTTATATTTGTTTTCTCGGTGATATCAAGTGGGAGAATTAGGACTAGTGAATATGGCCCTCTTTGAGCACCGTTGAAACAAGGCCAACTCTATCAGCCATCAGCATCTGAAGGCCCGCTGCTTGTTGTACCTGAAACAAATTAGCTCCTGACTTTCTTACGTATACTTCGGTCATATGCATTGCATCAGTAGCCATGTAACTTACTCTCACGTTCTCTGGAATGTTGTTTAATGACCCATAAGAACCACAAACAAATCCTGATTGTTTGACATAGCCCCAGGAATAGCGTGACACTATAATACACGGCTTCCAAGGTCTATTGAAGCACAGTACACTAGCTTCGGGGAGTTCAGAAAGAAGAGAAAGTTGAGCAACACCCAACAAATCCAAAAAAATACCTAAAAACAAAAACAAAATATACAACAGCAGGGATTCGCATGTGGTCACCCACCATACTAATAACCTGCTGGCGATCGAAAGTCTGATAGTCATGGCGGATGGTCAGGTAGAAAATCTAGGGAAGTGATTGCAAGGGTTTCTGGATGCCGCTGTGCCCCATTCAAGTCGAAGACGCACGCTACGTGCCCTCCTTTTATATTGGCCTCCAAAAAGCGGATCCCTTGTTCTTTCGATTCGGAACCCGTTGAGCTTAGGAACTGAAAATCGTTATAAATAGTCCATTTGTCAGCGATCCTTCCCTGATGATCTACTCGGCTCAGTGTTTCTTCCGGATCCGCACCGGATCGTCAATTTCCGTTTAGGAAAGGTAGTCATGATTTAGCGTGCATCCACGGGAACAAACGGATTTGCCAGCACTGGTCGGTCATGGTTGACGTTGATTAGTGACCAGTTACATAATGACAAGCCGCTTACAGGAATCATACTAGTTTGGCAAAATCGCTATAGGCGTTGTTGATATCACCAGCTACTGTATGACAGTTAAGTGGACAGTGCGAAGTATGCTTCCAAAGCAAAGTCCAAGTGATTCATAGATAGATAGCTGTTGATTATTCAAGTCAGGTCATGTTCCAGGATACCACTTAATCCTGCACGGACACTCGGCGATCACAACATCGGAGCCTCAGCTCCGCACAAGATTGCGTACACCAAAAAGGGAAGTTATGTCTCGACAGGCGTAATTACCCAAGTCTTGAAGATTTTCTCAATCCTGCCTGGTGCAATTGACCGTCGCTAACCTTGGAACTCCACCATATGGCGTCGAAACGTTTAAGCTATAACTATAAACCTGCTCTCGACATGGCGATATCGGTACGAATATTCAGCAATCCAGCAGCTTTGATTCTCAGCCCAATTCAATCCCGTAATACATCCTATATACCTTGCATCCAGCCAAATGAACTCCTTTAAGAAAATCGCTCTCCTTGTTCTCCAACCAGTTGCTGAAGTCAACTTCTACAGAAAGGTGCTCTGGAAACTGCGGTTCTGGAAACCAGTGATTTGGCTACCAAATTCAGCCTCGCGCGTTTTGCTTTTCATAAACATTAAAGGATTTGATCGTGTCGGAGCAAGCTGCGACATTCGGTTATCGCGGTACAACCTAGTGACGGAGGCCAACTATACCTACGAGAAAGTGGAAGATGGAATGGAAAGATGAGATGATACCAGAGAAGAAAGTGGGAATAGCCTCACGAAATAACTATCTAGTACTCTCCAAATGAGTGACAAACGCCGTAGACAAACGGCTAGCGAACGACTAATCGTCGTGATGAAAGTAATGCAAAAGCAATAGATTCCATGCCATGCAGGCAGGGATATACCCTAGCCATGCATGCATGAAGTGTGAGCTGGCCATGCCGCTAGGCCTGAGGCCTAACGCTTCATTATAAGCCTTATCTGTGTGGTAAAGTTACCGCTCCATATCCCGAAAGATTGTCATTATGCGTGACTCTCAGTCTTCGAGCAGCAACATTGTCCGACGAGACATTCTCAATTTGCAGCCAACCTGACCTGAGTGGAATTACTAGCGCCTCAATCCAATGGTGCTTAGCTCATCTGACTCAAATGCTTTTTTGTTGGCCATCAATTCCGTAACATCCCAATGGCTTGCCAAAAACTTTCCCTTTAAGAAGGTCGCCTCCTGGCCAGCCAACCAAACAATAGACTGGCCTGGAAGGTCCTCCTCGTCCCAATTGAACATGTCTTTGCTCAAACCAGCATCTACCCCCGCCGGTGTCCAGATGGCGCCAGGATGCAAAGTATACACTCGCAGCTTTGGATGTTCAGATTGCACATGACGCATCATGAATGAGAATGCACTTTTGCTAGCGCCATATGGGCCAGTTTGTGGAAATATCATATAAGACGCATAGCTTGTAATGTCGACGATGACCTTGTCTTCCTCTTTCGGAGTATCGAGGAAAGCATTGACGACATTCAAGTTGCCGAACACGTTTGTTTCAAATGTAGTTTTCACTTCAGAAAGTGGGGTGGTAGACAGAGGTTTGTCGGCCTTTATAAAGGCTGCACATGTGACGAGTACATCAATATCTTTGTTCCTCGCAGTCTGTCGGACAGAAGAGAAGACTTTCTGGATTTCAGCTTCGTCCGTGATGCTGACTGGGTATGTGAGGAACTGAACGTCCGGGAATGTAGCCGAGAGTTCCGAGGATGCTTTTTGGAGAGTATCCTCTCGACGTGCAAGCAGCACAATTGTCGATGCTCCAGCGATCGCGAAGTTTCGGGCCGTAGCAAATCCGATACCTGTTGCGCCACCGGTAATCAAAATCGTTTTCCCTGCAGCCGAGCTAGCTGGCTTCCGAGGGTCAATCGCAGGGTACGGCGCTCGATGCAAAGTCGAGATACAGGATAGCTTCTCACTGGCGCTCATTATGGTAATGTGTCTGTTGTTTTTGAACACAAGGAATAATGATTGATTGATTGTAGATCGATGCACTTTTCGCCGATTCTATCCTCACTTATATACCTTTTGCCATAGCCTGCGTCAGATATTTGTAACCTTGGAGCTTACTACCAATGTAACATACATAACTTGGTTAACGATTTTCCTTCCCGTAATTTGTAATTATATGACAAGTGAACTAACTAATTAGCTTAATTAACGTTTGTTAGTAATTTGGTGACACTTTGGTTAACGATAAACCAGTTACGTCAGGAGTGGCCGGATGACTAAATATATTACTAACATGGAATAAGCCTCACCTTATATAACGATATTCCCAGTCCTCTCTTTCTATAACGATACATAGACTACCCACGGGGCCCCGGGGCCTTTCATGGTTTACTGAGATTTGCCCATCGATTTCATTTGAGCTTATCTGCGATGCCTCGTCAATCGATTACTGCTTCACAGAAAGCCTCCCTCCGAGCTTATCATAAATCAAACCCTTCCCTAGACAATAAATCACTACGCCAATGGTTCAGCCAAACATACCACCAAAGTATTTCCCAGTCAAGTGTCTCGGAAATACTTTCTTCAAGATACGAGTACCTTGATCACATCGCACAAGAGAAGCATCTTCAGAATTCAAAAAGATGCCGTTCAGAACGTTGGCCTCTACTTGAAGCTGCCCTTAGGCAATGGCTTATTGGACGAGGCGATCAGACGCCAATAACAACGGATCTGTTACGAGAAAAAGCACGGTACCTCTTTCAAGGAATCGCAGAATATCGAGGGATACGGGTACCGAAATTCAGCAACAGGTGGATCGAGGGTTTCAGAGCTCGACATCAAACAGCACTATCTCATGGCTCGGAAGAAAGCGACCGTGCTGATTATGGTACTCAAATAAGAGAGGCGTTGTCTGTATATCGGCTGCAGGATCAGTACTTTTGCGCTGAGACGAGTCTTTATTGGAAGATGCTTCCTGAATCTGCTCTTACAAAAGTACCTCTTTATCGACTGGAAAAGAACAGAACACGACTTTCTGCATTGCTGTGTACTAACCTGGATGGGTCGTGTCGACTACCGCCTTGGTATATTGGCAGACACCCTAACCCTCCTGCCTTTCATTCAGGTGGAGTCGACATAAAAGATTTCGATATAATATGGAAACACAATCGCGCAGCGAAGATATCAACATCAATTTTCAGCGAGTTTCTGCATTGGTTCGATTCTCACTTAGGGGAAAAGAAAGCTATCCTTTGGCTCGATGCGTTTTCTGCACGTCAAGTCAATTTCCTCATTCCCAAAACCATTTCTCAACTTTCTCAAAGCCTTGGCCTTAAGAATGTGACTGTCACAATGGTACCACGATCGCATACGGACATATACCTACATCTGACACAAGAGATTACAAGTATATGGAAAACCTTCTATCGCAGATACTGGATACAGCATGTCCTCGACCAGCTTAGTGCTCGCAGAGACCCACTTACTACGATGAATGTCAAGAAGGCCGTGAGCTGGGCTAGCCGTGCGTGGAATGTTGATATAGACCCGCAGAACATCCAAGATTGCTTTGATAGATCTTCATGGCGTGACGTACCCCGAGAGGGACCATTCTATGAAGACGCGCGTCTAACGGAGGCGAAGCAACAGCTACAGAGCGCCGTTAAGACACTCGAGCAGTCGTCATTTATTCACGAGGCCATGGAAATAAATACCTTCATAAATCTTCCCTTTGAGAATTCCGAGAATTCTTGGGTTGAGGAGGGGCAGATTGCTTCAGAGCATGAAGTCGACTTTATCGAAATCCCAGAGGGGGATTCGGATGAGGAACTTGAATAAAGCCTGCATATGTCTCACTTAGCTCTTTTGTGGAATTTTTTTATTTCCATTTTTCATTCTGCCTACTTTTAATACATATCCCACGCTGTTTAAGATATTTTAACTTAATGATTTGTTTTGCATCTATACTCTTCCAATCATCACATCCTAAGCCATACGTACTATGCAGATCCTAGCGTACATACTTGTGTACTATTTCGATGTCTTGTCGAAACCAAATGTTTGACTTTCACTTTATCACTCAACTTGAGATTCACTTGTCGTACTTGGCTCATCAACCCTGCGAGTGTAGCTGAATATTTTCTTCAAGTCCATGGTGGTAGTTACTGTCAGCTTGACTAACGCAGATGCTAAATTTCATGTAGCCGTAATTCTCGACGGTCCACATCAACTAGCATCATTGGTCTAGTGGTAGAATTCGTCGTTGCCATCGACGAGGCCCGTGTTCGATTCACGGATGATGCACAGTATCTTCTTTTTTGCTTCCTGTGGATCCTCTTGACTGTCTGGATTTGCCTTTTTTTGGGCCGTCCTTAGTGGGGAGGGGCACCACACCAATGGCACTACGAGTACGGGCATTGGTTAGGGCAAGGCTAGGACAAAAACAATTAGGAAAGCACCAATAGATTTCTCAAGCCAAAGAACCTTCCGTCAGGGGATATACAAGGTCACAAAAAAGACGGTCAAGAGAGTATGTACAACTAAAGACGAGATCGCACAAGAAAGGGAGCAAAAAAAACGCCAGGCTTTTTGACAATTCATATCGAGCCAAGCAATGCGCAGGTAAAAATAGTCCAGCCAGTAATACCAAATCTGATAACCCGATTCCTTCCATTCTTCTCCCATTATGACATATTAAACACATCGCAGTCGTTGAAGCGAACTAGGCCATTGCCCCCTTCGTTATGCCAATGGCCTTGAAAATTTCACGAGTAATCAGTTCAGCGTCGTGAGTCTTGGCCCATGCCTGGCCCAAGGTCAAGTCCATATGCGCCTAGTGCCATATTGCCTGCAACGCCAAAGGCTGACATATCGCCGACTGGACCAGGGCCGTTGCCTCCGGGGCCTGGGGCGGGAGCCGAAGTTGGATCTCCTGGTGATTTACCATCTGGTGGGCCGCCGCCGCCAATCGGGTCAAGATTGAAGGGAAGGAACCATGCGCTCGGTTGGTAGAATTCGCCTGTTCCAGCTGGGGCGCCAGGGTCAAGATGTCCGGTGAAGAGCGATTGATCTGAGGTTTGGGGATCGACGCCGTTGACGGGTGGAATTAGAGGGTTGTTGGGGACAAAGGAGTTGGGATCGAAATCCGAGAATGAGCCATAGACGAATTGGCGATCCAATTGTGGCAATTGATCAGACGGAATACTGAAATCGAAGGGGGGGTTGACCATATGGCATGGGCCGATTCTGTGCGAACATCGATGGCTGGGGAAATGCACTGCCCGGGACTCCGGGAGCATGGCCCATGGTAACGTCGATGGGGGGGGAGAGGTCTGATCCGTATTGGGAGTTCCGTCAGAAAGTTTGCTGTTCTTGCGCGAGCGAACTTTGCGCGGGAGGACAGGTTGGGGGGTCGGCGATAGACTGGCGAAGAAGTCCTCCACGCTTTGTAAATCGGGTTTCTGACCCATCACTGCATCTTCGCCTGTTTCCTTATGTCGTGTATCTGGATCTTCCCAGTGCATCCTTGAAACTCCATGAGGATATTTCTCAAACCAATCCCCGTATTGAAACATCGGAGCTAGAGTAGTGCCGTTTGGAGCGGCCACTGATCCCTTAATGGCTGCGTCGGCAAATTGTCGATACCTGTCTTTGGCACTTTCCACCATGTAGTGGAACATTCCCCAGTACTTCTTCATCTTGTTGAGATAGCGATAGGTATGTCGAAGGTTCTCCTTAGATCGAGCTTCTAACTGTACGTTCTTCGAGAATATACCCCAAATATGCACTGTGCTCGCAGAATATGCACAATACCCAGCAAATGGCACTGTGAGCGGATAAGCCGAAGCTCGATCAAAGAGCACGGAGATATGGTGGGCAGCTTCCACGGCTGCTCGACCAGCATTGCTGAGGAAAGGCTTGGGCATGTCCATAGGAGGTCGGCCCCCAGGCGACAGGGGAATGGCGAACTGGTTTAGAAAAAGCATGTTCTGGTGGATGATGATGTGGAGAAACAGGAATTGGTTTGCGACCTTCTCAGCTGCGTGGATTTGGAGATTCTCATATGTAAATGTAAAAGGGGTTGGGAGCGAAGATGAGAATTCTTCAATCTGTCGCTTTAGTTGCGAGTACCCCGACTCCGGATGCCACAGGGGGTGGGGATCTTTCTTTTTACCGCCCAGGTTCAAGTAATCGACAATTCGCCCCCATATAACAATGGCGCGGATTATATACGCCGAGACACCCATGTTCTCTTGAGCGTTGGATAATTGTCCGGAGTCTTCTGGGGTAGGATTCGGAACATCGCCGTCCAGGTCTTCTGTGGGACCGGGGATCTCCATTTGGAAATGGGTCTCTTTGATAGGTAGTTGGATGTGTAGGAACTTCTCGTTTCCAATAGGTGGGCGCTGACTACCCGAGGAGTTGTAGCGATCCATCAAGAAGCATGCCCACATTGTACGTCGACGGATCTCTCGATCGGTAAAGCTCAGCTGAGAGCTGGAATTATTCTGACCGAGTAACGGGTCGCGTTCGAGCTCTTGATGTAGTTGCAGAGCATACCCCATTCTCAATGCTTGTCCACCAAATGACCAACTGCGTCCACCGTGACAGGTTCCGAATTCGTGGAGTCCAAGAAGCAGGAATACGGTGAGAATAGTAATATTGGGCTCGTCATGTCGGCTCAGAGCAATGGCCGCCGCGGGGTTGGCCCAATTCTCGCCGCGCAGAAAGGCAGGCTCGGAATTGAGCTGTGGGTGTGTCGAGAATCTTGCAGACACGGCGCAGACCGCAAGGATGAGAACTGGAGGAACAGAGCCGGACTTGAGCCGGCGCATAAAACTAGGCTTGTGCAACAGGAGATACGACTGCCCATAAACGCAGTCGAAGAAAACCTCCGCCAAATGCTCCTGTATCTCCAAGGATGGTAGGAATTCGGCGCCTTCGGTCAAAAGTCCGGTACCGTCGGTCGACTTGATCTCGCGATTCATTGGGAATGTCTCATGCGGCGGACGGCGGTCTTCTCGAGACCACTGATCCATTTCCGCTGAGAAAGCCTCATCCGCACTTCGTTTCTTCTGGGCCTTGGACGCCTGGCTCGAGGCGGACGGTTTGACGACCGATCTACCGATGGAGGCCATATCCCGCGTCTCATCTGTGGGGATCGTCTTGATCACGCGATCTTCCATCCGCTTCAGACGCTTATCCAGCATGGCCATATAATCTGTGCGCGGGGCAGCTTTTCTAGTAGTAATTTTGTAGACGCATGGAATCCGCGATCGGGTACAATGCTTGCAGGCGGGCTTCTCGCCTGAGCAACGGATTTTCTTCCGTCGGCAGGCAATGCAGGCGAGGGGGAGCCGCTTGCGCTCCTTGCCGGCCTTGGTCTTCATTTCGCTCCAGGCAGGAGCCTTGCCATCAGGGTCGAGTTGACCGGAGTTCGCGGCATCGGGATCTTGCGTGGCATCATCGTGGTGACCGTCAGCACCGATGCCCGAACCCGTCGCGGGGTCGCCGGGATGTGTGCTACCGGGGTCGCGGGAACTTGCATGGCTTTGGGTGTCGAAATCATCCAAGATCGCCGTGGAATCCTCCTGGCCGAACATAAATCCAGCACCAGAGGGCTTCAATGGCGACTCGTCGGAGTCGGGAGGGATCATGACGGGTGCGGGTACCCCAGGTCTAGGGCCTGAAGCATCGTTTGGCGGGATCGACCGAGTTTAGAGCGGGCGCGGAGAGGTAGGGAGATGGGAGAGAAATGAGTGAGGTCGTAGAGACCGGACGGGGCCGGGAGTTGCAATGAAATAGGAGGTCGGTGCGACAGGCGCAGAGTCGGGAGAGGAGAAGTGAGGTGAGGAGAAGAGAAGAGGAAATATGGGGAAAGGTTCGGCGGCGACGGCTTGGCACGGACATCCACTGGCAACGCTGATATTACAGAGCTGTAGGCTTACTTTATACTATATACTAGTACTTTATACCTAGGTAGTTCCTGGCACAGGATGATGTGGTTCAAGTTATGCTACTGCTCTCTAGTATTTATTCTTCCCCTAACTCCAGAATATAATCCATGCTTTCTCATCGGATTGCACATAGTAGAGTACTAGCATACAGTCCGCATGGGGTTACATGACTCTCCCGAGAGCTATACACCGCCCTGGAGGAGGAGATATCATAAAGGTATTAATGTATTAAGGTGTTCAGGTATTTGCTTGATTTGATCTTATTTTTATTAATCATTCAACAAAATCAAACTGCAGTTAAGAATTTAATAATGAACCCCCCGGAAGGAGCTGGTTTCTAAATATCGTCATTCTACCCCCCCCATCGTTCCTCATCTCCCATTCTTTGGATCATATATCCCATTACCAGGGTAAACGCAATGTCCATGTCGCTGCAATTTGGCATTCATCGTGTTGCGACTGTGCTTATATCGCCTTGGGGCGCCCGGGCTTACCCCGCGGCGTCGCCTGCTCGAGGGAGTTCAGAATCTCCGCGCCCAGGGTGTAGATGCTATAGGCAGGGAAGACAATCCAGAGACCACTGTAGAAATGGGTTAGCAAAAGTCGCGCACATTTCTCGCGATAAAAAGACTCACTTTGGAATGATCCACAGGAAGATCAAGGTGACGGCATCGTTATGACCAATGTTATCAAAGCCGGAGAAGAACTCGTTGAGCCCTGCTGGTAGTTAGTACGGATCAATGGCGCGAAATTGTCCACGCGACCATCAAAAAAGGGAAATGGCTTGTTGGACGTACAGTACAAGAGCGTCTTGCTCAGAGTCATCACAGAAGCGGTATATGCGACAAGAAGGGCGGTCGCGCCGGTCTTGCCAGCGACGACCTTTTCGCCCGCCAGTAGCCACACCAAGCCCTTCTTCAGCTGCTTCTGCGCGCCGCGACCACTGGTAACGGTGGCGCCGTGTGCATACACAATGTAGAGATAGTAGAGGTAGCCGAGCGTCTCGACAATGTTCATGAGGGTCTGCGCGGCGGTGAAGCCATTGCGCGCATTATAGGCGGGCCAGCCGTAAATATAGTCGACGGTGCCGTAAAGCGCATAAGGGGTCCAGATGGGGGAGTGCAATCGGCCTCCCGGCATGCTATGCGGTCGCAACAGAACGTAACCCGCATCCCAGGCGACCAGCGGCAGCGACACGACCAGCCAGACGGTCAAGGCGGCAGACGGGGTGTGAACCCATTTGCGCGAGGTGCCGTTGGTTGTCGGCGCAGGCGATGATTTGACGAGCTCCTTGGCGGCCTTTTCAGGCGAGGGGAATTCGCGCGGATGGTGTCGCGTGGAGACCATGGCGTATAGAAGTGGAGGGAAAGGAAGGTATGCGATGGATAGGGGGGGTATTGGGATGATGAGAGTAATACTAGCAATTGGAGAAGGGAGATGCGACCGAGAAGATCGCAAAGGCAAGAAGCACTAAGCTTTAGAGCGCGCAGCTGGGGCTGGGGCTGGGGGACTTTCGCATTAGGTATGAGTGACTGACTAGTCAGTAGTTAGCGTTAGCGGCGCAGTACATACTCGTACTCGCAGTACTCGTCCTCGTAGTTGTTAAGTAGTAGTGACGACCAGTGACGTCGTCGCAGTGCCTCGAGGTGATCGTTTGCGGGTAAGCCAATGCAGCACACCGCAATTGTCCAGAGTACCCTTTGGGCGATGATTTGCCTCTGTGCTAGAGAGGAAATTTGATTGGATCCGGGAGTATAATGACCCTCTCACAGTTGAAATTGGTCTGCTGGCTCTTCTGGCTCAGCTGGTTACCCCACGTTGGGTTTTGGCTCGTGCATTTCCCCGGATCGGATCCAATGGGGAGCTCGGGAGATAACCCCGATCTAGCAGAAGACGTATAGTATAATATGGATGTGAGTATATATTAGAACTATATATTGTGTATACTAATGTGTCCTATGTTAAAAAGAGAGAAATAAAAAGAATTAGGAAAAGAAAGAAAAGAAAGGCCCACTCCGGGAATCGAACCAACGACCTCACACATTTGAGTTGGGACAGCGACACCAGCACGTGACTTCCATCAAACGGGAAAGGGCAAACTGGGAGCTCCAACTTGAATGCTTCTTGGTCAACTTCAACTTCAACTTCAACTACTCATTCCAAGGACGATGTGACACGGGTATATCTCGAGGGGCTAAACCTGTCGAATCAGCCATGGACAGCAGTAAGAAGGTCCGGATTGATATTTACAACTCAACTCAAATCAAACAACGAGTCTGACACTCATGACAGAAAAGCGATCGCCTGGCGCGAGTACGCGAAAACCAGCGCAACAGCAGAGCTCGGAAGCAAGAATATTTGCAAGAACTGGAGCAAAAACTAGCGACTTTTCAAACCGACAACCGTCGCAAGGATATAGAGCACCGACTCGCCCTACAGAAAATGGAAGCCGAGAACCGACATCTGAAAACATTGCTGAATTCATTGGGGATCCCAACAGAGCTACTCCAGCAATACGTGAAATTAGCGGAACAAGGGGATTCTGTCGACCGAAAAGTGGCTATTCCTGCGATGCACCAGCATGTGAAAACATCTACTACGCAACCAGTCAAAGAGAAGCCAGTGCTTGCTATGTCCAATTCCATCGCACCGGCCGTGATGACCGAGAAGACCCCGGAAAAGGCAGCAGAACCAATTAATAAGACATGGGAAGCTTCGGATCCGCCCTTATGCAAATGCTCCCCAGGACAAAGAGATCTGGCATCGGGGCCTGTCGATGGCGACGTTCTCAACACCACTCTCTGCGCTATCGCAGAGGAGTTGATCAACCAATACAATACTCGTGGAACAGACTTGGAGGAAATTAGACAAAGGCTATGGTCTGGATTCCAATCAGGAGTTACAGGCGACGGTTGTCGAGTGCAGAACAATGTCCTCTTTGAAGTCCTCGACGAGATCAGCCATAATGTTTGATTCAACAGGAGCGAAAACAACGGAAATCTTCCGACGGGATCCAAACTAAGCGACTTAAACTTTGCAATCGTCAACTACCGACCGATTGACGATATTTATAGTGTGTTGATCCACTTCATGGAAATAGGGGTTCGTGGTGGATTGCCGTAGTCAGTTGCTGGAACTCACCGCCAGATATGCGAGGCTGAATCCGAGAATCGGCTCTCCAAGAGGGAATAGCGGCGCTATTCATCTACCCATTCAATTTCAGTGTGTTTCCTATGCTTCGTACTTCGTACTGGATGGTTGATGGTGCTTTTCTGGTGGAGGTCAGCCCTGGCCAATCACGCCCGAGCAGTGACGTATGGGACAGCGAACCACCAACCAAATCGACACGTCGCCAACAATGTTTTCTTTTTCCCGCGAGTTCATCACAACGATACTGGGTCTCATTACGTGGAACAGACAACGGTACTGGATTTGCACTGCCTACAGTACAACATTGGCCAGCCAAGAGTAAGCTTTCGCAAGTGGGCAAATGTGCCGCTGTGGGCCAAGAAGAATCAAGGCAGCCGTGAATATCTGGACCCTCTGAACCCACTGATTTACGATCTAGGGACGCATTGGCCTAGTCTCAGGATTGGAAGTGGAAATCGGGGCTACGCATCAGCGGGGCAATCGGCATTCAAGGGTTCACCCTATGTAATTTGCCTTGACGTAGCTCCTGCTTGGCTATCGAGGCTGAGCGCAGTGAGACTCGGGAATCGTCGGTGGAACTAAGAGCATCCTTTGTGGAACCCGGCAGCGCATTATTGACCGGGAAGGATAAATAGTTTTGTGCATCCCAAACCTAATGATATCCCTATAAAGGCAGCTCCATCCACTTGAGACGGAAATCCGCACTCCCGCCCATACAGAAAAGAACCAAGGAAAGGAAGATAAGACGAACAACGGAAAACCTGAAGGGAAACCCTAGGGCGCTGACAGAAATGGTTCCCCTTATACTTCTCGGCCTGGCCGCGGTTGTCGCAGGCTCGAAACCACTCCCCACCGCGATAATTGACTCCGGCGCCATCGTCGGAACAACCACAACTCTGCCCTCGTCGACTGCCGTTGTAAATAAATACCTGGGAGTCCCTTTCGGCAAACCGCCTGTTCGATTCAGTCCACCAGAGCCCGTTGGCCGCTGGTCCACCTACTATAACGCGACAAAATGGGGGCCAGCTTGCATTCAAGAAACAGGCCCGGCAGTTGATTTTCTTTTTAACCTGCTGGACATGCCACCCCCGCTGGGTGGAGAGGATGAGGATTGCCTTAATCTCAATGTTTTCACACCAGCGGATGCGTCGGCTGGCTCAAAGGCTGTTCTTGTCTGGTTGTACGGGGGCGCTTTTCGTAATGGTGCATCTGCGGAGCCCCAGTACGATGGATCGAGTTTCGCGGCCAACCAGGATGTAGTGGTGGTTACCATTAACTACCGCACTAACGTTTTTGGATTCCCCGCTGATGAAAGTATTCCATTGAAGGAAAGGAACTTAGGGTACGATAAGCCGTCCCAATTTGCTGCAACGGAGGAATTATAAGCTGACTCAAGTTATAGCCTGCTGGACCAAAGACTTGCCCTTGAATGGGTAACTCGAAACATTGCTGGCCTTGGCGGTGACCCATCCAAGGTAACTATCGTGGGAGAGAGCGCTGGAGCAACCAGCGTCGATGCGCTTGTTGTTACTCCCCCCGAACCAGTACCCTTCCGTGCAGCCATCATGGAATCAGGCCAAACATCCGTCCAGACCTCGTTCGATACGACGGTCAAGAGCTGCGAGCAGTCCTGGCAGAAGCTTCTCAATGCTACGAATTGCGCCTCTGGAAATTCCATCGAATGCCTTCGAGCCGTTCCAGCCCAAGACCTGAAGAAACTCGCCATAAAGGGTAGTTTGGTCTTTGGCCCCGTCCGCGACGATTTCACGTTAGCAAAAAAGCCTCGCCAGAGGCGCCTCAATTCCGTCAAGAATGAAACTTCGATCGCTCGAGTCCCGGTTCTCATTGGAAGCAACGGCGACGAAGCCATGACAACGATCATCGGACAGAACGATCCAAAGAAATATCTCCAGCCCGTCATCGGCAATTATACTGACCTGCTTCTTTCCAAATACCCCCTTGGATCACCAGGAGCACACACTCAGCACGAGCGACTGTCGCTCATCATCACGGAATTTCAAATACAATGCGTGTCCGCAGCGTACGCGAACGAGAGTGCTTTCGCCGGAATCCCCACCTGGAGATACCTGTTCAATGCAAGCTTTCCCAATAACGAGAGGGGATATGGCGCTTATCATACTTCCGAAATTCCCTTTGTCTTTGGCACATACCCGCAAGCAAACAAGACTCAGTTTGAGGAAGATGTCAGCAAATCAATGCAAAAGGCTTGGGCGGATTTTGCCAAAGATCCTTACAAAGGACCGGGCTGGGCGAGGGAGCCGGCTATTGGGATTTTCGGAGACGGTGTCAAGGCTGGTATGAGCGTCGAGGGAAAGAAGCCTTTGAGGACTGTTCCGTCGAAGAAGGTGGATTTCCGATGCCCGCTTTATCTACCCCTTTACACCTAGTCATATTGTTTTGCTTGCATTTTGAAATGACCGTTGATTTTTCATAGCTGCATTGAAAGCAGGATAGAGCTTTTTATCTTTAATGTGAAATGCTACGATATTTTATGACCTATTCTGGCCGGATATAGTACTTTGGTGAAGAAACTGATAGTAAGACTACACCCGAGTAGTACCTCGCATTTTACCCGCCAGATAAAGAAGTAGAGTCGTGTTAGTATCTTCAAGTCTCCAGCTTTGTTTTACTAGGTGATTGGCATAATCTTTAAAAGAGGTCTGGAATTCGAGATTAACTGAACTAATTGGAAACATGAAAACTTTCAACAACCCAGGTAACAGAACGAACCAACAGATTAAACAGTGATCAACGTAATAGGGACTCGAGTCCGAGATGAACTTCCATTTGGAAAAAGGATAAATGCCAACTTGAGGTATCAATGGAAACAATCATGAGCGGCTTTCCTTATGGAACGTCTGCGCTATCTGCTCCTTGATGGGGGTATTTGCTCGTTCCGGGGTGGATCTCGGCGAGACCGATGACAAAGGACTGCCAACGTCATATGGCTGACTGGCCGAAGCGGGCTGGGATACCAACGGTTTGATCTCTTTTTGAGTTATTCTCTTGACAGCTAAAGACGACTTGTCGTTTGCGATTTGTGTACAAAGACTACCATCTGGCTGGTTCATGGTATAGAAGCGAGCTCGTGTCCATGGCCCATCCAATCTTTCCGATCGATGGCGTATATAATAACCGTCTTGTACTATCGCTGGAACTCTCTCCCAGGGACACATACGACGACTCTTCCTGTCAAGAAGTGTCACCTCCAGTTCAATCATGCTGTGAACCTGCGAGCCACCACTGGCATTATAGACCGTCCGTTGTGAAATGATTTTGGGTTGCGCGCCTAGATTGTTCTCTCCGCGAATAGGAGCTGTCAGCTCTTTGACGTCGTGGTCGTAAACCATCATGTTACTGGCACCAGTATCGTGGATGAACCTTAGTTCTAACCAGTATTTACGTCCGGGAATACGAACCGCTATGTGTAACTGGAAAAGCGAGTTAGAGTGAATTCCGTAATATTTATTCGGGGGTTATGTACTAGAAGTACATACCGTGGGCAGACCGAACATTTGGGGCACGGGCGTGGAGCTACAAAGCCCTGTTCGCAATTGTCGCAGCTCTGGATCTCGATGATCGAACAAATGGATGTCAAAACCGCGTTTTCATACCGCGAGATAGACCATGAGATCTATGTTGAACAGCCTCATCACACTACAAATGTCACATCGAGGGTCTGCAAGCTTCGCACGGCACTCTCCGGCCTGAAGCAAGCACCTCGTATCTGGTATCAGACGCTGACAAATTTCCTTCGAGATCTTGGCTTCGAGCCCATCAATGCCGATCTGAGTATCTTTGTTCTGAGCAGCATGTACATCGCAGTATACGTGGATGACCTCTTGATTATCGGATCAAGCATTGCAGAAATAAAGAAGATCACGCGGAGCCTCAGAAATTGTTTCCATATGACAGATCTTGGCAGGTGCAACTGCTATCTCGGCATGAGCATCCAACAAGATCGGTAGAACAGAATTCTCTATCTCAGCCAAGAGGCCCCTAGATGTGGCTGGCTCCACAGAGGTTTCATGTGCGTTATCGTAGTTTTGTGAGTTGACGCATACTGCACATGTCTTTTGTGCGACTTATATCAACGGTAGCTTGATTTTTAGATTATTGGCTTGTTAGAAACTGGGATCAGTGCTTCTTATAATTGAAACCTCAACATAACTATGACACTCTCCCTGCACTCCCTTAAAGAAAGTCATACAGGAGGCTCCGAATCGTTGGTTGGTTGACGGTATGTCATAATCATGTCACACCGCGGCGGAGGGAAATGCGAAGCGTTCAACAAGCGTCTCTTTGACCCTCTCCAACCAAACTTTTCTCTTAGATGACGACCTACATCTATGTAATTGCCCAGAGACAAAAATGTTGTGATATGAGGCTGATGCAGGTCAGGAACCAAGCCGAACCATCGGAATTAATTCCGAAGTATGTATACGAAGAATCAAGTTGATTTCCAATCAACTTGATCTTGTCGCTGTATATATAGCCTCATGTTTCCCTCTAGAATAAAGATAACTCCATTAATACCTCTGAACTACAGCACTAATTTACGGCCAGAACTAAGATTCTCTTTCCCTGCACAACGGGAAGCCATGTGCGATTCGTGCAACGAGTAATTCGTGTTGGAATATTACGTTCACTGATCAATGATCGCTTAATCAAGGCACAGGAGATATGATGACGATGCACGTCGAACACGAAAGGCATTAAATGCGCACTGTATATACACTGCACATCTTCGTTCCCTGAGACACTCCCTGATAGAGTAGTTGTGTGCGCCCAGCTCATGGACTTTGCCCATTACTTCAACGGTAAAACAAACATAAATATATAACATTTGGATAAAAGTGTTGACAATGGGTTCTAGGTCTCATAGATACGATGGACCCGAAGACGGTTAGTGTTCTATGCCTTTATTGTATGGTTAATCACCATCGCTTACTTAACAGGCCGGCCATGTTCACCAAGATCTTGCCCTGGTCTTCTTATTCGAGACTAAATCACAGCGAGATTACGAACCACGCTTTACTATAAACCGGATCGGACGTCAATTAGTCCGTGACATACTTGCCATTGACAGGGAAACTGGCCTCGAAATGCTTAATGGCTGGGGGATACATATGAAAGCGAACATTGAAAGTCCCCAGTATCACTGGACCCTAGAGGAGTACGAAGCCTACAGACTTGAACAAGGGGCCGCAAGGTATGGAGTTTCTAGTCCTTCCAGCAACATGTGCTAAAGTGTGTAGCTGGGCTGTGGATTCAGTCAGCTGGAGTGCCGGCCTGCACGTCTCCCTAGCAGAGAAAGAATCGACTCGGTATTTTATGAACGACATTATGACTGCCTGCTTGCTGGTAAATGACCTTATCAGCTTCGAGAAGGAATTTGATGATCATGCCAAGAATGGGACCTTACACAAACTACGCAACGCAGTGGCTGTCTTGATGACCAATTATGGCTACTCAGAGAAAGAGGCCCGTGACATCATTCGAAAGGAAAGTTTGGCTATGGAGAAAGCTGGCTTGCTCAAATACGAAAATTGGAAATACAACGGAGCCCCAAAGTCAGATGATCTCAGGAAATTCGTGATCTTTTCCATGTTAATGTGCAGCGGCTCTGCTTACTGGATGTCTCATTCTCCTCGTTATAACCGAAGCAAATTTTCAAATACGGTTGAAATGCGGGCTGGAATCATAGGGAAACATCACGGAGGCCTGAAAGCTCTCAGAGATCGTCCTAAACCCACAGCTTTGGCCAGTACAGGTTATCCCATGAAATTGATGAACCCTTTCCAGGCCCCCTTTATTAAAGCATCTGCCCAGGTTGGTCCTGTCTTTGCTATTTGGAAGTATTCTGTGCTAAAAGTCTATCAGTTTGTGGATGCCCCGTACGAGTATCTGATATCATTACCAGGGAAAATGATGCGCGATAAACTTATTGAGGGACTTAATGAGTGGCTAAAGGTGCCAGATTTGTCTCTGAACATCATCAAGGACGTCATTGGAATGTTGCACAGCTCATCTCTGATGTGAGCTGTGAGCCTTTCAAAACCTTTTACTATTCAAAGTTAGTTATGTTGACGGAGAGAATCAGGCTTGACGATATCGAAGATGGCTCATTGCTTCGACGCGGACGTCCTTCAGTACATGTATTGTATGGCCAAAGTCAGACGATCAACAGCGCCAATTACATATATGTCAAGTCAGTTGCGAAGATACTGACCCTAAAGGGTGCCACATGTTTAGAGATCTTCATAGGTGAAGGCTCTTCTCTTCATCGATTACGAAACCTGACGATTCAATTAGACGAGCTTGAAAACCTACATTGTGGACAGAGCTTGGACCTCGGCTGGCGTTACTGTACAATGGCTATGTCCCTTCAGTTGAAAGCTACATCACCATGGTCGATAATAAGACTGGTGGCCTCTTCCGTCTCATAGTTCGCCTCATGCAGGCCGAGTCCACTGTTCAATCGACACCTGATCTCCTAAAGCTGGCCACTCTATTTGGCCGGTATTACCAGATTCGCGATGACTACTACAATTTAACATCTGAGGAGGTATGTAACCCTTGTAAACCGCACGTGAATACTTCATTTGTCAGCCCTACGAGAGCACAGAGGCTGATGTTTTTGTCCAGTTCGCCGCTAAAAAGGGGTTCTGTGAGGACATCTCAGAGGGAAAACTATCTCTTCCAGTAATTCACATGCTGAAAAGCTGCTCCTCATCGAGCCACCTACGGGCTGTTCTGTTCAGCCGCATCTCCAACGTCGCTGGGGAGATTTCCTTTGAGCTGAAAAGCTTTGTTTTGGCAGCCATGAAAAAAGAAGGAAGTCTGGACTATGTCAAAGAGGTCCTGGAGAAGCTTCACGTTGACATAATGGACCTGGTAGAGAAGGTTGAAAGCGAACTCGGCTGGAATGCCGCGCTGAAGCTTTTGGTTCTTGGATCAAGTACATGATAAGGAGTTGGGCATTTTCAACCTTGAGCTGACTGTTTTCTATCCAACGGGGGTATTGGAATCTATAAAGACTGGAATCAAGACTGGAATCAAGACTGGAATCAAGACTGGAATCAGGACTGGAATTACAGTGATATTCGAAATCAGATTTACCTCCACACTCTTTGACTTTCATTCCCGAAGCCTAGCTTGGAACACGCTAGTCTAATTTTAGTATTTCCCGCAGGAACCCCTGTCAGGCTGTATTGTATTTCCTGGTAACAGAAACTAGGTCTTTGTTACAATGCCGTAATTTGCCTTGGAATTCGATCGAATCTTTCAATGCCAAGAGACCAAACAAAGCGGGACACCAACAATCTGGCAAGATCCCCCCCCATCTTCGTCTTTTACGTTTTGATCTTCTCATGACAACAGCCTTGACGTACACTCCTTTTATTTCCAATAGAAGGCTGCGGTGTCTACATAGAGAACTAATTTCAATTAATCAAAGTTGTAACAAAAATTAAGGAGAAAGACTTTTATGATGTAACCCCCCTCATGCTAGAATCCCCCAAGAGGCCTTCCCGCTGCGCAATGCTCGCTTTTCTCCGCGCTCTTTTCCTTGAGACGATGATGAAGACCTAAGACTCCAAGCAGGAACAGCGGCACGTAATTGACGCCTCCATGTCGGGGTAGCCTCATCATCCTGCTGTCTCTTGGCCGCCAATTTCTTTGATATTTTCCGTGGAGGTCCCTTAGATTGTTTTCCTGGAAAGAGTCGCTGAAATATGGGCTCTATCCATTCTGGAAGAAAGCCATTCCTTCCTCCTGAATTCTCCTTGGTCGGCTGAAGCTCCTCAGCTACTATCAAAGTCTCCCGGTCACGCGAATTGGCACTCACTTCCCTTACGTGCCATGCTGTGGTAAATGTGTCCACTATCCAGGCTATGTCATGGCCGTAATTAGAACCATTCGTTGATATTGTAACATCTTTCAACTTAACCGATTCAAGGGGTTTAGCGTCAGAAATAACTTGAAAAATTTCGCAAGCAAGCTTTTTATCGACGATAGAGTCAACGATAATCCTTTCCACATGACCATTTTGAAGCTGGTGCTCTTTGTAACGGGCGCTTCCACAAGGCTGACTCTGAAATTCGTCAAAAGATAGATCGTTGAGCAGCATGTTCGCACGAGACAACATGTTCTCGCTTAAGAAAGTCATTGCCTCTCGCGAGATCTCATGGATTCGAGGAGGTAGGATTTCATAGTGAAGATGCAAGGTGCTAAGATTTTTGAATGATCCCAAGGCCAGGTATAAGATAAATTGGTCAGTTTCATCTTGCCTGCGGTTGAGAGGAACTCCCAATTCTTCTAGCGACGGACATCCTCCATCGATTAGCCGGATCTCCTCTTCATTCACGAACTGCCATGCTGCCGGATTCGAGAGCTTGAGCTTGCGCAAGTGGGGCCCATGATAGGCGACGAGGGAGTCTATACTAATAAGGGAGTGCCATCCTTCCAATTCAAGATCAGTCAAAGGAGGCAGAGAGTGGAGAAAGCTGTTCGCAGAGTTGTAGAAGTCCGCTGATCGCAAAGAATCGGAACCAATGTTCAAGCTCAGAGTTCTCAAAGATGGAAATGAGAGATTCGCCCGATCCCATATACCGAATACGTCGTTATTCAATCGACCATGAATTTTAAGAGTTTGCAAGGTTAAAAAGTCTGTATAGTGACTCCACCCGTACAGCGTATCCCCATGAAAGTCCAATCTGCTCTCGAAATGGAGGGTTTCCAATGAAAGTTTTTCAGACGGATATTCGCTTCCTGATGGTATGACAGGGGTTTTTTCATTTCTCCTGAAGCGAAGGTCTTTGAGATTCGGCGCGCTAGTTACAGCTCGCAACAATGTCTCTCGTCGTTGAAGATTTTCGCAGGGAGGTTCGCAGTTAATACCAATGCTGATTGAGTGAAGCGAAGGCGCGCTATGCCACAAGACATCTATATTTTCTCTCCAGTGTCTGCTATACCATCTGTGATCCACTCTGTCATACAATGGGACTCTGCGATTTCCTCTAATTAAAACAGGGCTGTTGAAAAAGTAATCTAAAAGGAGGCGGCATTGCGGTTGATCTCGGCGTAAAGTATCAAGGATGCATGGTGGCATGCAATTAGACCAGGTCCAAATGAGATCTGTTAAGTTGGGAAGTATTTTGATTAACTTCACAACAGGGTTGTACAGATCGTCCGAGAGATCCCGGTCAGGTTCCCCATAGTGGCGTGGGTGCCGACTTAAAGGGGTTTCCTGCCATTGTCCATACTGTGTCGTATGGTTAGCCGCCTGACTAGAAGATAGCAGGGTGGACAGGCAGGGTGGTTTCCATTCATCTTCTTCCTCATAGGCTCTTAAACGCGACTGCTGCGGCTGAAGGAGTTTGGGGTGTGCGACGAAAACCCGACGGACACAGCCAAAACCGTCAGCAGCTTCGAGTCGTTTTATAAGGCGTTTCACAATTCCTTTGAGCTCTACCTCTCGTCTGGGCCTAGGAACCGCTATTTTGATGTCGTGGAATTTTATGGACTTGACAGCTTGCTGGATAGCTGGTTGACAGTAAGCGTAGTAGGTTTTGCTAGCCCTTGCGAGACTGAACACCGCTGCAAGGTCTTCAGCCACAAGATAACCTGTGATTATATGTATAACTTCTGGCGGAAGATGGATGCTCATGGGCTCTTTGCGAGGCATTGTGGCTCTGCAGACGATTAATACTTTTCCGTTTCGTGCTTGCAAAAGAAGGGTCCTAGTCAGGTGTATTTAAATGTTAATGGTTTTGGCCCCCCCGAGCCACACCCGAGAGCAGACCATGCTAGTCATGGACTAGATTTTGGTACTCCGTATTCGTGACTCATTTCGACTAAAATAGGACCCTTGGACTGCACAGTAATTAAAGCCCTGTAGTAGACCCAACTGTAAATCCAATCGAGAGCTGCGCTGAGGCGATGAAATACCAGCCAAGGAAGGCTTTCGGCTACGGTCAGGCCACCAGAGTCACGCCCAGGGTTTATTTTTACATTGCGTAAATTTGCTAGTACTTTACAATACTATACAAACGGCATTTTGCAGTGGCCCTCAACTTACTGCGGCCGGCAGAGTTAATGATCTGCCCTAGGCCCTGTATCGGTCAAACCGATTTCGAGAATGATTGTACATCCTGGTGCTACACAGATCTCCATTATAACAATATACAACCGATAGGGCCGCTTTTTTCACGGGCACATTATCTCGTCCATCTGCAAAACATAGAAAATTAGTTTGTCACATGAAACCAAAATCTCGATCTTAAATTCTCGCAAATCAAGTATTACGCTCCTTTCTATGCTGCCGGGCCGTCTTTTTAGACCAATCTTTGGCCACCAGGGCTCTTCTGATACTAGAGGTTGTGATCATCGTGCGAAGCTCATCCCAGAGGAAGACAGCCATCTTATGAAGATACGTAAAGAGAATGAATACAGGCGTACTTTATCTGCCTGTGCCAAAAGGGTTCGATGGGCTCTCGAGGGCCTTTATTCCTTTTGGAAATGCTGAAAGAGCTCATATGATCACTACTAAAAGCAGACTAAAGGACAAAGATTACTGCCTCGTCGACATATTTTCTTTGAACCGCGATTCCTTTGAGAGGGATTTGTGAGTTCTTGTCGGACTTGAATTCTTTCACGAAATGGAAAGAAAATGAAATTCCATAATCAGCAGAAGACGAATTTCACAAAAGCAGATGAAGCGACGTAGTTCTCCGGAGATTTTTCCACGGAAGTCAGGGCTTGGACTTAGGTTTTGTCGTAGACTTCTATGTTCCAAAACATCCATTCACCTCCTTAATATGACGGATGAATGAAGCAAGTGTCAGTTCGAAGTTCGGATCAAGTTTGTATTCAGGTTCTGATCATAGAATATTGTAGGCATGTCTAGCTAATCTTTGTGGATTGATGCTCCATTAAGTTTGGCTTCCAAGGTTTACTACTACTTGTACATTTCCAAATATGAAGTCAGCTTCTATACTCAGAACTCCAGCTGTGCGAATAATAGCAAAGATGGAATACATTTAAAGAATCAAATCATAAATTGATCTAGTGCAAAGAAGAGCCGATTGTTTATAGTTATTGAAAAATCAGGCGGGCTCTCTATTACTAGTATCATTCGCTGCTCCTGGTGCAGCACCCTGCAGACCCCACTTGCCCTTCCCAATCCGTTGACCATAGAATTTCACCAGATATCCCACAGAAATTGGCCCAATTATTGTGTTGAGAAGAATAGCCCACACTGCAGTGATGAAACCCTCCTGACTTACATAGCTGGTTTCATTATATCCAATCTCAATGATCAAAAGCCCGATTTCACCACGTGCTACCATCGCCGAGCCAAGAAGAAAGCCGGCGATCGATGCTGCACCATAGTCTTGCTTCATTTCTTTGATGCTTGGTGGCTGGCTATTTCCGCGAGGGGAATTTCCTTGTTGGCCGATAACCGGACCCTTTGATGAAGGCTTGGAATACAAAGCTTCCCAGATGGGAATCCATATCCCAACAATGAACTGCATAAGATTCGAATTTTAGATTCACGCATGCCATCAAAGCAAGAGGGGTAATTTACCTTCGCAAACGCCATGAGGAGAGAATACACTATTCCCCTCCAAATTCTCTTGCCAGTCCAGAGTTTCAGGAATGGAATCGCGAAACCGACACTAGCGAAAAAGAGCGGCTCCATTAAATATTTTTGAACGTCAAGAAGGTATCTCTCGAATGTGTGAACAAATGTAGGGCTCTTATCAGCTTCTCGCTCCCCTTCTTCGCGACTCATGACAACGAAGGGTCCATCGGGGTGCTTGCTGGGTAAGTAAGTGAGGAATGTACCCGCGAGAAATGCTCCGAACAAAACCGAAGTCCCAGCATAAGCCGCGATAGTAATGAAAGCGGATAAAACCAAAACCATCAAGGTGATGTTAGATAGATGATCGTATTTTGCAAATGTATGCTCGATCCATCGCCGGAAAATAGGCGCGAATACGAATTTTGTGAGGATTGGGGTTGCAATCGCCATTGCAGCAGAGGCTACAATGGGGCGTCCAATGACCCAGCCGAGATTAGGACTTCCTGCCCCCGGATCTGAAAGCCCGCCTAAGTCGTGGATGACACTATCGAGTATACGTGAGTAATGATATACTGATGAAAGTGAGCCGGGTGTACTAACCTAGCGAGCACAAGACCGACAACATCGTCAATAACAGCTGCACTGACAAGGACCGAGCCCACCATGGTCTGGGAAAGGTCCACTTCCTTGGAAGCTGATGATATGACCGAGAATGTTGTGCCTAGTGAAGTTGCGGAGAGTGCTGCCCCGGCGATAAACGTCTCCACGGCGCCTTTTTGGCATTAGTAAAGAGGTGCTTGACGGAAGATAAAAAATGGCTCACCAAATCCAAATCCCAGGTACAACAGAAGATAGGATAGACCAATAGGAAAGCAAACGCCCGTGGCAGCCCCTAATACACTGAGAATGAAGTTCTTTTTCAAGAGATCAAGTCGTATCTGCAGGCCACCTAATTTCCCATGTCAGAATACTAATGAATATAACGTGCATGGAATTCATGTTTAAAGGTTGCAATCCCGACATACCTTCGAAGATGATCAAAATCAACCCGATATATCCAACCGCGAGAAACGTCTCCTGCCATGGTCCTTTCAAGATATTGGCCAATGGCTCTCCATATATAATACCAACGGCAATCTGACCAATAATCCCCGCACGAATGATCTTCGCAGAGAACCATTCGGCGAGAGACAAAAAGAAAAAGAAAGACAAAATAATCAAGATATCGACAACTGCAATCGAACGGAGATTAGCCAAAATTCGCCTCATTTAGCTCAGACTAGCGCCGCCACTTACTGCCAGGTTCATGATATGCGAGGAAGCTCCCAGCCATTTCAAATACTTTGAGGTAACCTCATATAAAGAATAGAATTATATTACAGAATTGAACTCTTCCTGGATGAAAAAAATTTGACCTTGAGTTTGGCTGGGCATTTCTTGGACTTCTTGGCGGCTGCAACTTCATGACGTTGCATCACGTGTGTGGACCCGTGGAAAGTTTGGAGTGCTGAATTCCATCCTCTATATTACATAACACGATAATTGGTTCTATAAATGAGAAAAAAGACATATAGTAGGACATTGGGCTTGTTTTGGGTTGACCTTCGCGCGAGTAATGGGCGATAAGTTGATTTGAATAGGCTAACTGTATATTACCTGTTCGCCGTTTTTAGTTCTCCTAGAATTACTCACAGAGTGTAGAAAAAAGCCTAAAAACCACACACGAATAGAAATCAATTGATCGATAAAAACAAACTAGTATATGAATTTTAGGAAATTTTATGCATAGAATATGTGTGTAAGATAAATGACCACAAATTCAACATTTTTACTCTTCTTTCCGAGTCGAGGGCATTATCGGATCGGCACTATACAAAACCCCGATTCCACTAGATCGGGTCACAAATTTTTCTCACGACAGTCGCTAAATTTGAATGGACGGAATACACAAAATTTACATTGAGAAGTTCAATGAGTAAAAGGCTTGGGAAATATATTTATAGCGGTAAATGAAACTCCGGCCAAACATACTCCATAGTCTATTGGACCTGAGTGTCATCGGAGCTGTCGAAGTCGATGGTGTTAACCGTGATGCGGTCGGTGTGCCAAGTAATTCCACCATCGGTGGACTTGAACTCGGCATCGGTGACACTGTCTAGGCTCATGACGCTGTCAAAGCTGGTATCGGCCTCACTGAGAGTGACGGTAAGGTTGGTGATTTCTGTAGTAATACATCGCGTCAGCTCAAGTATCTTTTAAAGTTAGTTTGGGGGATAACGCACTCCATCCATCGACGGAACCACAGGAACCGGCACCGGTGTAGCACTCGTTACTAGAGTAGAGATACTGGAGGGGAGCATCGAGAGCTAAAATTGAATATCGTGATTAGCAGGAGGTCGTATATTTTTGCGTTAGACTTTTGGAAAATGTACCGTCCGACTCCTTGGAAATTATTTTGTCATTCATGGTGACAGTTTGAACAACCTTGCTGTTGACGACGGCAACTGAAATTCGTTAGTTAGCATTATTTGTACATGGTCGTAGAAATCCAATTCCAGAAGGCCATACTTTCAAAGTCCACCTGTGTACTCTTTGGAACGGTGACATAGGCCTGTCCAAGTTGACCAGCTAAAGTATTCAAGACATGTTAGCTCATATCGCCTGCTGAAGACCGGGCGAGGTTTAACTTACATGGCGTATAGGTGCTGGCGGCAACACACCACTCCTGAGCAGTCGCAGGGCAGCCCCTATAGTATAACAATTGTCATTATATTGATTGAAAGGCGAAGGAATATTTGCGGCATACTGAGACTCCTGGTCGGGGCACCAGTTGAAGATCGGCTGGTACAGGTTGGCATCTTGGTCGCCGGCAGTGGAAGAGGCTCCGACCCAAACAGAAACCCAAGGCTCGTCGTCAGCATTGGACTTAGCTCCAGAGGGAACAGACGGCGGCACGATGGAGTAAGTGGCCTTGGTGATGTGGGAGTTGCCCGAGGGAGGGCCAAGGTAGAACAGGCTGTTTCCAAAAACCCATGAATCAGCGGGCTGCGAAGCCACGGCGCCAATTGCGGCGGCCAATGGACTTAAGGCGTAAGCAGAGCGCATTTTGGGTGACTTTTCTTGAGGCCGAAAGAGACTCGGAGAAAAAGGGCAATGGGTCGGTCGAGGAACGGAAGAGATAGAAACTCGAGGACGAGAGCTGTATATATTCTTCAAATAATTATTCGGAGACTAGGCGAGAAGGGTATAGCATCGGAATAAAACAAATATCTCTGACAAGCAATTAAACATTCACACAGAGTGTTTCATAGAACAAGATTGCGAAACAGGGGCTTCTGGATATCTTAGCTCCGAGTCCCCACCTGTCTAAAAACTCCTGTCTTGGTCGACTGTTCCAGAGGAGCATACATGAAGAACTTGAGAGGGGAGATAAGTGTTATTCCTATGTTCTGGGGTTGTTAATTAATAAGCCCGGAAAAGAGGTTCGAAATAGAAAGAAGTTCCAAAGGTTGCGAGAATAGCTTCCACCATCCGCAATTTCAGCGGTTGGTGTACATATTAATTCATCACGCCAGTTTAGACCCACTTAAAGAATTCTTGTGGATCTAGCACTGTCTCTCATTTAATTATACTAATACCAAGAGATAATAAAGCTTAAGCTAAGAGAGTGCCTAGTTATTATACAGTGAATCAATGAGATGCAAGTCCGTGTATATATCACTATATGGGCTCTTGAAGTATCTCGGTGACAATTCGTGGGCTCGCGTTCTCGAAGTGACTCTGGACGGATTCAAGCAGGAGGGCAAGCGTTAACATGTATTTTTATATTGCTTTAGAGTAATTAAAGACGGGAGCTACTAATTTTGAAGGCAGAGAGCTAGCCAAAAATCAATGCAAATTCTTGAGTCTGAAGAAAAATAATACGGCCTAAAATGTTCATAAAGGCGTTATCCTAGGAGTTTCTCCTAAGCAAGAACTCCCAAAGGATCCCAGCGGGGCAAAACTTGAGGAGTCTGTTTGAGGACCGATCGCACTTCAGCGGAGACAAAATTAAAGTCCACAACGGCCTGGAAAGTGTACTCATCCATCCACCGGTCAGTCATCACGAACCAGCCCTTATCCCCAGCCGCTTCACCCCATGAATTTTCCACTCGCCATCGAATCGGCTCATCCTTATCGGAAAGATGCACCGCCGTGATGACCATGGCGTGGGTCATCGAGGACTCGCCGCTAGCCAACCGCTCTGCCTTGTTCATCCCGAGGGAAACATTGAATCCAAGATCGAGATCGGTGAGATCGGCATCCATGATACCGAGCTTTGTATTAGAAAATTTGCCGACATCGCATCCGAAGAAAACGGGATGACCAGCTTTCAGCATCGCGATGACTGCCTTCTTGAGAATCGGCATCTCGACATTAACGTATGTAAGCGCTTGCCCTTCGAGGACATTGCCGAGCTTGTCGACTGTTAGTAGGCGGTTATATTCATTTCGCGGATCGTTCACGAGACTGAAGAGTCGCCCCGGAGATACGGGCGAGCTGGTGCGCGAGATTATCCGGGTCTGAGACCGAGTAGCCTGCTGGCCGAACTCCAGTGGAGTCTTTCGCACCTCGCGGGAGGTTCCATTTGAATCGTAGTACTGCCAGACGAATTCTTTGTCTGGGTTTGGAGCTGGACCCAGAAGGAGTGTGACAATCGAGTGGATCTCTTTCAAGAACTGCTCCTTGCTAGCAGCCAGAAGATGCGCGGCGTGGCCATCTCCCTTCTTGTTGGCGAGCTTTCGTAAGATTAATGCCTGTTCGCGCAGCTTGGCGGTGAGTAACCAGTTGAGTCTGGAGCTATTTTGCGCATGGTAAGCATCGGGGTAGATTGCGTGCGGGACCAGTCCGTATTTCTGCACTAGATTGACGACCATGTCCCACTGGCCGCCGTCACTGACTGGGTCTTCCAGGAGTTTCTGGACAAGGCGTCCTGTGAGATCTTCATCGGCAGTTGCGATGATTTGCTCGAAGAACCAGTTGGCCTTTTCGATCTTGTCCCAGTAGAAGAGGTAAGCTTGGCTGAGCTCGAACTCGCGGAGCTGATATGCCTTGATCAATGGAACTCGGAAGACGTTGGTGGCGGCGAATAGCCAGCAGCGACCAGAGGAGCGCTGGTTTGTGATGGGTCCTCCTTCGATTGGAACGGCGAGGTTGAAGATGTGTAGATCGGATTGTAGACTTTCGCGATTGGTGAGTAGAGGTTCATACGGTTGGCTGGCGAAGTTGGAGATAGCGAGGCGATTCTAATTTTGCAGCGAAGGAGCTTGCTATCAGTATGAAACCGCTTTGAAATTGAATTAGTCGCTCAAACCTTTGCATCACTCAAGAGGGTCTCGCTCCAGTCCTCCAGCCGAGGTACAGCGACGGATCGAGCTCTCTCGTGAGCTGCAAGAAATGGATATGGCGGGGGAGCTGCGCGATGTTGTCAATAAAGCTACCAGATGTGAGGGAATGGGGGATCGGGGTCAAATGGGAACGACGGACGAGTCTCAGAAGCCCTGCTCGTGGCAGTGGGTTCTTGCTTGATAGGTCGAGTTGTGTTGGAAGACCCAGCCTTCTCGTCCACAGGCTCCGGCTTGGAATAAATGGTGCCCATGTTTGCAGTGCTCGAGCGGTAAGGGATGGATGGCTGTTGATTTATTCCCCAGATAGATGAGGTTACCGACTTGGAGGGGATGTGGGTGAGGGGAGAAAGGCGAGGAAGGAAGATGAGGGAGGAACTTGAACTCCAAAGGTCCTCGTCTCTTCAGCTGACGCGGGGAAGGCGGATGATGCGAGGTCGCATCGGTTCGCGTCACTCGACTGGCTCTAACAACGATGATTGGCTTATGCTTCGCTATCGTCAAAGCTCAAGTTGTACAGCAGCAAATCGATCGTGCTATCTCCAAACTGTATCGCTGATTGGTGATTGGTCCATCCTGGTACCCTTGTACATATGCACATTCATCCCTGCATTATGAATAGTCACAATAATTGGTACTAACAGCTTGAAGTGAAATATTGATCCCTCCAGGTATAGTTATGCCCTGGTAGTTAATATGTAACTACTGGTAGTAAGTTGTATAGCATCAATCCGCAACTCCGCATTAATTCTACTACATTGGCTATGGCAAGCAGCAAGCCATACCCAATCGAAAATCACATTATTATTTGGAATAATTCAAACCACCAGTCATGAACACTTCAATATTTTGATCTGAGGAGCCATCGGCGTTCTCACCGATAAAACACCGTGACGATGCTAGAAAGTCCATAAACCCCGCACATTTACCCCCACACTAGACGGACGATCGTAGTATATCATTCGCTCCCCGCATTTACTGACAGCAGAAAATATAGAGAGAATGAGTTATAAAGAGAGAAATTGCACTTTTGTGTTTGGTACCCTTTCCCCTGGACTATAGTTAGTATGACAAGAAGCCAATATGAAGCTCCATCACATCTTTACATACCTGCTACCTCTGAGTCTGGCATACCTTTCCCAAGCCAAGACAAACTCAGAAAATCCCCAGCCAATACTGATAGACACGGACATCTTCGGGGATGTTGATGATGTCGGCGCGCTTTATGTCGCAAACATATTGTATAACTGTGGACTTGCCGATCTTCGAGGCGTCGCCGTCAACACAAACTCACAGTATGGTGCACTAGCAGTGAGCGTGAGTAACTCAGCTCCAAAGACTTCAAGTTCAGAAAATATACTGACATATAGCAAGTCAATCTGTACATATTTTGGAAATAGTGAAATTCCAATAGCAGCGCTGAGACCGTTGACGAATGAAACCTTTTTCGACGACGACGAGTTCTTGTAAGTTTTCCCTGCGACACTTGATAATTTTAATTTTGCTAATGGGAAAACCTCAGACACAGCGAATACGCAAGCAAAGTGGCTAACAATTGGCCGAGAAGTCTTAAAAATGCATCCTCAACGCCCACACCAGTTGAACTGTATCGCTCCGTTCTAGCCGCAGCGGCAAACCAAAGCATGAACATAATCTCAATCGGCTTCCTAACGAATCTCGAAGACGTGCTAAAATCCAAAGCCGATAAAATCAGCCATCTATCCGGCTTTGAATTGATTGCTGCAAAGACACGCGAATTGGTAGTAATGGGAGGCGCTTATCCTTCAGGGTCAGAGTACAATTTTGGCCATTCCGACCCAGAAAGCACAGCATACGTACTCAAGAACTGGCCCAAGAGTGTCGCGATCACGTATTCGGGCTTTGAGCTTGGTGGAGACATATACTCCGGCCAAAATCTGGACGTAATTTCTCCGCCGAATTCTCCAATACTCGCCGCATATCAATGGTATGTTGGGCGTGGGTCGACCGTTCGGCCCTCTTGGGATCCGATCACTACTCTTTACGGAATTCTGGGTCTCGATGGATTTGAAAAGCTGGGTCTGAGCCGGATGCTTGCCTTTGCTAATAGTCATGGATATAATTCGTTGACATCGGCTAATGCCTCGAATGCTTGGGTCAACGATACAAGGGTTACGAATCAGCATTGGTTGAAGCTTGCGGATGGAGTTACAAACTCAAGTATGTCCTGGTTGCTGAACCAATTTTTCACGCATGATCCAGTCCAGCAAACCTGCTTCGGTCGGACCAACCGCTAGGAGTTAGTTTCTATATTTCGTGCATTACCCAGGGCACTAGAATACTAGTCAAGATAATACAAGATTCGAGAAGACAGAGTATACTGGCTCTAGGAAATGTAACAATATTTTATTCGTGATTCGTGAGGGGTATCAATCGAGTTTGGCCGTCAAAGAAAAATCAAGTGAGTGTTCGGTCTCCTTGTAGTCATGAAGGAGATGGGGGAAATGCTGAGCTGGGGATTTATGCCCACGAGAATTTGCTGAACATTCTCCCGTTCTACCCCAGAATTCTTTTTTTTACGATTTTCAATCAGGGAAGCAGATGAGTGGGGAGGGTTGAAGCTCTCCGCAGGTTGGAATTCTCTCGCCATCCTGCGATACTACCAGCTCTTCTCGGCGCACAATTGGGTCTTTGATCTTCTCTCGAAACTATCCTGCACATATCACTCAATCCAATTGCTTGAGTTTGGAGTCTTGGAATGTCCGGTATTCAGAAGGCTATGCAGCCTCGATCGCTTCTGAAATCACACCGAAGCATGTGAAGCCTCCGGAGTCCTGTGAAGGTGGTTAGAAGGTCTCCCGTCGCTGCTTCGGACGGTGACATGGTGTCATGGAGAATATCTGGAAACACGAGATCCTGAAGTTTGTGTTGCATTGTTTGCAAAGGTTTGATGGGGGATGGGGGGCAGATGTAGCTGAATACTCTTTCGCCGTTGGCAGACCTATGTGATAACCGCGAGTCAACAGCACAGTCAGAAGATAAGCACACAGATTAGCTCGAACTGACAATCCCATATCAAATCTTAAGGGTATTTGACATGCACCATTCACTCATAGCACCATGTCTACATACTAGTATCAGAATCGTCTCTTCTATCTGTATGCAGCTAAGGCGCTCTGCGTAGGTATAAAACTCTACATCCCATCGTTAACGCAGAAGCTGAATAAAAAGAGTAGATATTCTCTTGATACGCACTCAAGCCATGTCTTGAGACCGAAGAACAACCTTGAGTTTTCGATTCAGACTCTACAGGTATTATTCAGTTTGAGACTTGATATAAGAGTCGGCTCCTGGTTATGTAGCTACCGGGTTACCGGAGAGGATAGAACCATCCTGGACTGCTTTGTGGAGAGAAGAAGAATAATAGTAGTAGTCCTGCACTAGAAACTTTATCAAACAAAGCCCACGCCATATCAGAAATTCCACACCAGAAAAAAAAACGTCGTATCATTATGAAACTCCCACGGCTTACCAGAAGTGCTAGTTGTATCATCACAGAAACGCCATGCAGTAACAGAAACCATATTCCATATTGAAAACCCGGGCAGCAATAGAGACTCCATGCTAGATGGACCGTTAAGTGACCTATGGTTCCCTGCGTCGGTCACCAAGAATGAACACCTCGTAACCCTCAGGGAGGACCGTAGTGGCAAGGAGTCAAGACTGGTACGAAGCAGTTGCAAGAGCAGAAGATTGAAATGACTTATTGTGTATTTACGAAGGTGACCCCTAGAATAAAAGCCAAATGGGGCGAAAGGGAAGTTCGCGACTGCGGTCATGTAAAATAATGATAATTGAAACCCATAAAACTCCGAACCAAACCACAACCATTGAATCTCTCCGCCACACAATGGGGCCCGAGCCCAAGGGATCGCAATTCAGTGGGGATCAGATGAGGATGGTTGGCATGTGGCAGATGATGTTGTCGCCATTCATCGAATCCTGTCGGATATTGCGGGGAGCATAAAGAGACGGCGATGAGAGGCGACAGTTTATTGAAACGTGGACAATTCTCATGGCAATGGTCACTGCCCCTGGCCTTAGCGCAGGGGGTATTTAGGTGCTCCGGGTCCCTTCAAGTTGTGCTTTGTCCTTTCTTTTTTTGCTTTCCTCTCCATGCTTAGTATTTCTCGAATGCTATACCTTTGAGGTTTGATATCCTTTCTATGTCTTGAGTTGTTACAGTTACCCCAGAAGTTATAGTAGGTTTCATACATCCAAATTTCTGTGCAGCGCCCTGGGATAGAAAAACAAAAACAAAAAGTCTTGAAAAGATTTCAATTAGAAATTCCATAAGGCGAATATTCGCCAATTAAACCTATTTGCAAAAAGCCGATCTACAAACAATTCATGTTCAAGAAAAGGGATAGTCCAATCCGACCATCCATATCCGCATCCACACCCATAAAACATCCAATCATTTACTGCGTCGAAGGCAATTCAATCGAAACAGGCAGGTGGCGCGACGAGTTACCAATGTAAACCTTCTTGGGAGCATCGCTAATAACCCAGTTCTGCGAAGCGACATCCCAGTTGGAGAGATCGCGGCGGGTGAGGGTGGTAGTCCACTGGGCGCTCTGACCAGGGGCGATGGTGATACGGTCGAAGGCACGGAGGACCTTGACGGGATCATCCTCGCCACCGAGGGAGAGGTAGAGCTGGGCAACCTCGTCACCAATGACGGAACCGGTGTTGCTGACGGTAGCAGTGACCTGGAAGAGATCTTCGAACAGGCCTGCGTTGCCGCCAGAGGGACCACTGGCGGGGAGAAGTTGCTGGGCAGAGCCATCTCTCGCGTGGGCGGGAATGTACTTCTCGGCCTTCTCGCCATAGTATGGGTCGCCGGAGGACTCCTTCAGGTTGGTGGAGTTGAGCCAGGGGTAGAGGTACTGGGTAACGCGCTTGATGCCGCTGGGGAAGAGGTAGTCGGATGCTTCGCCAATCTTGCCCAGGACGGGGGCGGGCTTGGTTCGGCCGGTGGTCTTGGAGTACTTGTCGGCCTTGAGGGGCGTGACGTGCACATTGGAGAACTCGAACTTGGTATAGCTGAGGCCGAAACCGAACTCGAAGATGGGCTCCTCGTCAGCCTTGTCAAATTGGCGGTAATCAATGAAGACACCCTCGGAGAAGTCTTGTTGGGGAGCACCCTGGCCGTTGTTGGGCTTGGTGAGCAGAGGAGCGCCATAGGCATTGCGAGTCTTGCCCCAGGTGAAGGGGGTCTTCGCGCCAGGGTTGATACGACCATATAGAACATCGGCAAGACTGCGACCGCTCTCCTGGCCGGGAAGACCAGCCCAGAGAATAGCAGTGATGTTCTCGTTGTCGTACCAGTCACCGACCAGGACAGCGCTCGGGGTGTGCATGATGACGATGGTGTTGTTGCAGTTCTCGGCAGCAGTCTTGATGAGCTGCTCACCGTTCTTCCAAAGGGTCAGGTTCTTGCGGTCACCCTCGTTGCCATCAACGTTGATGTAACCCTCTCCGGAGTCGGCGTTGACGAAGACCAGGGAAACGGTGGCTTGAGAAGCCATCGCGGCAATCTGCTCGGTGTTGGAGTTGTTGGTGACAGCAAACACACTGGTCTGACCATTTCCGTAGTTCAGGTACTCGTTCTGAATAGCCTGCTCGGGAGTAATGAGGTAAGGGAAGTTAGCAGTACCACTGCCCCAGCCCATGGCCAGGGTTCCATCATCACAGCCACGGTCAGCACAGCCATTGGCACCGGCAGGGTTGGAGCCCGCATCCTCGCCCAGAATTGCGACGAAGTGTTCATTGTGAGTCAAGGGAAGAGCGCCCTTGTTCTTCAGAAGCACAGTGCTGTCCGCTCCGAGCTTGCGAATTCCACTGGCATGGTCACGTTGGACATTGACACGCTCGTTGAGCTTGATCTGGTTCTCGCTAACGATGAAATGTTCATAGCCATATTCGTCACGGGTCCAAGAGCTGAAGTTGGGAGGAACACGGACGCGGTCACGACCGACCTTGTAGTAGGCAGCCATGATGCGGACCGCCATGTCGTCAAGGCGCCATTCGGGAATGGTACCGTTGAGGGCGGAGATGGTCAGGTTGGTTCCCCAGAAGGAGTAAGGGCTGCCGAGGATCACATCACCAGGCATGGACATATCGAGACCAGCCAGGGCATCACCAACACCGCTGTGGTGCGCACCCCAATCGCTCATGACGAAACCCTGGAAACCAAGCTCGCCCTTGAGCAGCTTGTTGAGGGTGTAGCTGTTGGAGCATCCATAGCTGTTGTTGATCTGGTTGTAGGAGCACATGACAGAGCCAACACCCGCACGAACGGAATCGACAAAGGGCCAGAGGTACAGCTCGTGCATGGTCTTGTCATCGATGTTGGAGCTGACGCTCTCAGAGATGTTGTACCCGTATCCCTGAGCCTCACCGGCCTGGCGGAAATGCTCCTGCTCATTACCGATAAAGTGCTTGGCGCAAGCAATGACACCAGCATCTTGAATACCCTTGATGGTCTGGGCCATCATCACACCGGTCAGAACGGGATCCGGAGAGAAACCCTCCCAGACACGACCACTGTCGGGACTCCTGCCCAGGGGTCCAGCGACAGGGCCAAGTTGAACGTCCACACCCTTATCACGATGCTCCTCACCCATCGCGAGACCGCGCTGGTAGGCGAGTCTCTTATCCCAGGTAGCGGCGACATTGACACCAGCCGCGAAACCCGAGTTGTAATCACCTGTTTGTAGATCAGCTCCTTGATCTTATAGTTCAGGTGGGAAGAGAAACTTACTGTCGCGAATGCCCAGGGGAGAGTCCTGCATGCACATGCCCCACATTCCAAGTCTATTACGGACCGTGTCAATCATTGCATTCTTCACGCTCGTGGCTCAATTGTTCCGACTTACCGAGGAATACCACCAGTCTCACCAACACACCTTTCTTGCTCCCATCTGCGAATGTTGTTAGCCCGAGATCGGTGTGGAGGGGGTCAATTGCAGCAGTCAGGTCATTGGGAGTACATACCCAGCACCGGTGGTCAAGTTAACCTTCTCAGGAAGAGTAAGATTAGAGACGAATTCCACAGCGCGTCTGTAGGCCTCGGCCCACTCGCCATCGCCGGTCGACCATGGGGACGGGTAGTGTGGGGGAGAGTATGCGAGGTCCTGATCGCGCGACAACAATTAGCTTTTGAGCAATAAACGAGACGGGTACAATCTGCGCAATGAATGTACTCACCGATGCACTGGCGACGGAGGCGGCCGCCAAAGTAGCGGCTTCAAGCCAACCGAGCTTCATAGTTGCTGTGTGAAGGAGACGGGGGTGTTGAGAACCAAGTACCGAAGAAGTACAGAGTACTGAGAAATTGAGACCCGGGTGCTGAGCCGTCCAGGTAGAGGGGAAACCGTACGAATTTAAATGGCAGCAGGGATGTTTACAAGAAGGGGGCAGCGATCAGTTCGGCTCCATCGGCCCACTCAACGACGCGGGGAGTTGGGGAAATGATCGGCAGTGTAAACTTGGCTGACTGGGCTCACTGCATTTCACCGAGCAGATGGGGAATATTCGACAAAAGGGCATCAAACTGTGTATGGCCTAGTGTTGAGCCATTGCATCACACTAGCCTCGTTGGTTGGCTTGGAGTATCTTGTCGAGGGACTCCCTTCGTAGGAGAAGGTGGCTGGAACGCGAGGGATGCGTGCCTTTCAAAGGGGAGAATCGAGGAATCTCTCCTTGAGGTATCAGTATTGCGTTGGCTGGATTTGAATCATTCCGGGATGGTAGATGCTATTCCCAATAGTTTTGGTGTAGTTTGGTCGTGCTATGCGAAAGAGAAGGGGAGCAACAAACAAAGACGGGAGGTGGTCTACTCTCTCCCATCTCCACGGCCACTGCCACTGCCACTGCACTGCAATGCTACCTTCTCTTTCCCTTCTCCATCCACCACTTCTCTCCTCCACTCTTCCCCATCTCCGGTAATTCTCCGTTCGGCATGCGTCTGACAGCTCGTGGTGCTTCTGCATAACATTTCCATGCTGCGATGCCCTTATTGTGCTGCTCAATCATCGGCCTACTTCAACAACAGTCCTTGCATGGTCTCCTACCATCAATATTCAATCTACTCTCTGCGCATTCAACCAACCCTGAAGGTATCCAAAACTCTTCAGCACCCAGCCAGCATCCCATTGATCCCCACTGGTCCTTCCTAAAGTGGAAACTCCCTGGCGATGCGATTTCTTTCTAGGCTGGCTACCCGCACACCAAGCCCAACAGTAGATTGGATGCCCAGAAGTGACTACTCTTTGGTGCCCACATGGCTTATGCTTGGCCTCCATCCGTGGCGCCGGATCAATATGACCACGGTTCTCCCCGTCTCCCCGCTTTTGTTCCTTTATTCTTTATTCCAATCTACCCGAATCGGCATATCCTACACACCCTGAACGGCCCGGACTTAATCAATCGTCACACAGACGTTTCCCTTTGATGGCATCTCATTTCGTTTTCGTTCCTGACCGGTGTGACCCCCGTGTCGTACAATGCAAACAGGCACTGCGCCACTGACAGAGCCAAGCGTTTGCTACCGTGGGGACCGGAGCCACCGGGGCAACAAGTGCGGGGATCCAGGCTTGAGGCATGCCAATGCACTCGATCGAGATGGCTTTGTTGGTTGTCGACTAGTCATCCGTGAGAGGGGTTGCTCACTAATATTGGTGTCGATTCTGTCCTTGGCTCTGACCCTGGCGCAATACGTGCATGCCCAGACGGTTCGTACCCGGCCTGTCCACCCTGGCAACCGAGCTATGCCCCGGCCTGCATTGTGATGATTTCACACCGATCGATGGCGGCCCACGCCGCGGATCCTCTATGCTCGGCGGGCTGTTCGGTGGTCCGATGCTTTACTTCATGCCGACTCCATCTCCCGGTCGGCCGAGTAATTCTTCGTCTTTGGAAATCTGCCGTGCGCTACTATGCAACGGGTCGTATTCCCGCGATAACAGTGCTCAGGCGTTGCGTACTTTGGATGCCCGCGTGTTTATTCCCCCACGCTATCCACCCCGGCATCGGATGAGCGATGACTCGGCCAATCGGCTTCCTGTCTAGCAGGTCCGAACGGTACCTCTGCAGTCAACCGCAGAGTAGTATATTCCTTGCCGATGTAACTCGGCTCTTGCGTCAAAGCCCCAGACAGTATTCAACAAATCCTCTTTCCGGCACTGTCGGCAAATATACAAACATCGCGACCGATCAATATGAGCGGAGCGCGCCCTACAATTTCACCAACGCACGTCGATGTCACCGTCTTACCCCACTGTTGCAGACCCCGAGTTTTCTGGAGTGCATCGCTAGCCCGAAGACTGGAGACGGCGCAAAAGTGGGAATTCCCCGGTCGGATTTCCCCCGGCAATGAAATTGCTCGCCACGGGATGGGGATACTAGAATATGGAGACGTGGTCGATCTTTGCCCGATTGCACTCATTTCAACGGGATCTGTGCTGAAAACTTTCTGATGTTGCTCATTACGGCTAATCGTCGGTGAAATAAATCTGAGGCGGAGTCATTTTTGCCAAAATGCTGGAAATATTTACCCGGTCATCCATTCTTTGACACACACAGGTTTGTGGTCTCCCGCTCTAGTAGTTACCTTTATCGCTCAAGAACCTCGAGGAGTTTCTTACCAGGAAACAGTGAAAACTTCACGCAGAACTTTATTCGTATGGCATATCACAATGGAACTAGCTATCCAGGAACAACAGACCACCTCTTGCTGGTAAACACCAACCCTCCATCCAATCTTAACCGTTCCGGAAGTACAAACACATCCCAGTATCACTCCCTCGTATTTCGAACGTGCGTAGGATCAATAAGACATCTGAATGGACCTCACTGTTATGTATCAGTACCATCTATACCTCGTTAGTATCTCCACCCCACGTTTAATTCTCTGGGGCTCACTCACTCGCCATCTTCGCCCTAATTATTCTCATCATTCTTCAAGTCTTCAACCTCCAAGTCTTCAATCTCCAAATCAACATCTTCCGAATTACCATCCTCTGAGTCACTATCTTCCAAGTAATTCTCTTCCGAGTAATCGTCCTTATAATCCTCATCGTCATCCTCATCGTCATCGTCAACCCTCATGTCCATATTTATGATGTCAATTTCATCTATACCCTTACGACTTAGTATCTTATATAGACCGGATGGGTCAATGGAAAATATCTTTGTCATCACATTGAACATTTCTTCGTTGATCTTGTCAACTTGAAGGATTTTTTTTATCGAATCTCTCATAAGCCAGTCAACAAGCTGCTCTGGTAAGAATTTACAAAAGCAAAGATGCTGGGACTTTTTGTCTCTGGGAACATAGAAAGTCAGGTTAGACGCGTGTTCAGCGATATGTAACTTTGCACCTGATTCTTCCACGTCGTTTATTTTGCCATCTTGAGAGATGCGCAGGACAGTGTTAATTGCATCCGTGACTTCAATTTTAGCCGTTTGCAGTATTCTGTAAAGTTCCTGGCCGTCGGCTTTATATCTGAGGCTTTTGAAAGTATGCGCAACACAGTATTTCAATCAAGAATGAAATGAATAATTAGCTTGTAGATACGAAAGTTCCACGCGGGTCACGATGTACCGCGCGCTACAGATGTAATTGCCTTGCGCTAGTTACATTGATCACATCGCATTTCTGAAACACCCAAGGGCAAAAGTACTGCTTTCACGCATGCGGCTCTCGTATTGGTTTCTTTTAGGCGAAGAATATAGCCGTATGTTCACTCTTTCAACAAGAGGTTGCTGTGTGCGAAATTGGATGCATGCATCGTTAGTATGCCATTTTGCGGGCCCGATGCTACTAGGATTGCACCAAAGGCCACCGCTTGTGATGAGCCTATTTTCGTATTCCGGTTCAGTAGGTCTACTTCAGAAAAAGAATCAAACTAGGAGAACACGAAATGAAGGTTTATTTATCCATGATTTCAGGGCATAAAAATGACCCTCTTCTATTCGATGTATGTCATGCCGTCAATAACTTTACCACTCTATCATTCAGATTCTTGGCGAAAGCTATCGAACAATTTCTTGAACGCCGACCCTTCTCTCGATAGAAGGGTCTTCGGTGCATCGAACTCGATGACCTTTCCATGATCCATGAACGCAATTTTATCGAAATCTAGAACAGTATCCAGCTTGTGGGCGATAGCGATGATTGTTTGATTTTTGAAGTGGGTACGAATGACTTGCTGCATGAGCTTGTCTGTCTCAGCATCCACACTAGTGATAGTTAGTGATGCCTCTTTTTGAAAAAAAGAAGAAGAAAGAAAGAAAGAAAATGTCTTCCGCATACCTGCTAGTAGCCTCGTCCATTATCAAGATTTTGCTGGATTTGCAAAGCGCGCGCGCAAGGCAAAAGAGCTGTCGCTGTCCATGAGAAAGGAGCTCCTCTGTCATATCCTCGTCTAGCCCTCCCTTCGACTCAATATAAGACCAGAGGTTGACTTCTTCGAGAGCTCCGATAATGGTACTGTCATCTGCATCACCCTCGGGATTGGCATTTAGACGAATGGTGCCATGCAGGAAGAACACCTCTTGTGGAATTGTATTCAGGCGTGAGCGAACGTGAGACCTAGAGACTCTTGAAATGTCAATTCCATCAATGAGGATCGATCCACTATTTAGATCGAGAAGTCTCAAGATTGTTGAGACAAGGGAAGATTTGCCACTGAATCAACGAAAAGAGTCAATATCAAAGTAGTAACCACTGGGAATTTTGATAGCCGGAAAGAAGACGAACCTGCCTGATCTGCCGCATAAAGCGACCTTCTCGCCAGCTCGAATTTTGAGATTGACATCTTGAAGAACTGGTTCCGATGACGTGCTGTACTCAAGTCAGTAAAATTACCCCAATTTCTGGAGACTTATAGCTTACTCATATGAGGCAGATAAATTGGAGATTTCAACGTCGCCTTGAAGAGGCCAAAGGCTTGGCGGGATTTCAACTTCGGAATCCAGGTCTTCGGTTTTGGCATTTCGCACGTATGAACGAATTCTCGAAATAGCCCCAATGGATGTCTCCAGCCCTGTATATTCCTTGATAAGCATCTTCAGCGTCCCACTAAAGTTCACAATATTGAACAAAGCAATTCCCATCATGTTCAAGGAAGAGTTTCCTCTCAAAGACATCGAAATGGCAATCACGGCAACTGCAATTCCAGCCACGATGAGATCAAGAACCAAGCTTAGCCATCTCTGTATGCAGTAAAGCATGTAGAACGGGCGCTGAGACGCATCAAGGGCGATTTGATTCTGAAGCGTATAGTGCTCTTTCCAGCCGTAGGCTCGAATGCTGGCGAGACCACTGAGTGACTCTAGGAACTTGGAGAAGAGAGGTCCTTTGGACTCGATTTCCAATACACGGACTTGGCGAGATGTACGAACATAGTACCGCGCAACGTAGTATACGGCCAGAATGCAGAATGGGATGACTGCGGCCGTCACGTAGGAAGAACCGACAAATATGAGAAAACCCTCGACTATGAAGAAGAGAATTCCGTTTACTGTAGACTCAAAGGTCTCAGGCAGTTCTTCGTCAATCAGCTCCAGGTCCTGGCTAAATCTAGTGCGTAATTTCCATCAGCAAAAATAAGCAACCCAGTCAATCCTGTACTTACCTGTTCGTCGTGGCACCTATATCGGTTGAGGTCAGGAAGGAAGTTGTCGCTCTAAAAATTTGTTAGGCAGCCCTAGTGTTAAACCGATGACAGTAAAACGTACCTCATAGTTGTACCCAGCAAGACTTCGTGGAAACTGTGAGCAGTTTTGGGTTCAATGACCATTCCGAGCACCCTGAAAAGCTGTTAGATCGTTACGCAGGAATGTCAGGCCTCAAACAAACCAAGTGGATAGAAACGCTGCCAGCAAAATCGAGCTTCCGAGAACACTATATCCACCAAGCCAGTATCCGATATTTTCATTGGGCTTCGTTTCATTGGCGCTAGTCCACCATTGCAGCCATATTTCTAGAATTCAGGATTAGCAATGGGTCAAGTTAAGTTTCGGATTGACTCACGTGGAGCTATCATGCACAGTACGAAAAACCCGCACAGTCCGACAAAGAGTGTCAAAAGGGGCCAGCCGATGTGTTGGAAATAGTACAAGTAGACTGACCAGTCTCCAGTCTGTCGACTCGTATCATCGGCATGGTCGTCATCTGGGAGATTGAGCTCCTGTAATGTTTCATCATCTAGGACAATATCCGGTGCCCTTTCGGTATTAACTCGGCTTGCCGTGCTGTCAAGGGAGCTAACATAGCCCTTTGCAGCCACCAATTCATCGTAAGAGCCTTTTTCGATAATCGATCCATCTTGACCTAAGGCGACAATGTAGTTACTGTAAGGAAGATGATGTGCTATCGAGACATTAGCCCAGCTCAGCATAAATACTAGGGAGAATGGCATCTTTTCGAACCTGAGTTGGTTGCCAATATGACTGTCTGTCGGAACTCCTTCATCAAACCTTGTGCCGCGAAGACAGCTTCCAGGATACACTTCTCTGTTTCTCGATCAAGTCCGGTTAGGACATCGTCAAGGATAAGTACGGGCTGTCTCGAGTAGAGGGCTCGCGCTAGCGCCTACAGCCAGGTTTAGATAAGCTCATCATAATTTATGCAAGCTTGTTTACTTACCACACGCATTTGCTGCCCGCCGCTAAGTCGCGATCCACGAACACCGACCTTTGTTTGATCGCCGAATGGAAGCTGTTGAAGATCGACTTGCAAAGAACAGACCCGAACAATACGGTCATACCACCTTTGATCGAACGGAGATGCACCCACAATATTTTGCTGAACCGTGCCAAATGTGATCCATGGTGACTGACTACAGTAGGCCGCATGCTTGAAGGTGGTCGAGACCGACCCGGTACATTCTGGGATTTCACCAAGCAGGACTTTCAAAAGAGTGGACTTGCCGCACCCGACTGGTCCAACGATCATTGTTATTCCCTCGGCGGGGACTTCGAAATTCAAGTCGTTGAGGACTGGGTCGTCGTCAACCGACCAGGAGGCGGATAAGTCACGAATGGTTGCAGAAGACGGGCAATGGTTGCTTTCACCATCCGTGAAATCAACATTGATCAGTTGAGGTGCTTGCGGGTCGTGTGAAATGCGACAGTCAACTCTTTCCGTCTCCATCAGATGCTTTTGGATTCGCTGGAAACAGTTCACAACAGCCATGAGGTCCTCTGATCCGTCAACAAGGGAAATCATGGGTCCATCGAGCAACGAGAAAAGTGTCAGGGCAGAGAAAGCAAGGCCGTTTGTGAGTGTGACGCCCTCCTCGCCACGAGCTAAGAGGGCAAAAACAGCGAAACCAACGACTGGGGATAAGGCGCTGGAGGCGAACGCTGAATTACTCGTCAGAGTATTCGTATTAAAGGGAGGGAACAGACATACAGAATGTTAAAATCAAAACGTTGTACAGCCGGAAAGCATATGAGGTTTTTATCTCCTGAGATCGCAGATCACGAAGATTGTTTGCGAGCACGTTTGTTAAGCCGGTCATTTTGATACTTTTCATTACACCAAGAACCCTTGATGTGACTGCAACACGTTCCTCGATGGCCTCTAACCATACGCCTTGGGCATTACCCGAAGCGATTGCAAGTGGAATACCAGCAGCCAAACATACTTTACAGAGAAATTAGCATCGATCTAAGTTCTTCTACTTGGGTCATCTTACCTATCACGACCAGCGTGGAAGCGACCGTGGCGATTTTGAGCAATCGCGCCAACAGCCAAAGGGCAATCGCAATTTCTGTGAAATTCGAGTAAACCTCATGCATATCTCTCAAACCAGTAGCTATGCGCTCAATGTCAGTACTCATCAATGTGATGGCTGACGCATCGGACACTGCCGAGCTGCTGAGCCGTAGTGTCTTGCTAAAGATCATGGAGACGAGGCTCCCTCGCATCTTGGTAACCATTCGGTCGATTTTATGGTGATAAGTGGCAAATGATACCTGAAGGTAGAAGTGTTAGGTGTGTTGAGCCTTTTCGGGGATTTTGTAGGCATTCACATACCGCAAGGCCGACATAGACAATGCCATACGCAGCAACGAGACCGCGAGCATAGTTGTCAGAATTGACATGCTCTGGCTCACCCATAAAATCAAGAACTCGCTCGACCAGGAATGGCTGTGCGAAGCAAAAGCCAGTAAAAGCGAGACGAGGAATGACGCCCGCGATAAAATCCCACTTGAAATGAGAAGCGAATGTCCATAGTAACGCGTTCGATCCGTATTTGTTGACTGAAAAAAAAAATAAAAAATTTTGTCAACACGGTTCGCATTGGAAGTGTCTGAAGACTATTTCTTTTTTACTTACCTCTTTCCCATCTTTCTTCGAGGTCTTGGGGATCGGACGATTCCCTGATATCATCAGCGAGGACAGGCAGGCTTTCAACTGTCAAGGTTGTCTTCGATCCTTTCCAGAGCAAATCATTGATCCACCACAAGAGACAACGATTAATTATACTGGAAGTGGTCTCTATTGCGCTTCCTTCAAATCCTTTTTTGAGCAAATGGCGTTTTTCTGTGGATTCAAGGACCAGGATAACGACTTTGTCGATCAAACTTGTCGCGAACAAGAATGTTACTGGCTGGTTCTGTGGAATGAAGTGCAAAGTGCGGAGGCGCGCCAGGTCAAAGATTATTGTGAATCCGAAGAAGAGAACAAGGATAGATGATGGGCGCAGCGATCGAATATGTTCGAGATGCGACAAGTAAAGCAAGAAGGAGGAGGTAAACACAGCCACAAGAGCAGTTGGTACGGTCGCGCGTGTAGTCGGAGTCGATTCTCGACACCACAAAGCCAGCATAATCAATTGGAGAGCTATATTCAATGACAAAGCAATCTAGACGATATATTTAGTCAGGTATCTTGATAAAAACAGATGGTTGTCACACACCTCCTTTGCCCCGTAGAGCCATGATCGATTGACCTTCTCCGAAGCATGGCGAAGGGTCCAGAGTCGAACTAAAGCGGCTACCCATACAAGCAAGATCGGTAGCAAGGTCAATATTGTTTCTTCAAACAAAAGGGTAAAATCGAAGCCATGGTGGCAGGAAGAAGCAACAGTGGGGCCGAAGACGTCCTGGTCTGCCGCTGAGCACGGCGGCCACGGGTTTAACATGGCAATTGAAGTCGTGAAAGTGCTACACAGTACACAGGATTGCCCTTCGAGCAAGCCTAGGTATGTATACCAAGCTCCCTTAAAAGGGGGGTTCAAGAAGATGTGACGCTGACACGAAAGGATCGCGGATGCCTGGAAGGAATGTGGGTTGGAGGTGCAGATCCGGTGATGCTGATTGGTCAATCTATCAATGATCTGACCCTTTAGGCCCCCGACTCACACAAACTCAGACTGACTGCAGTTGACTCACGCACGCAAAGAAGGGTCTTGGTTAAGTAAATTTTACATTCGAGACCCTTTTTTTTTGCGGGGCAAGATGAGGTGGCCGATCTTCATTCAGAAAGTACTAGGACGGATATAGTATACTTGACGTCGAGAACTGCCTCAGCCTATAACCATGTCTGGACATTCAATCCTTGGAATAAGTTGCAAGGAAATGAAACTTGAATAGACTGTAGTCAATTAAAATAGGCTTTGTTAACTGATAAACTCGCTAGAAAACAAACAGAATCACGACTTTCCAGCTTCATAGACAAAGAAGACCAAAGACAATTATAGACCCGGAATGGATCGCTCTATACTGTGACATGAGTATAGTTTGAGGCAGAAGCGGGGCCTGGCTTGTTTTGGCAACGGCGGCGAGCCAAGTTATGAGTAACAAGCCCAGCAGACAAGTAAGTAGTCATGACCAAAAACTCTGGTAAAGTACCAAAAATGACCCGGACGGCTAGACTTCCGCCACCAGCATTCTTGTACTTGAATACAATTGCGATGGCGTAAATAAGGCGGACACCAATGAGCGGCAAGGCAATCATGACGGCATGAAGAAGCTAATTCTATCAGCGGCGATCTTTGGTGACTTGAGCTGACCTTTGATGGACCACATACCTTGGTCTCATCCTCGAGTCGGCTGCGGTGAGCGTTTGATTTGACAGAAAGTACCATCAGCCCGACAACAATTATCCAACCGGTCGCAAAAATGATCAAGCCGACCTCAAGCAGAGTTGTGTGGTTTCCACTTGCCGCTGCAAGCCCAATACCGCCACCAACGACAAGATGGGGAATCAGCATACCGAATCCACCAAGAAAGACTGGCAGTTTCGACTGGATCGAGTAATTTCTGCGAGGGTTAAATCCCATCAGGTTAAGTAGAAGACACATATCAAGACTTACGACTCGCGAAGAATACCAATTGCGGCTAGCAAGAGTGGCGAAAGTCCGATGCCACTGATAATAGAAGCTGCCCTGTTGGGCTCACCCGTTGTGGAAAGGGCATGGTATGCTATCCCGTTCCCTACTAAACGCAGACCACACATGACGAATACGTAGATCCAGCCTAGAACCCCAGCTTTTCCGTGTTTGACGATGCAGTAGGTAGCAGGAAGGGATGCAACGGCGTAGAAAGCAATTTGAGCAAGCTCAAGGCCTTCAGTTGAGGAAGTCATGATAGAAGCCACCCGTAAACAAGAACAGCAAGATTTAACTATGTGAGGAAAACAGGCTAATGATCAAGGTTGTGGTGGAAGCAACGCGTTTTGTTTTGAGAAATTGAATATCCTAGTTAGTCTGGTGCTTCCACCAAGCTATTTAACTCACTGGGTGGTCAGGCTAAGCTTTCAATGCGATTTTGATTTCAAACTAGTACTTTTCTTGGCCTTGAGACGGTGAGGCTGTACACCAACCGGCACTGCCTAGCCAATCCTTGGGCACTTCTCCGTTGGGAGACCTACCCGAACCCGACGCCTAGCGTGGCGAGCATATGCTTGTGCCCCGTTTTCTCCACTATTTCCAAGTCTTCATAAACAATGGTAGTAGAATCAGTTAGTGCAAGGCTAGGAGCTCAACACCTTGTTTTTGTAGCCCTGCAGATTTGGAGAAAGAAAATGGAAAACTCTTTTATCCATTGGCCTTGGTTTTAGGAACGAAATTATCGGATTGGAAAGGCGGATCAGAAGCCTTTCCAGAGATATTACTTGGCATAATACCGGAACCACTGTATGGCGACAGGCTCGCTATATTTTCTTTGCTTAATGGAGAGGGCAGGCCCGATGTCTTAAGATAGAAATATTTATTATTATACCCATGAAGTGATTTAAAAGAAAGCATCTACTCCCGTCCGATCGACGACAGGTGGGGAAGCATGGCTGATGGGCGACTTCTTGGAGATGAGGTTAAGCGGCCAATCCATTGTCCACTTCCATGGAATAGGCATGATGCTGTTAATACCAATAACCTCCTTCTCAGGAATTCCATGGAGCCACCAGATATTGTCCACCGTTTTGCCCATGGCAAATAGACGGCCTAAAATCGCTAGTGCACGAGGTCGCCTTTCAGAAACCAGCTGGATAAAATCCCGAGATACTACCGGTGGAAACCCGGTGAATATTTTGCGAATCATGAACGCAGGTTCACTTGTCTCAATGGCGATGTACAAGCGCTCGAGGTGTTCAACGGCTACAGTATATGCCTGCGTATCTTTATCATCCATAACCTCTTCCTCGGTACGATATTCGAGAAGGAAATGGAATGGTCTTGAAGGCCCCTCGTATGCACGAATTGGTTCTTTCTTATCCCAAAATGTGGGCTGTGCAAACAGTAGGGGACATAAACGAGAATTGTTTCGAACCAGCTGATGAAAAACGTTCTTCATAATGGTTCGAATTCCATGTGACATGGAAAGCCACATCATCGGAGGCTCATAGGGCTCTGTCGATGGCTCCGACCGTAGCCATAAGGTATAGAGCGATATTAACATTGCATTGAGGCAAACAGCCTCACTTGTATTCTCGTCCAAGGTGGAGGTGACTGGTCTGTGCCGTTGGAGAGCCGAATCTATATACCCTTGATAGACTGGGCGCAAAGACTTCGCCTCATTGGGGATTAGTGTCGATCGATGCGCTGCCCCGAGTGCGAGTAATGTGTGAAGAAGTGGCTCATATTCAAACGCCATTTGGGGCACAGACATACTCCACATCTCTTTCACAGATGCTAGCTGTGCGGAGCTCATTGTATCTGCAGTTGCTGTTGTCCAGTGGTGCATAAGCCGCAGTTCAAGAACCTGCAACGCACCCAACTCGGGCGAAGGGAGTCCTGGACGAGGACTTGGCTGGGCTGGTCTACTGGCAGTTCCATTTGATGACTTTGATTGACTAGGTTTGTAGATGCGAGTCTCTAGCGGAGGCCATTCGCAGAGGACATGGTGCCGGACACAATGACTGCACTGAGGGCGTTTCTCATCGCACTATAGGAGGATTGGCACATGTATTATCCGACCGGCAATATGGGTCCTCACCTTAACCTTTCGTCCTTTGCATCTCAGGCAGCCGGTAGTGGACTTGCGGTGGCTCAGGCGCGGTGGCATGGATAGTACCGCGGTCCGCAAAGGCTTTTGGCTTAAAAAAGGTAATCCGCTGTGAGTTTGAGAATAGTTTGATTGCAGCAGCTCGGTCTCGGGTTCGTGATATTTTTTGAGCCTGGGGTGTCGTTAGCGCGAGTCTTGTCGTCACTTGGCGCAGCAATGGAAACGAACTGGGAGTAATAATTTATTGGAATGGAGGTTCTGGCCCCCAGATAACACTCGCTTTCGGCTTCGGTTTGTTGCGTAGTTTTAGGAATAGCGCGGAACAAGTCATTTTTCTATGCTATTTTATTGGCCGGGAAAAGCTTCATTAGGCGGTCGCAAAAACAAAATATCTTACGGGCGTAAGGTGGGACTATTTCCATGGTTAAGAGTGAATGGCCCCACCTGAACAAGGCTGAGTTGATCGTCGTCTGCAAAACCCGAGCTATTTTCAGAGGAAGGCTACACTTCAGTACCAGGGAATTGTATTAAAGATCTGGTATAAATATCGAACATCGCTCTTGCAAAGTCTCAATTCATTGATCAATCAAAATATCCATATTTCGATTCGAAAGCCTGACATTTCGCAACCTTCACCTCCTATCCCCCATCATCTCCAACTCTTATAAGCAAAATGGGTCTTATCAAAACTGGTCTTGTCTTAGCTGGCGGCTACGGTCTCATTAAAGCTGCATCAAGGTCAGTAATATCTCTTAACCAATGATGAACCACTGTGTTAATTACAAGTCAATAGGGCCGCGAATGACCATGAAGACAAGAAACAAAAGCGACAAAATCAAAATATGCAACCATACCAAGGCCAGAATGAATCACAAATGGGCTACATGTATCAAAATCAGCCAAACAACCAAGCCGCGTATCCACAATGGGGTCCTGATCATGGGCAACAATCGCATAACGGGCATCAGACACAGCAAGCCCAGTCCCGTTCCGTCCAAGATTCGCCGATGTACCAGCCAAACTCAATGAACAATTGCCCGCCCCCGTACAGCGAATCTCACACTATCAAGGCGAAAGGAGATCATAAGTCTGGATCTGCTCGAGAATACTACTATTCTCAATAGTCAAACCGGCTAATCGGTTTTGCGAAAGGAACTAGATATACTTCATGGTCGTTGAATTGGGACCAAGATTTTTTGGGCGGGGGGTGTTAGGGGTTGTTTATGGTTGTTTATGCATAATTAAGTACAATTCAAATACGTGAAAATTCAAGCGATTAACATTTATTTCAATCTCTGCATTCACATATTGGATTACAAAGTTACACAATTACTCATAACGTGCAAAAGTCTCTGCTACTAGATAATTCAACCCTATTAACCACAGAAATTCCCTCTCTGTACAGAGACAAATCATGAATTAGTAGTATCTAACTTGAACGTACAATCACTCAACCTTTTTCTTCTAGTACCAGGCTATCAATCAGATACTATATAATGTCCGACGCGGCATGGCCTGTTGTGGATAGCCCAAGGTCAGTAGGGACTTATCATGGACCCGATTTCGAACGTCGTTGTAAAGTAGAGTTGAGTTTGCCCAATGGGCTCGTGAATTTTCGCGCCTTGAGTTTGGATTTCTTCGAATAGTTATCAGGCACGCCAAGTTCACCGAAATTATTGTAGGTAGAAGAGATACAAGAATAGTCAAAGCTCAGAATTCCGTACAATGGCGGAAAATAGAACATCTCATAGGGCACACAATTAACTAAGTCATGCGAAAATGACCTCATATAATTAGAATCCACCGAAACCACTCTGTCTTGGTGTTATTTTCTTATTTTGTTTTCTGATAAAAATCCCGAGAATGGTTACTAGATTCAAGGTTATACTAGATTCGACACTAAGAACCATATGTGGAGATGTTAGCATGCGCCTCAGCGATGATTCTACAGGGTCTCGTATGGACAAGTTAAAAACCGCCCTCCCCGCCTTGTATGATAAAAATAGCAAGGCTGTGAGAAAGCAGGCTTTGATACGAACAAGCCAATGATACTTGGCATAGATTCCCCACCACCGTTTTGGCCCCAACCTGCGCCAACCCGCGTGCCAGTCACGCAAATTACCGGCCAATCCCGTTCACGGACAAGGACGATCTTTATCCATTCTTAGGCTGATAAATATGCAATGTCCCTTTCGACTTCTAAGCCCCTAAACAACGCCGTCCCGACCGTGCTATGTATGCCAATGATTCAAGCTTACACCCCCACTCAGGGGCGTCAGATTTATTGAAAAGCGACACAGGCTTTTTCGATCGCTCGGGACTTATAACAGCAAACCCCAGGCTAGGCAACCCACCTGAATGTTCAGGACTTGCTTACTCTGAAGCCCTGGTTCAGCTTCTTGTTGACGAGTTTTCCATCTCTACGCTCTCCATATTACCCTCGCGTACATAAATCAAAGTATTTTATCCAAGATGGCGACTGCAAACGCGCAAACCCAAGCGGACGAATTGCCGCAGCAGCCAGCAAACAAATGGCAGCAGTCAACAAAGGTTGCGTGGCGTCGGTCCACACAAGCCTGGTCTGATTCTAAGGAACGATATCATCAAGCGACATTGGAGGCATGGCATCGGTCCTCCGATTCCCTCTCTAACACCAAAAATCGATACGAGCAAAACACCGTAGATGCCTGGCACCGCTCTTCAAATTCGGTGACAAGCTCGAAGAATCGATGCCATCAGTCTACCATGGACGCATGGCAGCGATCTACAAATACCTGGAAAAACTCGAAGACTCGGTGCCGCCAATCGACCGCAGAGATGCTGAATCGCTCAGCAGTTAAGCTTTACCAGTCAACCGACCGGCTGCAGAAACTACCTTACGCGCCGAATAAAGCCCTCGAGCACCATCAACCCGAAAATATCCAAGAATCCCAATCAACGGCATCGCTGCCTCGTCCTTGCACCAACAACCTAGTCTACCCGCTGAACATTCTCCGCAAAATACACAATGGTCCCAGCCATTGACATCGCCTAAATCATCACCAAACTCACAGCCGCCCCAAAATTTCGCAGTATCCGAATCACCTCAGACCTCGCAATCGTCACAATCATCAGAGTCCCCAGTATCATCTAACTCATCACAATCCGCGCATCCACTCTCCGAATCCTCAACAGACACCATGCCGCCCAAATACCAGTTGATCGACCCTTCTAGCAAAGACCAACAGCAAGAGCTGCAAATCCGAGAGCTGTTAAATATGACGGATAATACTTTCTTCCAACTACACCAAGCAAAGCAACTTCGGAACTCGAAATCGGATCTTCTGGGAGAGATCGAGCATCAATGGATCAACTCCACTATAAATGACGCGTTGCAATCAGGTCAAAGTTTGGTAAAACTCCTAGAGCCGCATCGCCTGGATATGGTGAAGCGCAAGGGCAAGATTACCTCCTCAAACAAGAAACGCTGGAAGAATGAGGATTGTCTAAAAGCCTACGAGAAGCAATCTAATTTGATCTTGCACCAAGAGAGGCTTGATAAAGTCTTCACCCACCTAAAGAACCTCGCTCCTCCCCAGGAGGAGATTTCTAAATCTGGTCCCGATTCCAATGAATCCCACACCCAGTTCTTCTCAGAGCTAGAGGCTGCCAGGAAACCTACTCCTGAACTTGCAGGCGATATCGAGCGAACACCAGGCCTCATCGAACCCCAAGCCCCAATCGAGCTTCCTTCCGATTCAGTGCCCCAAACTATAATCGCCGAGTTGCCTGGTGATGCGACATCATTAAAACCCAAGTCCGCGAAGCCAGTCCCGAAAATCATCATCACTCGAACTCCGGAGAATATATCTGTTGAGTATATTGGAAGTCCGGCGACCCCTGACCAACCACGCCATGAAAATGACGAAATGAATCAAATCCTCGGATGGAAACAAACACGCAACGATGTGCGGCTACATCAGTCAGCTTCGCTATCGAACATCATTGCTGAGATGGATAATGCCCGCATAAATTAAATGGCACACAATGTTTTGAATTGCATTTTTTACGAAGCGAAGCGAATTAAATCCACGTCGGATTTAGCAGATATACCGTGATTATTTTGTTTACAAGCGATCTTGATTATACGTAAGCGAGAATTTGATTGATCACACAATGTACCATTTCTTGGCATAGACACCTGCAGATGTGTAAATCGGACAGAAATTGCAGAACGCCTCAAATATGACTGGGCATTTAGTCGGAACAGTCTGCCCTATTTGAGAGTTCTAAGTCGCATCCTGCACCTGGGCAGTGGGGCTGCTGCCTATATTAATTTAGTGGCTTGTGTCACTCAGATTTCGAGGTTTCTTACCCGAGCCCGTTGGAATACGAGCGGTCCCCTTTTGCTTCCTCCCATTCATCCAATTTCACCCATGTCTCAACGGTCGCGTGAAATCTAACTCATCTTTGAAAGGATCATACTATAATCCACTGAAAATTACCCCCGCGAGCTTCGTTCACAACCCAACAGCAATGGGAAGTAAAAGCGAGTATGAGAGGGTGGCAGGAGAAACAGAGCACATCTTGATCTTACCGGATGGAAGACGACTAGCATATGCGCATAATGGCCCAAATACATCTCGTACAGTGGTGATTTTCTTTACCGGACTTTTCAGCGTTGGATCTGCACCAAGAGTCCCAGAGCCATGTCGCGAAATTGGAGCGCACTGGATTGCCCCAACCTTATCAGGAATGGGCAACAGCAGTACGCGAGAGACTTCAGTTCCTTACCAGATATGCCTCGCAAAAGATATGGTCGCCCTGCTTCATTCTTTGTACCCAACAGATGAGTTTGATAAACTCTATATTGCGGGTGGATCGTACGGAACGGTCCCGGCACAAATGCTATACGGAGCGAACTACAACGTATTCCCAGCTGGGCGCAAAATTGCAGGATGCCTCCTGATGGCCGGCTTCTCTCCTTTGCGCTATCACGAAGGCTATGCGAAAACACTCAACTGGCAAAATTGGTTCTCGTTTGGACCGCCTACACAGTTGATCCCTTTTCATCTCCTTCAATGGATTTTCAGAGTCGCTGTTGGGTCCAAGCTGAAGTCTTTGAATGGGACAAGAGAATTTTTGCATAAAACGCTCATCGAGAATATGGATGAGGAAGAGAGATCAATAATGAAATCGTGGCTAAAGAAGAATTCATTGAAGGAGGACGAATTTATTGACCAGATGGCCAGGGGAACTATGAAGTGTTGCCTCAACTGGGATGGGTTCATGGAAGTATCAGACATTATCCATTCCGATTGGGGGTTCGATCCAAGGGTGCTTGATGATCAGCACGGATCTAAACCCATCCTGATAGTTGGATCAAAAAGCGATCAGATTGGGGGAAGCACCAATTCTTGGCTTTTGAAAAATTACCGGTCGGCGACATTGAAATTGATTCCTGGGGGTCACATCTCATCCCTCTTTTATATGGATGAGCTTTGGAGAGACCTGATGAGCAGTAAGTTAACACGCTAATCCATCTTTAGATATCGTTGCTAATTTTGACTACAGTGGTCTAATTTCAGAGAAGTACGGAAGGCCTTTTCAAAGTTTAAGATTGCAAATGGGATATCTTGAAGATGTCGTCAATAATTAAATACTTTTTTTCTTTCTTTTTTAGATATTTCTATGTTATCCAGGTTTTTGCCCGTAGATAATGTGTACGTTTGTATAAAGGTGAAGCGAAAGGTCTTTAAGCTCGCGACGTACACCTGCTAGCAGTACTTCGATCTGTACGCGATTCCAGCCAAGCAAGCGAGTGAACAGAGCATAACTATATGGAGGCATAGCCTCAAGCATGTTCAGCTGGTGGTACTTTCCGAGCTCTCTGAGCTTTGGGTCCTTGGACCATGGACTTTGAGGGAGCTATAGGAAGTAAGCATCTTTAGGATCAATAGTAGTATTAGAAAGCCATCACGACGAACCTTGAGTATTTCTTCTTTGACGTTGACAAATCCTGCCTTCTCCATGCGCTCTTTCCAGCTTGATATAGATGACATATCCTTTCCGAAAAGTTTTGAAGCTGTGTGCAGGTTCTTCCCGATTTCTAGTATATTTGGCGCTTGGAGATGGGTATCGTCATCTGAGTAAGAGTTCACCTCCATGCTGGCCATTTCCAACCAGCCATTTGGATTCAAATTTTCGAGCGCTCGCTCGAATAATGTATCGTGGTCACGAATGCTGCCTTCCATCTCTCGTCCATGGATATAGTCGAATTTTTGGCTATAAGTCCATGTTTCTTCAAAGTCATCCACTTCGAACCGGCAGTTCGGTGGTACCCTGGAAATGTTAGCTAATTCCATCATAACATCTAGGGAATGGGGTTTCTTACCATGCGGGCTGTATGGGACTCAGATCAATACCTAAATTGTATTAGTTGAGTGGAAATAATTTTTGCATGTCACAATCTTGACATACCAATGACTTCCGAGTCGGGATTATCGCTGGATCGAGTCAGCAAGATGCTTGTTTTTGGTGGTGGTCACTTATGAGCACTTACTCTGCAAAATCAAGGGCCCAAATTCCAGTCCCGGTCCCAAGGTCTAATACCCGACCTGGATTTTTGACTGGTGCCAGACATAGCTCCCCTTTGAGCAGCATTAAATAGATATGATGACTCTGATGTGGGGTTGAAGTTAGCCCCGGCACATTCGGGTTTGTGAGAATCGCGCAGACTGACTAGATCAAGACGGTCCTGTTCTTGCTCATCGTTGGGCTATTTCATAAGGTCAGTTCAATTAAACTCCATCGGCAATCGAGAAAGACGCTTGCGTACCAGAAGATATTCGCCTTCGTGGAATGAATGATACCTGCGACCGTTCTACTACACTTAACGCCCGTTCCGATGTTAGGTCAGTGGGAAATTCACCTCATATCTGTTCCAAGATCAAGTTAGAAGTCTAATTCCTGACATAGCTGTTGAACTGTGCACCTACTGGTAATCAAACGAAGTAGATGTGATGCTCTCAGTGTAGCTCTGATTGCTTATCCTTTATTCAGGGGTTAGATAAATCCCTAGAAGCTTGAGAATGCGACCGGAGACTCACGAGCCATCATATGCTGAGTCGGCATCCGACGGCTGTATATCGAAATAAAATAAGAATGGGTTAGTGCGGCTCTTCACAGAATCTCTAGATCTAGACGGAGGGAGAACGCACGTCGAGTTCCATAGCATGCGAGCCGCGATCTGACTGGTGATGCATGGCCAATCGCCCTATCTGGCGAGGCCAGTTCAGGGATCGATCGGGTGAGCCGGGCTCGGGGTAGGAAACAAAACGAGAAAGAAGCGCGGGTACAATCAGTAGAATTGAAGGAGAGAGAAAATCCAAAGATTCCAAGCGTCAACCGCCACACCGACTGGGGTTTTAGTCTTATGACCCCTCCGGCTTGAAGACCTGCTGGTTAGGGTGCCGCAGTGTCGGGTCCGCCTTTCGCTCATCTCGGCCGCGATTTCGCATCTCGCGCTCCGCACCGCCCAGCAAGGGCTCCATTTCCTTCTTTTCTTCACGAGTGGCTGACCCGACAGTTTGGTATCAGTCTGGAAAGGTTCCTCCAGACATTTTCTTCGAGGGTCTACTCTCCAAAGAGCGGTGATGATTTGTCGAATTGCGGGCGTTGATCCGCACAAAGTCAAGAACGGACCCGCTGGCTTCCAATGAACCGCTGCTGTGGGACTGAACCAGGCTGAGAAAGGTCCTGGTTCCATTGTTTCTCCTCGGTCTTGACGCACTCAATTTAATCCGAATCGAATGGTAGTGCAGTGTGCGGCGTCAAATAATTTCCTGCGCGCTAAGCTGTTTGCATTGCGTGCCTGGGTAGTGGCAGAGCCTCTTGATCGATCATCACACATGTTCAAGTTCCGGGCGGGGGAAATAACTCGTATGTCCATGACCCAGTCTATATTGGGCGAGGGAACCGGGATATCTGCTGGGATATTCCCTACCTAATCTGCACGAGGAGAACCCGACCTGCTGGGACGGTGGTCACCACTAAAAGCGGAGATGCAGCTCTATCCTTGGAAGCTGTTACTAGTTACTTATCTCTCTACCTTGAGTTAGATACCTTTTATCGTAATGCCCGATGGGCCCGTCCCTTGTTGCCCCCTCTTTTACCACACTCATCACTCTACGGAGTACAGGAGTTATTACTTTCAGTAATTATTGCTTGTTTATGTGGCGAAATTCCCCAATCCTGATATATGTATGAATTTTCGTAGCAGATCCGTGTTCTTTACTCCGGAAATACCCTTTGCCCAGGTGATGTCCGCAAAGCCTGAGCAATTTTTCCTGGGATCTACTAGTTGATGAGCTCGGCACGGTCTGGGCTTCCCGTGTCAATCCAACATGATCTCCACCCACTAATGTTGATAAGCAAGATAATCTGCCCGAAAAATCTTTTAACCAGTTGCGAATTGGAACTAGTAGTACTAGTAATTAGTAGAAGAATGTGTGTATTGATACTTTTCCCATCCTCTTGAACTAGAACTCATCCAGCTCGGCCCTCGTCCTACACCATACATCTGGTGTCTAGCATGCTCATCATTAATACAAAATTCAGGTGAATCAAAATCCTATACTGCCTTCCTTGATAGAGATCGATCTCAAGCCTCCCCCGAATTCCGATGTGGTGGTGGTGATGATGATGATGTTGACCGCCTTGGGGCTCAGGCTGCCAATGTTGATGCCTCGGCAGTTGCGGTTGATGTCATCTCATTCAGCTTCCAAGTGTGCCATCAGGATTCATTCATACGCCTTCCAACCTCCCCTCCACAACTCCCCTCCGCAATTACCCTCAGTTATGTCGCTATATTGATCAACATACGATTTTGAGCTTCTTGAACGCAATACACTTCCAACACAGGCCTTGTCAGTCTCTCTTGACACTGGGTCACCCACAACAACAATGCCCGCACTCCCCCGACACCCTCCGTCTCCAGTCGTCCTCCTGGTATACCCGGTGACCTTGTTGCTGGGATCACTCTTCTCAATCATCTCCCCGACGGCGCGTGCATCCAGGGGGCATACGGCCGCATCCTCTCCGTCCGGGCCTCTGGCACCCTCCCTCGCTGCCGACCTGCACATCTCCGAAAGCCCGGTCAACTACTTCGCCCGGAAAAACAACATCTTCAATCTATACTTTGTGAAAATTGGATGGCTGTGGACAACTCTAGCCTTCTTCTCGCTCCTCCTTTGCCAACCAGCCTACCGTTCCTCGTCCTCCCAAACCCAACCGCAAATACGCCTCCGACGCATCCTCCAAGCCTCCCTCCGTTATGTACTTGCGACCTCAATATGGTACTTGATGACACAGTGGTTCTTTGGCCCGGCTATTATCGATCGCAGCTTTGTTATCACGGGCGGAAAATGTGAACAGATATTGAACGAGGTTGGCAAGATAGGCTCGGAGGAGAGCCCAGCCGCCCAGTTGGAGACGATGTTTACTGCTGTCGCTTGCAAGGCTGCTGGTGGGTCTTGGAAAGGGGGACATGATATCAGCGGGCACGTCTTTATGCTGGTGCTCGCAACTGCGCTTCTCTCTTTCGAGGCCATCGGCGTTGGGGCTTTCACTGCACCATCCGTGAACTCGCACGCTAACGGCGAGACAACCCGCGACCGCAAGCCGAGTGATCCCGGAAGCCCTTTGACCGGTGAACAATTGGATATACCTGGTACGATGAGAACCTGGTCGCTGCGCCTAGTCTGGGGCGTCGTTGGACTTGGCTGGTGGATGCTTTTCATGACGGCTATTTGGTTCCATACGTGGCTGGAAAAGGTGAGAAGCTATCGAGACCCTCTTTCGCTCTTGCAAAATTGGATACCAAGCATGCTAACAGTTTCTTTAGTGGACTGGGTTGTCAGTGGCACTAGGAGCCATATATTTTGTCTACATACTCCCAAGAACATTAGCGCCTTGGAGAGAGATTATTGGTGTTCCGGGAGTATGAGTATTTACATGGTGTATCCTTTTTTCCTGTTGATATTATCTCCTTACGATAGATTGCATCCATTCGGAGCAAACCTGCATTTAGAAATAGCATTTGCGCCCAATCATTGTCTTACATGACAGCTTTCATTCTTCAGTTCTTTTCATCGCTTGAAAGTTTCTACTTACAATATGTGAGCTTAAAGCTCACTCGACTCGCCCCTCTTATCCATCACAACTTTGACATCAGGCTCTGATCCAAAGTAACCTGCACAGAAACCTTGATGGGGGATTTTAGTACATGGTGTAAACGATACACTTCTCACTTGAGAGAACTGGCTTGCGCTTACCTCCCGGGATCAAAGCTGACGCATACATAACGCGAGTTATCGGTTTCAAATCGTCAGGCGTGAGCCCCTGTGATATCGTGAGATCCATATACGGATCCCATGCAGCGATGATGGAATCGGACCAAGTCTTGAGATCGACGGATCCCTCCTTTTCTGTCATATGTTCCGATTGACATTGAGCTCCCATACAGGTCCCAAACTCTCGGAAAGCTAGGCGAAATTTGATGTTGCTGTCCAGGTATCGATCAATCTCGAACAGATTGTCTGCAAATGCTAAGTCAGAAACAAGCTTCGAATGTGGAGGCCATAAAAAGACCCCGACCCTTACTCACATAATTGCTCAAAACATCTTTCTGTCAGGTTCAGGGCCCATTGTTCACTCTCGGAGAACCAATGCGTCGTCCATAATGTCATTCCTAGGTCTGGAGTATCGCTGGAAACAAAATGTCTGCCCTTGCGCTCCATGACTCGTTTGTAATCATTGATTTCTTCTGTCAGCACTTCACCATCACCGGCTTCCATGGCCGCGGCTTGCAGGAGTCGAAAAACCACGAAACCGTCGATAGGATCCAAGTTTCCCTCGGAGGAAACAAGTGGCGCAGAAAGATCCATAGACATCTTCCAAACCATCCGCGGCTTGGGTCCGGACCGATCAACGAAAAATTTAGGATGAATCGCACGCGCCAATTGAACAGCCATGCGATTATAAGCGTTATTCCCAGAGGCCTTGGACATGCGATTGAGCGCGAACATCCAAATTGTTAAGTAGTGATGATATTGTCCATCGCAGTCAGATCCATGCTCGTCTGTCTTGCCGATTCGAAGTCCGCCACCCAGCGGATTGTCATCCGTAGCTCCCGGTAGTCGCGAGAGACCGTCTCTTGTCCAGCCTAGGACATCATGCACAGTGTCAATCAAACGACCAGCTATGATGAGATACCGGTCATCATTGACAGTGTCGTTACCTGCACGGCAATACTCCTTGTGCATTGTCAGCAGGTTTATCACGCCAAATGCGTCCGACCAAAGGTAGCGTCCGCGATGGCCCCCCGATCGCTGAGGTGGGCTCCAGCTCTCAGGACTTTCGATGTTGCTGAAATCACCATAAACCGATTCCATGGCTTGCTGGAAGCGATCGAGTTTTGGAGATGGGCTGCTAATAGGAAGTGCCATGTTGCGATATTCGAGGCATAGAAAATGACCCTAGCTCTCTGGTGATAATTTGCGGAGAAGGCCACAGCAGGAAATCAAGTGTGGCAAGACTCGCCCAGGAATTATATGTCACTCCCAGGGTTCAGATGACTGATCTGTGGCTTTGAGTTATCCCGTGGGCGTGAAGTCATTGTGACTGGCCACTTACTCGGGTGTGATATCATTAGGTCGCCGCTGTTGGAAATATCCAAACAATATTCCCTCAATTTTGAAGCCCTGGAGGAGGTTAACATTAAAAATCTAGCGTCAAACATCTTATTTTCCCAGGTTGGGAATTTATCGATCTATGCAAAAATATCATCTTCAAATTTCAAGAGCATCCATGACGCATCTACAGGAATTATTCAATCGGGCAATTCAACCCTTGCCTGCAATTGATGACGATAACTTCGCGTCCCATTTCGATATCTTTGCCGGTAAACAGCTTGTACTCTTAGGTGATGGCAGCCACGGGACCTCGGAATTCTACTCGGCACGAGCAGAAATTACCAAGCGACTCATCCAGAAACATGGCTACACAATGGTTGCCCTCGAAGCAGACTGGCCTGATGCTGAGGCCATCGACCGCTACGTTCGCATGCGACCGGGACCCAAAGCAGGTGTAGGTGGCATAGCCAAGGGACACGAACCATTTAAACGATTTCCAACTTGGATGTGGCGCAACTGTGAAATGCAAGACTTGGTGGAATGGGTACGCGACTGGAACACGCGCCAACCACCAGAAAACCGCGCAGGGTTCTATGGCTTGGACCTTTACAGTATGGGAGCTTCTATCAGTGCAGTCATCGATTATCTTGACGGCATAGACCCCGCAGCAGCCAAGGTGGCGAGAAAACGATACAGTTGCTTGGAACCATGGGTGGAAGATCCTACTTCATACGGACTGGCCTCTTTGCACGGTATGAAAGACTGCGAAAGCGAAGTTATAAATATTCTGCGAAATCTCCTCAATCGGAGAATGGATTATATTCAGAAAGAAGTGGGTGGCGGCGAAGAGGAATTCCAGAGCGGAAAACAGAATGCCTATCTGGTGCGTGATGCGGAGAAATACTACAAAGCGATGTACTGGAGTTCGGCAACATCGTGGACAATGCGAGATACGCACATGTTTGATACTCTGCACCGATTGATGCAGTACCGACCCCCGCCTGAGACATAAAGCGATTGTCTGGGCTCACAACTCGCACGTCGGTGATGCGCGTTATACCAGCATGGGACTCCGTCGGAATGAAGTCAACATCGGTCAGTTATGCCGGGAAAGACTAGGCTGGGAGAATGTCTGCATTCTTGGATGCGGAACTCATACCGGTACCGTTGCAGCTGCTCATGACTGGGATGAGGACATGGAGGTGATGGATGTGAATCCTTCTATGGCTGAAAGCTGGGAAATGGTAGCTCATGAGACCGGCGTCCCGAGTTTCCTAATTGACCTTCGTCGCGGTAGTATTGATCGCTCTCTACGAGCGGCAATGGCAGCTGAAGAGAAAATTGAAAGGTTCATCGGTGTGATATATCGGCCCAATACTGAGCGAGGGTCCCATTATTCTCATGCCTTTCTTCATAAGCAGTATGACGGATATATCTGGTTTGATCGCACTGAAGCCGTGAAGCCTCTAGAGACCATTCAGCCGAAGACAGTTCTTGGGAAAGAAGAAACATATCCCTTTGGTCTATGAGATTTCACATCAGGATATCCTCATTATGGCCGTCTTTAGCGCAAGCCTTCCGACACAATTCGTCAGGGATATAATCAAGAATTATTCCCGGGCAACAGGTGGCTCAAATCTCCCAGTCCAGTTAACACAAAAGAGTCAAAATCCCCCCCAACCAGTAATGTCCGCAAGATAGGATGCTGGGCTGGTATCTTGGGCCATCTCGGAAAGCCAACCGTCGAGGTCTTGATGCTCTTGACCGTGTGCGTGCTGAAGTGTTTCTCCTTCAGCGTGTTGTCGAATGGCGGCTTCGGCGACCTCTTCACTCGGGGTTATGCTCAATAATTCGCGCTGGCCCGTATAATGACTTGTGATCTTGCGTGCCTCTTTTCGGAGTTCCTCTAGCACAACGACATAGCGCTGAGCAAAGGATGTTTGGGATCCACATTTCGCAAGTTCAAGCTGGGCCTCTTCTCCGATTGTGAGATAATGTTTGTATTCGTTATCTGGTTCTGACCAGCTCTGAATGACGTGTACATACAACACTACGATGGCACAAAAAACATTGTAGTGTGTGAACTATTATGGTTAGACTTAATATTAATGTGCTCATATTCGGCTGAGGAAAACTCACCCAGAATGATTTATACATTCGCCTAGTTCGACATAGATCTTTGAACATCTCGGCTGTCTTGATAGCAGCCTCGACGCAAGTTGTCACAAATCTGGCAATCACCTCCTGGAGATTTGAATGAGCAGCACTTCTTTCTCTTCCCAAAGATGCTAAATTTCGAAGGAGAAAGGGTCGGTAGAGAAGAATTTTAGCGTGCTCAAATGCCAGATACAAAACACTGAACTGCCTTTGGAAAGTTATTTGAAGCAGCTCGACATTGGATGTATCGAGAAAGGTAGCAATTCCTGCTCTCCATTCAGCTAGTTCAGTTTCATACTTTTGCGCAAGTTCTGCCTGTAAGACGAGGGGCTTTTGCTGGATTCCATAGAGGTCGCGCAGAATACCACTAATTAAACGAGACAGCCTAATGATGTTAAGTAGATTTCTTCCAATGTTCGTTCCCGGGTCTTCTCTTACTTTGCATGGTATATTGAGGCTAGCATCAGACTTTGTCTTGGTGAATGAGACGGAAGAATAGTATGTTGTAATATCTGGGAGTCGTTCGCACACGCTGGAAGCTCCTGGGAGTTATCTTTATCACTACAAGTCTCAAAGACAAAAGGTGCGACACAAACTAACCTGATCAATATCTTCATCATGGAAAACCTTTGGCCGGCCGAGAGCTGCACTCATGTAGTTGTCTAGAACGTAGGCGCACCAAAACACTCTCTTTCTGCTTTCCTCTTCCACGTAGTCTGTTATCATCTCCCGTCTCTTTCGTCTATTTAATCCAATTGCATGCGCAAGACGAGCCGTTGTTCCGAAAAGACTCCAGCAGTGGTTCATTCGTGATTCTGAGAGGAGATAAAAGCACTGGGCTAAGCGGGCCTGTATGCTTGAGAGTTTGACGGGTCCCTTTTCTTGTGATAAATGGTTCTCCGCGGCCGCGAAATAAGCATTACTGTCGCCTAGTTAGGGGATCATAGAGCTCCTAATCTCTGAGAAAGTCTCGCGATTGAACTTCAATCACTCACCTGTTGACTGATTGACCAGCCGTCGTTTCCATGCCAGAAGAATTCTGCTTCCCTTGGGCTATGACCATCAATATCAATGCCTTGATTGCTCTGCTGACATTCTCATTTACTCCCTGGATTCCCGAGTAGAATGAATGAACCCATTGTTCCACAGTCGCCTGGTGCAGGAAGCGATGAGTAGGGAATGAAAACTCAAAATATCTATTGACCAGAATAAGAGCTTCATCAATCGGCGGAAGCACTAGAAACTGTGGATCGCAATTCGGGAATGGAGCGTCGCCAAAATTAAAGATCGGCTCTGATGGTGAAAATCTAAGGTTTTCATGTAGTCTTTTTTGCACTCGAAGCAAGAAGGCCACCCCAGAAGACGGCCCGACATAATGTCCTTCCAGGTCAATTTCGTCTGCCTCTTGGTGAATTTTAGATGGAATAACATGTTGTTCATTCTGTAATATTCCGGAGGAGGCTTGAACTCTGTCCTTAATTGAAACGCGCTCTTGTAATAGCGATGTTGAACCAGGGGTCCCAGATAGCGGGGTGCCTTTTGAAAAGCAATCACTGTCTTGGACATTGGATTGAGCAGTTGGGGTAGCTTGAATGTGCTGCTCTGTCCGCAGAATCAGAGTGTCCACTGGAGACAACTGGTAGTTCTCTGGCTTCTCTTCTGTCGGCTTTTGTGGGGAGCCTAGGATCTCTTCTCGGTCCATGACGGGGATGCTAGGAATTTTCCCTCTTTTATAGCCCGCGTTGTACTGACACTCAATTCCTGAGCGAAAGCACAGAGAGCAAGGTAATGTCCCTGAGCATCGAAGTTTTCTTCTAGGCAGGTTGTCAGAATTGCAGCTCTTTTCCATTTTCAGGTCAAACCGTACCTCTTGCATATGTCGCATGCGCGCGTCACTCGAACGCGCTCCTTGCCTGTGCGGCGCTTGATGGACTTGTCTTCAGGCATGCAGCCGAAATTTTATGATTTTCCAGTTAGTTGATTACTCCTGGGGTATGCGGCAGGGAGATCAGCGTGGAAGTAAGATCAGGCAAGGTTGACCCCAGGGTTCCTTGGGTAGGCAGTCCGGGGTACCCCGCGAGTCATTCGCCCCCTACTGGGTCACTTTATTGTCTCCACTTTTGATTGGTATGTTGTTTATCCCCCTTCTCCCCTTTTTGGTGAGATAAATTCTCATGTGTATTGTTATGGGTTACTAACTGGCCTGTAATAAGACTAGACTGGGATGTCTTTAAATGGTGTTCTACCTTAATCTTCATATGGCATCGGTCGTCTAAAAATCTGCGGTTCAAGTGAAATTTTCATGGCCTCAGGAATAATTCTCACGCCAAGAAAAATTGGAGGGTGATAAGTGCTTCGTCATTCTTGGAGGAAGAAAATCATCTTTGCAGACTTGTATACAATCCGGTCTTCTATCTGGTCTTTGCGTCTTAAATTTGACACCGGCGTGATGAATTCCCATCATACTATGAAGAGTGGAAGAGACGATCCGATTGCTTTGCTGAAGATGGATGGAGGATGGGAAGGGACATAGCACCGGCTAAATTCTACGTGTTTCTATTGGCAGCAAAACACGCACAGGCCCGAGCTCGGACTTTAAAGCGCGCTCGGAAAAGCAACCGGAAAATGCCCAGTTCACAAAATGTCCCATTCTCGCAGCTATTAAGCGGGAAAATTATTGTCGGTTTCCACCAATAGTTTTTCTTTCTCTCTCTCTTTGGCGTCATAGCTTGCTCCATGCCGACTTTGGGTGATTAGTCGGTTGATTTGGCCTGAATATTTGCTCGAGATCAACAGATTATCAAGCACAAAATCCTGGGTTTACTCGGTACGTAAATGATGTGTGGTTTGTGGCTAATAATGTCTCAAGGGCGATAACTCATAAACATCCAATACAATCTTCGAACTGGTGGTGCTAGTCGAAAACAGCTCTTCGTTAAATCTATTGGTTAATAGCAGGCTTGGTCTTCTCTGTGTAGCTTCTAGAGGCTTAAAGCAAGAAACGGAATCCTCGGACAACAGCCTGTCCAGGTAGGCCATGTTCTTCGTTCTCGTTCTCATGTGCTCTACTTGGGCCAATATTCGTGCCCTCTTCTTCGTCCAGTTGCTTATTCAAACGCCCAAGAACAATTCTGATAACCGTTGCAAAGAAAATGGTCATGGCACAGAGGGCGAGATTGTGTGAAAAGGCAGCGACGAATCTTGGGCTGGCAGAATCTTTAGAAGAAAGATTAGCTGAGTTTTCTAGTATTTTCCAATGTTCGATGATATTTAACTCACCGGGTAAAGGTATGGTGTATAGATCTGGCAAACGTTGCTCAAGCAGTTGATGAGAGCCAGGGCTGCGGCTCGTTTCGTGGCAGGCCGGGGCAGAACTATCGACGTGTCAATATCCTAGCCTGTCGACATCCATCCACTGGTTTAACTTACTATTCGAAATGTATCCCAGACACACCACATATCCTGAATATATACCCCCTATCATGAGGCACATAGCACTATAAAACGTGGTTAGATGAGGAATATGTATTTCACGGTTCCCTCATTGAACAACTTACACATATTGACCAGCAAATGAAGTATTCGACAATGCAATGATAAAGGCAACGACGGCCACGATGGGTGGCAGTGCGATATGTAGATATCGCTCGCCCGTCTTATCAGCGTGCCACGCATTAATCATAACCAGGATTGCACCGATCAGGTATGGAGGTGTAGTCAGAAGAAGAGTCTCGACAGTACTCTTTCCCAGGCCGGCCATGACACTATGATGCTGATTAGCTCTGCTAAATATGACTGTATATGAGGATACTGACATTGGAAAGAATGTTGTGACAGCCCCAGCGGAGGTGAGGCCGTAAATTGCACCGAGCAGCAACCAGGTTTTGTAATCCCTATTCCTCCATGATTAGTTATCTTTCTCGTTATATTATGTTCAAGCAGACATACGTGAAAGCAAGTTTTGCGCCGTGGAACATGGACTGATGTTCACTATCAACCCAGTCATCTTCACCGATATCAGCTTCCAGTCTCCAGGCGGCAAGCTCCTTTTCCTCCTCGGTGAGCCAGGAAGTTGTCCTCGGCAAATCTGGGATAATGAAAATAGACAAGAGGGCGACGAAGACCTTTGTGGAAATTAGATTGAGTTAAGAAGGACCATTGGGATAGTCTTTGTGCCTTACCGTGAGGGCTCCTTCGATTATGAACAGCCATCTCCAGGCGGCAATACCGCGGGCTCCTGCCAATCCATCCGTGATTCCTGCGGCAATGAGACCAGAGAAAGCTCCGGAAATCAACGACCCACAGTACAAGAGAGCAGTTCGCTTTCCAACCTCCTTACGCGTATACCATGCTGTGAGCAAATAAAGACAACCAGGCTTCTTAACGTTAGTCTTGAAATCACGAAGAATTGGAAGGGCAGCTTACAAAGTATGCTGCTTCAACAAAACCGAGAATGAATCGACAAGCTAAAAGCCCTCGAAAGTTTCTTGTGGCAGCAGTGGCGGCAGAAATCGTACCCATGCAAACATGCAGCCTGGGAGATAAATTGAGGGTTTTCCGAATTTGTTCAGAATCATGTTCGAAGGTACTGTCCTTTGAGTTAGGCTCAAAAGGCTCATTTATTTGCCAGGAAAGGAAGAGGGAGGAGCGAACCTTGCATCAACAGGTAGCCAACGAATAGGATGCTGACGCAGGTCTAGAGCCGTCAGTAAAAACATCTTGGCTTTTTTTTTAAAAAAAAAAAAAAAAAAAAAGAAAAAGAAAAAAAGAAAAAGAAAAACAGAGAGGGTGAAAAAAAGAATACAAACGACGTACCTGATACTGATTTCCTTTCAGATTAAGGTCTTTATCGAGACCGGCGAGCTTTGCTGATGCAATGTTGTTGCGATCCAGATAGTTCAGAATGTACATCACGACAAGCATGATCAGTAGCCGTGCATCGATCTTTCGCACCAACTTCTTCTCCATCACCTCCCTCTCTTCTTCAGTCATGGCAAGAAGAAATGTCGGCATTCTTCCGACCACCTGGCCTGTGGCATCCTTATTGGCAGTATACTCAACATGGTCAGACCCGGTTCCCTTCTGAGCAGCCATTTTGAAATGTGAATTAAGACGCCTCTAGATCTCTTGTCGCTTGGCAACTCGTGTTGACAAACTCAGAATTCTGGGGGTGGCCATTCTATTCTGGGCCAGGCTTGGCTGGCTGACCTTTGTACTCCAGCTCCTCCAGCCGCGGAGAGCAATTTCCGGGGTGAGGATGTGAGGATGCGGGGTTGAGCGACGATCTGCTTGGCTTCGGCTCGGAAAAGTGAGATTGTCTCAATCGGGTAAACTGACCGTGCCATACGTCAGCCTGAAGCTGGGAGTCTTAGTCAGAAATTCACTCTGATACATCGGATATTATTATTTCACAAAATAGACTACAATATTAAGCTTCAAACATCTTAGTCCCAAGCGGCTGCCGCGCAGACTGATGTACTTATTATGATAGTATCCTGACAATTCTGAACGGTCTTTAGTTTGGAGGAATGTGCCACTGGTCACCTACTCGAAATCCTTGTGGAAATGGGTCTGTTGAGTCAAGAACGACCTGCTTGAAGCTCGTGATCCAGGCTCGGCCTTTCACAGTAGGCAAAACAGCCGGATATTCTCCGACCTTGGTGGTTCCACGAATGCGGCTAACAAATTCAGTGCCAATGATGCTGCGGTGCTTGAATATCTCCCCCTTTTTTTTCACCCCTAGCATGCAGCACAGCTAGACGCGCACATGTCCCCGTACCACAGGGACTACGATCAAATCGCCCTGGAGAAACAACAACGGCATTTGATGCTACCTTGAATCCGTCTTCAACTCTCAGGGGCTCGGTGAATTCCAACACGCTGAATCCCTTAATTCCAGAGTTCTCGGGGTGTATGGGTGTATATGCCGCTTCCACGGCGCGTTTGATACGCTCGCCGATTTCTACTAGCTGGCGAGATTGTTGATTGTCGATCATCAAGCCCAACGAAGCTGCATCCACTAAAACATACATCATGCCACCATATGCAATGTCAACAGATACCTGTCCGATTCCAGGCACCATGACTTTATAATCGAGTTCAAAAACAAAAGATGGAACGTTATTGAACTCGACACTCTTGCATTTCCCTGCCTCACACTCGGCAGTGACGGTCACCAGCCCAGCAGCGGTGTCCAGAGTCACTTCAGTGAATGGCTCTTTCATAGGGATCATCCCTGTTTCTAGGAGCACTGTGGTGGTACAGATTGTATTGGACCCAGACATGGGGGCATACTCTTGCTCTCCATGATCAGGAAGCCGACATCTGCGCGAGGATCGCAAGCCGGGAGAATAAGATTGGTGTTGATCGAAGCCCTGCCTCGGGGCTCGTTCAGAAGAAGCTGTCGCAGGCCATCCTCTTTGGTCTCAAAATGTACCAATTTTTCGTACATGGTCTTTCCGGGGACATCCAGAACTCCACCAGTGATCACATCCCCAACCTCACCTTCGGAATGGCATCCGACGATCGTCAACGAGCGTGAGAAGGGCATCGTGCCGTGAAACTGGGGGGTTTGACGCGGGGGGGAAAAAGTCGAAGAAATAGTTCGGAAAAACTTTCAGTGAGGCCTTTTTGTTGGACTATCGAGAGGCGTGGGGGTTTCTTTTCTCGATTCTTCGAGACACGGATTTGTGTTGTCGCCATCCATGAATTCCAAGGTTATATATGGGGGAAATCGGCGAATGCCTTCCCCTCAGTCAGAGGATCCATAATAATATGTAATCGGGATCACCTTCCGTCCTGTTTGCTTTTTTTGAACTCTCCTTTTGTTAAAAGGTATTTCTAATGGACCAATCCTTTCTCGCTGGCGCTGTAAGCGCTCTGAAATGTCGATTTCTCCACTGTGTCCAACTATGCACGGGCAGGCCCGGGCTCAAGTGATCACCCCCCCCGCAAAGCCCACGGTCCTGCATCTCATTCACGAACTGCTCATAAGTACCATGTTTGCACCTTGCATGGCCAAATGAAGGCAGTTCTAACTCGGCAGGAAACACTTGCCTTGTGGCTATTATTGGCCTGGCCGGAAGGGGGTCCCGGTGTCGACCCACAGGGGCACGCGAGACAACATCCTGTCAAGGGCTGCCCGGTCTTCCATGGCGCGCGAGACAGGACTACCTTAGTATTTGGTATCACTGTGAGTCGACGTAGAATCAAACTTCCCTTTGAGTTCTAGTTGTAGAGAAATCGATATTCACCCCCGACGCGTTGCGGAGAACGTATGACCCGATCACGTGGTCTGCCGCAGAATGAGACGGATTTCCGCCGGATGAACAAAAGGGGATTTCAATCTGCCTCACCGTGATTGATTGAAAAGTGATATCAACTATCAACCGGCGACCCCTGGGGCGCACGTCGCATTTGAAATCCCCGCGATGGACTGAGTGTTGTTCAGCCTCCATGTTACGCACGAACGGGGCTCGATCTCGCCTAGGATGCCTCTCCTGCCGGCGTCGCAAGAAGAAATGCGACGAGGTAAAGCCCACCTGCGCAGCCTGCTTGCGCAATGATCTTCGGTGTGTTTGGCCAGATCCAAGCCCACCGGCCAAGGGATCTGGTGTAGGATCAACCCTGCAGCAGCAAGCAGCTTCCAACGCTACCCCCGTACCCGCTTCAAACGCGTGGGCCTTGGCTTCGTCTAGTGCGCATCGCAATTTACCGGTTGCCACCATCCCTGCGTCACTGTCTCCATTATCTGTGCCTGGATCAGTGCTCGCTGGAGCAGAAACTTGGAGACTTCTCGATCATTATCTGAAAGACACTGCGAATCGACTCACGTGTTTACAAGATAGCGCCAACCCATTTCTTCATACGCTACTGCCCGTTGCTCTGGGGGATGAGCTGCTAATGAATACAATTCTTGCGCTGTCAGGGGTTCATCTTATGCAACGGCTCCCTGAACTCAACTCAGACCTACAATCTTTGACCTGGTCAAGTTACACAATTGCATTAAAGCAGCTTCGAATTGCGCTGCCGGCGGCTTTCGATCAGGGCAGTAGTGTAGATGCAGCGTGGCGAGCTTTGCTTGTCGTCCTCATATTTTATCTTTTGGAGGTAGGTATTCCTGTGCCATGGTAAGGACATAGACTAACCGGTATATCAGGCGACAAGGGGTAATGATCCTAAAGCGATGCAGAGTCATCTAGAAGGCGCCCATCATTTGATGGCCTATGTGAAAAATTCAAATATCACTCCTACTCAACCCAGTATCGTATCTTTCGCCACTGATCTTTACATTTACAACGCTGCCCTCGCATCATTCACGACGAATTGCCCTCCGACATCCATTATGTTACCAAGCACCTGGACAATCTCTTCCTCTGCCCCAAGTCCTGAGATTGGAGTCCTGTGCGGTTGTGCCCACGAGCTATTTACTTTAGCCCCAATGGTCTCTGCCTTGCTGTGGGAAGAATCATCTCAAGTTTCCTCGCCTACTTCCTCGGATCAAACTTTCACCAACAAATATCACGACTTACGAGCCCAAATCGAAGAATGGAAACCCCGCAGCGAGCAGGAAGAATTAGTCCTCTGCGCCCAGCTGTATCAACAAAGCCTTCTTCTCCTTCTAGACTCTCGGTTTGCCCGCGAGAGTTCCCAAGAATGTATTGACCAAGCATTCCAGGGTCTAGAATCGTTATTATCACAATTACCGCCCACCTCCCCCATCGCAACTACAGCCACATGGCCAGTTTTCGTTTTCGGTGTATATGCCCAGAACCCGCATCAGAAAGAGCTTACCCGTACATATCTTCGAGACCTCGTCAGAGTTTTTGGGATGGGAGTTATGGAAGCCGCGCTTAACCAATTGGAGGAGGTATGGGCGGCAGAGCCAGGGCAGATTGTCCCTAGCAGGTTTTTTACGAACGAACATGAGCTGCTTATGCTTTGCTGAGCACCTGTATATTATCAATATTACCCAATCAAAAATTCAAATATACCACATCCAAACCCTCAGTGAGCCTACAGACATACAGATAGAGGTAACTTCTAGTAATTTCTGTAATATCGGTGCAATCCTCTACGTTAGAACATCTCTATACCGAGCTCCACGCCTATCAATGGGCCGAAGAGCATCTCTGATTCTCTTGGTTATTCGCAATATTTACCTATTCAAACCCAAACCTTCAGGCCCTCTCGTTTCGCCTGCACCGATAAGCACTCTGCGCCGGTTGGACTTTCTTTTGGCTTATTATTATTCTAGGTCAAAGTATCATCTACTACTGATAAATCTATCATTGAGAGGAATATATATACGTTCTAATAAGGACTCGGATCCATCCATATCATAACGGGAGTGTCAGCCACGTTCAAAATCTGCGGGATGTCTCGTCCTCTTTGGGCAATGCAACACGCGTTCAATTAAAATCAAGTCTTTGTGCGGAGTATATTATTCTTCTTATCTCCATTATACCCAGGATTTCAATAGCTCTTTTTTCAACTTTCACAGTGATTTTTGTTCTGTTTCGAACTTTTCGGCAAACCGTCAACGGCCCCTTTCTAAGTCGAAGTCTGCTTGGCTCGGGTACTTCAGTCACGCAGAAACTCTCGCGATGTGTCAGTTCTGAGAGGGCAGGATAATGGTCCTATACTTTTAAAGGAACCTTGTTTGCAATATGCATGCTCCTGTTCATTATTATTCGTCTGTGTTCTAATTTAGAATGATAAAACTAATTCCTGGACTATAACAGGCAAGGGTCAGACTACATACATGCACAATCAATGGTTCAAACATATGCCGCCTGCCCTCCATAGGCGGACCGTTGCCCGATGATCTACACTCTGAAGTCAGTTTGAGTCACATAACATCAATCCTGCTGCATTAGTGCATCTTCGCAGTGCTTGGCGTTATAGTGGCAAGACGATGGCCCACGTTACACATTTCCTCGCAGGGGTGACACGGATGCTGGTCTTTCCAATCGTTGATAGAGGGAGTGACTCGATTAATCCGACTGGTCTGAATGGAAACTTCTATCTCTGTCTTGGAAATGGTCTAGTTGTCATTCTTCTTCACCGCTTGTACAGACAGTGGTGCTCGGGCGTCAAAATGATCAGCCTGATCGCTTGTCTGACCATAGAGAAGCATATTACGAGTCATTTCAGATAAACAAGCAAAACCGGGGCTCCAAGGGAGCTTGTTCTATGGTTAATCTGAAATCGATTACTTCATCTGGAGCTCTAGTGGATTCAAAGCGGCGGACTGCATGGCCCAGAACGGGCACAGAACCCGCCGCAGCCGAAGCGCCGGCTTGTCCCCCGAGACAACACATCAGAGCAGAATAATAAGATGGCAAACTTCAAGCAAGTGGCGTTAATGCAAGGCGAGTACCAAATTTCTGATTCTTTGAGGCCTAGTTATTTGGTGTCATAAATTTCTTTTGTTCTTGCAACAAGACCGGGTGACTTTCGCCTCGTGGAAGCCGGAAGTGTGCGGGGTACACGGCGACGCCTTCGAAAGCCGAGCCGATCACCTGAATAGTTCTTAGGACTTAAGTGCCTTCTTCATGACCGCGCGGGTTTCCTAGAAATTCTGGGATAATTTTATTTCATTTACACTTTTTTCTGTTTGGTTTTCCCCTTCCCCTAAGGGACCCAGAATGTACCAAACCGACGGTGTCGCAACAGCACGACAAAAACGGCAGAAGAACCCCAATCGATGCCGGCCAAAGTCAAAGGGAGGCTGTCAACGGTGTAAGCAGCGGCGAGTAAGTTAGAGGTGAACCGTGCGCAGCTATTTTTTTTCTTTTATGTCTTATGTCTTTGAGATAGCTCCATTTTGACCAGCAGAAGCTAACCCACCACTCCTCAGCGCAGATGTGACGAGACGAAGCCGGGCTGTCAGGAATGTACAAGGAAAGGTCTTGAGTGCCCCGGATATCAGAAAAAGCCCCTCGAGTGGCGATATGTCTTCAAAGATGAAGACAAATATGACGAGGCGGTCAACACCCCGCTTACGCAAACTTCCGAGCACTTCTTTGGACCGGGCCAACAGACCCCAGAGAGCCAGGACGATGAGGTTATTCACAACAAAGATCTACAAAGCCTCTGGGACGAAGCCAGTATGACATTATTTGATGAGCTACCGGATATCGATCCTTCAATTCGACTCGGGTCCAAGATGGATCCGATATTGAGCGATATGCCCATCACCAAGTCAAACTCTCATACAGATAGTCTGTCAGTCTTGCATCGCCGACTGGAAAACTCAGCCATACCATCTTTTCTCATACACATGCCTGCTATCCTCGTTCAATATTACTTTGACTACGTTTGCAAGTCTTGGTCATCCTTCGATTCGCCTTTGAATCCATTCAGAATCATTGTCAGCCGTCTCTGGAGTCGGAATGCAGCGATATACTATACCATCCAAAGTATGGCAGCGGCATCGCTCGCAAATGATTTTCCCGGAATGAAGGCGATTGGAATCCAGACGCAGCAACAAGCAATTGCATGCTTGCGTAACAATCCCCGGGTGGGCTCGTTACATCGAGATAACCA